TGCATACAAATCGAAGTACCTGTATTTGCGAAGCTATTTGGAGGTCTATCCGCGTGGTGTTGGCCTAGGAATAAGGCTGTCGACGCGCTGGCGAGGTTGTGGAAGTGCAGGCACTTGGTTTTCTATAGGGAATCGCATATAAATCGATGTACCTGTATTTGCGAAGCTATCCAGAGGTCTATCTGCGTGGTGTTTGGCTAGGAATAAGGCCATCGACGCGTTGGCAAGGCCGTTGACGCGCTGGCGAGGTTGTGGAAGTGCAGGCACTTGGTTTTCTATAGGGAATCGCATATAAATCGATGTACCTGTATCGTGAAGCAATTCGGAGGTCTATCCGCGCGGTGTTGGCCTAGGGGTGAGGCCTTCAACGCGCTGGCAAGGCCGCCGACGCGCTGGTACTTGAATTTTTATAGGGATTTGCATATAAATTGAAGTACCTGTATTTGTGAAGCTATTTCGAGGTGTATCCGCGCGGTGTTTGGCTAGGAATAAGGCCGTCGGCGCGTTGGTGAGGCCGTCGACGCGCTGGCAAGGCCGTTGACGTGCTGGTACTTGGTTTTCTATAAAAAATCGCATACAATTTAAAGTACCTGTATTCGTGAAGCTATTCGGAGGTCTATTAGCATAAAATTTGGCTTGGTACGTGGAGGGCTTACCTGGTTAGGGTGTGTATAAAAATACATGCCGGGATTTGTTGTGGCTTTTGTTTATATAGGGTTTTCCATATAAAGTATAGCTCCATTTAATCGAGGGCCGCGAGTTTCACGTGCCGCTCCCTTTTTAATTGTATTTATAACTTTACAGGCTTGTAGGGCCCTAAAATCGCGATAAAAATTAGTTCTAAGCGATTTAAATTGTACAGCGCCTTTAGAATACTATATAACTGTTTTTTTAGTACTTAAATAGGTGTTGTTGTTGATATATTAGCGCGTAAATAAAAATCGACAATCTTATATAGAGATATATATTTGAACTTTATGGTGTTTAGTGGCAGTTTCCCACCAAGTCTGAATTCTGCCAAATCGGCGCGAATACTGCTTTTTAATTGGCCGAGGCCGGTCTGACCGCCTTTTGTAATTATTCGTTTTCGACTCTTTCTCCTTAAGAACTTCATAAGTTCTACAGGTACATCGATTTCTATATGATCTCTTATATAATATAATGTACCAGCGTAACTTAGCAAGTTTACTATAAGTTTTAACACCAGGTCGGGCGTGGGGGAGGCCAACATAGCAAGGCCAGCGTACTGTTCTGAATTGTATGAGAACTACCATATAAACTGGAACGTATTAAATACTGACCGATGGGTGGGGCCCCCCTTGGTGGACCGTCGGTGGAATAAGAGCTTCCCAAGGACTGCTTATACCCACTGCTCAGCCATCACCGGGGCGATGCATGGGTATGACTCATAGCCGGGTCCATTCTCCATATATCTATGGAGAGTCCGCTGGTAGGCTCCCGTCTGGTCGGGATGGCCGCGTCCAGCTGGTGAGTCGACTGTCGACTGTCTCGGGTGGTGACTGGAGGGTGGCAGGACGGATGACGCACCCCGGAGGGTTAGAGGAAGGCGAGGGTTATATGTTGCGACCTGCCCTGGCGTATCAACTGCAACTTCCATAGCATGAGGGCAAAGGGCTGCCCAACAGTGACTCAGAGAGTGTAGGAACATGGAGTATATATACGAGTAACCACCTGGACAAGCTTCCAAGTTCTGCAAGTTCATGCTGGTGCTTTGGGCTGGAAGGGTAAAAGTAAAACTGAAATCTCAATACGGGCCCCACCTCCCGCTTACCGCTGGGTCCACTCCCTTCCAGTCTTCCACAGTCTCAGTCTTCCTCATACAAAACCGGATCTCCCCTAGGCTGCCCCTTCGCCAACCACGCTCTTGCACCATCGCCCTTCCTGGGTTCAATCCAACTCCAACTCAACTCTCTCAACGCACTTCGCCACACTATCCGAACTTCGTGTTCTCCTGGGTTCTACTTACTCCAGGATTAGTCACTGTCACATATCTGTCTTCAGGAGTCCCCCCAGAAGATCCCCGGTCCTTCGCCCAGATTCTCTGCTTCTCTGCTTGACAAAGCCAGAGTCTCCTTACTTGACTGCCTCCAGTTCATTCTCGGGAATCCGACGTCGTTCAAATGCACGCTTCGCACATCAACGCCCTTCAATCCTCCTCTCCCCTCGAATCCGTGCCACGGTGACGCCCTCGTCGTTGCCTCTGATTTCGTTGTCCTTTGATCGGCGTCGATCGGGTTTTTCTGGACAATATCCTGTACAATATACTGGGTTGTGCTTTTTGTTTGCTTTGTTAGTTTTTGCTCGGTAATTTTGGGCTCTCAAAAGTTGTCGATTTCTTCTGCCTCATCGATATTCATGCTCTCGCGATAATGTACCACTACTCTACTCCACCCCCCGGGTGGTCCTCCTTCGACTACATGAACTCCCCGCCGACGTCGCCTCACTACGCCTACTACGCGACGCAGTTCACCAACCCCTTTGGCTCTCCTCGAGGCCCGACCAAGACTCGCCACGCCCGCAAGGCCAGCTACGCGGCGCCCCCCAGCAAGGACACAGGCGCATGGCACTCCGGCTACGGTCAAGGCTTCTACGGCGCAATGCCCGAATTTGGCACTCCGTCCAAACACCCGGAAAATGTAAGTGCCTTTTTTGGTCGCAGTCCGTCCTCTCGTCGCAAAACCATGTCCGGTGGTGTCCCCGCGGGCGCCTACTACGACTACGGTGCTGCCGCTCCCCGGCCGCAGTCATCCCGGAAGCGATCTATCTATGTGGATGTGGTCGATGATGGATACGATGATATGCCCAGATACGCCTCGCGCGAGGAACCGAACAAGTCCCGTCGGCGTCCGTCAGCGTCTCAACGGAAGCCAAAGCCAGCAACTGATCCATTCTACTCTACTCAGGTTCCCGCTTCTGCCTATGAAGATGATGCTGCCAAGCGATCGCGCGCTCGCCGCCAGTCCACATCCACCCGGAACGTGCCCAAACCCAAGCCGGCGACGGCGTCTAAGCCCCCGCCAAAGGCCACCGAGGAGGATGCCGTGCGCGCAAAGATCCCGCCCGGCTACTCGCTCAAGAACTGGGATCCCACGGAAGCGCCGATTATTTTGCTAGGCAGTGTGTTCGACGCCAACTCCCTCGGCAAGTGGATCTACGACTGGACCGTCTTCCACCACGGCGCCTCAACCCCAATGGCCGATGTCGCGGGCGAACTCTGGCTGTTGCTCATCAAACTTGCCGGCAAGATCAAGCGCGCCGCGGAGTGCGTCGACCGGATCAAGGACGTCGAATCGCAAGAAACGGTGGAGGACTTTTTGGAAAGCGGCAAGCGGCTGTGGAAGCGGTTCAAGAAGCTGCTGCAGACGTGCGAGCAGTTCATGTGGAAGGCTGCGAAGCGAGAGGACGGCAAGAGTGTGTCGATGGGCCGCAACGCGGGCTGCGAATTTGTGGAGTCGATCTTCGGTCGCGATCGCGAGCTGGAGAACACGGAGAAGCTGATGAACAGCATCCGTGTGTGGAACATGCGATTTGACGCGAACTGCGATGATATCCTGCGAAAGCGAACCGCCTAGCGAACTCAACTACAAACTACAGAACAAACAGAACAGTACCTCAGTGTACTCGGAACCAATACCCCAGTTGGATTACACAGCTTCCACGTTTGGGAAGCGTTTTTACTCGGATTGCATTTGAGCGCGTTGGTCTTGCTCGTTGCCTCTGATTTACAAGCGATATCGGCCGTCTTGATTTATTGAACGCATGGATCGATATTTATCAAAGATCCAAGAACAGTCTTTCCTTTGTCATTTCCTTTGTTTTTCCATTTCTTCGGTTCTATTCGATTTTACTTTTCCCTCCATTAGCATCTGCGATATCCTCAGCATTTGGGACGGGATTCTGCTTTTATTTTTTGTTGCTGTCTTCGTTCTATTTTTTCTTCGAGTGCATGCTATGCTGCTATGCTCATGGACAGGAGTTTCGTACTTGAGTCGAGTTCGAGTCTTTTGCTCTGCTTCTGCTTCTGCTTTATGATACCATTCTGCGATCTCGATCTGCATTCGCACCTGCTTGCTGGATTCGGTCCACGTCGGTGGTTGATTCGTTCGTTCGGTTTGCGGTTAATGCCGTCTTCTTACCCACCTACCATCTACTAATAGACTTGGAATATATATTTTACCTTTACTTGATACGTTCCTCTTCCTAGATACGAAATTGGAGATACATCGATTCGTATGGGGTAAGGTAATACTCGCAAATACCACCGGTACCTCCCCGTTCGTAAATCTGATGTCATCCATCCCTACATTAATACAGCGGCATAATGGAAATGGATTTCCCAATCCAATCCCCTCGTCACCTCGTAGTCGTCACTCCCAACCCGCGCAATAGCCGCAGCCTCCTACCGTCACTGCGTCTGCATGACGGTTGACCGGGGCGGAGAATTCCCCGAGCCACCACTCACAATGAAGCTTACGCCCGCTCGCCATGTACCCCTCTTCCAGAAGCACGTGGACCGAACCTACCCTTCCTAACGACGTGCCCACTGCTGGGTCCAGCAACACCAATGGAGTTCAGGTGTCCTGCGCATCTGCATTCCTTCCGCCCGTTTGTGCGAGGATTGGCATGGCATTTGGCATGGCCTGGCGTGGGATGGGATGCCGTCAGCGTGCCTTCTTCGTAAGCACACGCGAACAGACGTGAAGAATCCGAATCCATAACGCCCATGCATTCTCGGCCTGGACGCGCTGGATTGGAATCGTTGAAGTGTCCGGGCGTGGGCGTGGGCGTGGGCGTGCTCGTGGTAAGACACACTGGATGCTGTGCTACAACTGTATCTAAGAAAAGAACACCCCATGTACGCAGGCTGGCAGCTGCAGTACGGTATCCAGCTTCCAAGCCTGCAGGGCGAAAGGCCAAAGGCCCGAGACTCCGACTCGTTGGAATAGGGTAGGGGACGTTGGACTTGGTGGCCTAGTCTAGTTGTCAGACTCAGTGCCGAAGGAGGGGTACCGGAATCAATCACCGCGCTAAAGCATCGGGTCGTTCAGGGCATGCGCTGCGCGTTCCAACGCAGCGTGGTGCAGTAGCGGCGCGGCTTGATTTGCTGGTGCTGTGATGGGATGTGATTGCATTGCATTCCTGCGCTAGACGAGAATGAGATCCGAGAAGTGCATGGGATAGCCGGCGTGGGGATTGCTCGTGTTCGTGGTTGGGACTTTGGGGTTTATTCCGGGGGGTTGATGGGGGTTTTGATTGGATTGGGGGAGGTATGTATTTGTGTATGTGATGAGATAAATTGAATTGGGAGGGGTGGTATTACGGTAGATACCTACTGGGGCTCTTGGATGGAGGTATTCGAGTACTTAAGTACCGTACAAGATACCTTGCCAGAATGTACCTACGTAGTTTCGATCTCCGAAAACGATATAGCCTCATCTTGCTTGCTGACGACAGAGGACAGGTCACACCAATAATAAGGGATCGCGTGGATTGGGGTATAATGGTGACTCGATGGTATAATCCGTGACAAAGGGTGGGAGGCTGTTTATTCCGCTGGCATTGTGAACCCGGGCAACATCACTATTCACTTTGTTCCCGATGGGTGCGCTTGCCGAGTATGCCTGTATCTTTTTGCTCAACCGGATGATTGTAATCGGAAGCTTGTTTTGCTCGGGCATATGTCCTAGCGTAGGATCATAGGAAGTATTTGATATGTCAAAGACAAGGAAGACGTGAGTTGCCCACTTCTGTTTTACCAGCAGCTTCAACTCGGGTGGATCTTGATCAGTATATGTGCCCTCCAAAAGATGATTGTCTTTGAGTATGCCAAAAGCTATTGGAAGTAAGTCCTCTGAAGAAGACCAGGACTGCTCCCAGTACGAATTGCTCCCCGAGACAATGACGAGCACTCGCTGTGGCTTTTGCTCCATCATCTGGTTGTCTATGTTTGTTAGCTACAGATCAAATGATTTCATCACCGGAAACTTACTGTCAGCACTTTGTGATAGACAGAAGGGAAAGATCCGCTGGATAACGCGATGATGCGACTGTTCCTGAGTCCCTGACTGACGAGTTAACTCCAGAACTTACCCCCTTGCCAGGAAAAGAAGATCGACCGGATTAATGATCCGCCGAGTTGTACTGAATGAAGGAAGATAGGATCCATTCCGATTGCATGGGTTTGCTCTACAGTAGTTCTGCAACTGGTGGACACTGTCGTCTCGGAAAACATCTTCGCTTCGGTTACGGACTCCGTATGGGCCACTTGGCTCTTGTTGGTGAGACGAGGTAGGTCGTCGACGAAATGTGGACCAGAAAGCAGGATCAGTGATTCAGAAAGATAGAGCTCTCTCTAAGATCCATTCCCAGATTCGGCAGTAGGATATGCCGGCCTCAGGTACATTCTTGTATTCCGACTATACTGATCTATTCTCCAAAGTCCCAACGAGTCAACACCTACAATTTTCCCACGAAAAGCAACAATTGCCTTGACATCTTCGAGACCTAATAAGCTCATCCAGACCCAGAATGGCGCAATCCCCACCATTCTAGTCTCCCAGTCGCCAGGCACCTGCATTTCGGCACTTTGGTATACGGAGAGCCCCATTCAGCCCTACGGCGGGTGCCGATCCCATACAAAAGCGCGACATCGGAGTCCGTCCGAGCCACCGCGCAAAACTCTTCCTCCAACTGAACTCACCTCACCTCCAAGTCTTCCTCATCCCATTAGCCTGCCTCCAGCTGAAGATGGGCGAAATGGCACCCGACGTCGAGGCCGACGCGAACAATGCCGCTGCCCCCGTCAACCTCAAGAACCGCAGCTGGGGCTGGACCCAGTCCGTCTCCAACCACTGGGCGGACCTCCTGTGTCTCGTGCTCTGCTTCATCACGGGGCTCTGCGACAGCGCCGCCTACAACGCCTGGTCGTGCTTTCTGGCGATGCAGACTGGTACGCTGCCTCCTACGTTCTTACCTACGTAAACAAAAGAAGGAAATGCTGAGAGTGACGCACAGGAAACACCATCTTCCTCGGCCTGGGCGCCTCAAACCAACCCCACAACAAACCCTGGGGCTGGCTGAAGTCGCTCGTCTCCATCGCGGCCTTCTTCATCGGCGCAACGGTCTTCTCGCTCTACGGCCGCCATCTCGGCCCCAAGAAGCGCATCACGCTGTTCTCGTCGTTTCTCTTCCAGGCAATCCTGGTCATCATCGCCGTCGCACTGCTGGAGGCGGACCTGATCCCGCACACGGTGTCGGAAACAGAGAGTCTAACGGGCGGCCGGTTATTCCTTGAGCTGATCCCCATTGCGCTCCTTGCGTTCCAGAGTGCGGGGTCGATGACAGCTGCGAGGGGACTGGGGTTCAATGAGATCCCGACGGTTGTGCTGACGAGTGTTTATTTTGATGTGGCGAGTGATCCGAAGCTTGTGAGGGATGTCAGGGGGAATGTTAAGAGGAATCGGCGCGTTGGGGCGGTGGTGTTCTTGCTGCTCGGGGCGATTTGTGGGGGGTGGTTGAGTAGGAGTTCCGGGGGGATGGAGAGTGCGTTGTGGCTTAGTGCGGGGTTGAAGGCTGCGATTGCGGTGGTTTGGTTGGGGTGGTTTGGGGAGAGGAAGTAGATTTGGGACTGGGATATTGTTGCTGTTGGGTGGGAGATTGCTTGCTTAGACTATAGATGGCGACTGGATAGATGCTAGATTGCTGGATATGTTGATAATTCTAATTAATACTGGACTGTGGCGACACCTGTCACTCGCCACGTTCTACCGTTGAAACGTCCTTCAGATCCCCGGTCATCTGTCATGGTATCCCCGCATGGGGAACAAAGCTAATGATGCTCGATCGACGTTAGGACGATATCATCGCGAACCATGGCCCAGTTAGAGCTCTGGACCACGGCTGGTGACTTCATCTCCTGCTGTCGAGCAATCACAGCCGTCTTCAACACTGGGATTAAGGAGACAGCTGACGTTTCCGCAGAATGAATACCAGCAATCATAACAAGGAGTCGCAGAGTCTCCGCGTCATGGTTCATCATTGCCGCCACCTGCTGCTCTTATATGATGATGCCTCCGCAGATGGCTCTCGAGAACGACTCAAACAATCAATGCTAAGAAACAATCACCACTGAATCAACGAACAAGGCATGTCTCTCCTTTAGCAGCGTTGCATATCGATCCACACACTAATATGATTAGCCACAATGTCCTCAAAAACCAACATGATGGGCACTGGTAGCCAGGCCCAACAACAGGCCGGATCTCGCTCCCAAACAGGCGCCGGCTCGAAGTCCCAAAAAGACCCCACCTCCGGCTGGAGCGTTGAAGAGATGCTCGAGACTGGCCTTGACAAGAACGGCAACATCGTCTCGGACGATTACTCCTGGATCGACGGTCGCCGTATCAACAAGGGCCAGCACGGCGGCCAAGAAGCCGATGATGTTGCTGCGTCAATGAACGAGCATTTCGGTTAAGCGACGTATGAGCTGCGAGTTGTCAACAGACTGAACACTGTACCTATGTCAGGTTGGTGCTTTTCGATATTGATGCTCATGCCGGCCGACGCTGTCCTTACCGCTACCAGATTGTCGGATGAAACGGGTTTGACATGTCGGCTCTCATTGACATGTAACTGAATCATCTTAACAAGTAAATCAATGTAATAAATCATGCGCAAGTTGGATAATGACGGGCTGTCTTTAGAACTTGGTCGGAGTAGTTCGATTGCCATAGCAACCAGGCGCACCGGGATAGGCCTGAGCCGGCCTGAGGCTCCACGCCATCCTCGATCCGGCAAAACCCAAACGAAGCAGCCTGTGACGCTACATGTCGGTGTTGTTGTCCCTCTCGATGTTATCCTCCTGCCAGGAGACCGAGATGAAGATGAAAAGCGTCGCGGTAGCTGTCTGAAGACGAGTGGAATACTGTCAACTGTTATCTTGCGGTGGCTTATCTTCGTCGTCTCCCTTGCTTCGGCTGCATGTTTCGCTCTTTTACTTCACATCGCAGGCTGTCTCCATTCTCCATTTGTTTCTATCACTGTCGCTCCACATTCAATCGACGTCAAGCATTGAGCTGAGCTTCTATTCAAAGATCTGACCTGACCCAAGTCCACGCTACTTGCCCGCAAGCGGCCCCTCGCACCTGCCTCTCCCTACTTCTTTCGTGTTTCCGCCTTAGTGGTACACCGACCTGCTGTATGTACCATCAATTCATCCGCCGCCAACGAGGAATCGTCGCTCAACTAGAACAGACATTGAGGGACAGTGAAGAGATGGCGCTGGACCCGCGCTTCTACCACCACCTCGCGCCCGGCATCGGGTCTGGCTCGCAGTCGTCCGCTTCGCTATCGGGGTTCTCGTCGGCAACGGGGATCACGAGTCCGTCTATTCAGTCGTCTGCGGCTTCCTCTGCCGGTTTGCGGTCGACCGCGTCTAGTCCGTCGCTGCGGTCAAGGCAGGTTGTTATTTCTAGGCCTTCTGATGGCGTGCCGGGCCTTGGTCCTGGGGGGAATGTTCGTGTCGTTGTGAGAGTGCGGAAGTTTCTGCCGAGAGGTATGCTCGTGTGCTTTGGTGGGGATGGAAAGCTAATGATTTGGGTGTTTAGAGCTCGAGCGCAAGGCACAATGTTTGATTTCGATGGACCCCGATACCCAGATGACGAAGCTGAAGGCACCGATTTCGCACTATGATGAAGGGAAACCAAAGTCTCAGGCTAAGGGGAAGGTGCTGGATGACAAGGAATTTATCTTCGACAACTCGTTCTGGTCGCATAGTGAGAAGGACGACCATTATGCTCACCAGGAGGATATCTACAATTGTCTTGGCGAGGACTTTCTGGACCACAACTTCGAGGGCTACCATACGTGTATTTTCGCATACGGTCAAACAGGTTCCGGCAAGAGTTATACCATGATGGGTACTGCTGAGCAACCTGGTTTGATCCCGCGGACATGCGAGGATCTGTTCCAGCGGATAGAGCACGCCGAGTCTCCGGATGTCAGCTATAATGTTCGCGTCTCCTACTTTGAAGTCTACAACGAGCATGTGCGCGACTTGCTAGTACCCCGGACTGACCCACCGCATTATCTTCGAATTCGCGAATCGCCCATCGAGGGACCGTACGTGAAGGATCTTACCGAAGTCACCGTCAGGAATTATGCCGAGATTATGAAGTTCATGCGCAAGGGCGATGTCTCACGCACAGTTGCTAGCACTAAGATGAACGATACATCCTCACGATCACATGCTGTCTTTACGATTACCTTGAAACAGATCCATCATGATCTTTCTACAGACGAGACAACAGAGCGTACAGCGCGCATCCGCCTTGTCGATCTTGCCGGGTCCGAACGAGCCAAGTCAACCGAGGCAACAGGTCAAAGACTGCGCGAAGGGTCTAACATCAACAAGTCCCTCACCACTCTGGGTAGAGTCATTGCGGCCTTGGCTGACCCCAAGGCAGGACGGCCGGGTAAACGGAAAGGAAAGGAAGTTGTACCGTACCGTGACTCGATTCTTACTTGGCTCCTGAAAGATAGTCTTGGGGGCAATTCGAAAACGGCCATGATTGCCTGTATCTCACCAACAGATTACGAAGAGACACTTTCCACACTGCGCTATGCAGATCAGGCGAAGCGCATCCGTACGCGTGCGAGAGTCAATCAGGATCACCTGTCTGCTGCTGAACGTGACCGACAGATCGAAGAGATGGCAGAGACTATCCGCACTCTTCAACTCAGCGTCAGCCAAGCCGCGCAGAATCGCCGTGAAACCGAGGTCCAGAATGAGCGGCTAGAAGAGTACCAGCAGAAGGTGGAGAAGCTTCAGCGGCTCATGGAGGAAACCAAGATGGTCAGCGAATGCAAGATCAGGCAGCTGCAGACCGAGAACGAGGCGTTACGCAATCATCTAAAACTGGCATTGGATAGCTTGAAGAACCCAATACCACCGGTCACAGTCGAGAAAGCCTTCAGCGACGTCGATATCCCAGATGATGACGAGCCGATCGACGAAGAGGACCGCCCAGGCTCGCCTACTTCAGAGGTAGACTCGGAACCAAACCTGATCTGGGAGGATGATGACATGCTGCCTGACCCAAGCGACATGGAAGCTCAGGAGATGCAAGCAACAATGGAGAATCTTCTGGGTGATCTCGATGTTTTCAAGCGGAAGCTGGCTACGGACCACGAACGCTTTGGCGCGAGCCGGAGAAACGAAAGCCGTAAACGACGACGAGCACTTGGGGATATCTTGGGCAATTAATCAATTCACGTAGTTTCGAGCGACTATACCTGCAAGGCGTTGGTGGTATTTTTGAGCTTTGACTGGAATTCTTTGTTCGAAGGCTGGTCTTTGTGTTATGTAATGAAGAGACGATGGAATGTCGGATGAATGCATGATTTGGAATCATCAGCGATTTATTTCCTCTATACGTGCTTGTAGAAGTCAGCATCTATAAGCTGTACTTGTCAATACTATGGGTGCACTGCGTCGGTTGCGCTTATGGCATCATCGCCTTTTCCGGCGTGTGAGTCAATCCCGCGCTTCCTCATCCCCACAACCGCCCGAAAAAAGTCTCGATGCCCCTCCTGATTGCCGCCATCGCGCTCGACTCCGTTCTGTCGACATGGCAACTCCTGCCGACCCTTCACTAAACACCACATCCTCTCCCCCCGCCGCCCCTACCCCAGCGCCCGCGTCAGAACCCCCAGCCGCGATGGAAGCACCATCCCAAGCACAGGCCCCGAAGGCACCCAAGGCCCCGAAACCCGCAAAGCCCGCCAAGCAAGCCCCCAAAGACAAACCCGCCGCGTCTGCCCCCGCCGACGCCCAAGGCGACGAGAAGCTCTCCCCCGCCGAGCTGAAGAAAAAGGCCAAGGCCGAGAAGGCCGCCCGTCGCGCCCGCGAAAAGGCTGAGCGCGAGCAAGGGGCACCGGGTGGAGGACAGGGCCCGAATACGCCGGCCGGCAAGAAGGGTGGTAGTGGTGATGCTGGCGCCCCGGCCGCGGGGTCAGCGGCCAAGGGGCAGAAGCAGATTCCCCGACGCGGGTCTGCGCAGGCTGTGCCGCAGGCTGAGGAGGTGAAGAAGAAGAAGGAGAACAAGAATGTTGCTGTGTTTGGGCATCTTTATGGGCAGCAGAGGCGGAATACGGTTGCTGGGGCTGGGAAGGAGGTTCATCCGGCTGTTTTGGCGCTCGGGTTGCAGATGAGGGATTATGTGGTTTGTGGGAGTAGTGCTCGGTGCGTTGCGACGCTGTTGGCTTTTAAGAGGGTATGTTTTTTGCTTGATGTTTGGTGTTTGGAGGGTTTGGGATGTGCTGACTTCTTAGGTCATTGAAGCGTACACGACGCCAAAGGGCACGTCCCTTGCTCGCCACTTGACTACGCATCTTTCTCACCAGATCACCTACCTCTCCACATGTCGTCCTCTCTCCATCAGCCAGGGAAATGCCATCCGCGCCCTCAAACTCGCCATCTCCTCCATCGACCCTTCCGTCCCCGAAGCGCAGGCCAAGACAACATTATGCGAGTTCATCGACAGCTTCATCCGCGAGAAGATCACCGTGGCGGACCAGGTCATCGCCGGCAGCGCAGCGCAAAAGATCAAAGACGGCGACGTGGTTGTGACATTCGCAGGCAGCTCGATCGTGAAGCAGACGCTCCTCACGGCATTCAAGCAGGGCAAGAAATTCCGCGTCTCGATCATTGACTCGCGCCCGCTCTTCGAAGGCAAGAACCTCGCTCGAACACTCGCCAACGCCGGGCTGGAAGTGCAGTACTCGCTCATCAGCGGCCTCAGCCACGCCGTCAAGGACGCAACAAAGGTCTTCCTCGGCGCCCACGCCATGACCAGTAACGGGCGGCTGTACTCGCGCGTCGGCACGGCGCTGGTCGCCATGTCGGCCAAGGAGCGCGCCGGCGGCGTCGAGATCCCCGTCATCGTATGCTGCGAGACCGTCAAGTTCACAGACCGCGTCGCGCTCGACAGTATCGTCGTTAATGAAATCGCTGATGCCGACGAGCTTGTCCTCACGCAGCCGCCTCACCAGTTGACCGACCTGCCGGACCCTGCTGCCGCTGCGCAGCCCGAGCCCAAGAAGGGCGGCAAGTCTGCACCCTCGAACCCCACACCTGAATCGGCGCCGAAATCAAGTGACTCCCCGCTTGCGGACTGGCGGGACACGCCGAACCTCCAGCTGCTGAATCTGCTTTATGATGCGACGCCTGCGGAGTATGTTGATATGGTTGTTACCGAGATGGGTAGTTTACCGCCTAGCGCGGTGCCGATTGTGCATCGGATGAGTACGAACTTGTAGGCTGGCGTGGCTTAATGTCTTGCTTGCATTGCTTCTTTTACTATTTTATTGTTCGTCTTCCGACATTGTCTCGTTTTCCCGGTTGTATCTTGTATACGGAGGCTTGGAACCGCTGAATTCCCCGGGATTACTTACTATTGTATTCATTATGGTTTTTATGGCTAGCGAACTCTAGGTAGAAAAAACGAAAAGTATTGAATTACATCATCTTCCGATGACTCCAAAGAAACTACCCTATATATTCAACATTAAAGTTGGGGAGTCGTAGAGGCAGCTGTTACCAGCATACAAACCCAACCACCAATCAAAGCCGCCTCCGCGGAGCAACCTTAAATTTTTACTTTAATCTCCCCCTCACCAACCCAGCCCCCCTCTCCAAAACAACATCAACCCGCACAATCCCACCCCAAGAAAAACAATGGGCAAACGCAAGCAAATCAAAGACGGCGACGTTAGCATGGGCGGCACCGACGCGGCCGGCGACTCCTCAGACGAAGACATCGACATGGTCAACGTCGACTTCGAGTGGTTCGACCCGCAGGAGGTCGACTTCCACGGCATCAAGAACCTCATCCGCCAGCTGTTCGACGTCGACGCGCAGGATCTCGATCTCTCGGGGCTAGCGGATATGATCCTGGCGCAGCCGCTGCTCGGGTCGACGGTTAAGACGGATGGGAAGGAGAGCGATCCGTATGCGTTTCTGAGCGTGTTGAATTTGGCGGAGCATAAGGTGCGTTTTCCTAAACCCCATGGATCTGGGTTTTCTCTACTTAGGTAATAGGGGATGGAGAGGGCATGATGGATGGTATGCTAACTGGTCACCGTGCTGCAGGAAAAACCCGCCGTCAAGTCCCTAACTGCATACCTTCAGCGCAAAGCAGCCGCCACACCCTCCCTCTCCCCGCTCGCGACACTGCTTTCGCAGACGCCGACCCCGCCCATCGGACTCATTCTGACTGAGCGCCTCATCAATATGCCCTCCGAGGTTGTCCCGCCGATGTACACGATGCTGCAGGAGGAGATCGCCTGGGCGATTGAGGAGAAGGAGCCGTATAACTTCTCACACTACCTGATTGTATCGAAGACGTATGAGGAGGTCGAATCGAAGCTCGACGCCGAGGAGACGCGGCCGCAGAAGAAGAAGAAGAAGGGCACGGCCGAAAAGGGCGAGCGCTTCTTCTTCCACCCTGAGGATGAGGTGCTGGAGCGCAATGCGCTTTGTAAGGGTGGGTATGAGTATAGTCATTCGCAGGATGAGGGGCGGAGTGATTCGAAGCGGGCGTTTCAGGAGCTGGGGATTAAGACGGGGGGGAGTATGATTCTTATTGAGGCGGGGAGGTTTGAGGGGGCTGTTAAGGAGATGGCGGAGTATATGGGTGTTGGGGCGCAGTAGGGTTAGGGAGGAGGCATGATTGATGATTTATAGATTAATTAATGTGGTCATGAAGAAAAGTTTATTTTTGTTTGGTTGGGATCACATCTATTGTCGTTACGGCGTGGCGCGTGGCGGACGGAGGTGAAGAGAGCGCGGTTACTCCCATTGCGTGCCCTTCAGGCGCTGCATCAGGTACTCGACCTCCACGACCTTGGTCAGAGGGATAACGTATTCCTGCGCTGGTTAGCTCATGCACAGCAAACATCACAGAAGAGAGAGGTACCTTGTACATAGTCTGCACAGCATGAACATCGATCTTAGGCCCCGACTGCTCAGCGAACGCCGGATCCGTACCATAAGTCTTCGCCTTGAGCGCCAATCTCTCCAACACCTTCTGCTCAACCTTGGAATCGGTAATCGCCTCGTCAATGCCCTTGCGATCCTCCGCCTTAATAAGCTTCACAAAGCGCTCGGTCTCCTTCTGGAACTTCGACTCGGCCACAAACTTCCCAAAGTGGATCCGCCGCGACAGCGCCTGCAAGCAACTCACATCGCAGGTCGCCGCAGACCCGTAGTTCTCCTGCGTCTCGCCGCGGTCCTCGCGCCCGTCGAACTGCGGGCAGATCGCGGGCAGGATGTCCTCGACGTACCGGGTCTTGATGGTCTCGTTGACGTTGACGTCGTTGTCGTGCAGGATCTTGGGGTAGTCGAGCGGTTGCAGGATGGGCTTTTCCAGCGCGCCCGGGAAGAAAGGGTACTCGTCGGGGGACTCGTAGCGGCGGACGCGCGACTGCAGGCGTTCGGTCTCGCGGAGGAGATACTCCATCAGGCTGACTTGCTCATTGGGGATCTTGACGCCGCCGCGGACGTAGATTGTTTTGTTGAGGGGGAATTGTACGCGCTCGATGAGGTGGAAGGTGATTGTGTCTTCTAGGCGGCTGTTTGTGGGATTGCATTGTTAGTGTTTGTGATGTTGTGTTGTTTGGAGGTTTGCGGGGTAGGAATTGCGACTGTCGCCGATATCGCTGGGCACTTACATGAGCTGGAAGCGGATGTTGGCGAGGTCTAGGGCCTTGGAGGCGTCGGAGAGGTCAATTGCTGTGTCCATTGTGGTTTGATCTGTGTCTGGAGTTGGACATGCAAGAGACAGGACTGGAGAGGAGAGGGGAGGAAGACTGATGGGGAGAAATTGCAGGAACTGAACTGCGGGGCGGAGTTGGGCCGGTCCAGGAACAACACTGCATTCTATTTCTTATGCTTGGCCAGAGAAAAACAATCTGCATTCGTGAATAAAGACATCTGTGAATTGAAACTGGCCACCCCAGCCATTCATTGTCTTCTAAGTTTCATCAGCTCATTTACTCCTAGTGATGATGACGCAGTCACTGTCATTCCACCACAGCCATAGACCCCGCGGTTGCGTATGATCCGAAGTATGCAGGGTTGAGCCAGTCAGGAAGAGGCCGGCGATTTCAGTCCAGGTCCAACCTAGCCAATTTTAATCGGTCTCACAGTCTCACTGCATCAATACGCCTCACCGACAGGGAATATGGCCGCCATGGGGCCTCAGCAGATACAGAATGATGACTTCGAAACCATTGGTGAGCGTCTCTCTGCCGGTGGTTATCGGACCTGAGAACCTTAAAGGTCAACTGCCTAGGTAGGCAGAGACTTCCGTGTTCGACCGCGATTCGCTCATAGTGCTGCGTAAGTCGTCTCACGGATCATCAGCAAACTGACATTTCATCATGCTGTTGCTCTTGAAGCTGCCATACGAGCTACTGCAGCTGATCTTGGAATACCAAGACTCTCGAAGCGACATCAACGCGCTCATTCGAACTTGCCGCTACCTGTACAACACTTTCAATGCTTACCTGTACCAGTATGACATGAAGCATCACCGCCGTTCGGCGTTGTTCTTCGCTGCTAATCGAGGAATCGCTGCCACGGCGGCACACTCATTGAGGGCAGGTCCATATACTGAGGTCTGGGACTGGTCCAACAACACCCTGATGATGGTAGCTGCGATAAACAATCACACAAGCGTCGTTAGCCAGATCCTCAAGGCTGCCGACATTGAGCTCGTTGTCGACCTAAGACGCTGGTATCGTATCCCTCTCTCGGATGCGGCCTGCCATGCTTCACTGAAAACAGTCAAGTTACTACTTGACCACGGGGCGAAGATTGAGCCACAAAACCCTGACTGGAGAAGCCCCCTAATACTAGCGGCAACAAATGGCCACTACGGTTCAGCGAAGGTGCTTCTCGAATGCGGGGCAGCTGTAGGAGCAAAAGACCGAAACGGCCGGACGGCGCTCGCCTGGGCGGCTGAGCAGGGGCGGCTGGATGTCGTTGACTTGCTGCTGGAATATGGAGCGGAAGTGGACTCTGCCACCGTCATCGACACAACACCGCTTGTTCTGGCTGCGAAGAACGGCCATGATGAGATAGTTGAGAGGTTGCTTGAGGTTGGAGCCGACCCGAACGTCAGAAGTTCCACCGGATGGACTTGCCTGCATTTTGCAGCGTCTCAGCGTCCCCATATATCGGTCATCAAACGGTTGTTGGAAGCAGGCAGTGATCCAACTGCCATAGTTTTTGGTAACTTCCGCACGGGCGCGACTCCTGCAGACCTTGCACATCCATCTGGGACGTCAACCGCGATCACGAAAGAGATATGGAAGCTGGAAGAGATATATAACCTGCTGAACGCTGCCCAGAGGAATGCTAGGCGAGTGTTATGACCAGGGCTATCTATTACAAGTTGTTGTCGTCAAACCGCAGTAGTCAGGACGCAATATCACCGGTATCACTGTATCGCGCGCAATGTATGATATGACTGAGACTGAGTTAGAAATTGGAAGAGGCGTGTGATAGTGCTTGTGAGCTGGTCATTCCCTTCAACCTTGGAAGAGCATCCCGAAGCATTGCCGAGCTTATGAACATTAAGCATCTTGAGAGCCCATCATGAACACCACAACTCAAACAGCTCGGTTAAATCGCATCACAATCATCTGCCCCTAGCATTGATTTATCGTAAATATAATCAGATAATAAACGAGAGAATCTGGTGGACGAGCTGGGGCCTGTGCGGTATGAAACGGCAAAATTTAAGGCCGCGGTAAACGTCGCGTGCACCAGAACTTCCTCTCCAGCGACCCAACTCCGAGCTCTGTTCTTGCAATCTTGTCCCAATCACATGAGGCTTTGGCTCTAGAGGACACTCTGGTCGGGCCATGGACAAGAACCGCCGCGATGACTCTCCCTCGGGTCTATCAGACATTGTTGAGCGTGACGGGCTCTTGGGAACCGGCATCACTGTATGTCCCCGCCCGCCACTGACGCGGTGTTGACTCCCGTACTAATTCCTATGCTTGGATAGTCTCGACACATCGAGGCCTTTGGGAGAAAAGTCTCAACAACTGCTGGGCACTTGATGGGACCTTCCGGCGACCCGAACTCAAGCACCCACTACCAAAACGCCATGGTCGACATCCACCGCGAGCTCCGACGGCCCGGTACACAGCGCAAAGTGTTCTCCCTCGCACAGACAACGCCGACCGACCTCGTCCGCTCCAAGCTATCGACCTCCGAAATCCAATCCCGCGCCATCTCATCCCTCCCCGACGAACTTCTTCTGAACATCCCCGACGACTCCAGCAGCTACTCTTTATTCGAAGGGTTTCAAGCTACGCAGAATGACCAGGAATATAGAAAAACACATCGACGGGGGAGATCGAAGGGGAAGAAGCTACTGAAGGACAAGGATGGCGGGCAGACGCCCGCTCCGTCTACCTCGGGCGAACTGAAGAAAGAGCGGGATCTGATGAACCGGCGGATGGAGTTGATGGGCGTCCGGAAGAACATGTGCAGCTCGGAGATTCTAGACATTGATAACAAGATCGCCAACTTTCATCGCATGCGCCAGATCGTTCTAGACCGGTTGGCCGGGTTAGAGATGGAGGAGGCGGAGCTTGAGCATGAGGGTGGGTACTTTTTGGGCCTCGGAGGATTCGGCTGACCAGTATAGTCAACGAGATCGACAGTAAAATAGAGGATATGGAGGAGCAAGAAGCTGCGCAAGCTGCGCAAACCGCACAGGCTGCCGCTACATCGGGCTCGGAGGCCAACGAAGAGCCTACGGAAGACCCGGCCATGGATGCATCGTTCATGTCGGAGTCAATATACCAGAAACTGCCTTCTCCGCGAAGCTTGAAACATCGATCACACCGTACGCGGCTACCGTATAGTTAATGTTCAATGCTAACGGAAACAGGGAAACGGTCTATGCCGGTTCTGCACGAGCATTTCGCGCCGGGCTCGGAGATCAAGGAATTCCAGGCACATACCGACGTCGTCACGGCTATTGACTTTGACTATCCGTTCGGAACCATGATCACGGCGGCGTTGGACGATACAGTTCGGGTTTGGGACCTCAATGTCGGCCGGTGTACCGGATTCTTGGAAGGACACAACGCCTCGGTTCGGTGCCTGCAGATTGAGGACAACATCGTTGCGACCGGTTCTATGGATGCGTCTGTGAAGCTTTGGGACTTGAGCCGCGCACGGACTGCGCACAGAGACAACCGGGTAAACAAGGAGGAAGACGACGACGCGGTATCGGTCGCTTACTCGACTAGCCTAGAGGACTGCCACGTCTACTCTTTAGACGCACATGTCGGAGAGGTCACGGCGCTCCACTTCAAGGGAAACACATTGGTCTCGGGATCTGCCGACAAGACGTTACGGCAGTGGGACTTGGAGAAGGGCCGCTGCGTTCAGACGCTTGACGTCCTCTGGGCGGCCGCACAAGCGTCATCGCTTGGAGCAGAATCGCAGTGGCGCCCGTCCGGGCGGATGCCGGATGCCTCTGCAGACTTTGTTGGGGCCGTGCAATGCTTCGACGCGGCGCTGGCTTGTGGTACGGCTGACGGCATGGTCCGACTGTGGGATTTGCGCAGCGGGCAGGTTCATAGAAGCCTTGTCGGCCATACTGGTCCTGTATCGTGTCTGCAGTTTGACGATGTGCACTTGGTGACGGGAAGTCTCGATCGCAGCATCAGGGTATGTCTCTACCTTCTTACCCACAACCAAGCTAACGGATTTAGATATGGGATCTCCGAATGGGATCGATCTACGACGCGTACGGCTACGATCAACCAATCACCAGCATGATGTTCGACACGAAGCGGATTGTGGCCGCCGCCGGAGAGAACGTTGTCAAGGTGTACGACAAGGCAGACGGCCACCACTGGGACTGCGGTGCAGGCGTCGGCGTCGACGAGGGAGAGCCCGGCCCTGCGACCGTTGAGCGTGTGCGAATCAAGGACGGATTTCTGATTGAAGGCCGCAGGGACGGCATCGTCGCGGCCTGGACTTGTTAGCCGCGCAGGCAAATCACGGACAGATACCACGTCCATGTTACTATTATACGCAGGCATTGTTTCGCATCTGTATATTACATTTATTCTTGGGTCGATAGAGGGAATGGGATGGCTGTTCGAGGACTCGTTCACTGAATCTGAAACTGAAACCAACAAAGGTCAATACAATCAAGGCTGTCTGAGTAAAAATAGACCAATCTTACTTACTATAGTAGTAACTGTAGTAGTAACTGTACTACCATGGATGGCGTTGAAAGAATGTCTCTCGACACTCGCTGTGGGAGCCTCGGCCACGCTTGTCCCGATTGGGCGGACGTGTTCCCCATAGTCACCTCCGTTTTCTCTCTACACACATCAACCAACAACACTTTCAACATTTATCCTCAGCATAAACGCGTCTTGGTCGCTGCGCGATAAGGCACTGGGTACGATACTGCTATTTTGGATCGCTACTGGATGCCTTCATGATTTGGCGCGTCAACTCGCGCTCGTGTTTCACTGTCAGTTAGAGGAAACCAGCAGCATCCTTGCAACAACGAAACGGATTATTCTGCGACGATCCAGTAAAACTGGTACTCTTTCTTCCAGCGCTTTTGTTCATACAAATAGCACAGACAAAGCGATCCGGGTGGCGGCTGCCTTGTCTGGGGAGGGCGCCCATTCATTCAACTCGAGTCCAGTGTTACTACTGCTTAATACTTGAATCTCCCCAGCCGAGTCCTTGCGCGATTCGTTTCTTGTTCTCTTCAAATTTCACTTTACATTACCTCCCTTACTCGATATCTGATCCACTGCTTCGAGAGCAGTTAATGACTGTTTCTACTGTATGTTATGCATGTTATACCTTTGCGACTGATGCGCTAACTGTAAAAGACATCTTAATCATCTCAATAACCATGCCGCCCAAAGCTACTGCCCGGCGGGCGAGGGCCGTGAAGTCGGCCTCCCCTGTTCCTGCCTCGCGCAAGGCCGGGGGCCCCAGTCCAAACCTCGGTCCCAGTTCAAACTTCGGTGGCGGCATGTTGCCAAATATCCCGGCAAAGGCATCGTTTGCGTACGGCTCTTCGGAATCTCCAATTCTCCCGTACATGCTGGATGCAAAGCCGGCGATGACTTTGGATGAAGTGGCCGAGCAGCTTAAAGAGTCTGTCGATGTCGCCAAAGAGCGCGAAAAGACGCCTCCATACGAGTCCCCGGCCATGGGGACGCGCGCGCGCAGGTCCGCCGAGAACTCACCGCGAAGGAACCTACGGCTGCCGACGCCGGACGAGATACAGCTGCTCAACTCGCTGGAGGAGGCTTCGTCGGCGTCTGCGACACCGTCGACCCCGACTCGGCATTCATTCTCTTCGGGCTCGAGCGTCATAGGCTTCACTCAGAAGCAACTTTACCCCGCCGCGATGGAGGCAACGCCGATCCAGGCGAAGATTCCGGTTGACGACAAGCTGTACGGGCTGGGCTTGGACAACATGTCGGTTATCTCTTATAACTTGGAGAGGGGGGTTCATGACGATGACCTCAAGCGGGCGCGCTCGAATATCACCGCGCCCCCTCGACGGATATCGGGACTCGACCTCAAACACAGCGCTATTGAAGAGGAGGACGAGGATTTCGCACGCACGCCGTCAGATTACGGACGCACCGCATCCGAGGCGTCATACGCCGCGGCAACCAAAACTCCCATCCGGAGACACATTCCGATCTCGGACAGCTCGACCGTTCAGTGGGAGAAAGCCACAAACGGGTGGATTCCGTTTCTTCTTCGATGCGCTGTCGCGGCAATGGTGTTGTTCGGGGTTTACTCGATGTGGACCAGCGGTTCTTCCGACGTAAAGCCTATCCGCTCCAACAACAGCGACCTGAACGCGCTGTCTAGCCAGGTGGTGCACCTAGGGGCACAGGTTTCTTCGCTATCAAAGGATATGAAGTCGGTTCAGGCAGATATCAGCAAAGCCCCTGCGGCGACGACCGTCTGGCAGTACCCGGGCAAAAAAAGCCCGGAGATCATCAAGACCAACTTTCTCACCATGGGCAACGGCATCATCGTGGATCCATGGCTGACAAGCCCTTCCGCCGCGCGCAAGCTAACATATCTCCAAACATTCTACTTTTGGCTCGCCGGCAACAAGCATATGAAAACGCAGCCACCGCTTACCGCCACGGCGCCGTGGAACGACTTTGGCGACTGCTGGTGCAGTGCGCCGAAGAAGGGAGTGACCCAGCTCGGTGTACTTCTGGGGCAACGGATTATCCCCGAAGACATTGTGGTCGAGCATCTGCCAAAGTTGGCGACCATCCGGCCCCAGGTGGCTCCGCAGGATGTTGAGGTGTGGGCGCGGTACCGATACGTCGGCAAAGGCCGTCCGTACCTGGAAACATGGCTTGCGTTCTTCCTGGGGTATCCCAAGAACATCGCCGGACAAGATTTCCTGCCGTCTGACCGGGCATTAGTCCGGCCACCTGTGATGGAGGCCCTTCGATCGGCGTGGCGGGGGGAGTCGGAGACGAAGTTTTCCAACGATAGGCAGCTTGGACCGGATTTCTACCGCATTGCCAAGTTCACGTATGACATCAACGGGGCGCACCACATCCAGAAGTTCGCGGTGAACGCGTATATTGACTCGCCTGATCTCCGCGTCGACAAGGTTGTTTTCCGGGTGAACTCGAATTGGGGCGGCAACGAGACTTGCATTTACCGTCTGAAGTTGCTTGGGAGGCTGTAATCACTGAGTTAGTTTTGGTGTCCTCTCCCAGGAGAGCTACCAGAGACCTACAAATCTCTTTATGATCGGATATACCTCGCTAGCCGAGCACGATCACAATCACGTCACTGGCATGTGTCGCCTCGCCCACGAGTATTGTCGCTCACGGGCACCGTCTCCGGCGTCAGTCGGCTTGCATGCACTACATTCAGATATAGGGGAAAGTTTGGAGAGGAGTTTGGCGTTGAGGATGATATCCCGTTGGGTTGGGTTGGTTTTGTTTCGTCTGGTCTTTTATTCCTCGTGTATATAGACTAGCATGCGTTGAGCACATGTATTGTTCTTTCTTTTCTGACTATCTTGACATAGTAACTGGTATTCTGGCCTAGCTCGCGTCAAACTCCGGATTCACCCACGACGGCATCGGCGCCTTCGCCCGCAACACAGCCCCATACCGCTGCAAGCCAGCGAACAGCAGCGTCCCAGGCACGAGCACAATCAGCGCTTGCGTCGTAAACGTCCACGTCCACCCGACGCTGTCCACCCACGGCGTGATGAAGAACTGCGGCCCGTTAGCGTGCCTTATGAGTGGAAGTGGAAGTGGAAGTGGAAGTGGAAGTGGAAGTGGAAGTGGAAGTGGAAGTGGAACTGGAACTGGAAGTGGAACTGGAACTGGAACTGGAACTGGAACTGGAGGAGACGCACCGGGTTAACAAACGCGCTGAGATTCAGGAATACCGCGTAGAAGATCACCACGCTGGTTGATTGCAGCGGGTAGCTGTCGATGATGTAGCTTGAGGTCACGGTGTTGCCGATTTGGATTCCGGCTGCGACTGCATATCACTCTTGTTAGTGATAGTCTTTGTTGAGGATGGATGGGATAGGATGGCAAGGGAGGGGAAGTAGGGATGCACATACACAGGAAAAACGCAACCTGCCCAACCACCCAGTGGTACGATCTCTCGACGCTGACGCCGAAGAGGACGAGGCCGACTTCCACGGCACGGCACCGTTAGCCACGTCCAGATTATCTCCAAGGGCTAAGTAGGTAGAAGTAAGGAAGACACACCAGCCGTAAGCCCGATCGCCGGATACGCGCCCCAAATCCTCATCTCGGCAACCCTTACGCCCCCATTGCGCCTCGCCAGCTTGGTAACCAGGACATCGCTGACAGACCCCGAAGCGAAGGCCTCGGAGAGCACCGTCCCCAGCAACAGGCCGACGAACAGCAGGCCTTGGATTAGCGGCGAATAACCCGGATATGCGGATGGGATCACGGTGATGATGGATAGCACCCACCAGTACCACAGGAAGGAGTAGCCGAGGACGGCGAGGGGGATGGTGGGGGTTTTGAAGAGGGCGAGGACGCGGAGGGGGACGGTGTAGATTGGTGTATAGGGGAGGGAGGGGAGGGGGCGGATGTTGAGGAAGGGGAGGGATTTGGTGCGGGGGATGTCGACTTTCTCTGGGGATGAGGGCGTTGAGGGGGGTTGTTCGATGTCAGCTGTGCTCGTGGTGGTGCTTGCGGCAGGCATCCTCTTCAGCATGGCCGCGCGCGGGTACAGCGTCTCGGGCATGAGGAATAGCTCGAACAGCAGGAGGGCGCCGAACAGGATCGCGTTGAACCAGTTGATCCAGGCGGCCGAGACGAGGTTGAGGAAGCCGCCGACTGTGCACCCGCCGCAGTCTGTCAGTATCGAACTCGGTAGGTATACTTAGGGTAGGTACACTTAGGGTTAGGGATAGGGACAGGCGAAGACATACAGATCGGCCCGACCAGCAAACCGGCATCAATGGCCAGCACCCAGAGCCCTAGTTTGCGGCCGCGCTCGTAGTCAAAGAACAGGTCGTTGACTGCAAAGGCAGATGACGGTTAGCTAGCCCTAACTTAGGTCTAACTCACACCCCCAGGGAAAAGTGCATACCAACAGCCATCCCCACACTACTCCCCGGACTGACCCCAAACCCCTGGAAGAACCGCGCAGCCATGTACCCGTCATAACTATGGGCAGCAGCAGCCCCAATCGTCGACGCGAGTGCAATCAGCGTGCCGACGATGAACACGATCCGGCGTCCGTAGATGTCGCTGAGCCCAGACCAGAAGAGCGGGCCGAGAGCGAGGCCCAGTGCTGGGATCGCGACGGTCCAGTTGACCTCGCTGTAGGAGATGGCGAATTGGGCTTGCAGGGCTGGGAAGGAGGGCACGGTTGTTGTTGTGAGGTAGGTGAAGAGGAAGTACCTGTGCTTGTTAGTATGGGTACCTATACTGGTAGCTAGGGCTTGGCTGGCTGGCTGGCTTGGCTGGGAGGGAGGTGGCGTACTTGAACATGACGATGCCCAGGATCGTGTGCTTCTGCAGCCGGGACCAGTTGAGCGGGTCGAGGGGGTCGGATGTTGGCTGGGGGTGTATGCTGTTCTGTTCGATGGCATTGGCATTGGCGTGCTTCTCCGGGATGGGGTCGGAGGCTGCCATTGCGGAGGGCTTTTCTTTGGCTGGGTCCATGGTTGGGCTGTTGGGTGCCCTGGTGCCGAGCTGGAGGGATGATATATGGACGAGGGCGCCATTGTATGATGGACGTGGTGGTGAAGCTGATAGAGAGATAGAAGGATCGAATGGGGATGAAGGGGGCTATCTCTTATCACAGCCTGGCAGAGGGAGGCTTGTTTCAGGAGTACAGGCTTGGATCAAGGTAAAGAAGCAATTATGGCATCGATAAGATTATTCATGGCTTGACACATAGTCCACTTCCATGTACTCCATACTCCATCGTGGTGGTCTGCTATAAATCAGGCGCTATCACCGAGTCGGAGTAGACTTAGCCCTACTTTCTCTATACCAGCACCATGCTCCCAACAATCCTCCTCCTCCTTCTCAGTCTCCTCAAAACCTCGACCGCAAAACTCCTCCTCGCAGTCTCTATCATTGCAATTGCCATCCTCCACGAGATGATCTCGATCCTCATTGACGACGACGCTCAAAAATCCCGCAGGGATATACCTCCATTGGTTGTTGTCCACCCTAGCCTGATTGGGGTATTAGATTGAGAAGCTGAGCGATAACGACTGGCATGATAAGCGTGCATGACGTGCATGACGGTAACACGAGGGGCAAGGGCTGGTCTGGACGCCGATGGCGGGGTTGAGTTGGAGTAACTGCAGTGCTGGGGTTGATCTACTGCAGGCTACTGCATCCTGTTGGACCGGGTCCACTTCACTTTGATCTGGATGCCCTAAAGGGAAGGTATTGGAAGTGGTGAGGGCTATGTGTGTATCTATGTACATGCCTAACGACTATGAGGACCTTGGCGAAGTATCTCAATATAATACCTTCTTTCTCTTCATCTCGTTCGTCTCCTGCTTCTGCTTCCATATCCTGCACCATGTACTCCTCCCTCTCAACAACCTCCCCACAGCCAGGCAGAAGCTCCGATGCCAACGAGTACACCTCCCTCCTCCCCAAGCCAACAGACGACAACCCCGTCCCCGACTTCCTCTCCCAAAACGACAACGACAACGACAACCACAATGACCGCAACGCAATCCTCGCCGAGTTCCTCCTCCTCCTCAAGTCCTCCATCCCCGTCATCCTCGCCTACACCCTGCAGAACTCCCTGCAGACCGTCTCCGTCCTGATAGTCGGCCGCATCTCGCCCGAGCACCTAGCCACCAGCGCATTCAGTCTCATGTTCGCCATGATCACAGCGTGGATGATCGCCCTCGGCGGCACAACGGCCCTGGACACATTGGCCAGCTCCTCCTTCACAGGCTCCGACAAGAAGAACCTCGGCATCCTGCTCCAGCGCGGCTTCTTCGTGCTCGGGCTCTTCTACGTCCCCGTCGCAGTCCTCTGGGTCTTCTCCGAGAAGATCTTCCTCCTCCTCGGCCAGGACGAGTCTCTCGCACGGGATAGCGCCCGCTTCCTAACGGCCCTGGTCCCAGGTGGTCTGGGGTACGTGTACTTCGAGCTGATGAAGAAGTTCCTGCAGGCCCAAGGTCCCCCTCCTCCCCTTCAACTGCAACCGCCATACTAACGGTACACAGGCATAATGCGACCAGGAACCTACGTCCTCCTCCTCACATCCCCCCTCAACGCCCTCCTCACCTACACATTCGCCCACAAGCTAAACCTCGACCTCCTCGCCGCCCCCCTCGCCCTCTCCATCTCCTACTGGCTCTCCTTCGCCCTCCTAACCCTCTACGCAGCCTTCGTCGCCGGCTCCGAATGCTGGGCCGGGTGGAGCCCCGAAGCCCTGTCCAACCTACGCACCTTCTCCCGCCTCGCCCTCCTCGGCGTCATCCACGTGGGCACGGAATGGTGGGCGTTTGAAATCGTCGCCCTCGCCGCCGGACGCCTAGGCACAATCCCCCTCGCCGCACAGAGCGTCATCATGACAGCCGACCAGGTCCTCAACACGATCCCGTTCGGCGTGGGCGTTGCAACAAGCGCGAGAGTCGGGAATCTCCTGGGCTCCAGGAATGCAGCCGGTGCAAAGCGGGCCGCGAACGTCGCGGCGTGGCTGAGCATGCTTCTTGGCCTGGCCGTGCTGGTGCTGCTACTGGCGAGCAGGGCGCATTTCGGGCTGCTGTTCAACAGTGACACCCGCGTTGTGGGTCTCACGGCGGAGGTTCTGCCGTTCGTCGCGCTGTTCCAGATCGCTGACGGGCTGAATGGGAGTTGTGGCGGGGCGTTGAGGGGCATGGGGAGGCAGCATGTTGGTGCGGTGGTGAATGTGGTTAGTTACTATTGTGGTGCGCTGCCGCTTGGTGTGTATCTTGCGTTTCATGGGTGGGGGCTTAAGGGGCTTTGGGTTGGGCAGTGTGTGGCGCTTTATCTTGTTGGGGCGATTGAGTGGGCGGTTGTCAGTGCGAGTGAGTGGGAGGGGGAGGTGAGGAGGGCTTTTGGGAGGATGGAGGGGGGGAAACAACTGGAGGGGGATGAGGGAGAGGGGAGGGGCTGATACTGGTGTTGGTGCTGGTGCAGGCAGTGTAGGTGAGGGTTAGTGGTGCCACGATGGTATATGGAGGATGCAGTGCAGATGCAGGCAGATAGCAAAGTCGGCGTTTGGACAAGATCAAGAGAGATGTCATCATGAATGCTATCAGACCATTTGCTATGCACAGTGCATATTTCTCCGAGGACACGGACTGTGGGCTGTAGCGATGAGATGCAGAACCCTAACTCCATGAATGAAGAAAACACCGTCGATCCACAGACCCCAGTCTAGGTGATAAGCAGTACCCAGACAAATGCATCATGTCACCGATAAGCAGCTGCCTCACCATTAGCCTGGCCAAGCTCTGGGGATCGTCTCTTCCCCACTGAGGGTCTCTCCCGGCCTTCCTCTTTGGGACACTCATACATACTCCAACTGCCCCGTGTCTGCATTGAGCCACTATGAGGTAGCTACACCTCCGCGGGTTACACATGGCTTATCAGTATGGGAGCTTATCATGATGGCCATATTTCTCCTCCCTTTGGTCTTTTTGGGAAGGCCGGGCGAGAAGATGCAGTCTTATCATGAATCAAAGGTCCAGCCACAAACTCAGAATATTGTCTTGATCGAGAAGGTCGGGGGAGAAAGCCCTCCCTCTTACATGCCGACATGGACATGCCACCTGCTGTCGATGAAATCATCCATCTCCATGTCCGAGCTCCCGATCTCGGCTGCATGCAGAGCTGATGTAGACTAAGAGCATACATAAAGACCCCTCCCTCCCCTCACTCATCTCTCGCCCACCATCTCCTCTCATACACCCACAATGATCCTCCCCGCAAGCCTGCTCGCCCTCTCCCTCTCAGCCGTGGCCTCCGCCCACGACAACCACCAGACGCCCCTGACCGGCCCCCTCCAGAAGCTCTGGTACAACACTCTGCCCGGCGACGGCGGCACCCAGGTCCGTCCCTTCCCCTGCCCCCAAGCAAGACCCTAACCCTTCCGTGCAATGCCAGGCAGACTCCGTCTTCTCCGGCATCTCGACCTTCGGCCGCCTGCCGTACTTCCCGTGCCTCGCGAGCGACGAAGAGAAGTTCGATATCGCGTTCATCGGCGCGCCGTTTGACACGGGGACTTCGTATCGACCCGGTGCGAGGTTCGGGCCCAGTGGGATTCGGCAGGGGAGTCGGCGGTTGAATCTTTAGTATGTTGCCTTCACTGCTGATGATAGAAAGGCGTGGTTGGTTAGGGCAAGGCTAACCCGTGCAGCGGCGGCTACAACGTCCCCCTGCAAGCGAACCCCTTCAGCAACGAGCTGAAGGTGCTGGACTGTGGTGATATTCCTGTGACCTCGTATGTMCCACCCACTGCAGTACGGTATACCCTGGGTAGTATTAATGTGAGTGCAGGTACGACAACGCCTGGGCCATCCGGCAGATCGAAGAAGGCCACAACAGCCTCCTCATGCGCAAGCCCTACACCTCCGCGAACGAATACGGCCTCTCGCGCGCCGGCAAGACCCTCCCCCGTATCATCACCCTCGGCGGCGACCACACCATCACCCTGCCCCTGCTGCGCAGCATCAACAAGGCATACGGCCCTGTAACGGTCATCCACTTCGACTCGCACCTGTAAGCCCCCCATCCCACCCCCAACAACCCTCTAACGTGTACAACCCCCTAACATGTACGCAGCGACACCTGGAAACCCAAAGTCTTCGGCGGATCCCCCAGCGAAACCGCCTCCATAAACCACGGCACGTACTTCTACCACGCAGCCATGGAAGGCCTGCTAAAAAACGACACGAACATCCACGCGGGAATCCGCACGACGCTGTCCGGGCCCTCGGACTACGAAAACGACGGGTACGTGGGGTTCGAGATCGTGGAGGCGCGCGAAATCGACACGATCGGGACCGCCGGCATCATCCGCAAGATCCGCGAGCGCGTCGGCAGCGACCCCACCGCGCCGATCTACCTGTCCATCGACATCGACACCATCGACCCGGCGTTTGCGCCGGCCACGGGCACGCCGGAGACGGGCGGGTGGAGTACGCGTGAGCTCCGCACGCTGGTTCGGGGGCTCGACGGCCTGAATCTCGTTGGGGCGGATATTGTGGAGGTTGCGCCGGCGTATGATACGAATGCGGAGCTGACGACTATGGCGGCGGCGGATGTGCTGTATGAGGTTTTGACGATTATGGTTAAGAGGGGGGCGTTGACGGTTGAGGGGCGGGGGGACTTGTAGGCTGTAGGGGTGGGATTGGGGTTGATTAGTAGCCCTGGGCTTGGGCTTGGGCTCGGGCTTAGGGTTATCCTCCGGATATGGATGTTGGTGGTTTGATGGGATGAGGTGAATACCATATGCAACGAGGACTTGCAATGAAGCATGTTCTGTTCAGTGCTGTCTGTCCATATATCAACATCCACGCAGGAAATGTTCTATGCAACATCTTACTGAACTCCACGGGATCTACCTAGAGCAGGCAGCCTCCCAGGACAAAAGGATTTTAGATGGGTAAGAACTACTCAAAGAGTCCAACATACCAAGTATTCTTTTGTACGCAAACGGACCCCATAAAGACCCCTCTGGCTCATACCTGGCCTGTCAAACTACGGTACTGCTTAAATGAGAGATTCAAGACTAATGGCAATGGTCTGTCTTTGATCTTTATACTCCACAAAGCCAACTGGTATCTACCCCGTTAAAGCATGCCAACTTCCAATGGTAAGGTCAGATGGAGACATATGGGATATCTATATTCTCTAGGGGCAGAGGCCCTAACAAGCCCCTAGCCCTAAGCAATCGCTAGCAAAGGAAGCGATAGCCTTAAAAGAATATTCTTTTCGTCTCTCTTGTTCTTTTTTGTTGTTTTTTCCTAGGCAAGATAACCTTCTACTTTCTACGGGTCTTTGAGTCATGAATGAGTAAGGCACCAAACACTACTGGTGTAAGAAATAGCTATGTTGGAAAATTGGGTATATTGTATTCCATAGAACGCCAGTTAGGGCTTGGGTGAATGCTTTCATGAACAAGGGAATGCCGGTGCGTTTGCATCCACCAAAGCAATCCAACCCTCCCCAACAGAATCCAAGCGTAGCGGAAGCTGACTTCCGAAAGGAAAGGCCACGGTCGGGGTAGACCTAGGGTGTGTCGCATGACAGCCAGCCCAATGGCACCACGCGAGGCTCTACTCACTTGATAAGTTGACTTCCAGTCCAGGCAGTGGCACATCGGGCCCTCCCGCCAACCAACCCCAGCCACTACGGTACCGCAAAGCGCCCGATCGCTGAGCACACCGTGACAAATTCTTACGCCCCTGCAGGAAATCCCCCCAGGTCCATCATCTCCACCAATGATCTCCGTCCCAGCAGGCAGGGGAATCAAACTTCATCTAAATCCTCCCGCGGCTTCCCGCTATCCTGCGCCTTTCGTTTACTTTTAGTTTAGGGCGTGCAGAACGGTAACTCCTAGCGAGATCAGCGAACAGTAACAGTGAGTTTAACAGCTGAGCGTTATTCATGGCTTGGTCATCTTGGGGTCCGCCCCCCCTGGTGGGAGGTCTACGGCGGTTAGGGCTTGGACGGTGCGATTTGCACCAATTGGAGGCCTGGACTGCGCGCCAAGACGTTAGGGCGTGTGGTAAGGATGTATAAGCCTGCTAGACGGCAAGATGGATACGACGACGGGTCTGCAGGTCTCAGTTTGTCTGCTCTATGTAGTATGGGCTAACTACACTACGGTGGACTATGAGCCGTGTGGGAAAAGGTATAAAGGCGCCCTCATCCCATCCCATCCCGTCCCATCCCTTCAAACCACCACCACCACCACCACCAACAAGGCAACAAACCCACCCATCTCATACCCAAGCCATCAAAATGAAGCTCTCCCTCCCCTCCCTCCTCGCCTTCACGCCGCTCCTAGGCCTAGCCACCGCCGCCGACTGCTCCGCCCCAAACCAACAAGTCTTCTCCCAGGCCGCCGTCGAAATGATGTGGTCGATCCGCGCCTGGATCTGCCCGAATGCCTGGAACTCCTGGACGATCGCGTACCCGGACGGCGCGTGGTGCGATGCCGGCGGCGGCATCGTGAGCGCGTTCTACGGGTCCTGGGAGATCCGGGGCATGCAGAGCGAGCAGCAGTGCTGGGTGCGTTTCCTTGTTTTCCCTCTCCTTTTCTAGCGGTTTTGGTTTGGTTGGTTGAATGAGAGGAGTGCTGGTGCTGATGAAGACGGTGTAGGACATCACGGAGGAAATCATCAACCAGTGCATGTGGTATGACTTTGCGAGCACGAGCTACAACGGGGGCACGTGGTCGTACGGCGATATCTGGGCCGGGGGTTGGTTCTGGGCTGATAACTCGCGGTCCTGTGTGCATCCTGTTAAGAGGGATGCGTTGCCTGCTGCGGAGCCTGCTGCTGCCCCTGCTGAGGGTAATGGGACGCTTGCGGATGGGTCGGCTCAGGTTGGGAGTCGGGTTTGGCTGGACTTTAGTTCTGGGGAGGCGGTTGTTGTGAGGAAGGAGGAGTTTTGATCTCGGTTGGGGTGGTGCCCTCTGGATGCTCGGGATGGCGGGGATGCGTTTAGAGACGGAGATGTGCTGCTTGTTTTGAGGAATAGAGTTGGTCTGATCCTGTTTGCGTTGAGGATTGCTCGGGCACGAAAGTTATATATCTAATGAATTGGTTTGGTTTATGGTCTTGAAGCAAGGACGTTGGCTACAGTATCCCTTGTGCATGTATGTTCATCGATCGTCTTGGAGTAGATGCGCGGTACGATGCAAGAACCCGTCTGAGACTGGAAAGGACCGGCTCGAGATAACCGTAAGATACGCAGATGCTCATGAATGTATTAAAGCAAAGCGTCTGCCAGGGCAATACGGAGTCCAAGGTGAGACCCAGATAATTCAAATATCCGTCGACTGCGGATCCATGCCCATAAACACCTTATATAGACGGCGACTCGCCGCAGGACCGATACGCGAATCAGTCAAAGCGCCGTTTTTGTTTGCGGATTTCTATAAATCAGGATCAGTTCTCACTATCATACTTGCTGAATCAGAGGAGACAACGTACTTTGACATCCTCCAACATCCCCGGCCCAGACCTCCGCATCCCTCTAACCAAGTCGACAACACTCGGATAATGATTGACCACACCGTAAGCCATCGACGCCGTAACGCGGCTGGTCTCCTGGAGCATGCGGATGTAGGCATCGGATGCGTTTTCTCCAGGCTTGACCTGCCCGTTGTCCATGCAAAAGGCGGAGTCGTTGCCGTTCATGCGTTCGCGGCGGTACGGCACGGTCGAGACATGCTCGGTGAAGATCTTGATCCACTCGGCGGATTCAGGCGGTGCCGCGGTTTGGTGGATGAGACAGCTGTGCGTGACTTGTAGGTTGAGGAGGGCGTCTTCGATGGTGTCGTCGTCGATGGGCGCCGTTTCGGGCTTGTTCGTTTTCTTGCGGCGGGATGTGGATGGTGCTGGCTGTGAGCCCTGGACTTCGTCGAGGTTGCGGCGGAATTCGACTTGGTAGGCGCGATTTCGCGAGTTGGCGTTCTTGCGCATCCATGCTGTGAGGCCTTCAATGAGGTAGATTACTGCACAGCGAGGATAGGCGCGTTTCAAGCGCAGGATATGCAGTTCCAGCTCGCTAGGGGCGTGGGGGGTATCGGAGTCAAGAGACGATGTGACCATGTCGACGAACTCCTGCGCGGTCACGAGGCAGAGGACGTGCTCCTCCTCGCGGATGTGCAGTTCGCACGGTTCCCAATACCCAAGAGACCGGTTGTACGTGGCTTTCATCTTCCGCCGCCACTTGACAATGTTCGGGATCGAGCTGTCGAAGAAGGTCTGTTCCACCCCTAGAATCCGCATGTATTCGACCGCCTGGTTGCCGACGCTGGTTTCTTTCAACGACGACGCAAGGTCGAGAATCATCTCGGGCGTGGAATCCTTCTTCTCAACCTTGAGCCGATTGACCTGCGCTATGTCGGCTGCGAGCTGTTTGTCTTTCGCCTTTTCTTCCTTCTGCTTCTGCTTTCGCTCCTTCTCCAGCTGCTTCTCGCGGTCACGCTCCGCTTTGGCCGCCTCTCGTTCCCTCGCTTTCGCCTCTTTATCCGCACTGGTTTGCTTTGAAGTGGCCTTTTTCGGTTTGCGAGTTGCACGAGCCTCGGGGAGCTCATCGAGATCCTCGTCAATATCTTCGATCCGGCTCGCTTTCTTTTTGCGTGAGGCGGTGGTAGAAGTGTCACTCTTCGAACGGTTCAAACTTGCCAGTAGGCTGGCCGTTCTGCCGGAGAACTCAGACCGTAGCGAAGGCGCCTTGAATGGGGTCTCTTGGAAATCGAAGAGGTCGCCTGGATCCGGCAGACCAAAGGGGTCGCTAAAGTCTTCTATATTATCTTTCGAAGGTTTGCGCGCTTCCTTGCCGTCATTTCGAAAAGCACCACCGTTGCTAAAATCATCGTCGATAACTGCCGTCGTAGCTCGCTCTTTGTTCTTCGGAGACGGACTTCGGCGACTCAGCTCGGGAGCGGACGATGTAAACACGATCGGGTCGGAGTCAAGAACGAAGGCTGGCGTTTTCGATTGCGCATTTGACGGTCCGCTCGTAGGCTCGATCTCGTCGGAGAAGAGGAGAAGGGGATCTTGGTTCCATGAGGGCAATGTATTTCCGCTATTAGCAGATGGATTTGAGGCTCTGCCAGTTTCCGGAGTCAGACGCCTCTTTTTGACGGGCTTGCCAGCGTCAAGGTCGTCGTCGTAGTTGAATTGCGCAAAGTCAATGTCGTCGGAGAAGGGGAACGAGGATAGATCGGCGGCTGCGGGCGGACTGGAATGGAATCTTCGGATGGAGGAGGCCTCGCGACGGCCGGCTGGGGGAGGAGGGGTGGAGGAGAGGAGACTGATGACTTCTGGCGGCATGTTGCGGACTTCTTCAAGGTGGGTGGGAGAGCAACACTGAGTCCTCAGGGTGGGCAATTCACGTGGCGCGTCTCGCGTCATGGTCACGCAGTCACGTGAACAAGTTGGCATGGTTTCCACTTTTTAGGATTACTCTGTAATGGTTGTTATGTTGATTGGCTGGCGCCTCTGACGAACGAGTAAACTCCGAACCGACACTAACAATCTCTCGCGCGGAATCATGGTTGGATTGGGGCAATTATTGATCTAATTATTGCCTTGAACCCTTGGTGGTGCTGCGCATTTTACACATACGGTACATTAAGCTCAAATGCTTGGACTTTCTGTTTACTTACCTTTTCCAGGATGACCGGTGTCAGACAGTAAAGTCCACGCTCTATCAACTGGAAAAAGAGATATTCAACTGCAATCATTATTCTTTAAGGTCATTTACGGGGCTGACCTTCCAGTGACTTGCGTCGTTTGAACCAAGGATGAATTTCGGGGCTGGCCTTGTCAAGCCTTCTGGACCTCTTGCTCTCAAAATGCTAGCACGTTGAAGTCTGGGATTGCCTTGAAAACATGCGACCCCGGGGATAGCAAGGAAGCAGCATCCCTCTGTGGAGAGAGCAAAAAGATAGATATGGATCAAGCCCATGGTGGGCGGCAATTCATCTACCGTGCGTCAGTGGCATAACATACTGCCCGCACTGCTGCTTCCCAAAAATCAAGGTACTATCAATCCAGGCCATAGTGAATTATACGCTGAATTTTCCCCTGAAGTGCGATGGCTATCTACCAGACAGGACATGTGTCTTCAAAGGACATGGTTCTCACGGCGCGAGGCCTGAGCGAACTCGCATACCAGAAATTTGGCAAAACGTGCTAAAGAGAGCCAAAAGCTAGCGTGAGAATCTGCTTTCAGCTTGACAAATCATGATGACGTCCATGCTCGGAATACAGATGCTCAGGGTAAGCTCTTGAAGAGATCTCCGGAGAACCGACTCCAAGACCATTCCGCAATGAACTGTCGGGGAGACATTCTGCAACCTGTATACAGCCATCATGGCAGCGTCTTGCATGCGAAACTAGCATGCTTTCAGCCCGTGCCCAATCATCGACACCACTAAACGATACGCCATCGTTTGTGGACGAGACTTTGATGGTGCATACCCTGAACAGATGCTTCTAGCAGATACGTACAATCAATCGTTTGAGCTCGTCAGGATTACCTAGCCATCCGACGCCATTCTGCGCTCCGCTATAGGGGTGGAACATAAACCAGAGGCATTCCCGTTGGCCGATTTAGGCAAGACAATAACGTTCAACTGTTTACAAGAGGATTATACTTTCTATCCCGCCTTGCCTCTCCAGAGTTCGGCAAAAGTACGATCGTTTGTCATTCCTGATCTACTTCGCCCGCAGAGGTTAAAGTAGTCCAAATTGCAAGATGTCTAGTCATTGGCCGCTGGCAGCGCTTGCAGCGGAGGGATCAGAGGAAGTTCCCTACTCTTCAGGACAAGGATTAAAGTGCAGCGATCGATTTGCTAGGAGGCGTTATAGGGCCATCTACGCTGAATGGAGATAGTCTTGGCTCTACACTAATGCCATTGATGCTATGCCCTCTTTCAGATGCCATGCCTGTTTTAGCACAATAGTTAGACGCAAATGGACGGTTGAATAAGGCTTTACATTAGCCCACGCCCGTCTTCTCCTCCAACGACTCGTATCAATCCCTCCAATGGAGCAATGTGCGCATTATTCCGCGGGTTGTGGTGTTTTGTGGTGATCGAGCTCGGGGTTGGCCCCGGCGCATCAGGGCGTCTTCCGACTGCCTAGTCAAGGGTAAACCATAGTGGTGCTCTGATGAAGTCTGAACGTTGAAGGGACAATGTCCATTGCGATGCGTTGCTGCGGGCAGTTCTTGGCGCTCGTATGGTTGTCTTTTCTGCGGTGTCTCAGTCCCTGCGTCTTGGTTTCGCGACTTCAAACGGAGGACCTTTTGCTTCCGTGGTCCAACACTTCGAGATTATCTACCCTAGATGAATGACCAGAGAGGTATTGCCGGGAATTGCGTCAAACCAAGAGCTTGCAGTCATGTTCGGCCTGAGCAGCCTAAAGAGCCGTCCTGCGAGAAGGCACACAGTTGGGAGCCTTTGAACCTTCAACCAGACCAGACCACGGATTAGACCCCTGATCCCTGACACTGACGCACTGACGCACTCACAGGTTCCGGCCACATCGCCTATCGCGGGGCAGTCATCTCTCTCATCCATCAGCAACGCCAACCGACCCTCTCCCACCGTCCTGCTCCTGCCCTTCTGCCACTCGAGCCGTCCTCTGTCTGATCCCAACTCGCCACCAACCGTTGCATCACCATCCCAGCCGCCTAAGCCAGTTTAGCTTTCGAGGCGACGATACCTGGTCTCCACGTTTGGGCAGCTCTTCCCAGAAGCAGAGAGACGCTGCATATTCTCCTCCGCGGACGAACCTGTCGCTGTCTCCAGTCTCCTCCAGTCCCGATCCTGCTCCTACCTTAACCGCCTCGCTATGTCTCGTCGTCTCGCCCTCGCCTTAGTCAACAACCTCGTTTTCATTCGGCATCATTCGACCGGGATCCCGTAGATAACTCTCTGCTGAAGGATGGTTCTCAGGGGCGACGAGAGAGCGTCAGGGCTGGGGAGACGCGGACATTTGTGAGCGTACAGCTGGACTGGTTGCTTGTTCCCATGCCTGCGCAGGCATAGTGAAGTTCTCTCCACATAGGTACCATGGACTCGTCTTTGGGGCTGTCAATTTCGCAGTCGGAGATACTTCGCTCTGGCGCTATTGCGGCTGTACCTGAACTCTCTTCAAACTCTTCCTCTTTCTACGACTCTTCGTTGTCCTGGTTGTTGCCAGGGGTATTTTGCAAGAGATACTCTACAGATCGCTACAAATCCTTATAGTGGGGATAGATCAACGTCGCCGGAAACACCCGCAGCTTCTATGGAGCTGCGCCGATACAAAGGAATATATCTTCGGCCCGATCGATCACTTACCCTGTCTTTGTGAGTTTCAAAACACCCCCAACTCAATTCACATCACACCAGAAATGCCCCTCGTTATCATATATAGCCTCTGACAACCCCAATGCGCTGAAAAAAGCTCGCTTCATAGAATCGCATCCACCCCGAACGAAGCATGATGATATCGACTCTCGCTCGCAAAATTGACGCCGAGCTGCCCGGAGCGGCCATCTCAATGCCTCGCATCAACTTTGATTCGCCAATTCGCCCTGCCGCAGACTTGCCTGGATGTTCTTAGTCCCACGCCCAGGCTTGCGCCGCCGAACCTTCCAACTCTTGAGACTCGACAGAGACAAATAAAAAAAATGAGACGGAAAGGTTCGCGCTGACGCTTGTCCCTGCTCCTTCGTTTGTCGCGAACCCTGTCTCGTGTTCCAGGTACAAAAATGATTTCTCTTTGGAGGTCACCAGGCTTGCGCCGCCGAACCTTCGAACTCTTGAGACTCGTCAAGAACGAATAAGAAAATGGGATGGAAAGTCTTTCGCGCTGACGCACGTCCCTGCCCCTCCGTTCGTCGCGATCCCTGCCTCGTGTCCAAAGAGATACAAAGATGAAAAGATGATTTCTCTTTTGGAAATCATGATTGCGACGCCTCATGGCGCTATTGTCGTCTGAATCGTAGCGACCACTTTGAATTGACAAGTACCCTGGTACAATGGTAGTGTGGCGAGTGGTGGCCAGAGAAACAGGGACGGTCAGGCGATGGCGATCAACAAAGACACGTGGAAGTCTGGCTCGCAGCCACGGGGGGTCAATGGGTATCGAAACGAGAGGTTGGAGGCCGCTTGCATGTGGGAGAAAACAGTCGGAGACAACTCTTCGAATGCCTCGTCGTCTCTCTCGGACTCGGTCTGCGCACTTGAAGTCGATATCGCCATTACCTCGGTCGATTCGAGGCGGCCATGTTATGGTTCTTCAAACTCTCTTATCGATCATCTGTCACCAGTGACCACACTAACGACATTCCTATTCCCAAATCCCAATGGTTTTATCAAGCAGATCTAGACTCTTGCCACGAGCGTCGATGGCTTTGGTACGATTGATCCCCGGTATCCAATGGCCGAGAGTTCCGTCGGCGCAGCCACACGAACAGGTCGTAGGTGGGTGTGAACACGGCACTTGCAAGAACGGCATGAAAGCGACCGATCTTGTCAAAAGATGAAGCCTGCCTGAAAGACGAAGAAGGTGGGAGTCTGAAGTCATATAATGGGTCAGAATTCCGTCCCTTCGATGAGGTTACTAGGGCATTCTGCTTCTGAGATCATTCTCTCTTCTCGATACGACCCCGTCTTCAGATACCGTCCTCTCTCCCGATACCACTCCGTTTTCTGATACCATTCTCTTCTCCGATATCGATTCAAAATGGATACCGGTACCGATACCAAGCGGAGCGGTGCTCTTCCAGCTGGTAAGTTACTCCTTGATATGACGTGCACGATAAGTTTTGGTGTGTGGCTGTTTAAAGTCACGTGGTCCGCAGCCAATGGCAGGCTGCTGGGCACAAGTTCACGTGCGTTTGTCCCACCTCACGCCAAAACTTATGGTGCACGTTTTCCTACTATATATGTGCATAGCTAACCTCAAATATAGCTGATGTTGCTCGGGTCTTTGACAACGCGCGTATCCCCCATGTCCTCTTTGGATGGTGGGCTGTTGCCTGCCATGGCAAGTACCATGCATTTCCGGTGAGTTTCACCCGACAAGCCGCCGACACAAAAGGAAGCTAACACTGTGTCCAGGAAATCGACTTTGTTCTCCCCGACGACAAAATCGAGGCTGCCGCTAATGCTCTCGCCGCCACTGGGCATTTCCACCGCTGCACGGATCTCGACTGCGTTGAGTGGACGGCGGACCGGCGGCCCCGCGATTACTTTCAAGCACCTCGCCACCAGCCATTGCCTATAACTATGCTGGGAGCGCAAATGGCGATGAACAACTGGCATGCAATTGCTCGAGAGCATCTTCATATTGGGCCCGGATACGACTTCTTCAAAGTCATTTCACTATATGCCAAGTCTCACCTGCTCTGGTCATTTCCAGAGATAACGCTGGACCCCATTGCGAGCGACGACCGCACCTACATGTTCACGGACGATGTGCGACTTCCGCCACCTCGAAGAGAAGGCGAAGACGGAAGTACTGGCCCCTGGGACGGTCTCTATCCAGTTAAAATTCCGACTTACGCTGCTCTTATTGAGGCATTGCTCTTACTGTATTGCCGAGATCTCGGATCCCTCGAGCACACTGACCAGGCGTGGGCGTCCATGACCAATGAAGCTCTAGGCAAAATCTTGATTCCCGGTACTCTGAACTTGAATGAGCGGATATCTGAGCTCAGAAGGAATATCGATCCTCGCTGGGTGCCCATCCTGGATAGCTCTCATTTCAACACCGGACCTCTCACAAAGGGCCTCCTCGCCCCTATCCATAACTACCGAGCGGTTCTGCTGGCGAGCAATGAGCTTCCGGATATCCCACCTCATGACTTGGACGGTTACCACATGTAAGGTCTCTCCATGGTGTTTACGAGATCTCGTTGCTCCCGAGCGATTGTCGTGGAAAACAGCTTACAGGCCGGCAAGGGTTGCCATGTCTTGTCACTGTCCCAACATCAGCATGTGTTCTGCCTTTGCCGGTTTGTTGGAAATCTTCTATTTTCTGTCTCTCTCATATGTTTGGCTTCAAATTCGCCTTGCAGCCAACAGTCATATTATTGTCGTTCATTCTGCTGCTGTCGGCCACCTCTCTGCACTCTTTTCGCCTCTTATCCGTTGGGCCTGGATTTTCGGTCTTCGGGAAAGCTACCACCCTCGTTTACTTCTCTGTTGCATGTTCTTTTGCTGCGTTCTTCCCTTCTCTCGTTTGACCTATCGTTCAGCTTGCAGCTGCAGCTTCATCCGTTGATTTTCTGCTGCCCCCGCCCTTCCTAATCACGCCAAAACAACCCAAAGTAAAATCAATATAGCAATAGATTCAGGGAACTGTTTAACTTGTACGTGGTGTGTCTTCATTTGTTGTGGTTTGCTTTGATTTGCTGTTTTAGCTTCACCAATCGGTTCTTCCGCTTTGTTGATATATGCCATTGAACAAACCTGACCCGCAGGACCGTGAAAGAGACCATGAAAGAGAGTCCTCTGTGGCTTTTGTAAGAAAGCTTCCCAGCAAGAAGGCCACGCAGGAAAGTATAGGATGCTGGGGTTAAATATCGTCCATCGCCCACTTTTCGTTCTTCTCTTTTCTTCGCTCGTCCGTCTTTTCCATCCATCAGCTTCTCATATTTCCTTCCATCCCCTCATCTACCTCCTCATCATTGACCTTCTTCACCGTTCCAAGACTCTATAATGGCATCTTTCGAACCCGTGTCGCCGTCAACCTCACCGTCTGATTGGAGATGGCTAGCTATGGAATCCGACGCGATAAAACTTCTACGCAAGATTTGGGAGTGCCACCCGGCACAGAATCCAATTATTTCCATAACCGGGGAATACGCCTTCTTCAACCATGTCAGATCAGCGCAGTATCCGAAGGTTCGTGGCTCATCAGCTTCTTGGTTTAGGTATGCGGGCTCGACTAACAGTTGCATCACATAGACTCTGGAGGTTTGCGTATACGAACCTACACACGACCGGGTGACAGCACGGTCGAGTTTGGACCAGTGTCTAAAAGCTCTGAAGAAGCACAATGCGGTAGGGGATGACGGCCGAAGAATAGTGGAATATTACGAGAAAGAAGGGTTTCAACACTGCACGGTTCAACTTGTGCTAAGCTTGGCCAGCGACGTAAGTAGCAACCCGGTCCTTGCACATGTGTGTGCCGACGTTGATGAACCATCCAGCTGCCATCCACACCGAGCATTGGGTGTTCCGCATTTTTGGACCGCAACCCAGACCTTCCATACGTTATGGAAGAAGATCTACTTGTATACATCATGAAAAAAGTAGCCGGGAGGCAGTTGGAGGACCGGGATCTTTGCAAACAAGAGGCTGGGCAGGCCTACCAACTTGCCGAGGCCATAAAAACGAAAAACCGTCGCGGCGTCGAAACGAATCCCCCGATCTACCTCAATCTCGAACAATACCAGGTCTTTGATTCAGCGGTGGGGACTTTTGCCAAATATGCTATCAAAGATGAACCTTGGTGGAGGCGAGCCATAGGGGCCAAAGTTGCTCTCGTCGCTGGCGCCGATACTGTGAATGGGCATGCCATGGTCGAGCACCTTATCCGCACGCCGGAGAGCGACTGGTTAGTTCACAGCCTCCGTCCATCTAGCTGAGCTTTTCTGACTTCAAATAGGGGGAAGATAATAATCACGGCGAGGCAGCCCCTTCGGGCTTATTGGCCTGACCCAAGGATCGAGTTTGTGACTCTAGACCTCCGCCAGTCGCCCGATGATCTAGCCTCGCTTATGCCTGATTCTTGCTACAAGATCTCCCACGCCTACTACGCTTCCCGCCACGAAGAGGACCCTGATATGTTCGGAAATTTCTTGGGCGCAATCAACCTGAAAGCAAAGGATACTCTGCAAAGGGTGTCCCTTCAAACAGCAGGCAAGGTTAGTTTTACACTTTCTATATTACATTGCTACAAGGGGAGCCCACGACTAACTTGAAAACAGCCCATGCTTGGCCGCTTACAGCATTCAGGCTATCAAAGAATCCAAGAAAACCGCCTAGCTGCTATCCAGAGCGGTCGACCTTGGTCCACCAATATAATACACCCCAGTTGCGTTGTGGGCTTCTGCCCTGAAGGTAACTCTCCCTCCCCCTCTTCCATTGTCAAGCATCCTTCACCCAAGACGCCCTCCCCTATCCCCCATCCAGCCCGAACCCCAAGAGCACGTGGACAGCCAGCTGACAAGGACTCCCTACAAAGCCCCCGCCAGTTCGCCCGCCCTGACATTAGCATTATACTACATCATCTGTAAGGCGATCAATGAAACTCCCCATATCCCTGACAGCCGCTATGCGTACTACACTCTACAAGAGAATTCGTACGCGCCGAGCCTAGCCGCGATGACCATCTGGGCCAGCACCACCCACGCCGCCGCCAACAAGACAATCCAGCATGCGAACGGAGACCAGTTCTACTGGCGATACCTCTTTCCCCGCGTCGGCGAGCACTATGATCTCACGGTGCCCGAGACCTCGGCCTCCACGGCGACGGACAGCATCGCTGCGCGGCCGTGTGCTCAGTTCCGGATGTCCGACTGGGCAGTTGGCAAGAAGGTGGTTTGGGCGAACATTTGTGCGCGGTGCGGAGGGTCGCTTGAGGCCTTTGACTGGGCTGATTGGTCGTTGTTTGACTGGGGTGATGCGGAGGAAGCCCCGACGTGGAACTCGCGGGTTGCCGCCATGCGGCTGGGTTGGGATCGCCGTGTCGACTCCCCCCAAGCATGGGTTAAGACGATCATATCATTTGAGAATGCCGGCATTCTACCCCGCCCGAGTGATTTGCCTTAAGAAGGAGGAGGAAAAGGAAGAAGAGTTGAGTGTGTGCTTTTTGGGGGGGGTTGAGCGTTATGTGAGATTGTGATCGGGTTTTGTTCGTGGTTTGTCATTACAACGGTGGTATTTGCATATTGGAAAAGAAGCAACTGCTTAGATGAGAGAGAGGGAGAGAGTTGGAGATTATGAATTTTTGTCATTGTTGACTAATGGGATGTTTCTTTTGGGGGGTTCACAAAAAGGACCCCGTCGTCTGGATCAACTTTATCCAAGTCCTTTACGTAGAGCCCGTAATCTCCTCTCCTTCATTTCTACCACATTTATGACTATGCACTCAAGTTCCTCCCTCCCCTACCTCCCCTCCCTCCCCTCTTTCTCTCCGTAACCCTACCAACACATCCCCCCGCCCACTATCAGCTACAAGCCCAAGCACGGGCTTTCGCCGGCCCGCCCGCAAACAGCCTCCAAATATCAACACGGACTTCCTAAACACAGTCTTAAATCACACTGGTCGTAATTTGGTGAAAGGAAACTGCGTGCAGAGCACTGTGCTGTCCAACTGTAGTTGTCCGTATGGGATCACGAGTCTGTTGCCGCGCCGGAGTTTTTGGAGCTGGTGAGTGCGTTGGTTGTTGAGAAGCGGCCTGAGACGGGGTATGCGGATAGTTCTATTTCATGGACCGGTTAGGGCTGCGTATTGTTCCCGCGAGTGAAGGTGGGTAGGTTCGAGGGTTTGCTGTAAGGAGCAAGTGGTTGGAAACGGCAGGCGCTGTTTCGCAGGGCTGCGGATTATGCCAAAGTAGGGTATAGTGCGGGCCATACATAGTAGAGGATGTAGATTAGACGCCAGACGACGGATCTGCAGGTGCTTGTGTTGGTCCTACTAGCACAGGATCATGATAGTTTCAGTCCTTCCTTGACAGTTGGTATGAGTGAAAGGGTTCCGCCAGGTAGGGCGGACGAATGTCTATGGGAGATCTGGGATCCGGCCCTTCCAAACATGGACAGTAGTAATATGTGCGTTGTCCGCCGGGCGTGAAGACGCCTAAGGCCATTCCATTAGCGGCAGCATGTTCCTACTTTTCTGTCAGCAGGAATGGTGGCGTATGGACACTTGCGCAGTTTGTGAATCCACACGTGGCTTGATGGAATATAGGAACTGTTTCTCCAGAGAATCCAGGTTCCTGCCGGGATACAGCTGGTTGATGTGCATTTGGCAGTGTGTCTAGGACGGGACAAAGCGTTAGGTAGCATTAAGCAGGATTTGTCTTCGATGATAGCAACCGGCGAAGCTGGGGAGTACCATGAGAGCTATCCCCAGCCATCAACGGCCGAGCTAATATCCGCGGAGAGAGCCACTGATTTCGGCCATCTGGCGGAGAAGAAACGCCAGAAACAAGATCGTAATGATCGTCAACTCAAGCTCGCAGTTCTCCAAGTTGGTCAAGAGAAACGTCTCCGTTTGTCAAGTGTCTGAGCTCGAAGCTCGACCGCCTGAAGCCGTTCCTCGCTTGGAACATCGCGGGAGCAGGAAACAACCGAAAGAATATGCGTGTATTCTCGAGGTGGCAGAGGCGAGTATGTTGAGCTTGGTTATACTCCAAGGCAGATCTGTAAGACACACTCCGCAGGGACAAATGAGTTTGGAATCATCTCGATGTGGGAAGGTGTGACAGGTTGTGTTTGTGCCTTGCAAAAGGTTGCAATCCCCTCATCCAACTCTCCTCCAGAATCCCCGAGACCCTCTCGTTCCTCCCCAACGTCGCAGCTCGACAGCTCGACGTGACATCCGACGGGTCTGTTGCTGACGCTCTGAGAGCCGTGAGCGCGTTACACCGGTGTGCCGATGCCGCTGACGGCGCCAATGCTGATCCTGGTGCAGGCCCCGGATTAGACATCCTTGTGAACAGTGCAGGCATCGTGTATACAACGCCCCTGCTACACGCGGCAATCGATAAAGCAAGAGACATCTACAAGACGAATGTTTGGGGCATGCTCAGGATGGTGCAGGGGTTTTTGGGTCCGCTTGTTGCCCGCAAAGGGAGGGGCATCAATGTTAGTACTGGTGAGGCAGTGGCAAATACGCCCTGGACTGGTACATTGGTTTTCTCTCCGTCCTGCTTTTGTTGTTTTTTGCGCGGTTTGCACCCTGCAATTGCTGGTTGGTGTCTTTGCTTTTTTCGTCTGGGGTGCTTGTTTGCTGCCTTGTCTCTTCCCAGCCTCGGAAGCTGCTATTTCGTGCATCACCTCGAACTGCCCGTTTACCATTATCAGGGTTTGTATCAGGGCCCGTGGATACTGGAACTGGCTGGACTGGGAACTGCATTGACACTTCTCAACCCCATCAAATCAGGCGATTACACATCCTCCAAATCCGCCTTGACCCTCCTAACCGAGACGCTCCGCCTTGAACTCTTCCCACTCAACGTCTCCACGCTCTCGCTCATGCTCGGCATAATTGGTCCTCTTTCCGTGCCAGCGAGCCTGCCTTCACACTCCCCGGATTCGCGGTACACCGCTATCCGCGACACGATTGAGCCGTAGGCAAGTGGAGAGGCCGGCCGAGGCCCGGAAGTGTGGATGATGCGGCGAGGATGCTTGTTACTGATGTTCTTGGTTCGGGAACGGGGTTGATGTAGAGACGGCCGAATGCCGGGGCTATGTGGTTTGTTAGTTGGTGGTGTCCTGGGTGGCCGCTGATTAGCTTTTCCTTTTCTTTGTGTGGGTATGGTTTTGGGCAAGATGGAGGTGCCGATACTGATTATGATGGGCAGAGGATAAACTGATGGGCTCGGGGCAGGGACTAGATGAGTTGGGAAAGAGCAAGAAGTCGGCGTAAAGGATGGAGCATAAACGTGAGTCAGGAGGTATGTTGCTTCCAAAGCATAACATCACAGTCCTGCTGGATATCGTCGTATCATGCACCTGATGTCGAGATGGAATGAAATATACACCTCCCCATTACCAAACGAATCCTAAGCCCCCACTCATTCCTCCCTAGAGCTAACCAGCATAGTAGGTGACTCCAATTGCTTCGGCCCCTAGCTGTCTTCGCTGCGATAACGCCAACCCATACGAAGTTGTCCTCGCCAACGGCACAATCGTCACTGCGACAAACACCACACACCGCGGCCTGTGGTTAGTGCGTCAAGCCTCAGGTCGCAACCTGGGCATCGTAGCAAACTTCATCGTCTTCAGAACATTTCCGCTAGATGATATCTGGGGAGGCCAGATACAACATAATAGCGGGGCTCATGCTCAACTTTACCGTACATAATCGGCGGCAACTGGGCTTCTCCTTATGGTGTTGCCAGTCATGGGAGGGAAAACTGGGAATTTAGCAGGAAGATCGCTGAAAGTTATGATCCCGATGGTGTTTTCGGATTCTTTCTCCGGGAGGATTCAGGTGATAAATGTTTATCGGCTTTTAGTTGGTGCTGGATATATGTCCGGGAGCAACAGAGTTTGCCATTCTCAGGTGCGGTTATATCTTTTTGTAGAGTTGACGAAAAGCTGCGAGTACAACCGGTTTCAAAGTTATTGTTGAAAATAAGCCGACAGCATTATGCGGCCTTCCTCATGTCTCTTCTGATTATGCCATAGACAGTAAATCTATTGCATGCAGCTCATTACTTGTGGCGGACAAGTCGCACGCTCACGACTTGTATCAAACATATTAACCAAAGGTTAGAAGGGGACCTTGTTTGCAATTAGTCTCGGATAGCCATGCTCTGCTGTTGCACGTGCATGACTCGTCCGGTAACTTTGCTAGCATTGTTCATTCTGTATATCAGTGGAGGAATGGCGAACTATAAGCCGATCAGTGTCCGTCATGAGTCATGACTCCAATGCAACTGGTTGATAACGCCTGTTAGCTGCGCTCATGCTGTGAAGCCCTAGCATTATATTGTGCTTAGGTATTCATATCATAACTCACATGGCTGAGGTGATCTGGTTGACTGTGAGAAAAACCGTGCCCACTTTACTCACGGTCCTGTCTTGCATATCCTCAGGCATGGGCCATATTGACACGGGCCGACGATCGGTGCAATCCCCGCAAATCGAGCATAACGGCGAAAAGCCCTAAGGACTGGTCACTGGTCGGACGACCTAGCCTGGACCTCTATCCGGGGAAGGAATTCGTCAAGGAAACCCAAGGCAAGCGGAGTCGGCGGGCGTATTCAATCACGAAGCCTTCATTGGTCAACCGCGGCCATTTTTCCGCGCGATCAGCAGTGAAGACTGAGCTATGGAAAGCTGGTACTCCAGGGCAAGCTGCACCGAAACCTAAATGGCCTTTAGTCTACCAAGATATTGAGCTTCCTGCACGGGTGAAGATCGGCTGGCCACCATGTGGACGATACGGAGTTGTTCCGTTGGGTCAGGAGCCATCCTGATTTTCCAGTCTGCAACCAGGGGCTTTAGGTATACCTATGCGTTTCATGCGATGATTGAAAGCTTGAGACTTAGCAGCGAGTCGGCAATAAACGAAGCATTGACTAAGGTAAGACGTGGGAGTCCATGTAGACGATCGCTATACTTGGAGCTACCCAATAAGGCATGGGCAGTTCAAATCTGGTGTGGCGCCCTGAGCTGAGCTCTGAGGATGACAGCTTGCTTGGGGATCTGGGATTCCGATTGACTCGTGCGAGGCTAATCAAAGAGGGTCTTGTTCTCGGCATTCAACGGTTTTCACAGAGTTAATGGTGACGAATCCTGATAACTCTTATTTAGGTTGAATCTTGCTCTTCTCCTACTGGTATACCTATTGCTCCCCCATCGGATTTACTCCGGAAGAAATCCTCTGCTCTGAAGCCTCTGATTGCGAATCGAACACTCGGAGTATTATCAGCGGAAAGATGGATAAGCGACTGATTTTCCTTTTTCGTGTCTTGGTTGGCGATCGACATTTTGGCGATTCGGTCGGAGTCTTTCCAGAGACTTGGGCCGTTGCTTGAGCTTCCATGCGCCTTCTACAATTGGAAATCGCAGGGACCTGACACTATTCCGGACCCAAACTTTCGAAGGTTACCGTAATGTTCTTGTGAACCCAATGTCGCGACAGTTCCCCATTCGAAAGTTCGGCTCCTCCGGATACGTTGCTGTCGACGTCTGGTAAAAGGAATGGGGTGAGTATATTGAGCAAACGATGCGAACTATGTATTCGATCATAGGTTCATCGACCCCATGACCGACTCGTGGATTGCAAGGAGGGGACAGGATTGGGGGGCATAACATCCATGAACCATGTCTAGTTCAGCCCCAAGATTGTGTTCGCAGTGCCACTGCTCAAAGCCGCAGCGGACCAGGATCGGGTTCGCATGGAAATTGCTTCTGGGAGGTCCACATCTCTAAATTGTCCTACTACTCCAGTAGATCGGTGCTTCTCCAAGTAACGATTGCGACTCTGCGGGTTCACCGCTTGGATTGAAGAGGCCCAGAGTTGTCTTCTGAGTCTGTGCTTTGCAGTCTGCAGTCAAACTGCAAAGCTAACGGGACCTTACAAAGAGCCGCCTGTTAGCAATTTTGTTTCAGGCTGGGCGTCATCGAAATCACTTTGCAACAGTGAGTCGTTGCTCTCAGTCGGCGACCCGCAGAACACCGGGAGTCCTTGTGGCACGATCCGTGTTCCGGACAAGCTTCGGGCGGGAGACGAGGCTGGGCGCGGGAGTTGAAGGATTCCTCATTTCATCCTTGTTAATTTCGAACGCGCCGGCCCTGTTGGGGTTGGAGTTCCTTCCTTCTTTGTCTGTTCGTCCGCCGCGATGGGAAGAGCTTGAGTCGGAGTTCGCGACGAAGAAGGATGGGTTTGGATGGAGGAAATTGGCTGTTTCAAATGGATACTTCGGGTCTAGACCCATAAAGTGATTGAATGCAAGACAGACACAGGCACAGCAACTGGATAATTGCATCGACGTTCTGCGAATTATTGAGGATCATCGAATAATTTGTGCCTAGCAGGGACAATATTCGCCGAGAGAGAGTGAGAGTCAGTCGGTTTGGTTCGCGGGTGCTGGTTCCCAGCTTCCCAACCTGAATCAGGAAGCCCATAACAAAGTCGGAGTAGGTATAGGATTGGGTCAATATATCATCGTACCTTCACTCAGGGTGGTCGAGAACTTTTAATAAGACTACTAGAGAGAAATTGGAGAGGAACGGGATCATCGTGGTGGCACTCTTACAATGAACACTGCCAGAAACAACATCCGGGTCGAGACCGGCGAGCTTCATCATATTCCCTTAATTACCCTTGAGGTTGGGCATCGCTTGTCTGGGAGAAGACCATATAGCCGCTTCGACGCTGCTCCGGTGGGATCATAGAGACGGTTGGACTGGGTCTTTTGTCAAGAGGCAATTCGCGGAGGCCATCGACTAGTTAATTAACTTTAGCGGTTCAGGAGACCGTCACTCGATGGACCCCAGACCTGTCAACACTCAACTTTCTTTCTCTCAGTCTCTCCTTTTCTCGCGTCCTTTCCACTCCTTGCCCGCCGTTCATTACTACTGTCTGTCCATCGCTCCTGTTCGTTGTAAGTGTGCTCTTCGTCCTCTCTCGTTGGCTCAGTCAATCCACGGTACCACCGTCCAACTCCCCGTACCCCTGATCGTTTGGCGGGCCTGTGCATCTGCCTTTCTTTTCTTTTTCTACATTTCTGAGCCAGAGCTGAAATCAATTCTAATCACGGTTTTTTGGCAGTTACGGGGTACTTCAACGACACCGCGTTCGAGCTCTGCTCGATCCTGGTTTCCGCGCGGAAACAGCAGATTTGTTGACATCGCAAATCGTCGCAGGCCGCCAGTTGCGATTGCTCAAATCCCTCCGACGCAGCCAATCCGTCCTACTATCGATAAACGCCGACACGAATCCGTTTGAGCAGTATCGATCGCTGATGACTTCCTTCTTCTCGCTTCCCTGACCGGTAATACTCCAGTCGTTCATCGCACCGTCTTCGTCATAATCAATCGCGGAAAACTATAATAACAAGGTCATGACGGCGTCGCCGCCAGCGTCGCCTACGGGCGCAGGGCCCCAGAGACCTTTTAGCGCCCTGATGCGCACTCCGAGGAGCAACAGCCGTTTGAGCATGAGCAGTAAACATGGGGGAAGCAGGGCCTCTGACGAGGATGGGAAAACCGCGGTCAAAGTTGGTGCGTGAACCTCAACTTTTGTGGGATAGCCCCGCAACATTGGCTTCATACTGATCCAATCGCAGCTGTTCGTGTCCGCCCGCCTCTGAAGCCCACGGATCCCGGCTATGAATTGATCCCGCAGCGATTCCAGCGTACCATGGCCCACGTCACATCACCCACAAGTTTAGCCGTCGATGTACCCCAGGGCCGCAAGTTGTTCGTCTTCGATCGCGTTTTCGCCGAAACAGTCGACCAAGAAGGCATCTGGGATTACCTCAGCGACAGCGTTGGTTCTTTCCTGCAGGGTTACAATGTCTCTATTTTGGCGTACGGCCAGTCGGGCGCTGGTAAATCCTACACAATGGGAACAGCAGGCCCAAATGAGCAGGATGCGGAGTCAACGGGTGAGTCGAATCGTTTCTTTGAAAATGCACCGACTGATTATCGATAGGTATCATCCCGCGCGCTGCTCAACACTTGTTTGAGAAACTGGAAGGCCCGAAGCATTCTCGCAACAGTTCCACCGGTCTCCGTACACCCTCGCGTTATTCGGTCAGCTCCACATCTAGCTTTGGAAAGTCGAGTATAGATAAGAACTGGCAGTTGAAAGCTACCTATGTCGAGGTATGGTTGTCCGAATTCGCTTCCGCACGAAGCTAACTTTGGCAGATTTACAATGAACAGTTGAGAGATTTACTCCTGCCCGACTCCGTAGCCGCGGCGGACCGGAGCACCGTCACCATTCGCGAAGATACCAAGGGCCGCATTATTTTAACCGGCCTGCACCAGGTCAACATCAATTCGTTCGATGACCTTATCGGCGCCCTCAACTTCGGTTCCTCCATTCGTCAAACTGATTCCACTGCCATCAACGCCAAGTCGTCGCGATCCCACGCTGTTTTTAGTTTGAACCTGGTTCAACGAAAGTCCGCCAATGGTACTATCACGTCACCGAAAGACAAGCGCATGTCGATGCCGGCAGATCTCTCTAGCAACGATCAATTCATAACTGTCGACAGCAAGCTGCATTTTGTCGATTTGGCAGGAAGTGAGCGTTTGAAGAACACCGGGGCCTCCGGCGAGCGAGCTCGCGAAGGTATTTCGATCAACGCTGGTCTTGCCGCACTCGGAAAGGTCATCTCGCAACTGTCTTCTCGCCAAGCCGGGTCTCACGTTTCGTACCGTGACTCCAAGCTTACTCGACTACTGCAGGACTCACTAGGTGGAAATGCGTACACGTACATGATCGCCTGTGTTACACCAGCCGAGTTTCACCTCAGTGAAACCTTGAACACCGTCCAGTATGCGCAGCGAGCGAGAGCCATTCAAAGCAAGCCTCGCATCCAGCAGGTTGCGGATGAGAGTGACAAGCATGCTGTGATTGAGAGATTAAAAGCCGAGGTTGCCTTTCTACGGCAGCAACTGCGCAACGCGGAGGATAATGACCGGCGGACTGTCGCTCCCCAGGAACGCACCGAACGCCAGAACGAGCGGGAGATTGAACTCCAAAACCAGCTACTTGATGTCCAAGAGGGCTACAACGCGCTGAGCCAACGACATGCCAAGCTAATTTCCGAGCTCGCAAGGGATTCCCAGCCTGCAGAAGGTGATAGTGAGACTGCGGTGGGGAACTCTGTCGAGAGGCTCAAGCGGTCGCACTCGTTTGCGCAGTCGGTTGAACAGGTCGTGCTCGAGTACGAAAAGACAATTCAGAGTCTTGAGTCTTCGCTTTCAAACACTCGAGCTTCCTTGGCCACCACGGAAAGTACCCTCCTTGAACGCGAGACCAAGTGCACTTACGTGGAGACCGTGAACTCGCAGCTTCAAGCCCGCATCCAGAAGCTCATAGACAGGGAGGCAAGCACGGAGACTTATCTACACGAGCTAGAGTCTAAAATTGACGGTCAAACCTCTGGCGAAGAGCAGCACGCGGCAATGGTGGCGGAGCTCCGCAAAGAGCTCACCCGCGCTCGCGAGAGCGAGGCTAGCTGCGAAGACTATATTTCTACCTTGGAAGAGCGATTAGCTGAAGCCGACCAAGATATGGAGCTCATGCAGCGAGAGATTGACCGCCTGGAGCATGTCGTGGATCGTCAACGAAGCCTCGGAAAACTGGATAATCTTCTTTATGAACTGGACCACATTCAGCAGAATGGCAAGAAGGAGGATGAAAGCCCCGAGCAGCCTGAACAGAGCTCAACTCCGCCGGGAGCCTACCAACCCCGTAAACGAGGTTTGTCTCTTGACGTACTTACCGAAGCTGCCGAAACCGCTATTCCTGATTCTGACGAGGGTCTCTCTGACCCGATCCCCGAGGAGGACGAGGACCAGGCCGCGGCCAGCGAGCCGGCGACGAAACAGGGTGAATCCGACTTGAAGGTCCTTGAAAATGCCACTAGTCGCCTCCAATCACTCCACGATTCACAGCCGCTCAGTCCCACTCAAATGCGGGTTGTCTCTGATAAACTGGAGACCGTCAGCCAGGAGCTCTTTGATCTGCGCATGCAGCACGAGACAACGCTCAATGACTACGAAGCCCTTGAGGCCAAGTACGAGGAAGCCATGCGAGCCATGGCCGAGCTTCGGCAAGACGCCGCGGACGAGGCCCGCCACTCTGCCTCCCCCCAAAACATCACTATCTCTCGCCCGATTTCTTTTTTAGAGGATCCCAAGGCCCCCGCGTCGAAGACTGGAACACAACACTCCTTCTCGCAATCACTCTCATCGGAGTTATCCTTGGCCGGGGAGCCTGCGACTTCGCGAGACTCATATAATGTGAACACCCCTCAAACAACGGTGGGTTCGCAGGACGGAAACCTGTCGAACGGCGCTGACGACGAGCACATGCGCAAACTCCTCTTGGAGCATCAAGAGAGCGTGAACACAATGAAGCAAAAGTACGATGAGCTCCAGGCGGAGCACGAAGACACCTTGACCTTGATTGAGTCGCTCAAGGCCGAGTTACAGAGGTCAAGATCTTCATCGCCGCCGGCCACGCCTGGCTTTAACGTCATCCGCAGGAAGACCAGCCAGAGCATTATGTCTAACCTTGACCGCGCTCATCGTTCGATAAATGGATTACGCACTATCGCTGCCGAGGAGTTTGTTTCCCAGCCTGATACCATGCAGAACTTTGAACTCCATCTCGACGGCGCAATGCACGAGCTCCATGTTCGCATGGAGCGTATCCAGCAACTCGAGGCAGAGAATCAGAGCGTTAAGAAGGAAATGGAGACGAAATCAACTATCATTTCCGGACTCACTCGCGAACGTTCTAGCTTGCAAGGAGCGTCTCCGGTCGATCGAGGTCTTGTGAACCAGTTGAGAGACCAGGTTGTTCAGCAGGAGAACACCCTCGTCCAAATGAAGGAAGCTCATGATATGAGGGAGAAGGTCCTTCTTGAGGAAATTGAGGAACTCAAGGCCATCTTGAAGACTCAGGAGGAGGCCGCCAAGGCCCAGGATGTCCACGTGGAGGAGCAGGAGAGGAAGATTACTCATCTCGAGGGTGAGCTGACGGAGTGGAAGAGTAAGCACCAGACCGCTATTGAGTCTTTGCAGTCGTCCGAGAATCAGCTCAAGTTTACCCTGGAGGAGTTGAACAGCGCACTCGCCACGATTGACACCATGGGCTCTGATGGTGCTACCCGTGACGCCTCGGATAAGGAGGCTACAGCTTCCGAGCTGGAGAGTGAGCGTGCCCGACAGAAGCAGGTTGTGGAAGAATTGACCCGCAAGATTGAAGAGCACGAAAGCACGGCTGCTACCCACCTTGAGAAAATCGCGTCCCTTGAGAAGTTGCAAGAGGCGCAAAAGCACGCGACTGACTCTGCATCGACATCGACCGAGGTTGAAGTCCGCCAGGCTCGTATCAACGAGCTGGAGCAGGAAATCGGCAGCCACAAAGACCTCGTCGAGTCGTACAAGAAAGACCTGGAGTCTTTGCAGCAGTCTCACAAACATGAATTGGAGGAGCTCGAAGCCCGAGCAAAGGCTGCAGCTGACGCAGAACACGACCTGCGCCTTGCGGAGCAGAATAACCAGCACGAAGAGGCTATGAAGGCTCTACGAACTGAGATCTCTGAATCTCGAGACGAGCTGGTCAAGTTGCTCAGCATGGTCTCCAAACTCATCAAGTCTGATGTTACCACAGACAACCTGGCTGATCAAATCCAAGACATCTTGATGCAAAAGCAGCACTTTTCTGACAAGTATGCCGAGATGTTGGACGCGAACGAGGATCTCCGCACGCAGATTGAAGCCAGACAGAATGATGCCAGCCGCGTGGACGAGCTCAACAAGGCGATCTCAGTCAAGGATGGCAAGGTTAACGAACTTGCTCTGCTTGTTGCTACTTTGGAGGACACTCTCCTGCAGCGTGAAGAGCAGATCAAGAAGAAGGAGGCTTTGGTCGCGGAAGCCCTGGCCGAGAAGCAGAAGAGCGCTCGCCTGGTGGAGGAGCTCGAGGACCAGATCACCAACAGCTTCGACCAGCACAACAACCGCCTCTCTGTTATTCAGCAAGAGCGCGACCAGGCTTTGGAAGACGCCAAAGCTAAAATTATAGTCTACGAGAAAGACATTGAGACTTACCGTGTGCGCATTGAGCAGCTCGAGGTAGGTCCACCACCCGTCACTTGTTGCTATCGGATGCTAACAAAAACAGCTGCAAATCAAGAACCAAGACCCCTCGCACGACCGCAGCAGCTCTCTTACATCCAACCTCCGCAAGAGCTCTTCGGCCGCCTCCCTTCCCTCACCCCCGCCAGCCATTCCCCTTCCACCTCTTCCCACCATTGCCGCTGGGGCTAACGGCGCCTCTTCTCCACCAAGCTCTCGGCACACTAGCAAAGAGCTGGTGGGCAGCCAGGTCGTCGAAGAGCAGGAGGCTCGCATCCGCACTATTGAGAAGCACCTTAACGCTGAGAAGCAGCTCACTGCCACCTTGGAGGAGGCTCTCGGCGACCTGGAAGCGCAGAGCAACAAGGTCAAGTCGGACTGCGAGGCTTGGAAGAAGAAGGCTTGGCAGTTGGAAGAGGAGCTGACCACCCTCCGCAAGGAGCGCAACTCTCAACGTCTCTCCCTCCAGGCGGTCGAGGAGGAGAGGAGCGCCCGCCGCGAGGCCGAAGCCGCGCGCGCCCAGCTCGAGGAGCGCATGGCTGCCCTGAACAAGAAAAAGAAGAAGAGCACGCTGAACTGCTTCTAAACATACCCCTACGCTATATTGCTTTCCTTCTTGCCCATGTTGAAACGCGAATTTCAGATCATCACTGCATCATGAACTCAACGTTGATTCCCCTGTATACCTGATACCTTTTATTCTTTTTCATGTTTTCCAACGCCCAATTCCCACGTCAGATTGTTTTCCGACCTGATATTATGCGCAGTACCCATTTCCATTCTATACCTTGCTTATGACTTCGTTTTCACGACCTTCTTTGCCTTCGCCCTTTCGTGGAAGGTGACTCCTACCACTCTGTATATTCTATTCGTTGCTGTACTTGCACCATATATTGTTTATTGTTCAGGAGCGGCCAGAGTTGCCTTCGCTTATAGGATAGCGAATCGTTTTTGTTGTTGGTAGTAGAAGTTGAATGGAGCGTTCACTTTCTTAGCCTTAATAAGGAGATTATTATAGACATTACCATGGATTCACTCTTCGTGCATCAATTCAAGCTTTCCATGTATTTCAAGGTGCTTAAAGCATAAAATGTATATGTCTCTGTATAAGCAGCTGAGTCATCACATGACGTCGCTCAGCCGCGTGTCCTACTCCGTAGTAGCGCCCCACACCACTCCGACAAGTTGTCATTCTGAACTCCAGCAAAACCGCAAGACCAGCCCACCTGCCACAATGGCAGAGAAACAGCGCTCAAAACCAGCAAACATTACAATCATCCATCCGGACCTCGGCATCGGCGGCGCAGAACGCCTCATCATCGACGTCGCCCTCGCCCTCCAGAACACCGGCCACACAGTCACGATCTATACGTCGCACCGCGACAAATCGCACTGCTTTGAGGAAGCGCGCGATGGGACCCTCGATGTGCGTGTTCGCGGGGATAAATACTTTCCAGCTAGTATCGGCGGCCGCTTTGTCGTCCTCCTTGCGATTCTGAGGCAGGTTTGTCTTGCGTTTGAGTTGCTTGGTGAGGCGGCGAGCGCTGGACGCGATAACGGGGCAGAGGATGAGGAGGCGGATGAGGTCTTCATCGTCGACCAGGTCCCTGCTTGCGTGCCGATACTGAAACTCCTCGGACCACGATTCTACAAGTCGAGCGGGCGGCAGCGCATCCTCTTCTACTGCCATTTTCCCGACCAGTTGCTTGCGAGGCGGGGTGGGGGTTCGCTGGCACGGCTTGTGAAGGGGGTGTATCGATATCCGTTTGATTGGTTTGAGGGGTGGGCGATGGGGGGCAGTGATCGGGTTGTTGCGAACTCGGTGTTTACGAGGGGCGTTGTGGGGGGTGTTTTTGGGGGGGAGAGGTTGGGGGTTGTTAGGGTTGTTTATCCGTGTGTTGATACTGCGCGGAAGGGGGATGTAGGAGAGGTAGAGGGTGGGGATGGGGAGGTTTGGGAGGGGAAGAGGATACTTCTCAGTGTGAATCGGTTCGAGAGGAAGAAGGATCTTGGGCTTGCGATAAGGGCGTTTCATGGGCTGGGGGTGGAGAAGAGGAGGGGGGTTAGGTTGGTTGTTGCTGGTTCGTCTATCCTTCCTTTTGTTTTGCCTGCTTGTCTCCGTGGAGTTGTTTGACGAGATGCTAATGGATGTGCGATAGGTGGCTACGACCCCCGCATCACGGAAAACGTACAATACCACAAAGAACTCGATGCCCTGGCGACAAGTCTGGGTCTGCAGACTGCGACGTCCAAGACCGTCCCGTCGGCCCTCTCCATCCCTGACTCCATCGACGTCCTCTTCCTCCCCTCCGTCCCCTCGGCCTTCCGTGATGCCCTCCTCGCCAAATCGTCGCTTCTCCTCTATACCCCTGTAAACGAGCACTTTGGCATCGTCCCGATCGAAGCCATGCGCGCCGGAATCCCGGTTCTTGCGTCCAACACCGGTGGTCCACTTGAGACAATCGTTGAAGGGGAGACAGGGTGGCTCCGCGACGCAACGGACGTCCCGGCTTGGACGGCTGTCATTGAGAAGGTGCTATACGGAATGAGCGCGGAGGAGATCAAGAAGATGAGTGTGGCGGCGAAAGAGCGCGTCGAGGCCAAGTTCTCTCTGCGTGCTATGGGCGAGAAACTTGAAGAGGAGATAGGTGGGATGTTGAGCTCTGAACGAAGAGAGTTCAATGGAGCGCAGCAAATATTGTTGCTCTTGGGGGTTCTGGGCATGGGATTTGCGGTATTTGTAGCATTGGTTTTGGCGTGGGTTCGTTCTGTATAATACCCTGCATGATGCTTGTTTCGATTGTCTAGATTAGATAACCATTTTGCTGGCCAAATGATGGTTATTTTTGTCGCTTCCAGAAAACTTTTATGGCAAGTGACCATTGACTGCAGCTTTGCATGTCTCATAGAAATTCAACCCTAGCTGGGTCAAAAACATTTTGCACTCTTCTGGACTTGTCCTCGGCTCTCCCATAACAGATAATTCTTCTCTGTGATTCTCCAAAGCCTCTTCTAATTCCTCTTGTAGCCTGGGAATCGCTTGCTGTACTTGAGAAAACAACAATGTGCTGAGACGGTTCACGAGACTGCTGATCCGAGTGTTCCAAATATTGACTTGCGGAAATACGTCGATTCAGAACTATTCCGCTCCGGAATTGAAAATTCGGCCTCTTCAAAACTCCGGTTTTTCAGGATGTGCCAGCCCACCTTTTTGAGGCTTCTAGGTTGTTAGGGGTAAGGGCCTCTAGGGTTAGTTGGGGTAGTAAGGTTAGGTCTCCCGGGAATGGGTTTAAAACGCCTTCACAAAGGTGGTGGTTATATAAGTAAAATCTACAATTTAAAGATCCGTTAATGGGTGACAACTTAGTCACCTCGAGTGTTAATGTAGGGCAACCCCTCTTCTGCTGATTTAATGTGCTTTAAGTGAAAAAAATATAAAAGAATTGACAAGAATGGGATTCGAACCCATGCGTCTTTCGACAATGCTGATCTGGTTTAATCAGACAAGGCGTCACCGCGCTTGAAAGCATCACCTTAACCACTCGGTCATCTTGCCATCAGACCATAATAACCTAATCGTCATTGCCGTTCTCCACATCGACACCACGGCTGAATGAAAACCAAGTAAAAAAGTAAAAAAGAATTGACAAGAATGGGATTCGAACCCATGCGTCTTTCGACAATGCTGATCTGGTTTAATCAGACAAGGCGTCACCGCGCTTGAAAGCACCACCTTAACCACTCGGTCATCTTGCCTGTGGATGTATTAGCTAGGAAGCAAAATCCATATTGCCATTTAACAAAAGCTGCAACAAGATTGAAAAGGTGGACAAAATTAACAAGAGTGGGGATTTGACCACGAGTTTTGCAACACTAAACAGTGTGGATGTGATCATAACCAAGCAAAGTTAACCACTTAAGCACACCACCTTAACCACTCGGTCATCTGATCTAGATACATGTTCCTTGATATTGCAAGAAACCTGTGAATGCACTGTGGAGCGCCTCAAAATGCCTTTCGTTGTCCCTTATTCCAATTCTTGACTTCGTATCAGCGCAGTGACAAGGTACTTGCGTGGTCATACATGTGTTTGCTCCGCTGCGCTTCGGCTCTCACCAAGTTCCAACTTCCAACACATTCCACCTCGTAACCTAAAGGACACGCTACTAAAGTATTATTAGTACCTAATAAGTGACCAGCCTCCAACTTCCGCACATACCTCATCGGCGGCTATCAAGCGGCCTTGACTGGCCTACCGTGCGTTCGCCCCAAGCTTGAAACACTCGCCATTTCAGCCTCGATGGTTGATAACCATGCGACGTGCGCGTCTATTCCCGGAATCAAAAATATGATTTCGCTTTTTCTTCATTCTTCTCGAGCATTGAGGATCGAAGGGCTGCGCTGGCCCAGAGGATATGAAGATATGTTCATGCCCGATGTCGATGTCGCCTGCGCTCTGGAGCCGATTCCTCGTCTTCGCTCTTACACTTAGCGTCTTTCCTTGCACTGCTGTTGCAATTGCAAGGAACGAGACCAAGGATTCGAAAGCAGACTCAGACTCCTTAGTCAAAACCTACTTCACGAATCCGTCCTCCGACTCGACATCCCATGGGATGCCCACCTACGAACTCGGCAGCATCCAGAACATCACCTGGACCACGAACCTCAACGTCTACAATATCAGCATCTGGCAGCGCGCGACGGGGAATGTCACGTCCATGGACAGCGGGGGTGATGGCGTTAGTATACAAGGAGGGAACGTTTTCGGTGCGTATGCTAGCTATCCTCAGGGCTGTCCAGGACTCAGATGGACGGCACTGGCTAACAAGTAGAGTGAGCAGCACAAAGTATCTCATCAGAGAGAGTTACCTCTTTCTCCTGGGTCGTGCAAACCTACTCATTCGACCTGTCACTCTCATCCATCTTCTATTTCTCCATCGACGGCGATGCAACCTCTACATCAAGGGATTTCGATATCACCACTACCGCACCAGCATCTTCATCATCAACCTCTTTATCCCAGTCTCCAAGCTCGAATACTGATGCCCAACCTGCAACGGAACCTACCTCCCTAACCTCAACCGGCAAAATCGCCCTAGGCCTCGGCGTCGGTGTCGGCGCACCCCTTATTACTCTGCTTGCAATCCTCGCGTACTTCCAGTACAGAAGTGGACGGCGCGCATATAGCCATGCGGAGTCGCAGTCGCCGTCACACCTATTCTCGCACCCGCCCTCAGGCCTGGGCGTAGGTAGTGGTGGCATGGGGTATGCGTCACCTTCAGCGGTGGCAATGTCGATGGGGCAACAACAACGACATCAACAGCATCTTGCCGTCCCACCGCTAATCCCCGCCCTCTATCCGAATTTCAGCGTGGATCCGGTGGCGTGTCAGTCTGAGCTCCAGCCGAAATTTGCAAGGCCGGTCCAGCTGCACCCGTGGGAGATTGATGCCCATCCTAGGATTTATTCGCCGGTGACTGTGCCGGCGGAGGCTCGGGCTCCTGTTTCCGCTTCGCTGCCCGAGCCGCCACCGCGGCCTCCATCCGTAGGTTTGGGTGTTGGAAGGTCAGGCTCTGCTGGTCGTGGGAGTGGAAGCGGAAGCGGAAGTGGAAGCGGGAGGTCGAGGTCCAGGTCCAGATCGAGGCCTAGTACGAATAGTACTAGGTCGAGGTCAGTGTCAACGACGGTTTCGACCTCAACGTCTTCGTCTTCACCTAGGGCCAGGTCCAGATCCAAACACCGGGGTATTGCCGGTGGACCTAGCCGTGGCCATGGCCCTGACACTGGCATCGAGGCTAGAGAGATCCCCGAGTTACCCGGAGAGAGCTATAATTTCTTCTAATGCATGATTACACTCCGAGTGCCGCAGAGGCGGGCTTGCATGTATAGATTCTTTGGCCCGCCAACCTTAGCCAGGGATTTGCATGGCGTGGCATGTCGTAATAGGTGGTTATCTCCAATTACTGTTCTCTGTGTGACTCGTCCAACTCAATAGTCTGTTGATCGACAGGACTAAAGTCTTTCTTTGTTGTGTCCAACATATGTAGCCGGAGGACCCGGCCCTGCCAGTTCCAACACATCCCCCACAGTCCCAGCAAGATGCCCTTCTACAACTCGCAAGTCCACTTCCTCCACCGCCAGTTCTTCCTCACTCCCTCCACCCCGCCTCCCTCGTTCACCCTCACCGGAAAGTCCGGCCTGATCACCGGCGCAAACACCAGCCTGGGCTACCACGCCGCCTCTCATCTCCTCTCGCTCGGAGTCTCCCGCCTCATCCTCGCCGTCCGCAGCCTAGCCAAAGGCGAGGCGGCGAAGACACAACTCCTGAATGCGCTTCCAGGAGCCCTGAAGCAGCCGCAGCCGCAGCCGCAGCCGCCGACGATCGAAGTCTGGGAGCTCGACTTGGCCAGCTACCCCAGCATCATTGCGTTCGTGGAGCGCCTCAAAACGAACACGCACGGAGGGCTGGGGCTGGACTTCGCCATTCTAAATGCCGGCGCTGCCAATTTCGCCTTCACCACCTGCCCCTCCACAGGGAACGAGGAAAGCATCCAGCTCAACTGGCTCGGCACCGCCCTGCTCACCCTGCTCCTTCTCCCCGTGCTGGACGAACGCGCGGCGGCGGCCAAGAGCGCAGGCCATGACCACGATGCATCGCCCGTCCTGACCATCGTCGGCAGCGAGGTCGCCGCCTGGGCGAGATTCAAACAGGCCTAGCTCGCCGCCCGCAACCAGACGACACTCCTCGAGACCCTCAACGCGCAGAGCACCTTCGTCTCCGCCGACCGCTACGCGACCTCCAAGCTCCTGCAGCAGCTGTTCTTCGTGGAGCTTGTGCGCCGCCGCGCCGCCGCGCCCTGGAGCACGGGCGTTGGTTGTGCTCAACCTCGTCAATCCGGGCTGGTGCTATGGCTCGCAGCTGAACGACGATGTGCCTGGGGTTGTGGGGAGGGTCTTTGAGGCCGTGAAGAGGGTCGTCGGGAGACCGGTTGCTGTTGGGGCGAGGACGCTGGTCCATGCTGCGGTTTTGGCTGGGATTGGCTCGGATGGAGGTATCTTAGTGACAACGGCCGCGGGATATGGCGAGAGTCCTGCGGGTATGGGTGTGCGGCGGAGGGTGTGGGAGGAGATGATTGGGGAGCTGGGGGGGATGGTGGATGGGAAGGTGGTGGTAATGTAGGCATTTCCTTTCCTCTCATCTGACCTTCCAAGCCTAGCTGGGTTTTTCAATTTTCATATACAATTCCTTTCCTTTGCGCCCGGTCATAGAGTCTGTTACATCACTCCCACCTCATATATATTTGACTAGAACAGTCCGCGCACGGAGAGCGGAGCGGCTATCGTCAACCCTGAGATCCAACGCCAACCTGCTCTGGAGGCGCTCGAAAGTGCCGCCGTACGCGTGGCGACCACCTGTGCTAGTATGGGGATTCTTATCCCCAAACACTCGCCTGGACGTGGCGGGCGTCAGCAGTCGGGACAACGTTCTAGTCGATGGAAATTTTACGGCGAACAGGCGAGATGCTGACTATATTATCAACACCGCTACACCAAGAACACCGTCAATCAGATACTACATGTCTGCTAACAGGTAAGCCCTCTGACAATGGATATTTAAGGACCTCAAGAAGTGCTTATATCTGAAACATCCATCGCCAATCTTCTCTAGACGGATTCTACCACGGCACCTCGCTGCCCGTTATATTCTGGATGAACTTCCCGGAGTAGTCCTCGCGCGTGGCTCTGTCTATCTGTAACTACCGTGTTAGATGCTGAGCGTCCAGGACCGGGTATAGTGGAGTGCCCTACCGGGCTGTAAATTACCGCGTGCAGAGCCCGAGAAAAGAAGGGAGGGTACGTACAGGGTCAGCCAATTCAGCGCCGCCTTGGACGCCCCATACGCAGGGGCAACGTATGTTCCGATCTCGCCCATCAGGGCAAGCGACGAGGCCGCAGTGGAGACAGAAACCCATTTCGGCTGCGCTGCTGCCTGGAGCAGGGGCTTGAAGGTCTGGAAGTAGAGCAGGGCGGAGCTGGTATTGACTGCGTACGCTGAGGCCAGGTGTTCGGGGGGGACATCGTCTATGGACTTCAGCGGCGGGCTCCCGCGTGCGTTGGCGATGAGGACGTCAATGTGGTTGATTCCTTCGCTGGTGATTGTGGCCAGGGCTGTGGCGTAGTCGTCGGGATTGGCGTTCTCGATGGAGACAAGGAGCGATCGGCTGCCTGTGGCCGTGGGGAGGGCTTGGAGGTTGGAGTTGGTGTCGGGGTTGCGCACCGTGCCAATCACGATGTGGTTAGGAAGGAGGAGGTAGCGTTCTAGCAGGCTACGCCCGATGCCTGTACGGTGTCAGTTGGTGCTGCCACTGGATTCACGAGCAGAAGGGGGCTGGACCTTGCCGCACGCCCGAGATGAAGACGACAGTTGGGGCCGCCATTCTAGAAACTGCAAGGATACGGTACGAGAATGTCCAAACGGATGAGCAGGGCTGCGGCCTTATATAGAAACTGATTGTCCCTCGATCCTCTCAAGCCTGTCACCTCTCGGCTCTTTGCCTCTGCGCTGCGGCCGCTTGACTGGACACCTGCTTTCGCCCACGTCAGCAATATCCAGGCCCACTGATCCTCGCTGGGGAGCGCCACGAGCCATATGGCAGTTAACTATGGCATGTACCCACCTTAGAAGTCCTGCCGTACCGTGTTAGGCGAAATGCTGGCTTAGCGTTGCTTGAGAAGGAGGAGGTAGGGCTCTGATTTTGCGGTTATAGAGGCGTTCGTTGCCCTTAGAGTAAAGATCGACAAAGCCCAGTCTTTGGCACTTCAGCCCTTTGTCTGACGTGTTGATCCGTATGCAACCTAGAAAGGGATGTGATCCTAATAATCTGGCCCTCTGGGTTGCAAATTGGCATAAAAGCAGAGTCTGATGAGGTGGGTATAGATATAAAAGAGCCCCCATCGGAATTGATAATGTAACAATCATGCCTGGATGGAGACCGGTTGGCTGACGTGATGCGGTGCAATGTACGGAGGACTAAATTGACAAATGCGCAAAAACTCCACTTGTAGTATAATACTATGTATTTACTTAGTATTTTACTAATAAAAAATTAAATACACTATAACTTACTTAGTTTTACTATATAATTACTTATTTTAAGTATTATAAAAAGGTGCAAGCTAATACTTGGGTAAAATAAAAATACTTAAATACTTAAATACCTAAATGCCTGTAGTATAGTATTCCTTAACTAATTATATAAAAATAAAAAAAATTCTTAATTTAAGTTAATTAAATTTTTTGCCTCTCCCTTTTTTAGGTTTAAGTTAATTAAATTTTTTATATTATTTATAATAAGCCTTTTTTATATAAGTCCGCGGGTAGCTTATTTTTAATAATAACCTTAGGGTTAATTAAAAGTAGTTTATAATTTTGCTTTTTAATAATTATTTTATATAATATATATAAAAGTATTATTTAGTTATTTATAATTAGCATAGCACCTACTAAATATATTAAAAAGATAAATATATTTTATAAAAAAATAAAAACTACCTAGGTATTAATAATACTTACATAAGATACTTACTTTTTTTTCCCGGGAAGTAATTAAAAGGGTGTTTATATATAAGTTTTAGTATAATATTATTTAATTAGGCCTTATACTATTATATATAATAGTTATTAATTTACTTAAACAGGCTATTAACTATTTTTATATATAATTATAGTAAAACTAGGCTAACTTTTAATTTTTAATAAAAAGTTTTAAAGGCTAACCCGCGGGAGTTTATTAAAAGATATGCTTAAAAATAGTACCTAAATTTATTTTTAGCTAAGCCGGCTTAACACTAAAACAAGTAATAAATTTAAAAATTATTATATATTAAATAGCTTTAAAGGTCTTATATAAAACCTTTTAAAAGCTATTACTAGTATATAAAGCTATTAGCTAGTATTTAACTAGTATAAGGTATAAGGTATTTAATATTTTATAAAGCTTAAAGGGCGGAGGTAAAGGGCTAAGAAAAAAAAAAAGGTTATATACTAGTTTTTAGTAATACTATATACTAGGATGGCCTTAAAAATCTTATATAAAATTTTTAAAAGCTATTACTAGTATATAAAGCTATTAGTAAGTGTTTTAAAATAACTAAAAGGGGAGAAAAAAGGTTACTTACTAATTTTTAGTAACATGGTATACTAGGAATAGCCTTACTTAGCTATTTTTATATAAAAAGGCCTTATAAGGGCTATTACTAGTATATAAAAGGTTAGCTAATGCCTTTTTAAAACAGGAAATAAAAGGTAAAGGGCTAAATATACACTATTATATTAATAATAGTTAAAAAAAAAAAAAAAAAAAAAAAAAAAAAAAAAAAAAANCCTTACTTAGCTATTTTTATATAAAAAGGCCTTATAAGGGCTATTACTAGTATATAAAAGGTTAGCTAATGCCTTTTTAAAACAGGAAATAAAAGATAAAGGGATAAAAAAACACTATTATATTAATAATAGTTAAAAAAAAAAAAAAAAAAAAAAGAGAAAAAAAAAAAAAAGAAAAAAAAAATAATAAGGCTTTAGTATATTATATTACTTAGTTATAACTACCTAACTAAATATTTTAAATATTTTTATATAAAACTAGCTACTTTACTTTAAGAACTTTATTTTTATTTACTAGTATAATTTATAACTTTAGGCTTAATTTTAGCCTTTATATAAAAGCAACTTTATTTTTAACTCCTAGCCTTTATATAAAGGCTAAATAACTCCTGGCCTTTATATAAAGGCTAAAATTAAGCCTAAAGTTATAAATTTTACTAGTAACTTAAATATTAAGTATTCCGCAGGATAAGGTATATAAAAAAAAAAGATTTTTATATAATATTAACTATTTTTAAAGGCAAGTAATTTAAAAAATAACTTTTAGTACCTAAATAATAGTACTATAAACCTAAACTTGCTTTTATATAAAGGCCTGAAGTTTATATATAAAAATAAGTTTAGGTTTATAGTATTACTATCTAGCCTTTATATAAAGGTAAAATTAAGCCTAAAGTTATAAATTTTATTAGTAACTTAAATACTAAGTGTTTTGCAAGCCTATTAAAGCTTTACTAGTAAGATTTATAACTTTAGGCTTAATTTTGCCTTTATAAAATACCCCGGTAGCCCGCGTGCTAAGTGGTTGCAGCACTTTAGTTTAATCCCTTGGAGAATAAAGGTTGTTCCGTTAGATAGGTATTATAAGAAGGTGCAGATAGCAAAGGTGCGGATAGCAGGCAGCGGGTGAGCTTTAAACTATCCAAAAGCGAACTAGTGTTGAAAGGGTCGCCGGGTCACGTGTAAAAAGGCAAGCTAACCTAAAGCGGAAAGCAGGCAGCGGGTGAGCTTTAAACTATTTAAAAGCGGACTAGTGTTAAAAGGGTCGCGGGTCACGTGTAAAAAGGCAAGCTAACCTAAAGCGGAAACACGTAGTCCACGTGATGCTACTTTGGCTTTAAGCGGCTATTTATGGGATTGGTCAGATAAGGGCCGGCCAATTAAAAACGGCAGAGCTTGCTTAGTCAAAATTTCCCAACCCAGTCAGTCCCGGAACTGACTTTTAAATTGCAGTCCTAAAGTACTGCAAATAAAGGTAAGTTTAGGTTTATAATATTATTATCCAGGCACTAAGGCTAAAATTAAGCCTGGAGTTATAGATTTTATTAGTAATTTAAATATTAAGTATTTTATAAGCTTATTAAAGCTTTACTAGGCTATACTTGCCTTTATATAAGGCTGTACTTGCTTTTATATAAAGGCCGCACTTGCCTTTATATACTTTATATATATAAAGGCTGTATTTATAATTTTAGGCTTAATTTTACTTTTATATAAAGGCCCGGACAGTGGTACTATAAACCTAAACTTACTTTTATATAAAGGTAAAATTAAGCCTAAAGTTATAAATTTATTAATAATTTAAATATTAAGTGTTTTATATTACAAGCTTTATATAAAAACCCTAAGCCTAACTTCTTAAAGTAGGTATTTAATCCTTTATATAGGAATAAAAGGCGGAACCCTGGAATAATAGTTAAAATAAATAGTAATTTTATTAATTTATATAATAAGTAAAATTAATAAAGTGTTAAGGCCTTTATATAAAATATTAAAAATAGTAAAGTAAGTAAAATTAATAAGGCGTTAAGGCCTTTGTATAGTATATTAAAAATAGTAAAGTAAGTAAAATTAACAAGATATTAAGGCCTTTATATAGGATAAATTAATAAGGCGTTAAGGCCTTTATATAATATATTAAAAATAGTAAAGCAAGTAAAATTAACAAGGCGTTAAGGCCTTTATATAAAATAAATTTTTTTTTTAAATAAAAATCCTAAACTTTATAAAGCGCTTAACATTCTTAGGTTAAATTTAATAATACCTTTTTATATAATAGGTAATATTATTATTTTCCTGCTTTTTTTATATAAAAAGCTTGGCTAAATTAAAAAGGCTAGTTTTTTTTTTTTTTTTAATAGCCTGTTTCTTAGTATTTTTTAAAAAAAAGATTAAATACTTTTTAAAAGCTGGTTTTTTCTTAATCTTAGGGCCTTGTATAAAAGCTGGTTTTACCTTAATTTATAGCTTTTATATAACTACTTTTTTTTAGGCTTAGGCTTTACCTTAACCTTTAACTTTTATATAACTAGTTTTGCCTTAATTTTTAGCTTTTATATAGCTGCCTTTTTTTAGTAAACCTTTTAGGGGGTGTTTAATCTAGCTTTAGTGTAAACTTAATAGTATTTTTTATAATAATTATATAAATTAAATAATTCTTCTTACCTAGAACCTTGTATTAATTAAGAATAATAACCACTTTTTATATTTTATTATTTAATTACTAAAGGTAGACTAAATATAGCTAGGATTAAATTATAGTGGCAAGGTGTAGGTTATTCTTATTTTAAAGTTTATATATATATTTTTTTATTTTTTAAATTAAGCAGGCCCTAATAAAGTCCTTGTATAAGATAATTATATAAAAATAAATTTATATAAAGCAAATATTTAAAAAAAGTAATTAATTAGATTAATAAGATTAAATCTTAAAGGTTAATTTAATATACTAATAAGATTATAGGACAAAGGCTTCTAAATTTTATAAAATTTTTTTTATATAAAAAAATAAAATTTAACCTTATAAAAAGTTCCCTGTATTAAAATTTAAGTTATATAAGTAATAAACTTTTATTAATAATTTTTTACTTTTCCTGTATAGTTAAAATACTAAAAGCATTTAAAAAACTTTTTTTTTAATAATAAAAAAGCAGGGGCAAAGACCTGGAGGGCTTTTTAAAAAAAAGTAAAAAATATATTATTATTATTTTTAATTAAAATAACCTTTTTACTAGGGGGAGCCAGGTTCCCTGTATAAGGCTAGGGGTTTATATAATATTAAGGGTTTATATAAGGTTATAAAAGGGGTAAAGGCTTACTATAAGTAAAATATAATTTATAGCCTAATATATTATTATAAGGCTGTTTAGTTATAAGGTAAAATTTTAATAAAGGTATTTTAAAAGGTTATGTATAAAAAGGTTTTTTTTATTAAAATAAAATAAGTTTTTATGTTTTTATATAATAACCTATAAATAAGGTTAACTAAGTTAAGTAAGTATACTATTATTTTTACTAGGCTTTTTATTATACTCCACCTTTTTTATTTTATTTAAAATAAACTATAAATCCTAGTTAAATATACTAGTAAGCTTTTTTAAAAGCTTAAGCTTAAGCTTAAGCTTATTTTTAATATAAGCTTTAAGCTTAGTTTAAAGGGTAAGGTATATTATATAAAAGGGAATAAATAAGTAGTTATTATTATTTTTAGCACTTTTTAAAGGGCTTTTAAGGTTAAAGCCAAGCTTTAAAAGCTTTATATAAGTTTAAGTATAAGTTTTAGCTAGTAAATACTTATTAGGATCTAGTGTATAAAGGTTAGTTAAGGTTAAATTATATTTAAAATAATACTTACCCTAGGCCTATATATTTTTTTATAATAATTTAAAAAGCTTTAAATTAAACTTAATATTATGGTTTTATATACTAGCTACTAGGTAGTAATAATTTATAAAAGGCTTACTAGTAATAAAATATAACTAGTTTTATTATTTATAAATAAGGTGGTTATTCTAGGTTTATATAAAGAATATAATTTAAATTAAAATAATAGGCATGTAAATTATATATAAAGTAATTTAATTAGCTAAAATATTTTTAAAAAAGTGCTTATTTTATACAAGGGTTTAAAAGTATACTTATTAGTATAATTAGTATAAAATTAAAGTTACTATATAAAAACTTATTTAATATTAAAAAAGTAAACCCTTGGTTAACTACCCTTACCAAGCCTTAATTTACTAGTTTATAGTATTAGTTTTATATAAATAGTAATTTTTAATAAAAATTTTAAAATAATATAATTACTAGAGCTTATACTAGGCCTTAGCTAAAAAAACTATTTTTTTTTTAATTAAATTATATAAAGCAAGGCTGCCTTAAAGTAACTTTAAGTATATTTAAAAATTACTTAAATATACTTATAGCTATATAAAAGCTAATACTTATATAAACCTAAATAATATATTAAAAGTAGGTATTAATAATTATATAAATTTTAATACTATACAAAGCTAGCTTAAAATAATTATTAATAAATTAAATAAAATTTAGCCTAGGTATAATATAAGCACCTTAATAATATTAAAAATTATATAAGTATTTTTATATAGCTTTAGGTACTAGTTTTTTATATATTAAAAAAAGCTAATCTTTATACAAAGTTAGTAGTAAAAAAAAATTATAAAAGTAATATATATTTTAAGTTACCTGCACTTTTTAATTAATAATTTCTTGCTTTAAAAATAACTTACTAGCATGCTTTATTTATAACCTTTAATTTAGCTAAATTTAAGCTTTATATAAAAAGTTTTTATAACTTTATTTACCTTTTTTTTATTAAAAATTAAATTTTAGGTTTAATATAGCATTTTAAGCTTTATATAAATATATTTTAATATATAAGCCTAAATTTTAAACCTTTTAAAATATAAAACCTTAAGAATATTAACTTTACCAAGGCTAACTTAATATATTAAGACTTTAATTTAAATATAAAGGGCTAAGTTATTACTTAAAAATATAATATTACTTAAAAATATATTTTATTTAATACCTTAATTATAAAGGCGTATTTAAATTATATACTTACTAACTTTAAAATGGTGCTTGTGCTTTAGGTATAAAATAATATTATTAATATAAAAACTAGTTATAAAAAAATCTTTAATTTTTTTTTAATAAAAATTAAGATTAATAGGTGGCTAACCTATTATAAAGGCTTTAAAAATTATATAATAACCTAGCTATACTAAAGGTAAAATTTTTTTTTAAGGGGTGGATAAAAAGCGGTAAGCAAAGCGGTATACAGTATTTACACAAAGCGGAGTTTTTGCGCGTTTGTTGATTTAGTCCTCCGTAGCAATGTACTTCGCAGTGACTTGGGCTCTGCCGCGGCTCTTCTGCTCATTCTTTGTCGAATCGGACCCAGTCCTGTATTTGTCTATGGGAATCCTGATCCTCCTATTTCCTGCCCTCGGCCACCCCAGCAATATTTGGCCCTGATCCTGCCAGAGGACCCCACTCACCATCCGACGTGTACGCCACACCGACCATTTGCCCATCCCAAGGCCTCCTCAAGATATTCCTACCTTGCTTGAGAAGGACCAGGGGCTGTTCTAGGGCGCCGCTCGAGAGCGCCCATGTCGGTTAACGGCACACCCGGAATCATCTCGTTACAACTTTGTACGTACACAAGGTGCAGGTTGAATGTGGCTTGCAGATTCAGACGCTAGTGGTAGTACTACTACTAGTAGTGGTCAGGCCCCATGCATCCACTCTCTCATTAGCATCGGCATTGATATCGACAGTGGCCCACGAAGAGCAATGCTGATGGTACTTTGCAGACGGTAGGATCTCCAGATCGAAGGGCGACGTCTTGCTGTACTGCCAGGCTTGCTGCTGCAGGGCCTGGTGCTGGTGCCGATTCAGGGAAAGCTCCGACTCCTCCGCGGGGCAGGAGGACTTGGGCCGGCTGCCGTTTGACCAGCGCTTGTATAACGTGAAGGATATGTTCTTGGGCCATAATTTGTCGAACAGCGCCGGAAGGAGGGGGAGGCAGGCGCAGATGATGCCCGTGTTGGCTTCGACTGTGCTGTGTTGGCAAGTGAGCCTGTTTCTGTGCTTGTACAGGTGTGAAGATGCGGGGGAAGGGAGACTTACGCCCATTGGGAAATTCGGGATAATTGCCAGGTTGTGTCTGGGCTGTCTGCCAGGACGCGTGTCATTACTAGCCGGGCAAGGCTTGCGGCAAGCGCGCTGTTTGCACGGGTTATCAGCCATTCAGTCTTAGGGTGATATAGGACTGGGCGGGCATACAGAATGCCTAGACTGAAGACGATTGCCAGGCGGACTCTTTTGCGCGTCGTCGTGTTCAGGCTCCAGAGAGGGCGCACTGGGAGCAGAAGGACGTATAGATCCGTGGATGTGCTCAAGGCGGCAGAGAGCCAGGGCAGAAGGCTTTGGTGCCAGCAGTGACGTGGGGAGGTGGCTTCCCAGGCACGACCAAGGGGGGAGCAGGAGAATATCGTGAGAAAGACGAGGACGAAGGGGGCGACGGTGACGAAGACGACACCGAAGGTTACAAAGTACCTGATGGTTTTGAGATGGCGGGGGAAAATGCGGTAGTAGAAGAAGAGAAAAGCCAGCTTTACAGCGGCCGTGAGGAAGGTGTAGATGTATTGGGCAATGGTGAAGTACTAGAGCGCAGCTTGAGACAGCTGTTGCTTGTCGAGGTGAAACTGGGCTGTTTACCTTGAGAGTTCGGATCAACCCAGCCCTGCGCACATCCCACATATGGCGTCCAAGGCCCCTAGTAAAGCCTGCGATGGCCGTTGGCATTGAGTGGATTCAGCTCTAGGGACAGGCATACAGTAAGCCATCAGGCCTGTAAACGTCAGGCTCAGACACTGCTGGGGTCAGCGCTGTTTTACGCAGTTCGCCGGGGCTGGCGTGGTACATATGCTAGGAGGGTGAACACTCGGCCCATTAGCAAGAGCATCGGTCCGAGGCAGGAGGCTTACAGTCGTCTATCCCGAGTTTGGTTCGCAGGACCCGGGTGCGGGTGAAAAGCCTCAGGGCCACGGCCAAAGTGGTCAATGAAAGAAAGACAGCGTGGAGAGCAATATTGCCATGGAGCTGGCTGGGAGGATCGTCAAAGTTGGGCTCGGTTCCTTCAGGAGGAGGAAGGGCGCTGGTCATTGTCTAAGGGGAGAGGAAGGATGAGAGGAAGGATGGTGTTGAGAGAAGAAAGTTTGGGAGACAAAGAGACGAGGACAATCACGGGATACGGTAAAGGAACACCATCCCCTTCCCCTTCCCCTTCCACCGCCATCACTACCAACTCTTCCATCCCCTTCCACTCATCTCGCGTATCTTCAGCTGCAGACTGCCATGATTGCCGACATATTCCATCCGCTTCCACACCTTGTTTTCAACTGTCATCTGAGTCTGTGGACAACTGCTGTCCTCGCATTGGTGGCTGTATGATCCCTGCTCTGTCTCTCCTGCTCTTGTCGTCCTGCTGATCTGACTCATCTTCCAGCATCGCCTCGCTCTGCTCGCCTACAAATGTCTACTTCCATCCACTATCCAACATTCCTGGCCCCCGGACATGGGCTGCGTCTCGTCTTCCGTTCATTCACGCCCTGATCAACGGCTCCATCATCCACGATTTCCAGAGACTCCATGAGCAGTATGGTCCCGTAGTCCGTGTTGCTCCCAATGAAGTGACATTCGCCCATCCCGGTGCCTACGCCGATATCCTTCTTCCCCGATCCGAGAACAACCAACAGCAGTTCGTGAAGGATCCAGTGTGGTGGGGACGCCTGCCCGGCCATCCAGATTCGCTGTTCAACGTCATCAGCCCAGAAAAGCATGCGCTTATGCGGCGTACTCTGAGTCCCGGGTTCACGGCACGCGCCCTCCGCCAGCAAGAGCCGTTCATCCAGAAATATGTCAACCTGCTTGTCGCGCAGCTTCAGGATCTGGTCACGGAAGGTGAGGGCGTGGAAGTAAACATGACGCCCTGGTTTAACTACACCGCATTTGACATCTTTGGGGATCTGGCCTTCGGCGAGTCCTTTGACTGCCTCCAGCACTCGAGGCACCATCCCTGGGTCGCTTTGCTATTTAACAGCATCAAGGCGGCTGTGGTCGTAATTTCCACGCGGTATTATCCACTAGTCGAATCCATCCTGCTGAAGTGTGTACCGCCATCCATGCGAGAAATCCAGCGAGACCGCTATCAGCAAATTGTCGACAAGGTGCAGCGGCGGCTGAGCTGGGAATTGCAGCGTCCTGATTTGATGTCTCACCTGATTGACGAAGGGGGCGCCCTGAGGCTTGACGCTGGTGAAATCTTCGCAACCTTTATGATGTTGACCACGGCCGGGAGTGAGACGACGGCGACAGCCTTGACAGGGATGTTCAATTATCTGGTCAATCACAGTACCAGTAGTCTCCGACAACTCGAGAATGAGATACGCGGTGCCTTTTCGAGTACTGAGGACATTACACTCGAAGCAGTGCGCAATCTGCCCTTTCTCAACGCCGTCATCCATGAGGGCCTCCGACTGTGTCCACCACTCCCCTGGGTCCTGCCCCGCATCGTTCCAGAAGGTGGCAGTGTAGTCTGTGGAACATGGCTTCCAGCTGGGGTAATGTCTCCTCCTCTTCCGTTGCCGAGCCTCAGACTGACCGGGGTATCCCAGACACCTGTTTCAATACAAGCATACACCCTGAACCGCGACCCCGCTCTCTTCCACAGGTCCACTTCCTTCCTCCCGGAACGCTGGCTACCTTCTTCAGCGTCTGACCCGGACTCCTGCTTTTTCAACGACCAGCGTCAGGCCGTCCGGCCCTTCACCATCGGGCCACTAGCATGTCTGGGCCAGCAGCTAGCATGGGCCGAGATGCGGCTCATTCTTGCCAAGTTGGTCTGGACGTTCGACTTCCAGGCAACCAGCGGCGAGTGCGTCAGGTGGGAAGATCTGCGAACTTATCTGCTGGTGGAGAGGAAGCCAATCAACGTGCGCATCAGCTTACGGAATGTAACACAGGGTTCAAAGTAAGAACGGTACCATTGACATGGCGGTGTCCAAGTCTACGTTGGAAATGGCCTAAGCAAGTTGACATCAAACCCGTAGGCTGCTGATGGACAGTTCTTTGTTTCTGGCCCCTCTAGGCCGCGTATAAAGAAAGTCTTCCATGTGAAGTTACACATTGCGTTTTCGCTGGTACAACGTACCTAGACCCTTCGGAGATGAGTTGATTGGTGTATTTTTATGCAAGTCAGAGGGGGTATGTGCTTGCAAGCAGACAAAGACTATCAGGGACCAACTTCAATCCCACACTGAATTGCGAACACATAGGGCATTATCTCACTCGGTCCTTCGCTAGGCTCCAGACATGGCACTCATTTCTCTCGTCCTCGCACTGCTGCTTACCTACAATATAGCCCTCATTGTCCATCGCCTTTACTTCTCGCCTCTAGCCAAGTTCCCCGGCTCCAAACTTGCAGCGGCAACAGGATGGTACGAGTTTTACTTCGACTACTGGAAGAATGGAAAGTACATTTTTGAGATTGAGCGGATGCACAAAGTCTATGGTATAGCTCTCGTTCCCTCCAGTCAAGCGTAGTTACTAAGAGTGAGGCACCAGGTCCGATTATCCGCGTCACCCCGGACGAGCTTTCTATCCACGACCCCAACTTCTACAACGAAATCTACGTTACCGAGAGCAAGCGGCGCACAAACTACTACGACTTGTATTGCAATGGAATTGACTTCGAGGGTACCGCACAGCAACTGCATAGATAGGTAGATACAAAAGCTAAAGAAAGCAAGGCGCCCACATCCTAACAGTCGACCATGCCCTCCATCGCAAACGCCGCAAGCCACTCGAGCCTTTCTTCTCCCGCATGAACGTCCAGACCCTGCAACCAATGCTCGCCGAGATGACGCTCAGGTTTGAGCGGCGGCTGCGCGGCCTTGCAGGGACGGGCACGGTCGTGCGCCTGGACCACGCGGCTGCTGCGTTCTCCGGCGATATCATCGCACGAATCTGTCTGGATAATATGGGGCAGGGTTGCTTTCTCGATGATCCGGAGTTCTCACCACACTGGTATGTGCCGCCAGCTGCATTATCTACTTACTGTACTAATGCAATGTCTGAGTAGGTATAACCTGATCCACATGCTGGTGCGCTCGATTCCGCTATTTAAGGCGTTTCCGGTTCTTATACGGTACGTCTCTCGGTATCTTGGGGGAAGTATAGCTGACAAACCAGGATCGTGAGCTACATCCCCGAGCGATATTTGCTCCGGTTGTTTCCACAAGGCCACGTCTTCCATGAATTCAAGAGAGTGCGTCGTACCCCTGCTAGCCAGTCCAGCCGAGTAACCAACCGCCCAGGTGGCGCGTGAAAACATCGACCGCATCTTTAGCAACGCCGGCAACAAAACCGGCACCACCTCCCAGGCAACAGCGACCTCGCTTTTCCATCACATCGCGCAAAGCGACATGCCCGAATCCGAGCGCTCGCTCGAACGCCTCGCGAACGAAGCACAGGTGCTCCTCGGCGGCGGCACAGCAAGCACTGCGCGCACAATCGCCTTCGCCTCGTTCTACATCCTCGATCGCCCAGACATCCGCGCCCACCTCCGCACTGAGCTCGGCGAGGTCATGGCGGACTGGCCGAGGCGTGTGCCGAGTTGGGCGGACCTCGAGAAGCTGGTTTACTTGCAGGCTGTGATTAAGGAGGCCTTGCGGTTCGTATTCCCTCTACCCCTCCCTCTGTACGTGTCTTTGTCTACTTAGTCTCACGACCTCCAGCCTAAGCTACGGCGTCATGCACCGCCTGCCCCGGATCTCGCCGGACCAGCCAATCCAGTACGGATCCTACTCGATCCCACCGGGCGTACGCTCCACTTTCCCTTCCCCAGCCCTAACCCAACCCAGCCCAGCCCAGCCCAACTAACCACCCCCAGACCCCCGTCGGCATGTCCGCCTACCTCATGCACTCCGACCCAACCGTCTACCCCTCCCCCTCACAATTCCAGCCACACCGCTGGCTCGGCCGCATCGACCCATCCATGAACAGGAACTGGGTGCCCTTCGCCCGCGGCTCGCGCAATTGCCTGGGGATGAAGTAAGTCCGCCCAGCCCATACCCCTTTGCATCTAGTTCGCAGGCAGGAAAGCTAATGCGTTGTTAGTCTAGCACTCGCGGAAATAAGCCTCTGCCTGGCGGTCTTGCATCGGCCGGGTGGGCCGCAGATGGAGCTGTTTGGCACGGACGAGAGCGACGTGGTGCAGGCGCATGACTTTTTGGTTCCCCTGCCCAGGCTCGATACGAAGGGCGTGAGGGTCTTGGTTAGGTGAGGTGACTACGTTGGGGGGCTTTTGGAAGTACTAGGCGATGGCTGGCATAAATAAGCTTCAGACATGGGTGGGGTGGCTTGTCGTGTCCATGCTGTTTGCTAGTCCTCGGAGTCTCATCCGTCATCCGCGATATAGCAGGTTCTATTATAAATAATACTATTAATATATAAAGCAGCCTAGAGCAGCTCTAGAGTGTAGGGTAGGGGGTAGGGACTAGTAGGGTAGTCTGCGTAGCTTAAGTACCGTACTTAACTTTCATGACATCTTAACTTTCATGACATGCGGAACTTAGGGCTTCCTAGGTATACCGTACCGTATTCCATGGCATACACCAGATAGAATAGAAAAGGTTAAAGCGGAGATAAAGCAAAACAATTCAATACAAAAGAGTAGTGTTATTTTTAGCTGCTTCTAGGTATACGATGACATCATAGAATACATGGATGCTTAGCCCTAATCTCCAGCTTGGAGCATCCAATCCTCCTCTTCAGAGTGACCCATGCACCCTCGAGGTCGATAGATCCCATTCTGATTCTCAAGGTAAGCTGGCATTTTCCAATAGGAGACTTCATTCCATGTTTGATAACGAGCACACCCTAGTTTGCATCGGATGCGATCAGTATAGTCTACGTGTGCAAGAGGCAGCCATACTGCTGCCGTACCTTGATAAGGGGCTGCCCTAGTTAAGCAGCGAGACAGGATAGTCGTCGTGAGGACGTACGTCCGCTGATCTTGATCTTGGCTTGGACATGTCCTGTATTTCAATTAATGGTTTGGTGGGTAGGAGATCAATTATGCTAAATCACAGTAGTAAGCAACAAAGTCTGCAGGCTATGCAAATCAAGTCAGATCCAACCCAATCTATATGGCAGACCACCCTGTATAAGGCCGCAGTCCCCAGGCCTCACCAAAAGGGGAAAGAACAAAAAAAAAACAAAACATGCAATACGCCAATGCCACACGCACCTGCTAAACAGGAAAAGTAAAGTAAGGGCAGGGCAAGCCGCTAAACAACAACCCCCCTCCTCCGCCACGAAACCCACGCGACACTCCACGCCCCAACCGCAACAAAAACACTAAGCGTGCAGCCCACCGCCCAAACCCCATAGCACCGCCAGCCACGACACTGCCCACCGACCCCGCCCCCCGCATCAAACGCAACCTGGTACGCGCGCGAATAGACAACGCCCCACAGCGCGGCACCCACAGCAGGGAACATGGCGACGATGCCCCAGTTCGTGCCGAAGTTCTCGACGCCCCAGACGACGGAGATGATGATTGGGACGAGGGAGAAGGCGCTGCCGTAGCCGAGGCCGACGAGGGCGGTTGTGAGGTGGGAGAGTTGCGGGTGCGTTGCTGGGAGGGGCGAGGCGAGGAGGAGGAAGCCGAGTGACAGTAAAACGGCGGAGGGGAGGAGGAAGGAGAGGCGGGAGAGGGTGGGGCGGTGTTTTGGGGGGGTCGGGATGGCGGTTGATGTTTCTTGGTCGATTGTGAAGTGGTGCGGTGCTGTGGGGGCGAAGAGGTCTGATAGCGAGCCGGTTAGGAGGCGGGCTATCGTTGAGGTGAGGGCTATGATTGTGACGTGGGTGGAGGGGAGGCCGGCGGGGTGGGAGTCGACGATGGCGGTGTCTGCGTTGAGGGTTTGGACGATTGTTCCCAGCTGCGCTTGTTAGTGGTTATCAGGTTAGGGCTGGAGATACGTACGTTGTTGAGATATGCCTCGCCCGGACCAGTAACCAGGAAGAAGCCCAACGCAAGCCACCACATCGTGTGGTCCGCGAGGAAGGTCCTTGTCTCATAATTCAGCAGCCAATTCTTCTTCCTGCGCTCCTCCTCCTCACGCTCTTTCTCGCGTCTGGCGGCCTCCCGCATTTCCTCCGAGATCGTAGACTGCTCATCCGCTAATCCATCCTCACCGTCCCGCGAGAACGTCCCATACGCATGCACCTCACCGCGCGGTCTGAAGAACTCACTCTCCGCCAACAAGCCACTCCGCTCAAGCTCGTCAACCGCTTCATCAATATACTTCTCCTCCTCGTCATCCACAATCCTCAGCGCAAAGCTACCAATAACCCCAATACTCAGCAGCAACACCGCAAGAAAGACAAAATACCTGTAGACATCAACATCCCCACACCTCCCATCCTCCAAGCGCTCGCAAAGAAAATACGTCCCAACCTGGCTCTGCCACATCCCGCTAAGCCCGAACGCCGCAATAGGAACAGCAAGGATAATGCCCTTGTGCTTGCCCCGGCCAAAGTTCTTCGCGCACGTCGTCACAGCAGCCAAATACATACTGCACGTAGCCACACCAATGAATATAAACGCCACAACCATCACCCAGAACGGCCAGCCCGTCCCGCCCGCATCGGGAGGCGGCCCGCTCTTATACGTCAACGCAGCAAGGAGGTAGCCGGAGCCGAAGGCGATTCCCGCGAATAGGGTCAGCGGCGCCGGCGAGTACCGGTCGCAGAGGTATCCCGCCAGAGAGACGGGGAGATACATTGAGATGCCCGCTGCAATGGAGACCTCGTTCACGCGCAGCTGCGTGTAGTGCAGTCGGGTCAACAGCAACGGGCCGTACAGCGAGAACGCCGTGATGCTGCCTGCGCCGAGACTGCCCAAGAAACCAGTAAGCATGCATATACCCTGAACCGGGAAGAAGGTCTCACCATGTAATAACCCCCCAAACGAAGCTCGCAATGCGCACAACCCGCCGCGCCATCTTCCGGCGGTCCCGCTCCACAATCTCCTCGACCACATCGCTCAGGAGGCCATCGTTGTTGTCGCTGAAGCGATTGCCTACGGACAGACTCGAGACCGGGCGGGAGTGCAGCAGGGCCTGGTCCTCTTGTGCTTCGGACTCGTGTGGAGTTGCTGGGCGGCGGTTGGTGTCGAAGTCGCGTTTATCGATGACCGCCGGCTGGCCGTTTGAGCCGGTCATTATGCCCCGAGGCGGGTACTCGAATTACGCCGTAAGCTGAGGATTCGAGACTCCGCTTCAAGAATAGAGAGCAAGTCAACTTCGTACGCTCGCCTGACTACCACGGACAAGTCAAGCAAGCAGACAGAGTAGGTGAGGAGGTGAGTAGGTGAGGAGCACGCTGACGTCGTGACTCCGCACGAGATAACCTCCGCTTATCAAGGGTCACGTGACATGCCGGGATGTCTCCAACTACTCCGTACACTTTTGATAATCAGTAGTGAAATAAAAGTATAGATTCATATGAGATCCATATCAAGGGTATCTTGTTTATAACATCGCCATCGCCATCACCGTCCAATATCTCCAATCCTCCAATCCTCCAATCCTCCACAATATATACTAAAAGATTTAAGGTGAAAGAAAGTCCACTATGCTGTAGGTGGATCCTAAGCCCCCGTACTCCCCGCTAAATCCAAAATCGAGATAAGAAAACACAAGAGAACAAAAGAGGGTGGACTAGCCCGCCGCTATCGAGGTCGTCAAGGTTGCGACGGCCCGGACCCAGACCCAGCATCCAGCGGATCATGAGTATGTGTCTGTGTCTGCGTCGGGGCTTCCTGGCCGCCATGCCCTTCACCGTCTGGCGCGGTTAGAGCATCAACAGACGACGGGTTCGCCCCAGATCCAGACATACCCGACTGGATCTGGTTCTCGGCGTGCGCAGGATGAGAGTTATCAGACGGCTCCTCTGGTACAAGCGCCGCCGCTTCAGGGTCATAGCGGAGCTCGTAGTCCATGGAGCTGAAAGAGGTCTCCATGTCGGCCGCCGTCCAAGGAGCGGCGCTCTGGACCTGCGGTTGGATGACTCTCATGCGTTGATCGCGAGGACGTGGCGCAGCCCGGCGGCTTGAAGACCGGTCGACGAGGTTCGAGTCCGTGAACCATTGCGGCGACCACGTGTGCTGGCCGCGGCGACGCGCGGGGATCACGGTCACGGGTAGCGACTGGTCGGCGCCGCTCTGGCGCCTTGATGCGGAATCCGACATTCGGTGGAAGGAGAAGAAGTCGCGGTGTCGGGGGTGGGGCGGGTTTTCTTCGTCTGGTTCGCGTTGTTGGTCGTCTGGGGAGAGGAATCCTTCTTCTTCTGCTTGTGCTGAGGCGACCTCTCGTGGTAGAGCCGCGTGTCTGCTCTTGAATGGGTTGAGGATGGTCCGCCATCGGTTGTCCACGTTTACAAGCTGTGGCGAGTGCTCTCGCCCTGGGTCCGTGGACGTGTTTTGGGTAGGTGAGCTAGTTTGCTGGTTTTCAATCACGGTGAGTTCCTTTTCGCCATCGCCATCGGAGCCTTCGTCCTCTTCTTCCATGAAAGGCATGGCAACCGGAGGCGTGGGGCTCGAGACGGGGTAGTAATGCACATTATAGACCGTGCTCGCGGCACTAGTCGTGTCAGCTCGACTGACAGGAGTAACAGCTGCCGGCGGCGGAGTCGGTCTGGCAGGTCTTCGCTTTCGTGATTTCGCAGCCGCGGGGCCCTCGCCTTCACGCTGGGTCTGTACATTCCGACCTCCGCGGGGCCTTAACGGCCGATGAGCGAGCCCCATCACACCTCCCCAAGCCGAAGACATCCCTGTGCCTCCACCACGATCATGCCCATGGAACTGCTGACGGGGCCAGTCGACCTCCTCGGAAGGGGTGACTTCAATCATCTCGTCGCCATCGAAAACTTCTCTCCCCAGGATCCCGTCTTTCCTCTCATCTCGTTCCAGAGCTTCAATACGTTCGACCCATTCCCAAACGACAACACTTGCTGCCGCGGAGCCAACCCACCTGATATAAGTACCCCACCCAGCAATTTCGGGTTTCGCGATATCCAGAACAAAAAAGACAACAGGTATGAGAACTGCACATAGCGATAGCAGTGCAACGAGGCAAATATTCCTCATCTTAGGATGAAAGAAGGCGAATCGATGTTTCGACAAGGAGTAGAAGATCACCCAGGCGGCGTATAGCAGGTTGAGGGCGAGTTCGAATAGATAGCTGAGAGCCGGAATGGCATCTTCATAGAGCCGTGGCCGGGTCGTATTCGTCTTGACCAAGAACTTGTCCAGAATCGCAAAGATCGTATCAAGCACAATCAGCGCAAAGCCCGCCCACTTGATCATAACCTTTTCTTTATGCCGCGGGAAAAGCCGAATCAGCGTCTGCACCTGCGCCAGCCATAAAAATGTACTCGAGATGATCCGCACGACCTTGATTTCCGTCCCGTCAATGACCTCCGACGTCAGGGCCTCGGCGTCCGAGTAGCCGTGATCATACTGTTCCTCAGCGACCCGAAAGGAATCAGCCGTCGCTATAGTCAGAGATATAGCGACGAGCAGCGCCGCGACTTTCTGCAGCCACGGACGCCCACCCACACCCACGACAGACGAGTTATTGCTGTACGACCCGCTGACCATCCCATGGCGACCCAGGAAGTTGGCGCCGCCGCCCGGACCCCCAACGTAGAATGTCCGCGGTGTGATCAAGAGAATAATGACAAGCAGGTAGCTGACAACGGTGGCACAGCCCATGGCGTACAGCAGCGGGGTGACGGACGAGTAGAACGGGTCGTGGATGTCCAGCGCCGCCCCGGCGTGTTCGGTCGTCGTCGGCGTACTCGTGCACGCGGGATCATAGATGGCATTTTCCCCGAGGGAGATCGAGTACGTGCGGTTTATATATACGTAGCCTGGAGCAGAGCAGGGGCGTTAGTCAAGCTGCACTGCACGATCGAGAAACACCGCAAGCCGGCTGGGACCATACCATCACTAGGAAGCAGGAAAGGGGTACACCCAGGGACGTAGGACCTGGTTGTCGTGCTTGTCGGCCGCGCCCAGATCTGGCGGGGGGCGAGGCGGCCGTCATCCTCCATGGTGACTTAGACCGGGTGAAGCAAGCACACGCACACGTCACGTCGCGACCAAAGCAGCCCAGCTCATGCACGCCGTGGGAGCATCGGTATCGCGGGCATCAATGCTGTGTGCATATGGTGGTTATCGGAGTCGTTCGCTCAGTTGACCATCACTGCGCTGGGTCGTTGGTTAGGGGCAAGCGATCGGTCGGTCGGTCAGGTCAGGTTAGGCAGACGGTCGGGGCTGGAGAGTCGATCGATCGGCGAGGAGACGCAGGTAAGACGGGAAACGATTGCAGACGCCGGGTCGAGCCGGGCGGTAAATATGCAGAAGATATGCGATGGAGATAATGTTCGAAGCGAAAGGAACTGGATATGAGGTAAGATGGTGGTTACATGCGGCGGAGGAGTCCTTGTCTGTTGATCGGGCAGGAGATTGAGGAGGGAAAGACGCCTTTCTGGAGTTGCGCCACAGCAGCTGCACAAGACACGGACGCTCCACTGTCCAGATCTCGGCCTCGCCGTCTCTCACCGCCCACCATCGATCTCTTTTCTCTCTCTTTCTACAGAATCATCCTTGATCATCATTGCTGGATTGGATGGAAACCGGCATCGATCTCCGCCAATTTGAGTTCCCCGCGCTACGAGCAAGGTACGCCTTGCCTGCGCCGGTGCTGGTGGAGGTACAGACTACAGAGGCGAGGCCCAGGCCAAGCACCGAATCGAATCCCCAACAGCCTCGCACAACTGCTGTAGGTCTGCCGAAAGGGGAAGTATAGTATTGCAGACTCGCCAACAGCTCCAGCTACATACTCTGACCGCTATATTATGTGGTACAAGGCACGTAAACAGTCAATGAAGAAGCAGCATTACAGAGACACGGTCTCGTCATAGGGGTATCCAGCATCAAATCGCTCAAAAGCAGAAAATCATCTCGTCATTCGTCGCAGGATCCAGAATCCGGAGTCCGGTCCCGTCACCTTTGGGGTGGACCGTACGACATCGGCACCGGCGCTAGGTACGGGGATACCAGCGCAGCCCCGGCGGCTCTGGATGCGTTCGCCCTCTCTTCTTCTCGCTTTCTTATCTCTTTCTCGTCCTGGATGAGCGTACAGCACGTGCAACAGGTTGCGCGGACGCAGTCGGATGCGATGCTACCCTGGATGCCGTACGCTCTGCGCGTTCGAGTATGCTGGATGGTCGCCAGAAGCCCTAACACCTATTAGCTATCGCAGTATTACCGGCGGCGACATGATCTCACATTGGCAGCCGCATAGCAGGGCCATGGCCGTGCAAGACCCGCTGCATGTCTCGTACCCAAGCATATTCGTCGGGTCCTCTTTTCTCGACCTCTTGGATAGACGGTGCTGTGTTCTGCCATACAGGATGCAGGGACACACGAGGCCAAGACAGCATGTCCCAATGCTGGAACAGTCGCATAAACCGTGGCTCCATCCACCGCCTTTTATTTCTTGGTTGGGGTGTGAAATCTGCCCGGGTTGATGGTACGCGGCGAAGTTACTTGTTGTCGTTGCTGGGGCAGTTGCTGCCCTCGCCGGGGGAGGAAAGTAAGGTATCGTAGGCGATTGAAGAGGGTTCGCATCGGGCGCGACGGACAAATCATGACGGACATGCTCGCGTTCTTGTGTATATGGATCTGTCTTTATCGGAAGAGGTCCCGGGGAGCTTGGTGGTTCTATGTTCTGCTCAGCAGGCATTGGCACCGTATGCTCCGGTATACTGTCCGCAAATGGGGCATGAATAGCAGGGTGATGTTGAATATCCGGAGCGGGAGTATCTTGCGACGTAAACTGTGTCTCTTCACTAGCGATAGGCGGTCGATGGGTCGAATAAGTGCTCTGATCTGCTGGAGCAGACGGAAGTCGCGGGCGGTCCTGGTTTGGGGGAGTCATTTCCAGCGGCGTTGCGACATACGAGTATCGATTGTTGACTCCCATGTTGGAGGTGTCCAGGCGCAGTTTTGGATTCATCTCTGGCACGTTCAAGGCTGGCCGCCAAGTTCCAAGCGACGAGTAAGGATGTCGATGACCTCAGAAACAGGCAGTGTCTACTTAGTAGGTCGTCTTAAGTATCAAATACGGTACGCTCTGTCGTTATTGATGGTCGACAAGAACGACCATAAGCATCGAAAAGAGAAAACATTGAGAGACTCAAGTCCAGTCTAAGAAGAGCAACCCAGTCCGAAATACTGTTGTCAACGGTGTCCTGCTCTGCGGGGGCGATCCCAGCCCTCCAGCTTCTTGGTTCTTCTTACCAAGATGCAGTGGCTCGACCCTCGAGCTCGGAAGATCGTCTGGGCGATGGATTGCAGTGCTGGCCTAGCAGGCTAGCTGCATGGTCCCGAGCGCTTTTCACACACGCAGCGATGCTGGTTGGCTGTTGGGCCGGTTAGAGAAATGGATAGTTCCGTGGGGATGCGGTGCCCATCACATCGCGCCGCCCTGTCACATCCCACGCTGTAAGCGCCTTCTTTGTCAGACTCGCTGCACGCACTCTGCCACGCTCGAAACGCGAGTTACGAGACACTGCCACGGGCTAAGAATACCTTTTCTATTTTCTGTTGCCTGGTGCATTTGTTTCGTCTTATCTCTCCACATTTGTCAGAGATCGACGATCAGGGCGTCAAGTCGATGCGTAAATGACGTCTGTTCGGCAGCCGATGCACATGCACATACGGTATACCTACGTATCGGCATAGCCTCTCTTGGGCATAAGCTCACCCGTATAGATACGCCGTACTCCGTGCTTACTCGAGCCTCGCGGCTGATATGCGCGTACTCGGACCCTGGTCATGCCCGCGAGTATACACCATCCAAATCAACATCGCAATGCTGTGCCACTCGTCAAATCCGGGTCGAGCATCATATGGGCAAGTTCCAAATGAAATCCAAGTCCAAGGGGTCCGAGTCCAGCCCCAAATCCGGCGGCGCTCCGTCCCAGGACCCAAACGGGGCCATCAACGGATCCAGCGGGAGAGACAACCAGTCCCCAAGGCCAACCTGGGCAGGCCAATCCATGATATCGGCGTCCCATGCAAATTCTGTCCCCGGTGGTTGCTCTGCCTCGCTGTTCTCCTGGGTTGTTGCGTTGCTCTGGCCATCCCCGTGACTGGAGCTGGTGAACGTCTGACGCAGACGCGACACATGCGTCTTCAGGAGCGTCGCGTACCTTGAAGCAAGGTGGATGTCGTCGAGGGGGTCGGAGAGGAGGGCGGCGATTGCGGTATCGAGCAGGTGCAGCGACTCTTCCAGCTTGGTCTTTCGTACGCCGAGGGCTAGGGCTTTGAGGAGGAATATCGACGAGCTGATCATGCGTGACAGGACCCGCATGGGAAGACAGCGGGGGTTAGGGAGGGCAACGATACGTGAGAGAATTGCACATGCACCGTCGATGACTTCTTCGATGAACTCGTATTCATTCCTGCTCATGTTGAGTTGCCGGGCTTGGGAGACGAACGTTGCGTCGATGGTTCCTCGCGATGGCGTGTTGGATAGCACGCGTTCGACTATTCCTTGGACGCCGAGTGAGTTTGCGAATACCCTGAGGTACTGATACTCGATCCGCAGGATGTTGTCGTAGTGAGAACCTATCCAAGATCAGCGAACCATCAACCAATCGTCCTAGGAACATACTCGGGTTATCCTGGACATGATCTTTCCATGCTGCGAGCTGGGCTTTCCACTGCTCCAATGATTCGAAATCGATCTGCTGGCTGCCAGCTGTCTCAGAGTTGAAGAACTTCTCTCGCAAAGTCCGGGTCAACCCCGTGAGATTCACCCACGAGATCATGAATCGCGCCCACTCGGGATCAACGGTCAGAAGGCTATCGAGGTTTGACTGCTTACTGTGCTCTGGCATGATAGAAGTGCAGCCAATACGAGAGGCGAGTAGGTTCGCAATCACAAACAGCAGCGACGGAAGACGCTGCCGCCTAAGCTCCAGGTCTTGCAGGTACTTCTCGACATCAGGACCTGCGATCACACCCTTTGCTTTTGAACTGCTCATATGATCCCTTGAGTCGAACACGCCGAGCTCGTGCGCGAGCGCAAGGGCCGAGCTGACCAGCATCCAGGACATCCGGTCTGACCGTCGCGTTGGCTCCACGACGTCTTCCCTCCAGCGGTCTTGCATCGGACATTCCTCAGTGTTTGAAGGCGGATCGCGCATGGTGTGCGTTGTGAGCATCCAATCCGAATCCCAACCATCCACTTCCACGGGAAAGTGCAGGGCCAGTGGATACCATTCCGACAGGAGCAAGAGGGCCTCGATTGTCGATATATGTCTGGTCTTAGCCTTGGACAACTTCTTTTGCCCAAGCATTATCCGCAAGATCAGGTGCTGGCAGTGCTGCCATAACCTATTATGAATGTAGAATCCCCTGGAGCTCCCAGATGGACCGGGCAGGGTATGGTACCGCGCGGATATCATCAGGATCGTGCAGCACAGGACCGGCTCCTGCGTAATCAGCCAGTAGTGCGTATTACGTATCGCGAAGAAGTCCGTCAAGATGGGAGTCGTCACCGGTGCCAGATTGCGGAAGAACCTGCCGGGGTTAGACGAGGGCTATCCTCTATACGAGTGTTGAACTAACCAGTCCATATACACCAGCGCCTCTCCCGCCGTGAACCAACCCATCTTGACGAACCGGCACCCCTCCCAAACCCTGAGCACATTCTCCTCCGCCCGAACATCAAAAGGAGACGCCGTATCTCCAGAACCTGCAACTTGATGGCCGACACAGACACGCCCCGAGCCCGCCTGTGCCGCCGCACCGAACAGAATATCCAAGGCGTCATTCCCACTCGCAACTTGCTTCTGCAACACCGTCGTAGAGATACACCCCGACTCGCCTCCACCCACCTCCGCCGGCGCCGCAAGATCCTCCGTTTCCCGCCGTTCAGGTTCAGATCCCGCAGACACAGAGTCCCATGGCCGTTGCCCGGCTGCAGGTGCAGGTGCAGGTGCAGGTGCAGGTGCAGGTCCAGCGTCCGCTGCACCGGCGCTCTTCGTCCTGGACCACGGCTGCTTCGACGAGAACCGGCACTGCAGGCGCATCTTCCGACACCGTCGACACGGCCGGTGGGGATCCGTATCCGGCCCTGGCTCTGGCGCTGCCTCTGGCTCGCATTTCACCTTCCTCCGCCGGCACGGGATGCATGCTTTGTAGGCTCGTTGGAAGGTGTATTGTGTTGCGGATCGGCTGCGTGGGGGGCGGTGCATCCTGTTAGACTCTGTTGCTTTGATGGTCTCGGCAAGTAGGTAGGCAGGTAAGTAGAGCGGATGGTGAGTGTTGGATGGAGTACCGGATACTCTGCCCAGGTGCAGACGTGCCCCGTGGTGGAGGGAAAGCTGGGGAGCGGGGGAAGCAGTTGGAGGCGAATGGGGCACCTGATAGGCTGCTAAGGAAACTTAGGAAAGGGAAGAACGGGGCCTGAATTCCATGCCAAGTCTGGGTGCTTTCGAGCTTTCTTTTGCTGCCGACACTGTCTGCACATGCAGGTTATATGGTCTCTAGATGCAGACTATCTACAACAACCACGGGGACTGGAATCTCTCTAGGCGACTACCATCTACAAGATCAAAATAGTCTCTGAGGTCTGCATTCTTCACTGCTAGCACGCGTATACTTATGGAACCCAACGTGCTCAACCATCTGACAATCAAGATACCTACAGCACCTCACTACATAGCCTGGTTCAGGCACAGTACACACACGACTATACCAAATATCGGAAACGCGGGTTCGCATCGCCGTCCGCCGTCACATCAATCCGGACATCATCCGTAACCGGCCCGTACAGCCTATCTCGCTTCCTATTCTCGTAGTCCAGCTTCACGTAGAGACCGCCGGCCATGAGCGCAATGCAGCCGGTCAACGCGCAGCCGACGGCACAGCCGCGGACATAGATCGGTCTGCAGGGATGGGATGGGAAGGTTAGCAGGCACGCACAGGACTAGAATAGGGTATGCCACGGCCACGCACCCCTCCGAGTCCGGAAAGACAGTGCTACTGACGAAGCTCGAGCACTGCCCAAACACGGCCAGCAACGCCATCCCCGCGCCCTTCTTCGAGTCGCCCCCCTGGTTGTTCAGCAGCCAGGTGATGTTGATGCACAGCGCCGGGAACACGCCGCACGTCGCCAGCCACACGCCTAGATACCGCGGCCCAACGCGACTCTCATCCTGGATTGTCGCGAGAAGCAGGTACCCGGCCATGCCGACGGTGGCGAAAACCACGATGACCAGCCCCCGCCGCCCGTATCGATCGGAGAAGAGGGCCGCCGCGACGCAGCACAGGAACGAGACGAGGTACGGCGGCGCGGAGAGGCCCTGGGCGTTGACGGACGTGTAGCCCATGTGCTGGATGATGGTGGGGAGGAAGTTGGAGAGCGCGGCGAAGGAGAAGTTGCAGCAGAAGTGGATGGCCGTGTGGACGTAGTTCTTGGAGTCGGCGAGCCCGGCGAGGACCTGGCGGGAGTCGAGGCGGTTCTTTGCGGTGCGGTCGACGGTGTGCAGGCGCTCGGCGGCGGTGGTCTGCTCGGACTCGGTGAGGAACTTTGCGGTGCCGGGGGAGTCGGGGAGGAAGAGGAACACGGCTATGGCGAAGAGGACGGTGGGGGCGCCCTCTGCTGCGGTTAGCGTGGCTTGAAGGATGGGATAAAGGGGATGGGCTGACCTATGATGAACAGGAACCGCCATGACTCGAGGGTCGAGTGCCGGATGTGCGTGATGCCGTAGGCCAGGGAGCTGGCGAAGCAGTTGGCGACGGGGGACATGCCCAGCAGGATGGAGACGCGGAAGCCCAGTTCTCGCCGCTGGTAGAACAGCGACAGGAAGTAGGGGGCGCCGGCGCCGAAGGCCGCTTCGAAGACGCCCAGCAGGCACCGGCACACGATCAGCTCGGCCATGTTGTCGACGGCGCCTGCGCACATGGCTGCTGCTCCCCAGCTGCACGCTCAGCTCTGAAGAGAAAAGGGAGGGAGGGAAGCCGGAGTGTGCTCACCAGATGCATAGAGCAGTAACGTAGATGTGGGCGGGGAAGAGCTTCCAGAAGACGGTCGTCCATTCGAAGAGCACGTAGCAGATGTAGAACGCGTTCAGGACCCAGGCCCACTGCGCGTCGCTGATCCCCAGGTCTCTGTCGAGGCCAGCGGTTTTGGCATTGCCGATGTTGCCTGCACTGATGAGTTCGAGGCTTGGTGTAATAGTAGGGGGCATACCTCTGTCTAGATAGGACAGCACGTAGAGAATGCACACGATGGGCAGAACTCGACGGTCAAACTGGCAAGGTTGGTGGTCAGTGAGTGAGCAGGGTCGGCCGTCTACAGTTGAGATGTGGTGCCATACCTTCTTGCGTATATAAGCCTCCTCAGTCGCCGAGACATGGACAGGCTGCTCGTTCTTCTCCACGTCTCCCGCGGACTCGGGCTGGACATTCTCCAGATGCAGAGAGTTTTCTTTCTTGACGGCGGCCATGGTGTGCTGGAGGAATTGGGATGGAAGATGGACTCTCCACAACCGTCCTCGCCTCTTTATACTCTTGACACTGGGCAGGACTCTGCCTGCTGAGATGCTAACCTGCTAGCTTGAGACTGTCAGTCCTTTCTCCGCATTCTCCTCCCCACGGGGTACCAGCTGGTTAACTGGCATTATCCGCCGGTGCCCCCCTCTTCGGACTATCCCTACCAAGACCAATGAGGGAGAATGAGCTGGAATTGGCCCCTGGTCATTGGAGCACGGCTTAAGGTCAACTCCTCACTCTCGGTCGAGAACTGCCTTTGCCGACATGGCGGGTATTGCCAAATTGCCGCATCCCCCGTCTGCAAATACCCGCTCGCTACCCTACGCTCTTGTCGAGATAATACTTATACTGAACCTGCTCTTACAAGTTCACAGAAAGCCACACTCGCATCAGATCCTCTGAAACCCCATCTCTCATCTATGAAAATGCCCGTCCCCTACCCCTTCCACTTCACCACCCCGGCCCAGCCAACCTCCACCAGCAACGGCGAACCCACCACCCTCACCCTGACCCTCGACAACGTCCGCGGCCGCATCCCCTCCGCCCAAGCATCCCGCCTCCGCTCCCTGATGCTAGAAGCGCACAACAGCCCCGACAAAATCATCGCCCACGCCTGCTCCTACGACGGCCTGTCCTCGCGCCTCGTGCAGGAAGCCGGCTTCCCCATTGTGTTTCTGGCCGGATACACGGTCGCCAGCAGCTTCGGGCTGCCGGACACGGGGTACATTGCGATGGAGGACCTGTGCAGGCGGATCCAGGAGGTCGTGAGGCAGGTGGATGTGCCGGTCATGGCGGACGGGGATACGGGGTACGGGAGCCCGATGAATGTCAAGAGGACGGTCGAGTCGTTTGCGGCGGCCGGTGCGGCGGGCGTTATGATTGAGGATCAGACCTGGCCGAAGCGTGAGCTTTACCCTTACTCCCCTACCCACATATGGATAGTGGATAGGAAGAATGCTAACGGCTCAGGATGCGGCCATACAAAAGGCAAGTCCGTCGTGTCGCGCGGCGAGGCCTACGCGCGCATCCAGGCTGCCGTTGACGCGCGCAACGAGGGGCAGGATATCTTCATCCTTGCGCGCACCGATGCCCTGATCCATGGGTGGGATGAAGCGCTCACCCGCGCCCAGGAGTTCAAGCGGATTGGCGTTGACGCGGTCTTCGTCGAGGCCCTGCCGGACCGGGAGGCGATGCGGCGATGTGTCCGGGAACTGGGGATCCCGACCTTTGCTAATATCATCGAGGGCGGGAAGACGGAGAATCTGTCTGCGAGGGATCTGGCTGCGCTTGGGTTCTGCGCTGTCGCGTACCCGTGGACGCTTGTGGCGGCGAAGCTGAGGAGTATTCGGGAGACGTTGGATGCGTTGAAGAAGAGCATGACTGAGGGGGCGCCGCCGGTGATTTTGGGTTATGCGGATGTTTGCGAGGGGGTTGGGTTTAATATGTACTGGGTGTGTATCTTCCTTCTGCTCTTTTGTTTGGTGTCTAACTGTGGGATGTGCAGGAACGAGAGACTCGGTATGAGTTTAACCAGGATGGTCTGGTTAACCCGCCAAAGTAAGCTGTTGGGTATACCCAGGCGATAGAACGCTTGACAATGGTGATGACATTGATTGATGGCGTCTTCTTGATCAAGCCTGAAGCATTCACACTGATCTTAACCATGACAATTCTAAGCTATTTGCTCCAGCTGCTTAATAATCCCATATTGACACCGTTTGTGTGCCATCTGACTATATAACATCTCTTTCCCTGAGTAGGACGCTCTATCTTGTCTGGTGTGGAACATTGACCCCAGTTAGGGCTAATCGTGTATGATGTCATTCACCTATAGACGTAGAACCACGAGGGACAGAGTTGCCAGCTACAGTCTCATTGTCTGCAATCTGCCATGGTGTTTGTCTATGTTCCATCCTTCTTTCAGCTCTACCTTTCCACTGGACGAAGCTGATACAGCCCATGACGTCAGGGCCACGCGATGCTCAAACGCACTCAGTCTCAACGCCACCGACAGCATCCCATCGCATCCCAATGGATCTCGATCAAGACATTCGGCATGAGGTCAACGGCTGCGTCGCCCGTCCACTGCCGTTCCTGTTCTTTGTCTTGGCGCTAACAAACGGACCGTAGGTCAAGCATTATGCGTTTGCAGACGGGGGTATATAGATCGTCATTGCCCTTTTCTTTTCTTTTCGCTGATCCCCCCGTCCATACCATAACCCAACCCAATGTCAAATTCCGATTCAGATACAAACCACCACAAGATCTCGAATACATAGAACCGCGAACGCTAAAATGAACCCCTTCGCACAGTCCCAATCCCAATCCCTATCCCAACCTCCCGCCGAAGCTGAAGCTCCAACTGAAACTGAAGCTGAAGCCGGCCCCTCCACCCCCTCCCACACCGAAGACCAAAAGCGCCACTTCTACGACAGCCTCCCGGCCTCCGAGAAACAGGACAAGAGCTACAAGCAGTGGGTGCAGGAGGCGTACACCACGCAGTACGAGAAATGGATGCCGTGGCTGGAAGACCAGTATCTGCGGTTGTTTGGGAAGGGCGACAATAAGGCCTCGTATGTGGCGAGGGGTATGTCCGCACATCACATCACATCACACTACATTCTTACATATGTCTACGTCTACGTCTACGTCACGGCCACGGCCCGGCCATAGATCTACACAGAAAGAAAGAAAAGGATGGAACGCAGTATGGACCGCGAGCTAACCAACTACTCTTGAAACGCAGAAAACCTCAGCAAGACAAAACTCACCGGCAACAGCCACCTCGACCAGCTGCAGGACGACACGAACAACCTGCTTGCCAACCAGGTCAGCGAGAACGGGCTGCTTGCGCCGGTGGGCAATGCGGTTTCGAAGGAGGGGATTAATCGGGTGGAGCGCGGGGGGAGGGATGAGAGGGGTTCGTATGGGGGCGCGCTGGGGCTGGGGGGTGTGGTGGATCCGGTTGTTGATGGCGTGAAGAGCGTGGGGGGCTCGATTGGGGGGGTTTGGGGGGGTGCAGGTGGGAAGTAGATGGATGGGTTAGGTAAGATTGGGTATTGAGGTGGGTTGAGGTGAGGTGAGGTATAAGATTAGGTAAGGAATCGGATTCATATGCGTTGTTGACGGGTTTATGAGCATATGACTATCATCTGGGATTGGCTGTTTGTTTTCATACCTGTTATATAATTTGTCTCATTGGCAATGATAGCATGCGCTTCAGGTTCTGCGTATCTTGTTTTGAACCCCACGCCGCGGATGATCTATGGTCAACATGCAAGCACCAGCAAGCAGTAAGATACATTATAGGTCTGCTGCAAAGCATAGCCCCAACTCCAGAGAATCGCGGTATAGCCCAAGGCGCCTGTGTATCAGCATCTTTCGAACAGGACCGGGTCCAAAGCTGGCTGGAACTCTGCACTGGAGGTCGAATGATGATCAACCAGGTGCGAAAAGCCTTCTATCATTGTTCTATGGCAGGTTAGGCCATCAGGCCCCGTAGCTAGGTATTAAGCCGTCACTGTCTACGTTGCATGGAGGAACTCACTGGTTGCAAGCTTGATTGAATCATGGGAATTACGAATATCAGGAAGCAAGACTGGTTTCGAGGCTACTGGGCGGATCCTAGATTTGTTGTATTGATACAGACAAGTGGATTTCATAGACCTGGGTTGATGGTTATCCTGCTGCGACGGCGGTCCAGTACCCAGGACCTCTTAAGCAGGGATGAGATTATTCAAGCATGCATCAATGCTCAGACTGGACGCGCCCGGACTCTAATGCCCAGCCGAAGGCAAGGACGGAAGGTACAAGTCGTGCAGGTACCTTGGCTGCAGGTTGGATAGAGACCTACCTATGGAGTATGAATGTGCAGACTCTTGAAACCCAGAGAATGTCCATTCTGGCCGGGGAACTCTCAAGCGGTAGCATGGAATCGCCAAGACATGTCAGTGTCTGGATTCTGAGTCACATCACTCTCAACCCGCCGGCGAATCCAGTACGCTGATGATCGATTCACAGGGAATCGAGTTCTGATTCAGCCTTGCTGCCGTTCATTTACCATTCAATCCTTTTGATAGACGTCTTCAACGGTCAGTCTCATACTCGGTACCAGAAGGGATTCAAGCAGAAGCTCGAATATGGGCATGGTGGTGCAAGGAGATCAATACTGGACTGGTCGGCCTGTCTGTTAAGATGAGATTCCTTTCGACTGTAGAACTTTTGCGATGACTCAATCACGCAGCGTCTGCGATAACATGTTAGTCGGCGAGGATTCACAATGCGAATGAGTCGAACATCATCAGATCACCGGGTAGTTGGTTGGAATTTGAGACCAGCAAGGAGTATGAAGTTGTTGAATCAACTGACAAATGATTAAGCTGCGGCATTCAGCGTCTTCGCGCACGTGCATCATCGCAATGCCTTGTTGAGCCGAGAGCTGCCGAGAGAGATGCAACCACCCTCACACATATCCCTACGCAGAGTGCTTGAATCGGTAGGGCAGGGCAGCAAGGGGGAATGCCGTGCCGTTGATTTATGAGACAGCTCAAGGACGAGACGTGTCTCCTTTCGACTGGAGGTTGGTATTTACCCAGTAGGGTCGAACAATCCGGCAGTTGAAGCAGAACGGGGACGGGGAGATTAGATAGCTCAAATGATGAGAGCCAAGTCCCTGATCGGAAATATGCACTAAAAGTGCACAGCCGCCTTTGGAGTTGACTCAGTTGAGATGGATGCGCTTGTTCTCGACATTTGCCGACCTCCGTGGAAGGATTGCTTGACGGGCGTTTCATCACCGGAATCTAGACGACGTGTCGATGACGGTCATGACAGCGAGCGGCCAACATAGCCGGTGGTGAGAAGCAGAGCACAGATCCAAATCGGACCAAGTTGTTGAGGTGAAGGCCAGATATGGGAGGTTGAAGTTGCTGGAAGATATGAGCCAGCAGGTTGATCACGTTGCGCAATGATTGGTAGACTGTGGCTGAAACGGTCATGCGGGTGTGGGGATGAAAGAGAGGAGATCCTTCTTGGAATGCCCTCCTGCGGCCGCCGGCCATCATATATCCCCAGGATAAGACGGACATGACTGGTTTGTCTTCAGATAAGCCGGACTGGGATTTGCATTGCATCATCCACTGCGGTCCCTAACAAATGGGATGGATGCCATTTCCCTCTCCGTGGCGGCTGTAACACAGGGGTACGGCCAGAATCGGCAGACCCTATTATGGATAATGGATATACGGAGTAGAGTCACAGGGTCATAGTCGGACAATGAACCGAGTTTCTTGTTACTCTCCGCATTTTTGATCCACGATTCTCGAAATGCGGTAGCACAGCCTGCCAACACCCGGAGGCATGACTCGAAGCCGCGTTCACAGGGATGAAACTGTCCAGTCGAACGGGAGCCGGAGGGATAAAATGACGATGATAGCAAGGCCGAATATTATTGCCAACTGCCAGAAGTGTCGACGTGCGTATCAATCATCGAAGGGTGTGGTAAAGTGGTCTGAGATAGCTTCCACCTCATCGCAGAGCTGCCCTGGTCGAAGCATTCGCGGTAGGTCCGAGTCTGATTGGTGGCGGTTCATCTCTGTCTGTTGACTCCTGACTCCTCGCTTCAGTCTCGAGATCCAAGTTTCGTTCCAATTCATTCCGGGGAAGAGACGGCCTAGACGACGATTAGTGCTGTTAATCCCTCATCGGGCCACCCTAAAATTGGCGGTTCGGCGAGGAGTCCGAGGCAAGCCGTCTCTGCCGAAGAAGCTTCTGAGCCTCTGAGGTGATCGGGCTGTGGGATTTGCTTTTCGTGCTTGAGCCTTGACTTTAGAATTGAGCAGTTCAAAGTTGAGTGTGCGCCAGTCCAGTCCCACTAGAAAGCGGTGACGAGGATCCGCATCACTTCCAAGTTCCCCGGGCTGGCCAACCGCTCTCTCGAACTAACCGCACGCTAACCTCCCTACTTATCTCTCCCTTTCATCATCATCCTTTAATCGAGCTCACAGGCCAATCTATCCCTGTTTGAGGCGGCCGCCCGATTTCAACCTGTAAGCTGCCCTTGCCCTGGAACGTGGCTGATGTTCCTTGATCTCCTCGGTCTCCCAGGCTAACCCAGCTAACCCAGCTAACCCAGCTAATCCATCAGCGCCAGTCTTTGGGCTTTCCTTTTTCCGCCTTACTCGACTCGAAACACCAACCATAATCCTTCTCCCTCCACGCTTTTGCTGCCTGTTCGGATCCCATAATCCCTGTTTCGACCGAGCAGTCCCGACCAATGTCCTCCTCATGTCAAGGCCTCCATCTGCATCTGAGAATCCCCCCTCGACTCCCCCGGTGACACCTGCTACTTCTGCCCAACATGATTGCTCTGAACGCCCGAGCTCTCTTCACGGCAAGCAGCGGCGCCACCGCGACGTCCGGGACCAGCTTGCTCATATCGATCCTCAACACGTTCCCTCACCATCCCGCGCTGAATCCCCCACGGCTCGTCAGTGGGCCAACCCCTCGTCCAAATCTACTCTAAAAAGAGCTACAACCGCTCCCTCGGACCCCATCTCTCGTCCAGAGCTACACTATACCGGCTATAACAGCCCACAGCTGTCTGAACGAGACAGCATTTTCGCAACACATTATTTGCCTTCTGATAACGAAGCTGCCAATTCGCCGCAACTTCCGCCCGTCGAAGTCGCCCATCATGACGCTCCTACAAACCTGACTTCCCATTCGGACAGTGCGTCCTTTTCCTCCTCGTTCACTCCCAAGGTCCTTTCCTACCAGCATCGCGGCGACGGCGCCTCCATGGAAGTTGAAGTTCAGAGAACCCAACCGCTGCGCTCCGCCCCGCTCCTTCCCTCCAACCCTCCTTTCGCGTTATCGCCCAACGACCAGGATGTGACGCTGGACGAGGGGCTTGACTTCGCCGCTAGGGGGGCGCCGAAACATACTTGGGACAGCAATGCGCCCTACCGCAAATCATCTTTACACCTCGCGGGTGTCGGTGCTGGTGCGCCACAGACGTCCCACCGAGGTCTTCACCCTTCGCCGCTGCTTGACGATTCCTCCTGGTCACCGCAATTGATGGTAACCCCCTCCGACAGCCGACTGAAGGGCGCCGCTAGCTCTCATCAAAAACAAGGACAGCCGTCCAGGGATAACACAGAGGAAAACAAACTAGAGCGGAGTCCCAGTCGCGGTCGGCGTGGAAGGGTAGAAAACTCGATCGAAGCCAATATAGCAAACGCCGAACATGCTCCTTATGTCCGCAGCCGTAAATCGAGTCACTACCTTGGGTTATTCAAGGAGAACACAGCCACGTCCCCGGATCGCAAGCGAAGAGATGATCGTGCTGCAAGGCATGATAACGCCCTTGAGGTGCATGACCAAGACCAGCAAGGGCTCCATGCGGACCATCGTCACCCCCGGGATGACCGGCATGGAGCTGACATTCCCGAGCAAGCGGATGCTCAGGTTTCGAAACGTTTGTCGCAGCTTTCGCTTGCAAACATCCCGATGATCAAGCCATTCGCGGGTGGCGAGTTGCACGGCGATCACACGATCGAACATGTCCCTGCCAAACTCGAGACTCGAAAATTACCTCGGAGTCTTCTAGAGGAGATTCGAAACTTCCACCTTACTCCAGGAGGGGGGCGGGGAACTTCTTTTTCCAGAAGTATACCCACTCAATATTCAGAAAGGGCCCGGGCTTTTGTTCATACGGCCTCCCCCTTTTCCGACACAGACCAAGAGAACCGCGTCGGCTCGGCTCCTGTTGATGAAGAGGATGACGAGCAGATCTCCTCCGCAGTATATTTCCCGCATGAGCGCGTGGCAGTTTCCGATGAGGTCGATCCCCTTCATTCTATTGCAGAAGATTCGCATGATTTGCAGCCATATGATGAGTCGGCAACGGAGAGTAGCCTCGTGCTAAAGCCGGAAAGACGGACTGCCCCGGATGAGCCTGAAACTAATCATGTGGATATTTCCCTTCGATCTAAAAATGACAGTAGAATTCTGCACGGCGATCTTCAGGACAGGAAGACTCCAATAGAAGAGCTAAATGAGAAGTCCCTTGATTCTATGCTGCAGCGCCAGACTGAGTATTCCACTGAAGATTCCGAAGCATTCTCCGCAGATGACAGCGGAACGTCCGTCCGGGATGAGGAGTCTAGCGTGACCGATGAGGCTGAGGTAACACCAACGGCCACCCCCACGCAACGCCCACATATTCCTCGGCCTCGGCGCAAGCAAGGCGCAGTAACGCCAGTCGGGGCCGTGGAACTGAAACCATATCGGCATCAGGTTGGCGGCCACACAACAGTGTTTCGGTTTTCCAGACGCGCTGTGTGTAAACAGCTCAACAACAGAGAGAACGAGTTTTATGAGCGCATCGAACGCAGACATCCAGAGATGTTGATGTTCCTTCCAAGGTACGAGTGTCCGCAAGTCATGGCCACTAATCATGTGTTAACGTTGCTCCAGGTACATTGGTGTCTTGAACGTCACCTTCTCCAAAAAGAAATCAAAGAAAGCTTCGGAGACTCAGCCTGGACAATCAGATATTGAAGCTACTGATGAACCGCAAATCGTCAAGCAGACCGTGGCAACGTCAGGGAACAGTTTGCACCAAGCCGCGAATCCTGTAGAGAAAGAGCGCATTTTCAGCCAGAAGCAAGTCACTGGTATTGTTCCTAAGGTGATACTCGAGAACAACCGTCATATTATCCCGGTCGATTTGTTCTCCCAGAAAAGACCTCGCACGGCAGACGCTGCAGTATCCTGTGGACACCTATTCACAAACGGGACAGCGTTGACGAACGGGCGGAGGCATGAACATAGCTCGTTGGACGAGAAGCTTTCTCCGTCACCGGTCAAGAAAACTTGGGGCGCTACTACTGTCAATCGGAAACTGCAGGAGCAGGTGCTCAGAGAGGTATTCAGTCCACCCGCTATTCATCACCATCGGCGTAATGCACGAGGGCTTCTCACTCTGCCAAGAACGACGTCTGATGGTCATCGTCGGAGCGCGAACCTTTCCGAAGGCCTAATTCCTCGCCAGCCTCGCATTATGGAACAGGTGGAATCACCACGGAGCCCTGCGATTGACATTGTGAAGAAAAGCGGCGATGGCCCTGCTCTATCATCATCCGCCTCCACGGCCCTTGATGCTTCCCAGCAGCATCTCGATTCGGTAAGGTCGGAGGAGGCTGTCCCACGCTCTAGCTCAGTGTCGCGAACTAGGACCGTTCGACGCCGACACTCTGGAAGTGGCCTGCAAAGGCGGGGTACTCTGGACTCTGACAAGGGCGGCGGGGACCTCATTTTCTTTGAGGATGAGGGATACGGTGGCGATAAAGAGGATGAGATCTTTTCAATGGAAAGTGATGCGCCGACATCTTCGACCGCGCCTAATGAAGCAAGGCTCTCGAGCTCTAGCCCGTCTAAAACTACTAATTTTGCGCTTCGAGATAGGTGGACTTCTGGCCCTCCTGTCGCTGAACCTCTGAAAAGCCCTGTTTTCCCTGGCTTCAGTGACAACACAAACACACAGCCCCCAGCCAACCCAAAGGAAGCGCAAACAAGGAAGGATGACCGGGTGCAGTTCTTCCTGTTGCTGGAGGATCTCACTGCCGGGATGAACAAACCTTGCGTGCTTGACCTAAAGATGGGCACTCGTCAGTATGGCGTGGAAGCCGATGAGAAAAAGAGGAAATCCCAAAGGCGCAAGTGTCAGAACACGACCTCTCAGCAACTCGGTGTTCGTCTCTGCGGCATGCAGACTTGGAATGTCAAAAAGCAGGAATACACTTTTGAGGACAAGTACTTCGGCCGCGATCTCAAATCAGGCCGTGAATTCCAGGATGCGTTGACTCGTTTCCTCTACGACGGGATCAGCTACTTGAGCGTTGCCAAGAAGATTCCTATTATCCTTGATAAGCTGGCCAAGTTGGAGAATATGATCCGGAAACTCAAGCGTTACCGCCTCTACGCCAGCAGCCTCCTGATTCTCTACGATGGCGAACAAACACCCCAACAACAAAAGCCCTCCCAAGCAGAGGCAGCCACTAAAGACAGCGTGAGAAATCATCTGCAACGCCGTACTTCTGAGGATGGACATAATAACATCGACGTTTCGTTGAAGATCGTTGATTTTGCCAATTGTGTGACGGGTGAAGATGAACTTTCACCCGATACGCGTTGCCCTCCCCAACATCCGGATGATATTGATCGTGGCTATTTGCGCGGGCTTCGTACCCTGAGGATGTACTTCCAACGGATTCTGAAGGAGGTTAGCCAGGATGAATATGTCGAGAGAGGCGAAGGTGAAGGCATGACCCTTAACCCTCGAACATCTGACGATCGCAATACGTCTGACCGGTCTTGGGATGAAAGCGTTATGGATCACGATCCGGGGGAGGTCAGCTTCTAGACAACCATTTTCGTCTCTTTAACATCGCACCTCGCTCTGTCAACCCTTTTTTTTTTGCCTTATTTTCTTCCCTTCATGTCTTCTTCTTTTTTTTTTGAGTTGGAGTTTACGGCTGTACATTCCATCTTTTGACCCAGGCAAGGATCATCTGATGTGGCGTTAATGTTGCATGGTCACGGCTTGGGTGGTTATGATGGCTTTTCTCCTTGACGAATGTTCCCGATTTTGAGTCCATGATATTAAGAGTGCTGTACCAACCCAGGCGGAGATATGATGTCTCTACGACGGCGACGATTGATGAATGGTCTGGCGCATTTTTACTTTCACTGGAGAACTTCTCTGTGCCTGGCGCATGGTCCAAGTTTCTCCCTCTTCTATCCATTCTGGTCTCCTGCCATTCGGACAACCTGTCTTAGAATATACCATCCGGGAACTTGTTCGATTCCTGGGCTTGCTTTTCGTTGAGGGGTCGTTCTGTTGCTTGTAACCATACCTAGGTAGTTTAGCTAGACAAAATCGTAATCCGCCTTGATTTATTTGGTCTATTTGTGTCTTGGTTGTAGCACGCGGTCATTGTGCATAATCGCCGGAACCTCAGGCATCCGGCTCACTAAGAAAAGATCCCCCAGCTTCTTCCACCTTCGGACTCCACCCTCCTGTCAGCACACTTCTTTGGATTCGATGCCTTACTCACCCATCGATCTGCACATTTCTTCGCTGGTCGATGCTGCGCCGCCATAGTTGCTGGACGTCGCATCATGGCGGCTGTCAACCAGAATATGTTTGACGCCTGCGTCGCTATTGAACGGCCCCAAGGCCCAACCTTGCTGGTTCTACCGTTGAACCTAATTGCGCGGATTATCGCTCGTGTACGGCCCTGCTTCTGTCTTGAGCCTTTGAAAAAGAAAAAACGCATGCAGCTGACATTATCCGTCTGTAGTTGGACGATCCGGGCGACCTCGCTCGTCTGTGCCGGACATGTCGAGTCCTCAACTACATGGCCCTCCCCCAGCTCTATCAAAACCTCATCCTAACCTCCTACGATAAGATCCGATACCGCGGCGACCAGCCGGAGGGCATGGGGAGCGCAAGTCCGTTCACAATGGGACTGAATGCCGTCATCACGCGACCGTACGCATCGCTTGTCCGGTCACTGACGCTGCGCGGTGACTGGCGGGAACAGGAGCTGGAAGAACATGCGCGCGTCGGACGGGTGCCGGATTCGTCAATGATGCTGAATATCACTATCCGGGCAGCCGTGGATCGGATGCAGGAACTGGAGGACTTCCGCTGGGAGCTCAGCACCAAGATGCTCGAGACCGTGTACCTAGGGCTGGCGCAGTTGCCGAAGCTGACCTCATTGACACTCCGGTTCCCCAGCAGTCGGCATCCGCGCCCAACGACGGTCATCCCGGCCATGCCGCACCTGCGGTACCTGAAGATCACGGACATTGACCCGCTCTGCTACCCGGATGATATATCGACGCTGCTTTACAAGGCGCGGAAGTTGAAGGAGCTGAAGATGCACTGGTCGCCGCGGATGAGGAACATGCAGGAGCCGAGCGTGATGCTCCACGACTATTTCCGGAAATGCATCTCAGCGAAGCAGCCCATGGCAGTCAAATCATTTGCTTTGGCGAACCTGTACGCGCGGCATAGCGAGGATTTCAATCTCGCATTCGATAGCAACACGGTGGAGGAGGTGACGATGCTCCACGAGGTCCGGTCGGAGCTCACCACTTTAAATACATTTGTCGATAGTACATGGCCTGCCACGCCTCCCAACAACAAGCCGATGCGGTTGAAAAGCCTCAGGGCGAATCTCTATAACCAACGGCAAACCGAATTCCTTGCAAGCTTTACGGGGCTTGAAAGGTTATACCTGGTCGGCTCGAGTACCCTTTCCGATAGCTTTAATTCGCCGCGCGAGCTACCGGCTCCCTGCGCATCTTCTGCGACTCTCACACCACCGTCTTCTGAAACTACGAACATGAATGGCCCTTTTTCTTCCTCAAAAGACCTCATAACAGCCCCCGACTCTCCGTCGAACTTACCTAGCCTGCAGGCCAGGTTACGAGATTCTTCCATCAACAGCATCGTCCTCAACCATGCCGCAACACTACGGCACCTCCTCCTCCCAGCCCGGTGGGCGCTCTCCTCGGGTAACATAGCGCGTCTCGTCCACGCAAGCCCACAGCTTGAGCAGCTCGCATTCGCGGCGGAAATGTCAAGCATGGACACGCTGGGCCTGCTCCTTCCCTTCCTCCGCAACCTTCAGGCACTCCGTCTTCTTGTGCCAACAGGGTCTTTGTCCGCGGGGTCAGACGAGACCCGCAATTCGCAAGCAAAGCCGTTTTCGAAATCGTGCAAAAACATAGATGGTCTAGACATTGGCGCGCGGTCGTTCGCGGAATTCGTAGAATTAGACGATGAGATCCTTACGGAACGGCTAGGCGAAGCACTCGCTGACCAGCAGCTCTTCCAACGACTTAAGGTCATTGGGTTCGGTCGCAAGGGATTCCTTCTGGGCGAATATTTTACCGTCCCTGTGGACCGACCACAACCACCACCGCAACCTCAGCCGCAGTCGCAGTCGCAGTCACAACCACCACGAGGCGCCGGCGTCCAATCCCAAACACCAGCCGCATCCCGCGCCCCAAGCGCCGAAGACACGAGCCCACTCTCGTTCGTCGACTTCGATCAGACGAATCAGACGACGCAGACGAACGGCCACGGTGCCGGCGCGAATCTCCCAAGCCCAGGCCTCAACCAACCTCCCACGTCAACGTCCTCGCCGAAAATCCCTCCGCCCCAGCAGAAAAAGAACACATTCCCGCCATCGACGCTCGGAAAGCGAATGCGCGATGAAGAGTCCTCCGTTGTATCCGTCGACCAACCACCGGGACTAGGCTCCGGTTCCGCACCCGGTCCGTCGTCCTGGAACGGTCTGGATCTGAATGAGTGTCTCTTGCCGGGTCCGAGGAATCGCACTCTCAGAAGGCGGATACAGCGTGTTGGCTGGGACGTGCTGAAGCAGTGGGAGATTTGGGGGCTGGATACGCAGGAGCTTTGATTTGTTTAGCATTTATTTTGTTTTATTATACCCTAATGACTACTCTCCACGCAAGATTGTGCTGGCCTGACAAGATATATTTTTAATGAGGCGTTTTCTATATACATAGACCTCGCAACTGGGCTGTAGATGGACTAGACTGGCCTAATGCCAATCCCTTTTAGAATCTCACACAATTTGATATACTCATTGTATTCTTTATAACTATGACTACTGTCTACGCAGGATTGTGCTGGTCTAGCAGGATATATCTTCTTGAGGGCGTTCCCTACTGTCCAGACCTCACAACTGTTGGAGTGTATATATAAGGACTGGTCTAGTTTCGTGCTGATGGAGTCTAGCGTTATGCTAACAGCAAACAGGTTCGAAGGCCTAACTCTCGTAAATATAGGGCCGTTATGAGTAGTAATAGCCCCGGCAAGCCTATAAACCCAAATACAAAGATTCTCGTTTAGACGGATGGGAGCTAGAACAAGGAATCTTGTGGAAAACATTTGTTGCTTTATATTAACCTTTGAAACCCGCAAACTATAACCAGTCCCGATTAGCTCAGTTGGTTTAGAGCGTCAGACTTTTATACCGCGTTTCCGACTGGGAATTCTGCCGGGTCATCTGAATGTCGAGGGTTCGACCCCCTCATCGGGAGTTTCTTTTTTTTGTTTCGAAACCCTACCCTCATTTTTAATGCTGGCCATGTTTTGGATCCGGAATAACCAACAATTAGTCCCTACGTCGCAGGTCTCTGTCAATCCAGTCGACGCAGCCGCCCAAGCGTTCCTCCTGAACGGTCTACATCACCATGGACAACCGCGCCTGGGTCAGCGCGTTTTGACGACAATGACATCAATCTAGGCCAATGCTATTGTATTTGCAGGACTGGTATTCTAGGGGATTCTAAACCGTACTCATGAGAAAACCATCACCAGAGCTGTCACATCACGAACTCGGGATTTTCTGTATGGTAGGCATTGGAACTGCTCGTCCGGAGGTTCAATATATATCCTTCAACCAACCAGGGCTACTGATCATGATCCCTGCGTTCTGGATATCTTAATCCCACCAGCACACAGCCTCTGAAACACGTGCTTGGGATCATAGCTGGTCACAGCATCACGCATTCTCTGTATGTTGCCAGCACCATCTCCACCTTACTGGGAGTCAGACGGGCTAAAGGGCCACCCCAGAACCCCAGTCGTCAACATCAAGCCATCCTGTATTTCTTGAGCCCTTGCTTTCAACTCCTCGACATCCCAGTTCGCAAACACCACACGCCCGCTCAAGAATGACGCCTCCTTGCTCGTCAGCCAGACCATGAAGTCTGCAGGAAGGTCCACTATAACATAGTCAGTCCCCAGAGCCACAGACACGCAAAATCCAAACCCAAGCATACCACTATCGAACGCCTGCTGGCCAGGATCAGCCCCAAGCTTATCAAACATGGCGGTATGGACCGTGCCCGGATTAAGCGCGGCCGTAAAGACACCCGGATTCTCTGCCGCAATATACTCCAGTATCCTAGCCACCGCAAGCTTCGAGGTAATATAGCCCGAGAGGCCCTTTCCAACGGCGGCGGGGAAGGGGATCGCCGTCGTGAGGCCGATGATAGCAGCGCCAGAGGCCGCGGTGGGAAGGAATGCCTTTGCGGGAATCATGGTTCCCTTCACGTTGGTCTATTCCATGGGCCAGTCTCCATTAGCCCCCCTCAAGCATGGCGAGGTAGTCAGGTGTACTACCGTACCTCAAAGCTCTGCCACCATTCGTCCACGGCCGTGTCCTTGAGCGGCATCTGGTCGGCGAGATAGCCTGCGGCAAGGACCAAGACATCCCAGGACCCGACTTCGGTAGCTACGCCGGTTATAGCATCCTCGTCTGTTACGCTGGCTGCGTGAATGGAGGTTTGCAGGTGCCGCGGCAAGGCTTCTTGGGTCTGTTTGAGCTTGGATTCATCGCGGCCGATGAGGACGATGCGGGCGGCGCCGGCGCTGGCGAAGGACAGGGCGGTTGCGCGTCCGATTCCACTGCCCTGTGCGTTCTTTTGATTAGACCGTTATCCCTGAGGTTAGGAGGATCGCCGCTCCTACCGCTCCGGTGATGATGACGGTCTTCCCGGCAGCGCTGAGCTCGGGCCGCTTGGGGTCGATGCCGGGATAGCTTTGGTTGTGCCATTTGGCGGTCATGGATGGCATGGGCGGTTGCATGGTGACGGCAAGACTGTATGGAGGTCAAGTTGCTCAGTAGAAGAGTAATGGGAGTTGGTGGAAGGAGGAATGAAGCGTGTTGGGGGACGAGAGATGAGCTTAAATGCTGCAGCTTAGGACAAAGAGCAAACAGGCAGGCAGCTGAGGCCTACCCAACGGATTCAACGATGTCCTATCATCAGGCTCAGGATTCTCAACCTCCCCTCTGGCAGCTGTTGGCTCTAGCCTTGGGCACCTTCCAAGACAGTTGGGCGAGCTGCTTGCTTTTTCCTGACAGTCACATCCTTTGTTCTGTTCATCCTTCTTGCCGATCACCTCATCCTTCACCAACCCCCTCGCTGGTAAGATGCATCCGAGGGCGCAGATTATGCAGATTCGCAAACAGAGGGACAAGGAGACGATGGAACAGAAGCTGGGTTTTCGGTTCCGGACTTGGATTGGGATAGCCAGGATATCTTAGGGAAAATGGTGAGGAGAATCCACAGGAAGCATCCTAAGCTTTCGGGGCGTTCGAAACGACCCGTCTAAGGCAGTTCAATGCTCTTCTCCGTCACAGCCGATGTCCTCTTGACAGGAAAGTCAATCCAGAGAGTATACGGCTTTTCGTAGGAGTATGAGTTGCCTCAGCCTTAGCTTTATATTTGATCAGTGTAAACTGCTGAATGCATTCATAGGATCTACCTAGTGCACGGCTATTATTCATTAGAGTACTCCGTACATAATGTTTCTGCCTTCCTTTCCTTCCCCTCGGAAAGAGAAAGAGGCCATAATTACGAAAGAAGGTATCAAGAAAGAGCGGACATTGCCTGGTCTGCAGAAGAAGAAAAAAGGATCGACGGCTCGATCAAGCAGGGCACCGAGTAAAGAAGTTTAAGCTTGAGGTGCAAAACCGATCTGAGGGCCCTCGGAGTCGAAGACGACATACTGGCTCTTCAGGAAAACGTCACCGAGAATTGAGAAGGGGAGACCCTGGTTATTCTGGATGCCTCCAAAGCAGGTGGAGGAGCCGTCCGTGACGGGAGCGTACTTGATGTACTGGCCGGGAACGACGGCATCGTAGCCGTCGATGGTGATGGTGAATGAGGGGAGTCTGGTGGAGCAGGGGAAGGTCCAGCCGCCGTAGAAGGGGTTGTCGAAGGCAAAGGGGACCTGGGAGTAGTAGTCCTCTGCAATGGATTGGTCGATCATGATGAGGGATGTGCCGGTGTCTATACGATGGTTAGAGAATGTTTGTTGGCTCGATGATATGTTTAGGCATACCGGCAATGGCGTCGAAGTCAGTCTCGCCTGCAGTGGCAGAGAACATCCAGAAGCCCTGAGAGCTGTCGACGTCTGTGTAGGTGATATCACCAGTGTACCTGAATTCATCAATATAGCCAAAGTCGAAAGATCCTGGCGCCTGATGCCTGAGGGTTACAGCAAAAAGAGGAGACTCGAGCTGAGACTTGACGCTGTCGAAGAAGGTGGCTTGAGCGCTGGGTTTAACTGATAGTGGGTCAGTAAACTAAAGCTGGACTATGGTCAGCCTGCTCACCAGTGTTGATGGAGCTAAATGCTAGACCGAGCAAACCGTCGTTGTTTTGGTCTTGCGTGAATTGTGCGCTGATCTGAGAGGCGGCCTCGACTGCCTGTCCCCGTGCAGCAACACCTCCGACAGTGACGGTATCCCGGTAAACATCACCACCGGCGCTGCTGCCATCACCATATGAGATCTGCCAACTGTATCCGGGCATCCTGGTTGCATTATCGGATGGCTTGTAGAGGCTGTGCCCAGCAGTTTGGGAAGCCGGAAGCTGGTCGGAAAACACCCATCTAGATAGATTAGCATCAAGTATGCAAGCAAGGCCACGGTCTAGACTCACAGATCTGCGGATCCAGTGTCGAAATCCAAGTTCAGAGTGGTACCACCGACATTGACTGGAGTCAGATACTCGATGTCATACTCTTCCGGGGTGGTCACGGCACTACCCTGGGTGATGGCATCCGAGATGTGTGGGGGAACATTGCCGCCGTATTTGCGCAACCCATTGGCATAGATTGCTGGAAGATTGATCGTGCGCTTGGGAACCTCCTTCAACAGCTGGTCGATAGTGAAGCCCTGACGGGGGGAGATTGTGGGCATCGCAGATGCTACGGCCGCGAGGCCAAATGCTGCTGCAACTTTGCTGAAGACAACCATTCTGGATAATGTGTTGATCAGGACGATGAAAACGGCAAGGTGATGGATTCAGACTCAAATCTCGCCCTAAGAACCAACTGCAGAACAAACAGGACTGGAAGACGAGCTGCTGGGCGAGAAGAGGGGGGATGGAGACAACTTTATAAACAGTGTCCCCCCTCAGAGCGCGAGATAAGCAGTGGAGGAGCATCTCAATCTGCTTGGACAGCAGGTTCCACCTGAGTCGGGTTCTAGCAAGGCCCCGGAGTCCGGAGTACCTGCTCAGGGTACAAAGCATGCCGTACTAGGTACCTGCGAGCGAAGATCCTGCTCATCCATGAGCACGTTATTAAGATCAGGCTCGTCCTAAGTTACACCCGTTTAGATCAAACACAGAGTCCATAGCAGTGATGAAGAGAAGTCAACGCCCGCCTTGACATGAGGGGTTTATGTCAGGCACGAGCGATGCAACTGCGGAGTCGGCAGCATACTGCAATTGCTTGTTCAGGGCCCAAAGAAGCTTCTCAGATGGACTAAGCCGTGGGTCATCGGCCTTGAAGGCCATGCGGGGCTTCTATTTGACCTGCTCCCGCGATCGTCATTTGCGCGTGTCCACCTGGCACCAACAAACAATTGTGGATGTACGAAAAAGCCCGGCCGGCGAATTGCAAAAGAAGCCGGTAGCTCAAGTGGGTTTGGCTGGGAGCTCAGCCTGCTCAGGAGATGGCTGCAGCAGCCTGTAAGACCAAGGGTCTTCCTGCATGCGGGAGGTTGAATCCATGAGGTGAAGAAACACTGGAAGTTGAAGTTGGACAAGTTGGACGTGGTTGGCCGCCGGTCACATGTTCCTATCTACCTTCCACTTCTGGCAACTCTTCAACCCATCCATATTCCATCCATACCCATCCTGTTCATCACAACAGCAGCTCCAGCGCCCCAGGCGAAGCTTTGTCCCAGCAATGATTGTGTTCCATCAGCACCCACCTTCTGGCCATCTACAAACAACGCCGGCCATCCATCAAAGTCCTACCCTTTTGTTGAACCTCCTGCACCCAGTCAAGACATGAATTCATCGAGCCTTTAGATTGTCTCGAACAGTTGCCTCTTCGAACTCGTCCGCAAACTATACCTTCTTAGAACCTGGTCCCAGCGATGAAATGCCGCCCCTGCCGGTGCCGTATCTCCATCCCAAAAAGAAAGAGGGTCTTCCCCTCCCCACCGTTCGGTTTATCGTTGCTCTGAAGCATCGTGATTTGCTGATCGACCACGAGGCTAAAATGCTCTATTGGGCGCTAACCTCTAGGGCCGCCGATCACTGCGTTGCGTACCTCTCTAGACCTTTTACAGCATAGCATCATCCCGAACCCGATCCGCTGGGCCTGAAGAAACACTGAAACAGTCTGAAAGCACCCTGCAGCTCAGGTCGTGGACGTGGTCCTATGCCATTCATGATTTGTTACCCAAGATCTTATGGAATTCCAGTCAGACGAAATATGGATCATGCGAACGAACAAAACCCTACGGAGTACCTAGAAGTGCAGGGCGGCAGTCCTGAGGGAAGCATACACGTTTACCTGCAAGCTTCGGGACACCAGCCGCATGTCCACATGCTTGTACTACATTATGCGGAAAATTGTTGCAATCCCGCCTGCTCGGGTTGTTTCAGATACCGTGGCTTCCGCGTACTTGCAGCTGCTGGCGTCCGTCCTACCTGACACAGCATCTGCCACGGTGCCACCCGTTCTTTGCCTCCGGAGTAACTGGAGCGGCGATGCTTCCGGGCCAATAACTATCAAAGCTAAGGGAAGTGCCACGCGCTTTTATGCCTGCAAGCCTTTACGAGTTCATCTTGGGAATCGCATCTTAGTGTCCCCAGGATACCGCTCGATTCCGCGTCCAGGTTACCATGCCGCGTCTTGACCGGCACCAGCTGTGATGACTGCAGAGAACGAGCGTAAGATCTGTCGAGGTTTTGGCACTTGACTCCGAGTTACTATACCAACGACTGAGGACTGACGAAGAAATGACCCTTCATGTCGCGGAGTAGGCATTATTCTACTCCTTTGAGACGAACTCTCAACGCACGAGGCTGTAATTAGACTATATTCACATCGATATACATCTGCATCCATAGTCACATTGATCGTACAAATCATAAACATAGCGGTGTCCAAGCTATAACGAGAATGACAGACGCAGGTGACCTCCACTCGATACCAAGATACAACGCAAATATAAATATACAAGCACACATATATCCATCAGGGAGGGTATTCAGCATAACCAAGGCAAGAAACATAACCAAGGCAAAGAATGAATGGCAGAAGGAGAAAAGAGGACCCGTCTCAACGGGCATCAACCCAAAATAAGAGCCACAGCGCGGCCCACCAAACCTACGGCTGCATAAACTGCGACGCCAGCCCGCCCCCCGCCGAATCCAACCCAGACCCATCCGCCCCAGCACCACCATCATACTGCTCATTGAGAAGAACCTCAAGCATATCGAACTCGCCGACCATGGGCCCCGTGCCACCGAGCCCCTGATCCACAACGGCAGCCGAAGAATTGAAGAACTGGTCTAGCGGGAGCGCAAACCAATCCGAGACACCGGGCTGTTCGTTCATTGAATGTGAGGGGAGGGCAGAGGATGTTGAGTTTGAACCTGGATTAGATGTGTCCATTTCGCCGGATGGCGGCGTAGACCGGGATTGGTAGAAGTTGTAGTAGACGGATGGTGGGGGTGGCATGAAGCTAACGTTGATGTTGGAGGAGTTGATGGGTTGCGCGGGGATGCCGGCTAGAGGGTCGTGGACTGAGGTCAGAGGGGCTGTTGACGGTGGGTGGGCATCGGCGTAGCCGCCGAGTTGGCTGTGTGCTGAGGAGTGCGCGGGTGGCCAGGTGTGGCTGTTGCTTAGACCATCCTGGCGAGCATGTGGTCCTTCTCGTGGACGGGGTGAGTGGGGGCGTGATGTTGGAGCAGAGGCTCGGTCGTGGCTGGCGCTGGCGCTGTCGCCGTCGCCGCTGCGGTCGAGGGGGGCGAAGCGGAGGAAGCGAGTGCGAATGTTGGCTGTGAGGAGTTCCAAGAGGCGAGCGATGGCGTGGCTTAAGTGGATGTCGTCGACGACGCATGTTCGGAGGGCTTCGACGGTGCGGTCTTGGAGATCAAGCGAGACGCGCACGTCGTCTTCTTTCGCGCCGAGAGTAAATGTCTGATACGGTTAGAGGTAGGACACAACAGTGGGACCTATGAAACTCACTTTGAGAAGGAATATCATGCCAGACAGGATCCGGAAGCAGGTTCGGACGGGGGCATGTTTCAAATGGTCGCCTGGGACTAGGCCCTCAAGCACTGTTGTCAGGATCTTGCGTGACGAATTGACGACCTCTTGGATAAAAGGTTCATTGACGCGGTAGAGTTCCATCAATACATTGAATGACGTGTTTCCTGATGCAGACGACGGTTTATTCTGAGCCTGAGCATCCTCATTCGACATTGTCGTCCACCGGTCGACCACTGCCTGCAGTGCAAGGGAATTGACGTATAATCCTTTCCAAGGCGTTAGTCGATGCCATGAGGTTCGAGGAGGAGACTTACGTGTATATTCATACTCGATAATCAAAATGTGTCTCATTGCGGGGTGCACTGAGAGGATTAGTAGGTGCCAAAAAAAGAGGCGAAGTTGAAACTTACACTCTATTGAGTCCATATTCTGCCGCCATTCTCGAAAGAAAAACTGGAATCGGTCAATCTGATCTCGATAACGACCGCTTCTGATTAGATCAGAAGTCTGTTCACTAGACGCAAACAGGAGCTGGTTGGCCTGATACATGATCTTGGATATCCCAAGCCAGCAATCATGCATCTTATCAACCTCATTGGCTTTTGAACCGGTCACGGGCGTGGGCTGGATGTCGTCAGCCCACTGTGGTAGCGGCAGCATAGAGGGAATGCCTAAGCGGCCACTGCTCTGCGAAATGTACACGAGGATGAGCCGACGGAGTCGACGTTTCCGCGTTTGCTCCGCCGGTGGTTCAGTTAGTGATTTGGCATCGTTCTTCTGGTCAAACACCCCCAGCTCGAACGCTAACGCTTGTGCGGTACTGAGTAACATCCAGGACATCCGGTCTGAGCGCCACGCTGGCTCCAGCCACGTCTGAAAGGCCAATTTCCCCTCAGGCGCACCATGGGAGCCTCGGTGTGCGGTAGGCTCGCCGTCATTGTCTAGGTCTTTATCGTATCGACCCGCCTGGGCGTCAAGGTCGAGTAATGCGTTCTCATCATCTCCAGGAGGGAAATGTAGATTCCGCGGATGCCAGTCGGTCAGAATCAATAGCGCTTCAATCGTGCCCAAAGATCTCAGATTACCCTTGTGACTGATCTTGGCTGAGGTGGGTGCTAAATCAAAAGACCGAGGTTTGTTGATACCGATGCCGTTTCCGCCAAATTTTTCCTGGCCCCAGAACAGACGCTCAATCATTCCACGTAGATACGACCAAAGACGGTCATGGATGTAGAAGGCTCGGGAATGCGCGCCGTCCCCGCTCGGCTTCATGTGCCTCGAGGCAGCGGTCAAGATCGTTACCGCCAGAACAGGTTCCTCGGTGAGGAGAGTGCGATGTGTTGATGGATGTGAGAAATCCGGGATAACAATTGGGCTCAGAGGTGCGAGGTGTTCATAGTAGCTGGCATGATTAGTACAGAGTATTTTTAGTGGGGAAATGAAACTTACTAGGCAACGTAGGCCATCGACTCCTCGACGGAAAGCCAGCCCGCGCGGACGAAACGGAGGCGCGACCATGCCTTGACAGCATCCAGATAGCCTGAGTCTGAAGGGCGCCCAGCAGAGCTCGTCCGATTATCCGGAAGGGACTCTCCAGACACCAACGCACTTCCCTGGTAGAAGTTTCCTGTTTGCGCAGTCGCCGATCTATGCTGCCGTGAAAATGACCCGCCCGCGCTTCGTGGTGTTCCCCCTTGGGTCATGGACGACATTGGCGAAGCGAACGACGATGCCGACTGTCGCGTTGCAGCATACCGGAGGTCCTCCGTCCTCCCCGCCGCCTCCGACAGAAGATGTAAAGCATCATGGCTGTTACTGATTGCAGGCGAGAGTAGCTCAACTGCAGTGCGATTCATCATGGGCTGGTTTCCTTCATGGCTAAATCTTGTAACGGCCGAGTACACCGGGTGCCTTGTAGTCCTTACATCGGAGATAGATGAGTTGGCGGCGTAATGCTGGGTACCGTTATTTGGCGGCGGTAGATGGCTGTTGGATGGAGATTTGTTGAGCCACTTTTGCTGCCCTAGACTGGGCGTATCGAATGAGGAGGGTTCAGGCTGAGGATATGAAGATGATCTCGCGCTGGGGGAAGCATCAACCTTCGCTACATTATCTCCAATCATCATCCGCTTATCGCGGCGCAGTACATCATCGACGGCCGGGCCTTCAACGTCCGAGGTCTTGCGTTTGCGCCGTGTGGCGGAGAACTCGCAGCGCTTACTCTCGCGCCGGCATCGTACACATGGCGGCGGGCGGGGATTATCGACACCTAGGCAGCCAGAACGTGTTAGCATCCGACCCCTCGTGTTTCGGGTACAGGCCGAGTTCCCCGCAGAAGATGAACTCACTCCCAAGGTCACACTTGACTTTGCGTTTGCGACACGGATCGCAGGCCTGATAGCCGCGACGATGCTGGGTGTTTGAAGGCGACGGCGACCTGCGGGCGGAGGTCTCGCGAGAGTAGAGGCCGTCATCCTGCTGCTCGTCGTGTGTCGCCATCATCAAAGGCAAAAACCGCCTAGGCTAGGCGCAGATGGAGTAGATGGGGTCTGTCTGGGGTTTGCCGATGCAAAGCGAGAGCGACCGCCAGAAAGCGTCAAAAGCGGTGGGGAATTTGGAGTCGGGGAAGCGTTGTTTATCAGCCGCCCCCGGGGACTTTCCAGCTGCACGGTGAGATCAAACGAATACAGGACACTCGAATTAGAAGAAAGATGAGGACTCGAGGGCCATTCTGCGAGTTTGAGACAACTGTCCAGCGCTGACTGCGGGGTAGCGAAGAGTAATCGTTCCCTTGCGTCGAGTGGACTGCGACGTGAAGCGGAGATCCAGTGATCGTGACCTTGTTATCAATCGGAATTCCACAGGGCTTGGACCCCTGTTTCTTAGATTATGCCAAGTTCCTCCAAGCTGTCCTTTATGAACCCTGGTCCTCAAATGCCCCTGGGAATGTCACTCGACATATATACAAGTCTCGTTCCTAGTGCGCTAAATATGACCAAGTGCTGTACAGATAGGCTGAACGAGCCGGATAACGAACCAAGACGCTGCAAATAAATCCACTAATGGTACAATCAACCTAGTCGCCCGCGATCACAAACTAGCCAAGTTGCGTAGTTACATCGCCGTTGCCCCGTTAAGCCACGCCAAACGAAGCTGATCCGCTTGGAATGGAGGCAATTGGTTTCTTCCTTTTGTTTAGTGCAATCTCTCCATTCGATGTCGACATTGGACTCAACCCTCGTCGAGGATTCACGGTCTCGCCATACACAACGCTGTCTTCGCTGCCGCGACGGGAGAGACTGGGTGTCAGGCGTCCTGGAAGAAGTCCGCGAATCCCCCCAGCTTTCCTTGCGGGAAGCTCCGACGAGCGTGCGGTTAGAACATACAAAAGATATTTCAAGTTTGGCAGTGTGTGTCGAATATCGAGGACCCGCAGTCCCTGTTTGTTCAGGAGGAACTCGATATCTTTGTTGAGTAAAAACACTCCGTATTCGAACCTGTACTGCACATTGACCGGGTGGAGCGGGTACGTCCTCTGAGGGAGAGAGGTAGACACGGGGTCATGGATTAGCGAGTTTGACAGGTACGGCGTGATCGGATACGGCACTGGAATGGAAAGGTAAAACGATAGCAAGTAAACTAGATGCGCGGTATAGCCAAGCGCTGCTGCCACCGCGTCCCGATCGACATCTGTGAAGTTCGAATTGGGAAGAGCCATGCCAGCAATGGTAAAGGCAAGCGGCTTATCACGGATTGGCTCAATTGGGTAGATATCGAGGATATCTTCAGATATGCGCCGGATCTGGCCCTTGGTTCCTTCTGTATTCTGGTCCAGCAATTTCATGCTGGAGCCGAGTTTCGTTCGCGCATCCGGAAGATGGCTACGCACTGCTTCGCGGTTGCGGGTGCCATGCTCCATGGCTTCTTTTCTGCTCTTGATACTAGCGATCAGCTCTTCCTTGCGTTTGTTGGCCAGGCGCAGTTGTTTGCGCTCGCCTGAGACTGCGTTTCTAGTAAGGGTGAGCTTATCCTTGGCCCGGGACGCTTCGCCTGTGGTGTGCACGGCATGTTGGTTCTTCTCCAGAATTGAGTTGATCTGTGATTCAAGTTTTTCCCGTGTTATCAGGGCATCCTGGATACATTCGTCCAAGTTTGCAAGTCGCATCAGGGCGTCGTACGATGACGTTGACACAGCAGTAGCACTGGATTTAGAATTCGGTGCAGGTAACGGCGTCCGCACTGGTGGAATATCTGTCAGATTTGTGTACACGCCATCTGGAAAATGGAAAAGAACGGAGTTGGCAGGCAGAGGCTGGTGAAAGCTATCCAACGAGCGCCCCAAAAACTGGAGTGACTGAAAGTGCAATTGCAACTCCACCAGCACCATATAGTCATCCATTCTCGCCGTCTTTACCCAGAGTCGTAAAGTAAGATAATCCAAGCGCGAAACAAGCGGTCCGCAGAAGTTGAGATCAAAAGCTCGGAAGTTGGGATTCATCGCATCCTCCACAACCTCACTGACGTACACGGGCTCGTCAATGCCCTCACAATGGATCGAGAACCAAGTGTTTGCCATTCGACTACGCGTGATGTCCTCCAATTTCGACTGTCGCATTTGCGGATCAGGGTCGTTCCATGGCAGGGTACTCTGTCGACGGGCCTGCCGCAAAGAGAGTCGCTGCTCGGTACAGACATTCTGATTGCCAGATAGCGGGGAGGATTTGAGATCCGAGAACGATCGCGATTGGTTTAACGAACGATTAGTTTCCCGCGCGAGTATCTTAGACGGCGATTGAAGGGAGTTTGGAATGTCCTCATCGTCGATTGGTTTCCCGCGAGATCTGCTTGGAGGGTTGACAACAAGGTTCCGGATGGAAACACCTTGTAGATGGCGCAGCTTTCGGCTCTAACGCGATGGTCATCAGCCTTTCGCAAGCCCATTAAATCGCCCCTTGCAGATGATAACTCACCGACGGGAAGTGAAACGGTCTATCGCGGCGACTGCCAGCATCGTCATTGATCAGCCTATCTGCGGTGTTGGCTGTCGCCATTGCGATCCGTCAAGGGAGCTTAATCGCACTTTCGTCCTCATCCAGTCGCCATATAAGCAAATTGATCACAACAATGATAGACGCGACGAGTAACGTTTAATTGTAAAGAAAGGACAAACACTGGAGGTTAAGTTGAGGTTGGGATCTCCAACTCCACTCGGACAGCTGCCGGCTTAGTCTCAAGGCGGTTTCCCCCGTCCGGCCGCCGAAAAATTGATGATCCGCCCTTCACCTTCAACTCCGCCAAACAGACCACCTCACGGACAGCCGATTTCCTTCGCTACCGGCAATGCGATAGAGCGGATTTGGCTCTTTTCCTCCTACGACCACCTTTGACACACTAGACGCGAGGCGCAGACCCGCGTTTGGCCGCAATGGCCTCACAACCAGTCCAGACGAAGACCCTCAAGGGGACCTTCGAAAAGATCCTAGATCCCACCAAGATCGGTACCTGGAACATTATCCGCCGTCCGCCTATTGAGAACCACAGTGTTATCCAGGGCAAACCCCGGGAGCAGAACTCCAATGCGTTCAAGACACATCAATACAAGGAGGGTGTGCGGTTACGGAAGGCCATCAATGCCTTGACGCACGGAAAGAACATCTTCGTCTACCATAACATCCGCACAAACCAGGTGGTGTACTCACTGACGCGATACCTCGAGGTAAGTGGTGCTTTGTATGGGCAGTCATTGCTTCGCCTACTGATGTCGTTGTTCTCGCTAGAAAACCAACGTCCTCAAGCAACTGCTATACCACGGCAAGAAGACCGTCCCCGCGACCCTTCGAAAGGACATGTGGGTTCCCTACTTCTCCGTTCACTTCAACGACTCCAAGATCGGTCTCCGCGCATACCATCTCCTCCGCGAGTTCTCCATGCAACGCCAGCTCGACCCGCCACGGGAAATGATCACTATCACAGAGAAATTCCTTAGCCAGAAGCGACCACGGAGTCCAAAAGAGGCGGAAGAGTTTGACGAGAAATACAACGACAAGATCGGCTGGTTGATGGAGAAGAAGGACCGAGCTCGCGCCGTAATGGACCAGAAGGCTACCAGCGTTGCCGATGTCTCCGCCGTCTTGGCAATCCAGGAACAGGAAATCCAGGACGGATTTGCTGATGGCAAGAGAGGATATCTGACTCGTGGCGCCAGACGCCGTCGCCGGGCAGCTCGCAAGAAGGAAGAGGCCAAGCAGGTTGGGCACGCTGAGCGAATTGCCAACTTCGAAGCCACTCTGAGCACGGATAAAGTCGCCTACAAGATTCAGGACCCTGCGAACGAGTCGACTGAGGGCGCTCCTGTCCGCTCCCCAACAGACATGGTGAAGATCCTCTGGAACGATCTGCATAACGCCCGGTGGGCCGAAACCTGGCCGGAGCGCGTTCTACACGGTGAGTTGGACCTCAGTCGTGACCACGTGATGCCCGGAGCGAAGCCAATTTACGGCGTTGAGATCCTCGCAGACAAGCAGTTCAAGGAGAAGAAGACAGAGGAGGCCACGGCCTAGATGGCGCGCTAGGTCAGTTCAGCTAGCCGCAGCTAGCTAGGCTTTGTATTTTGTATTGATCGATCGACGATGGCCTTCGTGTGGATATTGATTGATATTGGATATCTATATTGTGCTTCTTTACCTTTGCGCATTTGTATTTTTAGATCTTACTCAAGACTCCCTCCTGTATGCCCGGAAGTGAATGTGAATGGCGTTTGAGAGATAGAAAGTAACATACGTCTCTCGTATATCTAGAAAATGCCAGTCATATTTACTCAGTCTTCATGATATCAACATAAGATACAAGTACACGGAGAAGTTGAAGCGCAGCCATGCAGGACGTCTCAACAGTACAGTGTAAACGGCAGGAGCCAGACAGGTCCAGCTCGAAAGGCGCGCCGCGTCAGAACAAATAGATGGTTACTTAACGGAAGTACGTAGAAGCCCGATACCTAAGGCCTTGAGAAAATGGTAAGCGCAAGATGAAACCCATCTGCATAGCCAAAATCTAATTTACAGGCTAGGTGGTAGATAACAAGGGCCCCTGGAGTTCGCGGTCAACGCCAGCCAGTGGCTAAGCCATGAAGTAAACAGTAGAAACTGAAAATGATAAAAAAAATGAAAGTATGTGAAAGGATAAAGCAACAGTACAGAACATAGCGAGAAGAGAATGTCTCATTTCGATTGCAGAATGTCCATAGCTTCAGCGCTTGCTTCTATTTCTTCTTAGATGGCGCTCGAGATATGTGTTGTTATATGTTCGCTGCTCGCTCATGTACTGCTGCCTGCATCGGGCTTGTTCGAATGATGAAGCGTAGCGGCCGGAGCGTTCGGCGAGGCAGACAATTCTGATTCAGGAACTTCGCCTGATGTGTATTCTTCCGGGTCCTCATGAACCTTCTTGAGTGTTTCTGATTCGTCTGTTATTCCAGTGTTCGCCATGCTCTTCCTGGCTCCTTCGACAATCTTATCGGCCTCGCTTACACCGCGCCCAGGATTGCTTTCCAGGTCAACTGTTCGACTGGCAACTTCACGGTGGCGGTCTGCGTTGAGACGAATCACCATGCAGGAAAGGTTGTCGGTACTGAACCGCGCAAGGGCATGATCAACCAGGATCTTGGATGCCTCCTGGGCATCGGGCACATTGCGAATCAGTTCGACAGCCTCTTGGTCACTGCACACGTCCCAGAGCTGCGGGGAAAAAAAACATTAGCATTGTTCGTGAACCACACTGGGAATGGTCATCAACTTACCCCATCACAGGCCAGGATAATGAACTCATCAAGATCTGGCTGGATGACAGTCTCTGTTGTGTACGGATGACCGGTAACAAGATCTTTGATGTACGCATCGCCAAGAGCTCTAGTTACAGCGAGAACGCCGTTAACTCGATTATTAAGAATCAAGCCACCCGCGTTAGCGATCCTTCTCCCCTCATTCTCATCGCTACCCTTGTGGTCGTAAGACAGGCGAAGGGCTTTGCCGTTCCTACACAATATCACACGAGCGTCGCCAACATTGGCAGTATACAGGACACGCTGACGGATGGCCTTCTCACGTAACTTAGTTGGGATAGCAGCAACCGGGGTGGCAGCGGCTTCCTGCGTAGGCGTATCATCGGCCTCCGAATCTGCTCCGCCCTTAGCCGCTGCAGCAGCAGCCGGCCCGATAGCAGAGGAACCGGTAACGGAATTTGAAGTAGGAATTCTATCTTCCCATCTGAGCAATGCAACAACTGCAGTGCAACCACTATTCTTCACAGGCAGCTTTTCAAGTTGCTGGTCAACGGAAGTAAATGTCTGGTCGAGCAGCTCGGGAACAGGAGCGTTTGTGTTCTTGCGCATTACGTCTTCCAGTATCAAATGCAGCTTCTTTCCACACCACTGCGCAGCGAAAGTTCCTGCATGGCCGTCGAAAATCGCAAAGTAACCGTTGTCGGTTTCAACAACGGGCGTCAATTCTCCGGTATTGGAACTATGATCAGACTCATCTGTCTGCGTTGACGGTACAGGGTTGCCAAGGAAATTGTAGAGATAGGCATGGGTGTCTTCCATGGTCCGACGACATTTCTTATTCCGGTCCTCTGTGACACCGACTCTAAAAGACGATCGAGGAGTTGGTGACGACTCGCCCGCGGAGTTGTTCAGTGAACCCTGTGGAACATTGAGCGCCGGGTCCATGTTTCCGTATCTGTGGATGGTGGATGTCTCTGGAAGCGAAGAACTAAGAGCGCTTTCGGTTCGCGGACTACTGAGGCTCAGGGAGTTTTTCGCGCTGGTAAAGAATGACGCCGCTTTTGAGACCGTGCTGCTTCGGCGCTTCTTATCGCCGCCGGGGCTCTGTTCTTCGCTTGCTCTGCGTGCAAAGAAGCCAGGAGGAGGGGGTGATTTCCCTTGAGATCCGCTGGTACCCTCAGTCTGGATACTGAGCGACGGTGTATTTATGGGACCGGAGCGAGAGATAGTATCTGATTTATCTTTGGGTGGGCTCGAGGAGCCACTGAACATTCTGTTCAGCAAGCCACCCTGACCGGAAAAACTTCTTCGCTTACTTCCTGCCAGCTTGAAGGACTTCTTTCAATTCCGCAGGTACAGGTGCGAGCTTGAGAGAACGAAGAGAGGGTAGCGGGGCCGTATGCGAAGGGCGATGTTGACGTAGCGGGGAATCGCGGCGGAGCAGAGGGGATAGCGCTGGATGAGAAGGATATGGTCAGCAACCGGCGCTATGCAATGACAGCTGTTGAAGCTGGGGTTGGATGCGCGGCGGGCCATTTTGAAGCCTCAGATGACTCTCAATCAGCACTGTCGTCGGATGATGCTTGGTACCGCAGGGATCCAAGCTCCTCCTTGGGGAACCCAACAACAGTGACTGACGGAGGGCAAACAAGAGTTTCAAATGGACCGCCACATGCTTTTCTGTCCAACCTGGGCTGAAGGGGCGGGTTTGTTTGTCTCGGGCACGGCGAGCGATAGGCCACCCCGCTGCGCGCTTGGATCAAGATCACAAGTCTGGGCGGAGATGGAGGGATTCAAGGCACTCACGGAGACAGTGGACAAGAGAGAGGTTGCTCCCTGTACTGAGAGAAGCTGTAGCGGCCCGAATTGTCGGAAGGGCAGGAGACGTGAGGAAGGTGGAGGAGGGATCGATTGATATTTATTAATAGTAGTTTCATACACTGCAGTAAGGTGAGTTTGCCCAGAACGAGATGCCACCGGGGCTTCCAATCATCGCCGGTAGCGTCGGATTTAACGGTTAACGTGACCATGAACGGGTGGAGCCCAAATCAACTTAGAACGATCAAGTAATAATGCTATTTTGTCCTGAATTATCGATGGCATATAAATAACGTGTATAAGAGCAGGCAAAGTGAGGTTTCTGCCCGGAATTCGATGACAGCTACCTAACGTACCTAGCCCATTATTCCTACTTACAGCCGTCTAGGAATTCGCCCCAACGTGGGATGAGGATGGCGTCAGTGAATGGGGGCATCTTTGGATCGGCCATCCTTTGTCAACAACCATTGTTATTGCAGGATCTGGGCCGCTTCTTAAAATATCGATCTACTAAGTAAATAACTGTCTACCTAGGTCAGGACCCTCCCAGTCTAAGATGCGAGTAGCCTCATTATTCAGGGACCTGTCTCTACTTCCTTACAAAGCTTGGCATCCACCTAAATGAGGCAGGAAAGCCTGTCTGCCACGTGATTCATGACGTACCGTACAGCAATGGCTAAGATGAGGCTGGCTCCGAAGATGGAAGGAATGGAGCTTCGGGCGGCGGTATGGGGCTGGCAAGACTGCCGATGGCGGGCGTGTTGGGCATGAGGCTTGGGAGCATCTGCGTATGTTTGCTAGCTTCTGGTTAGCTTTCGTATTCTCACATGGTCAATTCTACCTATAAGAGTTTGGGCAGTTGTAGACTAGGTAGCTGGTGTTCCGCGCTTCCGCGCCCAGAGGTGGAAATATATGTATAGGTTCGCTGACCGGAGATCTTTACTCAGGAGCCTGCACATCCGCTGACTATTACACTGCGAATCCCACCGGATCGTGGACATGGACACCAGTAAAATAACCGAAAACAAACTTCACAGGGCTTACCACGCCTTTATACCTCCAATTAGCAAACCATCTTCCGTACTCGTAGAACTTCTCGAATCATGCAGCTTTTATCGATAAGATAGAAATTCCACGTGACACGCGTAGAGCTTTGAGGCGTGGAAAGGGTGGACAATTTCCGTTCGCATCACTATCCCCATCACAGCTACCCCGTATATTCCCAGCTTTCTTTACGTCCTCGCACAAATTGCCTACTTTTGACTACATATTATGGGCTCTTTGTGGCCCCTGGCCTAATCACCAAGTCCACACGAGCTTGAAACCATGGCTTCTGAATTCATCGGCTACAATGTCCTGGTAACCCTCCGAGCACCACCCGACGCTACTGTCCAAGGTGTGGTCGCAGATGTCATCGGCCAACGCTTGATGCTTCGGAATGGTATGTTGCGTCGTTCGCTCTTTGGAGGCCCATGTTTTTGCGATTATCCTTACATAGCTCTAACGCAGCGAGTCTTAGCTACATTGTCGTGGATCGGTTATCCACTCCCAACATACTCAGTCGAAGCCCCAGACATCGCGGACCTTTCCTTGGGACCGTCGGATAGGCCGAACGCGCAAGCTCCGCATGTTCTTCCGCAAGAGAAGCGGAGCGCCGGGCCTCCATATCCAGCCCAGCAGCCTTTCGTGGACCCTGCGATCCTTAGCTTCTCGAAACCATCCAACGAGGTCCGCGCGAGCGTACAACATCAACCGAGCTTCACGGAAAGTGCAAGCGCTCGGCAGATTCCCTCGTCGCACAGTACATCTCATCTGACACCCCACGCAGCGCCAGCTGCGCTGACCGAGCCGTTCAGTAACCTAGAGTTGAATGTGGACGACAGGTCAACCCCTCAAGTGGAGGAGCTGCAAGGCCCGCGGTCACACCAGGTTGAGGAATCTCCTATCCCAGCTACCCGCTATGGTACTACTCGTGGCCGCCGTGGGGGAAAACAGAAGGGTCCGAGTGTCTACAACGAGCATAACGGAGCCCTCAATACAAACCCCAAGAGCAAAGGATGGCGCCAGACCGCGTTTGTCGAACCCTCTACACCTGGCCTACTGGACTCTCCGCAGGCATATAAAGAGACGGGCACACTCAATGGCAAACGACGAAAGAAGAAGAGCAGAGGCTATCCCGAACAAATCAGTGGCTGGGCCACTGAAGAAGCAGCGGATATTCAGGAAATGCCTGAATTTGATTTCGCAAGCAACCTCTCAAAATTTGACAAGAGACGCGTATTTGAAGAGATCAGAAATGACGACACTACCGCGGACGAAGAACGGTTGGTCAGCTTCAATAGGAGGGTACCGAAGCCTGGGACGAATGGTGGCCGGAACTTGCACTGGTCAGAAAACGTTCTCGATGATAGCCCCGAAGAGAGCGACAATGCTGCCACCGACCATGAACCCAGCGACGCCAAGCTCAGCAGCGGAACCTTTTCTGGACGCGACGCATCAAAGCTCTCAGCCCGCGGCCGAGCGTCTCGCAAGGGGAGTGCAATATTTGGACAGCCCTTGGTTCCGGCACAACTCAATACTGTTGGGCGTAACCAATTGAGCAACTCCCGCACAAAATCTAGTAGCCCGCTTGCTAAAACGCACGTTTCAGCATCTCCTATTACTGGACCTAGCACATCGAGCGCCACATTACGGCTTGCGACTACCAATAGAAGCTGTCCAGCTGTCAGCCCTCTGCAGATTCTCGAAGTTGAGCAGCTGGCAATTGGTGAAGTTGGCTTGACTGAGGATATGATTACGGAAAATGCTGGGCGGAGCATTGCCGAAGCCGCAGTTGGCCTTCTTGCTAGCGATGCGGCTGCACCTACTATTTTGGCACTCGTTGGCAATCATCGCACTGGAGCGAGGGTCATCTCTTCTGCTCGCCATCTGCGGAACCGAGGTCATCGCGTGACAGTGTGCATGCTCGGAGTGGAGCAGGAGGTTGAGCTGCTGGAGAGTTGTCGTAAGCAGGTTGACATCTTCAAGAAGATCGGAGGCCGTTTCCTTAGGTGGGAGGAGCTTTCTCCGAGACTTTCGACTTCTGAATTCGCGCCCGACCTAGTCCTGGACGCGCTTCTCGGAATACACCTTCCTTTCAACGATCTACGAACCGATGACCAAGCAACCGCATTCGAAATGATATCCTGGGTCAACCGAAGCGGTCTCGATACCCTGTCTGTCGATGTCCCGTCCGGTCTATCCGCTACGACTGGTAAGCACAACATACCAACCAATCAACCGTAGGCAAACCACTAACTTCACAAACCTGCAGGAGAAGTAACCATCGTCGAGAGCGGGCAATTGCGCGTTAACTCCAAATCAATCGTTAGTCTTGGCGCGCCCAAGACCGGGCTTGTCAACGCCCTCCTCGCTGGCGAGGGCGCCTCCTGGAACCTCACTGTCGCAGACATCGGAATTCCCCAAATAGCATGGCGCAAGTTCGGCACTCGCCGACGGCATGGAATAGACTTCGGCAACCGCTGGGTGGTGTCGCTACGCTACCAGCCTTCCGTTGTCTAATCTGCCGCCGCTATCTAACGATCACAAGACGAAAGGCATTGAGGCGTTCGGTAGAGAAAACACTTTCGATTTCTTATCTTTAGCGAAGCACTTATAAATAGTTTATCTCTTTGGCCATGACCATGCACTGTATAGCTTATTCCATACTCCATATTTGGCTTTATGCATTCTCCACTTGCTGCAAATTAGCCCTACATTAGCTATTGTAACTAGCTTGATGTCGCTACTCGCGATGCAATTAACTAGCCTACTTCCAGAAAAACTGTAATCATTGATAGAACTTCAATGAAATACTATTAATGTGCTTTATTCTCCTAAAATCGAACTTACGCCATAGTCACATAATGCCAATTGTGGCCAGACTTGACAGTGTGTTGTGATGAATATGCATGACAGTGACCCAGATTCCGCATTCCAGCTCACTAGGCTCTCTATCCAGCATAATACCAGTGATTAAGCTGCCAGACAGGACTAAGAATCTGTCAAACGTCAATAAAACAAGCAAAGTTGCGTCGTCTGGGATATATAGATCTTATGCCTAAGGCATTAAGCGATACCAGATAGGTACCTATATCTAGTCTAACCGAAAGTAGTTAGTCTAATTTCACGACATCATTTCAGGCTTCTCGCCGCGGACAACTATCGCGCTCAGTTCAAGTCATCAAAGTCTATACATTACTGTCGCAGAATGGGGAAAGGTCAGTATTCTAGGCTCTTTGCTGTGACTGGACTAACGCAACACTCCCGCAGGCACGGATAAGCTCTACGTACAACGCGATTCCATCATGACCAAAGAGTTCGTACTGACGCGGCGAAACACAGATCACACATTCAGAATGGGCCTCGGACGACGCATACTCCGCCAGCGCGGGCGCTGGGGTCGGCAAAGCTAGACGCGGTGTCGGCGACGCATCCTTCAAGCGCCTCCCCTTCAAATTCTGCTCCCTGTCTCTTCAACCCTTCGAGCACCCCGTCTGCACGCAATCCGGCACGATCTTCGACCTGACCAATATTCTCCCTTGGATCAAAAAGCACGGCACAAACCCTGTCGATGGGACGCCGCTCAAGGGCTCCGATCTGATCAAATTGACGATCGCGAAGAACGATACCGGCGAGTACATCGACCCGGTCACGTATAAGGTTCTCACGGATAACACGCATGTTGTTGCGCTGCGGAATACCGGGAATGTCTTTGCGTGGGATACGGTTGAGCGCTTGAATATTAAGGGGAAGATGTGGAGGGACCTCGTTACGGATGAGGAGTTTACGCGCAAGGATATTATTACGCTGCAGGATCCGCAGAATATCGAGTCGAGGGATCTGAGTCAGTTCAACTACATCAAGGAGGGGGAGAGCGGATTGTCGGATGAACAGATCAGGGAGAGAGAGGATCCCTCGAGGAACGTCAATGTCAATGCGCTGGGAAGTTCAGCAAAGATTCTCAAGGCGAGAGAGGCGGTTGCTAAGGCGCGGCAAGAGAGAGCTCAGAAGACGGGGAATGCGGCTGCTACTGCAGTGACTAAGACCGAGGCGCCGGCAAAATCGTTGCAGAAGACCTCGTCTTACCAAGCTGGCAAACCTGTGCCGTATAATGCGGCGCGATATACGACTGGCTTGGCCGCTGCGTCTTTTACCAGTACGGGAATGACACCTCATACGTCGGCTGAACTTGCGTTGCTGTCGGATGAGGACTACATGCTGAAGAGAGGTCGGGTAAAGCAGAAGGGATACGCTCGGATCTCGACCACCTCCGGCGACATCAACTTGGAACTACACACGGAATATGCGCCTAAGGCCGTCTGGAACTTCATCAAACTCGCAAAGAAGGGCTACTACAAGGACGTAACTTTCCATCGCAATATCAAAGGCTTCATGATCCAGGGAGGTGATCCCACAGGTACCGGTCGCGGCGGCGAGAGTATCTGGGGCAAATACTTCAACGATGAGTTTGAGGGCCCGCTGAAGCATGATTCGAGGGGTACACTCAGCATGGCCAACAAGGGGAAGAACACGAACAGCAGTCAGTTGTAAGTTCTCGGTTAACATGTAGGCGGTTTATTTTTACTAACTTTATCAGCTTCATCGCCTACCGCGCCCTTCCTCACCTTAACCTCAAGCACACAATCTTCGGCAACGTAATCGACGACCCAACCCCCTCTGCACCAACCCTCAACAAGCTCGAAACCCACCCCGTCAACCCAACAACTAACAAGCCGACCCCCGACGTCCGCATAATCGACGTCACTGTCTTCGTCGACCCCTTCGAAGAATTCCTCAAGCAGAAGAAACAGTCCGAACAATCCACCGAAAACGGCCAAAGCAAGACCGCCGAAGATGACGAGCAAGCTGCTAAGCGCGCTGAAGATGACCAGGTCACTTGGACCGGCAAGAGAATCCGGGGACCCGGTGCGAGCAGGGAAGAGGAAACTTCTGCGGGAGTTGGCAAGTATCTGAAAGCGGCGCTATCTGAGAGAGCTGCGCAGGATGAGGATGAAATTGTGGAGTTTGTGGATGAGGAGCCGGTTCCTGAGCCGGCGAGGAAGAAGTTCAAGGGGGGCGGTGGATTCGGGGACTTCAGCTCTTGGGATTAAAGACGTCGGTCGCATGCCTCTCAATCCACCTTTACACGTGCTGGGTTATTGTCCTTGACTGTGAGCTGGTGCTCAATCACTCAAACTGACGCCGGCTGCCTTCGACGCGAACTCAGTACACAGTTCATGGTTAACCGAGCCCATGAACGACAACCGAAACGGCTCTTACGATGCTAGTCGAATTGATCATCAAGCCTGCATCCCAATTCTCAATGTGCGAGAGTTGAACATAGAAGACTACCAGCTTCTCCCATTTGTCGACTGCACATATACTCTACCTCATCGTCTGGTGGTAACGTCAGGTAATGACATATGTTCCAATACCTCCGCAGGACCGGGCTTAGGTCTTGATTCTCCTCGTTGTGGGCCACAAAAGCCAGGCATCCATCCTACTGGCATGTCAACAACCCAAAACGTACTCTTGGAACGGCCTATCAACGCCGCATGAATACCTGTAATTTACCGAGAATATAAAGAAGAAAAATCTGTAATGACCAGAGGCCAAATGTCTATTTCGGTAGAGTAGCATCTGTTAAACAAATTGCGTTTGTCCTTCATGTGTGTACTTGGCTAGGGCTTCTATCGTCACTTCGCGGACCCAGACCAGTAACGTCAAGGTGCTGTAAGGCGATCTGGCGATGTTCTTCGGGCTAAACCTTTGGATTGTCAGCAAAATCCGCGATGAACACTAGCCAGGTCTACAGGACTGCCGACGTAATGTCTTGTCTTCCGAGTAGTAGTAGTAGTAGTAGTAGTAGGTTAGTTAGGTATACCCTAAGTTAGGGCTGGATAATTGGACTAGTGCCAACCAACCCGACCTCATCCACTTACGTGGACATTTATCTAAACTACCTTGTACTAGTACAATCTAATAGATTCATAACCATGTTATTGAGCGCAGAGACTTATTCGCACGGTTGGTTTCCCTTGATCTTTTACCTTAGCTTCGGTGGACGGCTGGCGGTTCGATATAGTTTTACTCCCAACGCCTTTACGGTCCGCTAGATTGACTAGTTGAGTAATCCTTTTCGCGGTATATATTTATCTACTTGGGCTCTACTGATTCTACGACTGCTGCCAACGTGGAACTGTATGATGAATACCTAGCCCTCTTTTCGCGAATTGATTTGGCACTAGCATCTTGTAATTCTGAGCACTTGTAAATGATACCTCGTCTCTGGTACTCCCTTACCTGGACTTCTTCCAAGATAAAGCATTAGAAAATACCAACAAGGGTCGCCTTTTTGGCGGTACGTCCTGAGCATGCTGTTGGTGGAGCTTGGGCTAGCAGTAGCACCGAGTTGAGTAGTGCTCAGGTTAGCAATGGGCATTACAGTTCTTGCCTAGCAGAGGAACTGAACAGCCTGGTTACAAGTTGTTGATTGCGCAAAGAGTGTCTGTGCTAGCTACACTCGGCAGAGGAATCAAGAGCACCCGACGCAAGCACACTGGTGTCGAGTGGCTTCCACCTGGGCTCAACCTCACCAACAAGTGGGCCGGAAGGTTGATCGTTCAGACCCTTCCACAAGTCTGGGGCAGCCCCAGCTCTGAGATCCTTCTCCACGAGCTCCAGATCTCGGAGCAGTTCCTCCGCTGATCCATACTCCTTCATCCAGCATTTCAACGTGATATCACTGCACGCATGCGTATCTTCTGGCCATTGCTGCTGCTCAAATCGTCCTCGAACCTTCTCAAATCACCCCTCTTCACCATCAACAATGTCTGGGAAAACAGGATAACCCATTATAATAATGTAGATGGTACAACCCAGCGCAAACAGATCTGTCTTGATATCTGCGTCGAACGGATCCGCTCGAGGGCAATAGAATCTTCCGGGCTCCCCGCTTAACCCATCAAGCAGCACTGTCCCATCCCGTGAAAGATGTTTCCCTTGGAAATCGGACAGCTTAACATGAAGCCCCTCATCGAGGAGGAGATTCATAGGCTGGATGTCGCAGTGGATGACGCCCCGAGAATGGACCCATGCAACTGCCTCGGCGGTCTCTCGACACCAGGATATCCGTTGTAGGAGTGAAGGAGGAGGATCGTCGGATTCAAGGAGATATTGAGCCAAGGTTCCATTTGGAACTCGCTCGAGGTAGAGCCCGGCATCTGAGAAACCCTTGAGTCTGATAACGCGCTTATGGGGCCCGACTATTTCGAGAAGCTTCTTCTCAACTTCAAGCCGGCTCATATCTCCGCCAGGGGCAAGAGGATATTTCAGGACTGTTGATTCGTTGACTTCTCCAATAAACGCACTGCTTCCTGAGGCGATGACTCGAGCCACACCTGGCGGGCAGTACTGCTTGTACATTGTCACTTGGTCTGCTTGTGCGTCGTCCCACATTGCGGGTCAAGGTGGTGAATATATGTAAAAGGTCTTGACGATCTCTGTGTTTACAGTGATGGAAAAAGGTATCTCTCCTGGAGGTCAATAATTCGATGAGGATAGCGAGCGGAAAGAAACCGGGTCACAGCACAGATCATGAAGATCTGGAATGGCTGGGAGGGGAGCTTTGGTGATCAGATAAGGTAACGGTTAGCTTGTTTCTATCATGAACGCCGCGCGATACGGATGATACGGATTATGGTCAATATGACCATGCGGAGGAGAAGGAGAAGGCCACACCTAGGCTGAGAGCCCCGCATTTGACAGCACTGACCCCATGGCCGAGGCCCATGGAGGATTTTCTGCGAGACGACTACATAAAAGCGTCATTCAAAAAGAAAGTGCTCGTCCGCCGATCCCTCCAGCGACACAAAAGCGTCAAAGTCGTTTTTCTCGACCGAGAGACCAGCAGAAGAGTGATGCCAGTGATGGGTTCTTTTTGTCTCGGTATTGCGCAGGGAGTCTCCGATATAACGACAGCTATCGAAACAATGAGGATAAGCGTACCGTCTTCATCAACCATAATGTTTGCAGGGTTTATGTCGTTATGGGCAAGTCCAAGCGAGTGGAGATGCTTGATGGCAGCCAAAACGCCGTCTAGACCACTTATCATATTCTCCCTGACAAGTTCGCGCGCACTTGAACGAAAAGCAACCTTGCCCAGACCCTGAAGATTGACTGCTTCAAGTAACTTGGACGTATATCGCTTGAAGCACAACCCAGAGACTCGACCGTGGGCTCCAGTGTAGCCATAATAGGTCGCGATATTTGGATGGGGATTCCTGCGCAGGATTTCGCATGTTTCGACTTTGCGAGCCATTTGCTTCTCAAGGTTCCCATTGATGTACGCGAGGAGACTTGGTGTTTTCACATAGACGGCTAACCAAGAGGGATTTACCTCTGGGCCTCTGTCCTCGGTTGGAATTTGCTTGACTTCCTGAAGGTCCTCCAGCGTCTTTGGTGGAGCAAACCGAGTCGTCCATCTCCCAGTATATAAAATGCCAGCTTGCAAAACAAAAACCTGGACATAGGAAAATCATTTTGCCGTCAATGATTTTGAAGGCTTCATTGCTTTGTACAATTTCCATGTCAAGTGAGTGTCAGTTCTGTAGTTCTGGAAGATGGGTTGTCAGAGACGGTGTTGGTAGTTGCAGAACTTGCTTACCTGGACATGCAACAGGTTCAGCTGTTTTATAAGCTTTTGGGGCACAACCATTTCAAGAAGCTTCTTCGGGGATGAGAAAGGTATTTATCTCGAGTTTGATGATTCGGTGAGGATAGCGAGCGGAGAGAGACCGGACCACTTGATTAGGTAGGTACGGGGTTTCGCGCGACATGCTTGTTATTCTTGGCTTGCAGCATTACTTCTCATGATCTTAATTATTTCTAGTGCATTGAGAATGGAATCTGGCTGAGGTACTTGGATAAGCACTGCTGCTGTTCATGCACCTAGCGGGGGAACTTACCAATAAACAGATGCCGACCAGTCGCACAGTTGACGTTCATGTATAGTTTCTGGCACCTCAGGTATTCGGGACATATGTTTAGGGCGTGAAGCGTAATATTCTCTCCTTTACAATCCCAGCGATTGACCCTCTTAGAAGGATCCAGATACTTGTGCTTACTGCTCGTACTGTTGAAGCATACTGTGGACCTGCACGGAGTAATGGCAACGCTGGTATAACATCATCACACCAGGAATGGATAAGTCAACCCTTAAAGTCAGTCTAATTACTTCAAGCCGCAGGTATTACGGAGTATGCACTAGCATCCCGAATTTATCGGAGTACTCCGTATGTATGTTGACCATGACGTCCAACTCCACGTCATGATAATATCAGCCGAGACAAATCCACCATATATAAGCACCACCACGCTTCGTCTCTAGTCGTCAGCGAAACCCAACGATCAAACCATCATCTACCACCCCCATCTTATCCAAATCCCACAAACTACAAAAACCAAGCAAACCTCCATCAAAATGCCCAAAGGCCCCATCTCCTCCCCACCGCTGCAACCGAAGAAGGTGCACGGGGTCGTCGACGACGACGCCCCAATCGACGACTACGAGAACGCCGTGCACGAGCGCGAGCACGAGGAGAAGCACAGACTAGCCGATGAGCCGAATGTTGCGGCTGCGCGACGCGCGAATAAGCCCCCTGTTGCGAATTCCGAGACGGAGAGGCATCGTGGAGGGACGGGGAGTGTGCATCGGTCGAAGTGATCGATAAATATATATGTTGTCCTGGGGGATGTGATTCTGAAGACAATTTGAACTACTGTATTATAAGTGTTTTGATTCAGTGCAATGAATAGATATCTCTGATATCTCTGATATGATGTGAGTTGATATATGGAGCTCAGTACACCTCGCGGTCCAAGTAGGTAGGTATAAGCAACAGAATAGTAAGCAACCGTGTTCTAATACCCCGTAGCATACTCCTTAGTAAACATAGTCACCACGCCGGGATATCGATAGTTGCAAGTAGAGAAAGAATATAAGTGGTCCATTAAAATGCTTCCGCTTCGGCAATCAGCTCGTCGAGGTAGTTCTGCTCGTAGTTCTCAGCTCCAGATATCGCTCGCTGCGGCTTGGGCGGCTGTTTTGTCTTGACCAAGTCGCTGACATGAACCAGATTCTGGTAGAACTCAATAACTTTCGGGTGGACCATGACCTTGCGCGGGTCGAATCGGAGCACCTGAAGACCGGCTTTCGAGGTAGCTCGACTGAGAGCGACGTAGGCTTGTCCCTTCTCGAAAACTTTTCCGAGATCGACCTTGACTCGTTGTAGTGTTTGACCCTGGGCCTTGTGGATGGATAGAGCCCATGCGAGGATCAGTGGGACTTGTTGCCGTTGGGCTTGGACTTCACCGTTTGGCAGCTCGATCTTCCAGCTTTCTGGCTGGCAGAGGAGATGTCTTTCTGTCCCGTCTGGCTGAATGAAGCATACTAGCGGCCACTTTCGAGTGACCTTGATGCCTCCATCTGGGTGGGCCATGCCCTTGATCTTCTTGCGGGAGCGTGCCGCCCTGTCCTCGTCCCCGTCGTCGAGTTTTTCGCCTGTGAAATCGTTCTCATTCTCCACGTAGAAATCAAAAGTCGCTTCGTCCATAAAGGCAACTACCCTGCCGATAGACCCGTTCACAAGAGTCTCCTCCATGTTTTTGATGAGCATAACCTGCGAGCCCTTCTTGAGGTGGATTGTAGGAGGCGCCATGCAATTTGAGAGTAGTTTTTCGCGGAATTGAGGATCTTGGATTGATCCTGAATCAACAGCATTAAAGGTCATTGTCTCTCCCGAAAGCCGCCCCATTCTTGCTGAGTTGGCGTTATCTACTTCGACACGGGTGGGGAACCTATACACCATGTTAGTCCCAATCCATGCATAATGTGAGACCAAATAAGAGAGGGCCATACAGTTCTGTAGCTTCGAGAGCATCGTGGAAGTCCAACGGACGAGAGAGCTCCCGGAAAGCCTGTATTGTTCGAGGACTGAGCTTCCCTAGACGCATCTCATTAAGCATCTCGGCGAACTCGGGATCACGCTGACGGAAAACGTGTGTCAATAAGATTGTATGCTGTATTGAGGTATTCCAGCTTGCTGCAGCAAATGAGAATTTCGCCTCTCGACCATGACCCTCTGGAACTGGAGGTAACTGGAAAAAGTCGCCCGTAACAACCAGCTGAATGCCGCCAAATGGTCGGCCGTTGTTTCTTATTTGACGAGCGATCTCCTCGAGCTTATCAAATAGATCCCCGTCTACCATAGACACCTCATCAATGACAAGGACTTTCGTTCGCAACCAGCGATTTCTAGCCTTCTGGTTCTTCTTAATCTGTGAAATGTCAGCGATATTCAACTGATTATTTCAAACGATCGCACCTTTTTGACTAGCTCAGGCACAGGCTCTTTGCCCAAGCCAATGCCTGCGAAACTGTGCAGGGTGACACCCTCAATATTACACGCTGCAAGCCCAGTAGATGCCGTAACTGCAATACGGTCCGGCTCTTTCCTGTATTTATCTCGCAGTTTCTTGATGATCTCTCTCATGAGGACTGATTTACCAGTTCCTGCGGAACCTGTAAAGAATATACTCTTTCCTTTCTCAACAACCGCCTTCAAAACATGCTTTTGCTCGTCGCTAAGGAATATAGGAGCAACTTGAGCACGTGGCGTATGTTGCTTGGTGCTTGATTGTATTTTTTGAACCTGCGCCTTTTTGTTCTGTCGGCGAAGTTCCTTTTGTTCTTCCTTTATAGCACTGGCTGTCTTATTCCATGGAGCCGTTGAGGATGGCCGCGCGGGCGTCTTCGGCTTCATCGGCTCATCATCTATCACTATAATTTCCTTCTCTTCCTTTCGCCAGGGAACGGTTCGAGGTGCGGCAGGCTTCTGGAAGTGAGTGGGCGGCGAGGATGACCAGGGCAGTGCACTGCTTGTTGGTGCGGGATTATTATCGACCGGAATAGGCGGAAGGTCAGGATATTTGATGTCTGATCCGTAATTCGCCTTGGAAGATATCAGGGCCGATTGCGAGTCCGCCTTGTGAGATAATGTAAGGCTCGTTCTTGCGGTCTGAAATGACTCCTCCTGGAAGCTGTCTCTCTCGATTTTTGCCGGTGGGATGAAGGGATCAGGTGATTCGAAGTCTAGGTCGTCGTCACTGTCAAAGTCGTTTTCGTCGAAATATACGGCGCTGTGTAGAGACCCTAGCGTGGACTTGGTGCTCGTCATTTCGATTTTCCGCTTCACGCCGACAGACTGTGGCGGAGGGGGTTTTGTCGTAACATTTCCATGAGCATTCGGGAAGGTTGACTGCAGTGGCCGGGCTGTTGTAGCCGAATGGTCCTTGACTGCTTTTTTGAACATCACTGCAGGACCTTCTGCCGCCTGCAATGGCCGCAATGTCGCGAATTTTGAGGCAGTTTGCGGGGTCAGCACTGTTCCATTTGACAAGGATTTGCGGACAGCAGCTGGTCTCCGAGGTGACGCCCTGGAAAAGTACATAAACAGGGGATGGAGAGAGGGGTTTTATAGTAGACTGGGCGAGAAGATTGTTCACAGCAATTGGCCATTAAGATTATTTACCCAAGACTCCGCGTCCCGAACAGGCGCGTCCGGGATACGCGCTGCTATCGCACGTGACTGCAGATAAGGGCTTCAATTCCGCTGCTGCTCCGTGGGGAAAACAAGAAAACCGGTTCCTTGCTCGGCCAATTTGACTGCCTGCAGTCATTCTTCTCGCCTTAATTCTGCGCAGTCTCCTCTTCACTCCGTATACATGAGTGCGACGCGATAATACGAACCTTGATGCGCAACCGCCGGTAGTATCTAAACTGGACCGATCCCGATAAGCCTCCGAGGCCGTCAATCATGAAGCATGGCAGGGCAGGCTGCCTCGAGTCAGTATAAACTGTGCTTCTTCTGCGGGAGATCACTAACATTAAAGCAGACAAGGAGCGCCCTCTTGCGGGGGCGGTTCTATGCTTTACGTCCGTTCTTCCCGAGCTGCGGGTGAGTCCACTCTTTGAGCAATTCCGAAAAACATGCTGATAGCTTATCGCATACAGACTGAGCTTGCCTCGATCGCGAGCCAGATGGGCGCGGGCCACAGCTACGATCTTACCTCCGAAGTCACCCATTTGCTGGTTGGCGAGACTAGCACCGAGAAGTACAAGTTTGTTGCGCGCGAACGGTCCGACGTCGTCGTACTCCGGCCGGAATGGGTAGAAGCTGTACGCCAGTCCTGGATGCAGGGTGGAGACACCAATATGCAGGCGCTGGAAGAGGAATATAAGCTGCCGACATTTGCGGGAACCGCGATCTGCATAACGGGTTTCGAAGACCGTAAGTACACCGGAGCTGTTGTCCGACTCAACCAATACTGACCGGTTCTCTTTGTAGTGGAGCTCCGGAATTATATTCGCAACAATGCCCAACTGCATGGCGCAGACTTTAGAAAAGATCTCACAAAAACAGTGACACACCTTATTGCGCGGACCGCGGTGGGTGACAAGTACAAGTATGCGACACAATGGAATGTGAAGGTGGTTACCCTCAAATGGTTCACCGATTGTATAGAGCGTGGGATGGTACTTGAAGAGACATTGTACCATCCTCTTCTGCCAGCAGAACAACAGGGCGCTGGAGCCTGGAACCGCTCAATACCCGCAGTCAAACACAAAGCGCAAGAAACCGAGAGCTCGGCAGGCCCTCGACCTCGGAAACTGCGCAGAATTGCTAGTACTAAACTTAGTAATGAAAACGAAAATATTTGGGGCGATATCATCGGGATGGGTTTCGAAACCGCGGAGCCAAAGCCATCGAGAGAGGAACGGCAGGCATCAAACGAGCAAAGGCAAAAGAATGCACCAGTCCTTCAAATAGCCAAGTCCTTCGCCAGCGAGACCACCTTTGCTCGTCCTTCACAACCTCGTGAGCCAACGGCTGAACCAGTCGTCGATCATCGAAATGGTTTCCTAGACGGATGCTTCTTCTTGATACATGGCTTCTCTTCGAAACAGGTACGTTCTCGCCTGTCCGCAAGTTCCCTGCGCTCCTAACTCTCTAGACAAATGTATTACGGAACCATCTTTCATTCAATGGTGCTCAGTTGGTGGATTCTCTAAGCGAGTTCTCGCGCCCGGACATACCAAAGAAAGGCCGTGGGCTCTACATCATTGTGCCTTACAAATCCCCACGATCCACCGTCCCATCAACAGATGATCTAGCATTCGAGTGCGAAATCGTGACAGATATGTGGTTGGAAAGGTGTCTTGACACAAAATCATTAGTCTCCCCTGAATCTCACATTGCAAATACGCCAATCCCTTCTTTCCCTGTAAAAGGTAAGTAGCATATTCATGCACATTTGGCAGAGTATACTAACGAGACAAGGGTTATCGGACATGAACATCTGCTCTACTGGCTTCTCCCGCATGGATCTTCTACACCTCTCAAAGCTGGTCAATCTAGTAGGTTAGTTACTGGCATCTCCTTCTATTTCTTCACTCCGCTAACTATCTAGGTGCCACGTACAATGAGTATCTGAAGCCCACTGCATCCGTTCTCATCTGCAACGCTTCAATATCCCTGAACCACGAAAAGCTGCGCCACACCCACGAATGGGGCGTACCAGCTGTGACGGCTGAGTGGCTGTGGTCTTCCATACGACAAGAGAAGAAGCAGCCTTTTGAGCCTTATCTCGTTCGGAAACCATCAACACTGAGTAGCAAAGATCCGGAATTGCGAGCTGGTTCTCGCCCATCGCAGAAGCGACCTTCACAGCAAAAACCCATGGAAAATACTGTCCCCAATAAATCTAATTCACTAGACACCGACTCACTACCCAAGGAACCGAAACAAACCATCTCTGAGAGTCCGCAAAAAGCGCCCCCACCTAGATCAAATCCCAACCCGAAATCACAACAACAATCTATCTCACCAGCAAAACCACCTCCAGCCGAAGCCGCAAACGCCGTCAAATCCCCCGCAAAGCGCAAGTACTTTGACGAAGAAGCAGCGTCCTCCACAAAAACCGCCATCGACTCCGTCGTAAACGGCCTCCTAAAACACGCCCGCAACCCCCCCTCCCGCTCAAACTCCGACTCAACCAGTGACCCCGACAGACCACGCTCAAGACGAGCACGACCACTCCTCGGCCGCGTCCAGTCAAACTCCTCCATACGCGCAACAGACCCTCAAAGAATTTTCTCCCGCGCAAGCTCCATCGACACCATAAACGGGGACGGCCCCGGAAGCGCAGCCGAGAGCATGAGCATGAATACAGACGGCGGCATTCCCTCTCTGGGCACAGGCAGCCGCATCGAGCTCGAGTACCTCAATGCCGAGCGCGATCGGCGGCTCGAGGGAATCGAGGAAGAGGAGCCCCCGCCCATGACGCAGCTCGACTACGAGGACCCCGATGCCGCCCTCATGAGGGCGAAGTTCCTCCGGGACGCGGGTAAAGTGGTTGAGAAGCCTGCTGGGAGACAGGATCCCGTTGTTGATCACCTGAAGGAGTTGGAGAGTGCTGGGTGGGGAACTGGACGGAGGACGAGGAATGCGGCGCGGAGTACGGCTGTCGGTGATGATGTTTTTTGATTCTGGTTCTCTGTTTGGTACTGCGGGTGGCTCTTGGATCCCAGCTGATTTACTGTTACATTGTCACCTCCGAATTGCATAGCATGTGCATGGCGTTTTCGTTGGCTACTCTACTCTAAGGGTTGGATTTGTGGGAGTTGTGGGTGCATGGTATATAGGAAGATAATGGATTTTTGATCTTGTGCCTGATATGCTCGATTAACGAATACTGCTAGTACTCGATAATTCAAGGGAGGTATGTAGATTGAGCTGATGACCAAACTAACAAAGAGAGCGTGCCTTTCAGATGGATCTTTTGGATGGATAACACAGGTGAGTCATTCAAGCAGCTAAGCACTGCTTTTCAACTGTTACCGAGGTTCATCATCACCAAGGCGGAGGGTCTCTTGACCTTTCATCATGATCAAAGGGAGATAAAAGCTTGAATGGGTGTGAGGGAAGATGCCTTTCAGTCAGTGGGGATGATCTTGACAGTGGCCGAAACCAGTGAGCATTGATACATGATAGGAAGCAGGAGAAAAAGTACATGTTGGCAGTACTGTGAGAGATATGCAGGTGAGAACTGCATAAAAAGATACCAGAGAAGGACAGGAAGAGATAGTATAAAAAAAGTACAGGAAGAGGCACAAGAGAGACGCACAGTGCCCGTCATGACCTTCGACAGAGGTAGATTGATGATTTCACTCTCACCATGAAGAAGGCGAGGAATCTTGACATTGGAAAGGGCAGATAGTGTTATGCCTCTCAGCTGGAATGAGAAATCTGTAATCATCATTGAGGCATTGTTGGAATTTGGAAGCGGGATATGGTATTATGCCTCTCAGCTGGAATGAGAAATCGTTATCATCATCGAGGCATTGGCTGAAAAGAACAAATACTAAAAAAGGGTAAAATGGGCCTATAATCACGAATCGGATGGGATTTGATAGCTGGGAGTTTGAACCCTTCCAGGCGGAGCTGTAGCCCAAGACAGCTTCCCTGCCGGTAACCTGGACGAGGGAAGCACTCAGGCTTAAGCTCAACGAGCCTGTCAGGGTCGATTCGTGGACGTGATGCGCGAGAGAGCGCGGGGTGGCCTTTCAGTGGGCTTGCAGCCTCGAGGGCGCTTCCCAGTATCATCACCAAGGCACGGAAAATGGGGAATAAGAGGGCACCCAAAAGCCCAATGCACGCCTGTCAGATGGGAAAACCTGTCGGGCAGACCGGCAGATTTGATGCTCCCAGTTCATCATTCATCATGGGTTGAGTATGGGTTGAGTGAGTCAGGCAAGGGGAAGGGAGGAGATCGGAGGGAGGAAACATACAGGATAGGAAGATACATGGTGAAGAGCTGAAGGGGAAGGGCTCTGTAATCTGTGATCGAGCCTCTCAGCAGAAGTAAAAGCCCAAGGGCCGCTTCTCGGTTTCATCATCAAGGCTATTGACATTTGGACGAGGGTACGTTGAAGGATCAATGGCCACTAGGGCTGATCAAGCCCTTGACACTGTCAGATGGGATGTCTCGTTGATCAGAAAAGACTGTTCTCAGTTCATAATTCAGCGTTAGGAAGTGAGTAGGGTTGTGGGAAATGACTCGGGGCATAAATGAGTTGAGGAGAAGAGTTTGAGTGTGAGAGTGTTATAGCCTTTCAGTCAGAGAGGAGGCAACAAAACCGCTTCTCCTTATCATCATGAAGGCAGTGTTTCAAAAAGAAAAGAGTCGACGCGGCTTGATGCCACTGGAGAATAAGGAGGAAGAGGAGGAGGAGGAGGAGGAGGAAGGATAACAACAAGGTAGGAGGAAACGCAGGAAGGACTCGAACACAGTGAGTGGAAAATAAAAGGAAGGTAAAGCTCCTGGACAAGGCCAAAACAAGTCAGCGAAGTGTTATGGCGTCAAGCTCACCTTCTTCCTTGAACAGCGTAGATCAAGCACTCAACATTCTCTCGGCAGATTCCATGCATCCATCAATCTCTGGACCTTCAAGCCTGTGAAGTGAAAAGAGGAAGATGCATGTCACCGTGCCGAAGTCTCGAATGCAAGGCTGCTGTGTTGCTTGTCTTTGTGGTTGCATGCACAAAAAACTGGGACAAACAAATGAGAGAACACAATCAACCAATGCACAGAGTGCTATCAAGAAGCACACCAAGATAACTTACCTTGAACACAGCAAAAGACATGTTGGACACAGGCCGCTTCGATTGTCTCTGCGGTTGCATGTCCGAAGTAACAGCGGACTATAAACAAGCAAGGAAGAAGGCAATCAGTAAGCCGCACAAAAAAAAGAGCTGTAAAAGATAGCTTGCCTGCGACACAGCAAAAGACAAAGTCTGGATGAGTGTTGGCTGGGCAAACGAATCCCAGTTGGGTGGTTTCAAAGGAAGGAGGAAGAGAAAAAAGCAGAGAGGCGGGCGAGGGGCAGGAATAAATAGGGCGAGCAACACAGTTAGGTAGTCACTGAGTCAGAGTCTCTGCTCCATTCACTTCTCCAGCCTTCTGCTTGAGTTGAGTGAATTGTGGCTGGCAGTTGGGGAGTCATTCACTGGCAGACTCATCAGTGTTGTGAGCAGATTAGGAAAGAACACCAGGCCCAGCCAGCCTGTACAATGTGGTCCACTGGTCATCCCAGGCTCTAGGATGACCCTTAAGACGAAATGAGTAGAGTAGTCTACTATTGTGTAGAATTGGAATTAATTAAGACAGGTTATCAAGTATCATGGCTACATGCTGGCGTCGGGGCAACTCTGTGTAGGATTTCCGCATGAAGCATCCTTCCAGAATCTTTCATCTTCTAGGTAGTTCTCGGGCGGCTCAGTCCTAAGAATAATCTACATAGAACGAAGATAATGTGTTGGTATGGATTGATTATGTGTGGCTATCGAGGTAAAACGCCGTCAAGCATGGTTTAAGAGGGGCCGATCTAACACAACCCCGTTCTAGAAACGAGGCTCTCATTCTGAGATATAAATAAGAAGAAAAGTGAAAGGGAGTAGTAGTGTTGAAGAGAATGAAAGCAATTATACACAATGGGGATATTTTGCAACATTGAGAGAAGGTAGAACAGTAGGAGATACATCGTGGAGCGTCGTAATTTTGTACAGGGACGATGGACAAGATCAGGCCTCGTAGGCACCGAGTCCACCAGGCAACGGGCCATCAAGATCAATGTTCTCGACAGATGTCCTGTTGTTGGTGCTATCGCGGAACAGGTTGGCGAAGTACTTGCTGGCAACCTCGCTCTCCTGCTTCGTCTTGCTGACCTCCTGCTTGCGTCGCCCGAGGTCTTCGACATCCTGGGCCAGGGAGTTCTGGAGATTACCGGCGGGCAGACGAAGGATACGGCGAACCTCAGATGATATCCGGGTAGAGTTGGAGTGGACATAGTCCATTTCTGAAAGAGTGGCGGCGATCTTGCGTGAAAGCCGAGGTGGAAGGGTCTGGGGAATTGTGGAGAGCACATAGGCCGCGGTGAGAGCAGCTGGACAAGTTAGCAAACAGTCAATAAACGGGGAACTAGATAACCTTACCAGCAGCTAGGATACCAGGGAGAAGGAGACGTCGCATGTTGTTCGGTCCGAGGAATTTAACAGCACTGAACGCGCTATCAACCCAGCTGATACCACCAAAAGCCCTACCACCAAGAACGGTAACAGCCGTCATGGCCATGCCTGTTCCAGCCAGCTTCTCCTGCCTTTCCCAGAGACCAGAGATATCGAAGAAATCCAAGAGCTCAACTTCCGTGTCGACCTGTCGCGCAAGGGCATGACGGCGGCCACGACGGAACATCAAGTCCGCGCGGAAAGTAGGGGCGGTAAATTTATCTTCTCCGATATGCAACAAGCCAAGGTTCTGGATGAAACCAACGCCCTGAGCTGTCTTTGTGCGAGCATAATCCTCACACCCCTCCACCGACGCAGAGATATGGTCAAGCATGGCGAATTTCAGATCCTCAGCGTACTGGAATGCAGAAAAGATGCCGGGATACTCAACACCCAGATTAGCCTCGGAGACATTTGTGATTGCATTGGTCAAGGTTGTCCGTGTGTGCTTGTAAACGTCGTCGCAGGAATCATCGATGCACTTGTCCACTTCTTCCTGCAGCTCGATCTTCTTCTTCTTGCCATTCTCGTAAGCAGGCTCAAGATCGGCCAACTCCTTCAAGACGGTCTGAAGCTCGTTGTCCGCGATGTCACGATTCACAGCGGCCAAGGCGTTGATGTCTGTGAGAAGGTTGAGGAGATAGGTCCGAGCAGGGGCCAGTTTCGAGCGTGACCGTTTTTCGAGCACAAATCGCCGCAAGGAGCTCTCTAAGTTTTCGAAGTCTTGTATCTTTTCCCTCTCTTTCTCCTTTCCTTTACCCTTCTTGCCATCAGATTTGTCCTCGTCATCGTCACCGCTCGGCCAATCGTTTCCATTAGGATCTGATCCTCCGCCACCGCCACCTCCACCGGGACCCCCAGCAGGAATTTGCGGTGCAACAGGAACGGCATTGCTAGAGACGAAGTGCACGAGTTCAGCAGCCTCCTTGTATGTGCGGGGACTCAACTTCTTGATCTGATCCAGGATCATGCGCTGACACCGCTGTTTATCGCGAATCTGATCGAAACCGTTGACGACCATAAACATGTAGGCTTTTTCGTGTGCAGCATTCCAGATAAAGTCCTGGGCTGAGAGTGTGAAATGGTTGGCAGCCGAAACGACGAATACTACCACGTCAATCTCCTCCTGGCGAGCGAAGACGGCTGTGGTCTTCAAGGAATCAGAGTTGAGACCTGGCGCATCAATCAAAGCAATGTCGACGACACCATTGTTAAGCAGAGATTCATCAATGGTTCGCACGTCCTTCACGTAAACCTTGCATTGCATGTACTTCGTGTTGTCGATAACGATATTCTCGAGTTCGCTTAGGGCATATACGTCATAGGTAGTTTCATCGTTGCGGTTGTAGTGGCGGTCCTTGTGCACGGCATGCACTTCCTCAAGTCCACTATTTTCCCGAGCGTCCAGGACCTCGCAAAAGATGCTTGTGCAGGGTTGCTGGTCTTCAGGTAGTACCTTGCGACGTAACAAAGCGTTACAGAACGTCGACTTTCCTGCGTTCAGGTCTCCAGTAATCAAGACTTTGCTGGAAATATCCTCAATCCTGTCCCGTAGCGAGAGGAGATGCTTGATACTTTGTCCAATCTTTCCATCCAGCAGCGATGCGATTGATGACTTCTCCAAAGAATGTACAAGTTCGGCTTGCGACAGCGCTCCCAATTTCAAGTCTAGCTTCAGGATCGAGAATTCTTGCGCAATCTGCGGGCTCATCAATCTTGGTTCCGGCGGCGCTCGACGTTCGGCGGTAGCGCTAGATTCCGCAAGTTCCTCGTTCGCAGGCATGGTGGCGGCACGTCTCAGAGCTCCAGGCCGAGACAAATCATCGTGATGAGCAGCGTCTCCAAAGAATGACTGACTCTGGTGTAACGAGGGACGGTCCGAAGGGGAGTCGGGAATGTTCTGCACGGAAGGGTAATGGGCGGGCCATTGGCGGTTCATATCCTGAAGCTCTTTCAGTGTTTCGATGGTCCGGGAAATCGCGCGCGCAAGCTTAGTCCGATTCGAGTTACTACTCTGTTATTAGCATACTGAGAAGCCCATAACCGGTAATCCTCCCAGACGGAACGCACTATAGTAGCTGGTGCACATGGCTGGCAACAATCTGCTTCTCGTGCTCAGCGGTTGGATTCCATTCTCCAGGACGCGTAGGAGTATGCGCAGGCGTTGGTCTATCCACCATCAAATCAGATCTCCAAGCTGCGCTGGATTCTCCATCCGCAACACTACCGCCATACCCCGAGTCCGCATGCAACGAATTCATCAGAGCGGTGGCGCTCTCCGAGGTCGAGCCATTTCCAACGGTCATATACGAGGGCGGGAGTCGGGGGGCAAATGGACTTTCTTCTGGTCTCTCGTCGGGTGGGCGTCTGGACGACCCCTCGCCGGCAGAGGAGCCGCCTTTGCCGGGGAAATATTCCTGACTCATGACGATAACGGCGCAGTTCGCATAGAGCTCGAGTTGAGATGGATGTCGGGATGAGGGTAAGGTGATGTGATTTCTCGGCGCCGGTAAAAATCATGACCTAAACGGGTATAGCGGCCGCCATGTGACTGCCGTAAAGCCGTTCGTATCGCCGTTACATTGTCTGGAGCCTGATGTCACCGCAGCTCGCTGAAGGTCTCTGTTTCTGCCGCATTGAATACCCCACGTTCTCATCCATCATATCAATTTCTCCGCCTTGGTCAAGATGAATGTGAGTTCTTGTGATATGTCTGGCTGCCCGGAATCTTTACTGACATTTTACCCTAGATCGTCGAGTGGGCTTTCGGAAAGCGTATGACGCCCGCAGAGCGTCTCCGCAAGCACCAGCGGGCACTCGACAGGACACAGCGCGAATTAGATAGAGAGCGGACCAAGCTGGAGAACCAGGAGAAGAAACTCATACAGGATATCAAGAAGAGCGCGAAGAATGGGCAAATCGGGGCCTGCAAGATCCAGGCGAAAGACCTGGTACGGACACGAAGGTATGCCGCGCAAGACTTTGCCGTATTGCTTTCTGGCAAATCGGTGATTATCGTTTCTGATTCGACGCACAGATATATCCAGAAGTTCTATCAGATGCGGACGCAACTACAAGCTATCTCCCTGCGTATTCAGGTACGACTTCTATTCCGACCTAATCGCTTGACAGAGAGCTTACTTGGGCATGATATAGACCGTTAGGAGTAACGAGCAGATGATGCAGTCGATGAAAGGTGCGACTATGTTACTGGGCAGCATGAACCGGCAAATGAACCTTCCGGCGCTGCAGCGGATCGCGATGGAGTTCGAGCGCGAGAACGACATAATGGACCAACGGCAGGAGATGATGGATGACGCGATAGACGAAGCGACAGGGATGGAGGGCGAGGAGGAGGAAGGCGAGGACATTGTCAAGGAGGTCTTGGATGAGATTGGTGTGGATCTTAATCAGGCGGTGCGTAATTCCTTATCGATGAACGCAGGCAGGATCATACTAATGCTTCGCCGAAACAGCTGGGTGAGACGCCGTCGGGAATACAGAAGGAAACGGTCAGTGAGGCCCGGGTGGCTCAAGCGGTTGGTGCTGGTGGTGCCGGCGGCGGCAGTGACGACGACGATCTTCAAGCAAGGCTTGATAGTCTCAGACGATAATCACGACTCTCACAGTATCTACGCCTCACTTTCGACCCCTTTGTTTATTTGCCACAGTATACGAGCCCTGAAATTCTACGCGGCCTATGGTTTTATTATCAAAGCGACGGTGACACATACCCTTCTGTGTTACCAGATGAGCGAAACTGAAATGATGATCATTGATATCATGAACTGGGCTAGACTAATTTGAAATCTATCCTGGCCAGTCTCATCATATTATAATCTTGACTCACCGGGTATCTGCTATTATCAGCACTTTCATCCTTGGTATGAGGCTCTGTGCATGAAAGAATTCTGCCCATGTGATAAAGAGGCAAAAGTTGGGCAAACCGCGCCTCGCTCGTACTTTAGGCATCGGAGACGAAGGGGATCCCGGTTTCCTGAGCGTTTGACGTACAGTAGCACAAAAACGCAATCTCGCAAAGAATATGCGAGATCGGCCAGTACCTGCTGGAATAGAAACGAATCTCGAAATCGGGCCATCCGCACAGTGATCATTACAGGGCTAATCCATGAGGCTCTGCTGCGGACGCAAAAGCATTCAGAAGATAGAAAGTACGGTATATGCAACTTTGTGTCGTGCGGGGCACCTGTGCATACATGAGATACGGGATGGGCCACTCAAAAGCTACGGTCTCGGGTATAGCAGGCTTAGCACGGAGTCGATGGCCATGGGCAGGATCTCATTTGCCCGGGCTCATGTTCGTGCGACGGAAAGGAGGGGAAGCTTGGGCGTGTTTGAGATACAGAGCAGTTCGAGTTTGATGCATGTATGTAAGCCCAAGCCAACGGTGCTCGTGCCATGTGGTCATTGGATAGTTGTAAGCATTCAAAGGAAGCAACGGCCTAGCTATTGTGACAGTGACTCATTTGCGATTGGTAGTACTCCGCAGTAGATATGGCACAGCCCGAAGCTAATCGAGACCGGGGCAGTGCTTTAAGCAACGGTATTGGGCGATTTGAAGCGGTGATCTTGGCCGCATATACTCTGTTGCGGAGGGCACAAGCGGTAAGCAGGGTATGTACTGGGCAACAGGTATCTTGCGTTCCCGACAAAATGCTGTAGCCTGTAGCAATGCCTTGGTATGAAGCACTCACTTGCAAAAATAATCCTTTCATGTGATATTCCGTAGCTTCTAAGGAGGAAGCCGATCAATGTCGTTCAGGCAATGTAACGTGAGTAGCTTGTCTCCGCTTCACTTCCAAAGGTTCCGAGCAGAAGAGCCTCAACTGCCAGCTGAGCAAGGCTCTCCTTCAGACAACGTTTCTGCCTCGACAGTAACAGAGGAGGCCCGTGGGATTCTGATCCATGTCCGAAGCCTCACATTCGAGTGCCCGGGCTCACTGCCTCATTTCGTCGCTAGCTGCGACCAGGTGATAGAAGCTCATTTGCCCGTTTGCCCTGGCTCTCATACAACTTGCAGGCTACTCCGCGTTTTGCCCCAGGGCCCGTCTTCTGACGGCATATCGGGCGCTTGACGTTGAGCGACGAAACTGATATCGGGTGCGGCACAGCGAAATCCTCATTGGCTATTGGATTATTCTATGCAACAAGGGTTTGAATTGCATTGCATTCGGGACACCTCGATCATCCGCTGACCCCCGGTCCAGCAGAAAAAGGACTGTTGATTGTATGCTGTGGGTGGGAAGCTTGGGTTATTTCAATGATCTCCTCGCCGCCTCACCTGGGCTTCCTCGATCGTTATTTCCCAATCCATATTCACCTGCGAAGTTAGTGTTCTCCTACCTCATCGCATACCTCCACTTCTTTCCTTTGTACTCGAGCCCTTTGTGGAATGACAATCACCAATATGAATCCACCAATGCCTCATCCACATCACGCGGCAGCCGGCCCGGGCGAAAGACACGTTGTATTCAACAACCCATCAGGCCCAGTAAACTTTGACCACCTAGCGAATCAGATGCACCAAATGCATATCCAGCAAGACAGATTCAGTCCAAGCAGTGAGTCGAGATCAAGGGATTTCATCGCTAACACGGACATTGACGAAAATGCGGGGACGTATTATGTCGGCTACACATTCTTCAAGGCTCCAGCTGCTCCAGGATATCAACCAACTTGGAAAAAAGTCGAAAAGACCAAAATGAACCTGAGACAGAATGATCTTGCCGATCTCGTCCGAAAGGGGTCCAAGAAGAGATCAGTCGCTGACCAGTACCAAAGCCTTTCGAACGTCAAGCGCCCCCATGTGGACCGGTTAGTTGAGACCCTTCGGCAGAGTAACCCTCGCTTCCAATGGATCTGCGTTTATGTAAAGGAGGACACGAAAGAAGTCAAGGGCAAGAACTACCGCCGTGGCGACTATGAGACCACTTCTATGCATATCATTCTTCAGGGCAAAGCGACGAGCCGGCCATCGTCTGAAGCGCCTGCGCAGGTCAGAGACCAGAGACCAGTTCAGACGCAGCGTCCTGGTCCCATGCCGGAGACTCAGCATAGGCCCTTCGTCGGAAATGGCCCATACGCTGATCCGCGATCCATGCCAGGATTTCCTCAGACGCCTATGCCATCTCAAATGCATAGCATGCAACCAGGACCTGTGCAGCCAGGACCTGCTCAATTTCACCAACCGGGCCCTGCTCCCTTCCGTCCCCCACCACAGAATGTGATGAGAGAGCCACCGTTTGCGGAACAGGTCAACTGGGCGCAAAATATCTCCAGAAGCCAGCCAACGCCTGCGCCAGTTATTCACAATCCTAAGTCTCATGCACCTGCACCCGTCACCAGACCTGATCCGCCAGGTGATGGTGCGCATAAAATTGTAATGGAACCAGATCGCAAGAGCCACAAGAAAGAGGTTCCCCATCAGAGCGCAGCCCGCGATCCTCAGGCGAAAGCCAGGGTCAAACATGACAAGGCTTCGAAGCAACGCCCTGAATCAGAGCCGGATCTTGTGTACGACAGTGACAGCAGTGATGACATCCTGACACCGGATCAAGATGATGACATTTCAGATGAAGAGTTCTCAAGCCAGGAGGCCAAGTCGCTAAAGACGCCAAAGCCCTGGCGAGGGAGCCTCTACCGCGGCCATTCATCTTCGCAGCCTCGCCATAGGCGCCGCACACACTATCGAAAAGACCCGACTCACCGAAAAGAGTCGCAGCAAGCTAGCGACCATAGCCGGGGGTACCGAAGATACCGAGATGAGGGTGCTGTCGACATTGTTCCGGCGGATTCAAGGCATGTTGGCAGACTTGCGAATAGGTACCATGGCCATGGTCGACAATGGGCGGCTCAGCCTAGAATAGTTCACCAACAGCCTAGCAATGATGAAATGGAACTGCTTATGAGCCAGGTCAGAGGACGAGCGCAGAATGACATTCGGAGTCGAATGTTGGAGGATTGGGAAGCAGATCTCGCGGATCGTGAGCACTTGTTCGAATATCAGAAACAGATGTTCAAGGACACGTTTCGCACCGATCGAATGGATGATGCCCCTATGCTGAACCGCCCAAGGGCCCTGCGCGACCCGCCCGCATATGCCCGTGGCTTTATGCAGAGGGCCTTGCATTACTGATAATTTCTTTGTCCTAGGAGGCTATTTTCTGTTTCGTGCTCGTGTTTTTCGGGGTTGGATAGTTATGGCGTTCTGTTTTTTGGGGTCTGGCTGGACGGACAATGCACGTCCGTATAACCACTTGCCTGCTGATATTGTCAGTATAATCTCCAGCACTTGCTAGAAAGTCAATGCCCAATTTCCTTGACGATGTAGTAGTTCAGGTAGTGACGCACGGCCAGCAAGACTATGGTGGGTCTCTGGGAGCCAGCCCACTGTGAGATCATCACGAGTGCCGGCTCCGACCCCTCCATTTCACCGGCTTAGTACATTCCCGCTTGTTTTCGTTTTCGTCATTTCTTCTTCTCAACCTTCCACTCTTCCAGTTCTCACTTCAATTACCTATACTCACTTCTCTCTCCGTTTCTTGATTCTTCAATATACCCAATCAATCATTCAAAATGCCTCGCACATTCTTCGTTGGCGGCAACTTCAAGATGTATGAGCTACCCCGCAATGCCCTCGTGCCTGCCGTATACTCCTCGAGTCACTCCTCGAACCCAACCTTGATAGACTGGCATCGCTAACCATTGCCTCTTCTTTTTCGGCTAATAGGAACGGTAATGCCGAGAGCACTACCTCCATCATCAAGAACCTGAACTCTGCCGACCTTGACAAGTCCGCTGAGGTCGTCGTCTCCCCCCCTGCTCTCTACCTCCTCCAGGCCCGCGAAATCGCCGACAAGAAGATCGGTGTCGCCGCCCAGAACGTCTTCGACAAGCCCAACGGTGCTTTCACCGGTGAGATCAGTGTTCAGCAGCTCCGCGAGGCCAGCATCGACTGGACCATCCTCGGACACAGCGAGCGCCGTGTCATCCTCAAGGAGACTGACGAGGTATGCGCCCCGCCAGGCGCCCCCGATGACACGAATCAGGATGCTAAGAAATCTAGTTCATTGCCCGTAAGACCAAGGCCGCCATTGAGGGTGGTCTGCAAGTGATTTTCTGCATCGGTGAGACGCTCGAGGTAAGCCTTCTTTTTTTCTTTTGCTTGTCCAAGCTACCCCACTTTACCTGGGTCTCAAATGTCCTACAATACTAACAATGCTTTAGGAGCGTGAGGCCAACAAGACCATTGATGTCGTCACCCGTCAGCTCAACGCCGCTGCTAAGGAGCTCTCCAAGGAGCAGTGGTCCAAGGTTGTCATTGCCTACGAGCCCGTCTGGTAAGATCCATTTATCCGCGCCTAGGCTTCACATAGTTCAGGTGGACTAATAGTGCTGCAGGGCTATCGGAACCGGTAAGGTCGCTACGACCGAGCAGGCCCAGGAAGTCCACGCTGCCATTCGCAAGTGGCTGAAGGATGCCATCTCCGCTGAGGCCGCCGAGAACACCCGAATCATTTACGGTGGCTCGGTCAGCGAGAAGAACTGCAAGGACCTCGCCAAGGAGGCTGATATCGATGGCTTCCTTGTCGGTGGTGCCAGTCTCAAACCCGCCTGTATGTATTCCCCTAACCATCCTTGTTTCCATCGAGTGCATTGCGCTAACTATTGTCTTAGTCGTTGACATTGTCAACGCCCGTCTGTAAGCTCTTACGATAGAAAGTGATATCACGACTATGAAATTCCTCTGCGCTCAACATGGCAATTGAATACACTCGCCTTTTTGGTGCTGTGATGATGTGGACAATTTATCATCGGACTTAGGCAACCTCGATATACAAGAGGCCTCAAATATTTATCGTCAAACAACATAATAAAAAGGAAAATAAACGATAACCCTTCTCCCGTTGGCTCCCCGTTAACCGGCGCCTTCCGTTTAAGTATCCCATTATGCGTGACAAAGTATATACATCTAGGTACAAATCATTTACATACCACAAATCTAGAGAGCCTCACGATGAATATGACACCGAAACACCAACACCCCTCCAGTACGACGCCGGAGAGCCACCACTGCCCTGCACCCCACCCATAGCCGGGGAGAACGAGCTCGGACCCAGCCCAACACCAGCACTCACCAGAAGCTCCTTGACCCGACCTTCCCAGAGGAGGCGCACGTTCCAAGACTGGTCAACGCGGAGTTTAAGCACTGATTCCTGTGTTTCGTCTTCTTCTCTGGGGGGTGGGATTTCCGGCATCGGGGGAGAGACTGGGGTATCCCATATGCGGGCCTTGCGGCGAGCCCATTCGAGTCCGTCGTCGTCTACCAGAGTAGTCTTTTTCGACTGCCGCCAGAGCTCGAATCCCGCTACCATCTCGCTTTCCCAGCTGTAGACGTTGAAGCCAAATCGGGAGCTGAAGGAGAGGTTCGGGGAGGCGCGTAGAGAGTAGGATGTTGAGAGGGACCCCGTCAGCGGAGTGAGTGTGAGCGTTAGGGTATATGGGAAGGTAGATATGGGGGTGTTGAGGTTAGGTGTTGACGAAGTGGCCGCTGGTAATGTGCTGAATCTTAGGCCCGTCGACATGCCGATTAGCGAGGAGACTGGGGAGTAGTACGCCTCTGCGCCGGCAGATAGAAGCGATAACCGTTGCGCGCCGTTGTTAAATCGGGGATCGGCGCCAAAATTCCATAGTCCGCGCCAACCGAAGAGCGAATTATCTGTGCTGAACAGATACTCATTGCTGTACTTTCCAGTATCGTGGGAAAGTTGAGTTAGGAGCGTAGCTTGCGGCGCCGATTTTGATAATGGAGGGCCCCGCGTTGAAGAGACCGCGAGTGAGAGCTGCATAGTCGGGGAGATGCGTCGCAGGAAGAGCGCATTCAGCGTTGTTGGCGGTGGCAGGTGCAACGTTGCATGAAGCAATGTCGCCTTCTGCCCGTTTAAAGTCTGTCCATGGCCATTGCTCCCACTCTTTGTCCCATCTAGTATCGAGTCCCAGTTCCAGGAGTCCACCGGGGGAGCAATTGGCGCTTGTACTTGTCGATAGCCTGGGGCGAGCGTGCGAAGGGGAATCAGAGCGCTTTTGCTTGGTGTATTATCAAATGATATATTACTGTAAAGATATGAGACGGAGCCTTCAATTAGCCCGACGGTGCCGAGGGTATAGCTGGTCGCGAAGTTGGGTGTCGAAAGAGAAGATAGATGTACCCGTACGCGCTCAGGCGTTGTAAAGTCCAGGAGATCTAGACCCGAGTCAATGCTATGCTCTAATTACAGGATTGACTGTTACCAACTCTGTGTTGTCGCTGTCAGCGCAGAGTATGAGTTGTCGCGATTCCATTGCGTCCCCTCCGCGAACGCGAGTTGGATATAGTCCATGAAATCAAGCATCGTCGGGCATGAACAGACAATCAAAGACAGATAGAAGAATTATACTCCGGGTAGGACACGGGGCATTCCCGCGCAGCATTGAATTCCTGCAAGCAATGGCTGAAGAAAGTTGAAGCTATGATGCGACGATGAAGCCCCGGACTCAGCGGGCCCGCCTATCAGCTCATTTCCTCTTTGGGCGAGTCGGATAAGCACCGCATCAACATTAATCCGTTGTTATCAGCGAAGAAAAAAATAATTCCATTTCGACTACCATAACTCCGCACTTATATACAACAAATTTCCCCTAGACCACGGTTCACAGCGTCGCATCCTTAATTTAGAGTCTCTATCGCTGCTCATTACCACGCCGCCACAATGCCTCGTTCCAAGCGTGCCAGGATCGTCCACGAGTCCAAGACCGCCAAAAAGTCCCACAAGGAACAGACCAGACGCCTGTACGCCAACATCCGCGAATGCGTCGAGAAATATGACCACCTCTTCGTCTTCTCCGTCGACAACATGCGAAACACATACCTGAAGGACGTGCGTACAGAGTTTGCTGACAGCCGGTACGCCCCCTTTGCAACATTCGCAGTGCCCGCTGCGCAATACACGCAAGAAGTATATAAACTAACCTAAGACAGCCTCTTCTTCGGCAAGACAAAGGTCATGGCCGTCGCCCTCGGCCACAACCCCGAAACTGAAGCCGCTGACAACCTCCACCTCCTCACTCCCTACCTCACCGGCGCCGTCGGTCTCCTCTTCACCTCCCGGGACGCCGCCTCTGTCATTGACTACTTCGAAGCCTTCCGCCCCCTCGACTTTGCCCGCGCCGGAACGCAAGCTACCCGCTCTTTCGCCATCCCCGCAGGTCTGGTCTACTCCCGTGCTGGTGAAGTTCCCGCTTCAGAAGACGAGCCCGTCAGCCATACGATTGAGCCGGAGCTGCGCAAGCTGGGTGTTCCCACCCGCCTCGTCAAGGGAAAGGTCATGCTCGAGTTGACTGATGGGCAGGAGGGATACCCTGTATGCAAGGAGGGTGAGGTTCTGGATTCGAGACAAACGACGCTGCTGAAGATGTTTGGTGTTCAGACGTCGGAGTTCAAGGTTGGGTTGAAGGCTCACTGGACACGGGAGACCGGCAAAGTCGATATTCTGGAGAAGGATGAGAATGCGATGCAGGAGTAAATGATTTGGATTTGTCAAAAGTGGTTCTCGTTTTCTCCTTTTTCACGGAATCCCCTAGGGCATCTCATGGAGTTAGGATAGGCGTTTGTTTTTAATCTCTTTTTCACCTGTCGCTGTCTTGAGTCCAGGTCTTCGACATACTTATGAGCGTATGACGATATATAGAATACCAAGCAAAAGAATTATTTTGTATATACGTTCACTAGGCCATCTAGCCATGATGCATCTTGGTCAGGTTACAAAATGATACGATGTGGTGTTGAGACTTATGTAAGAACTACCCTGCTTTACAACCATACGAAGATGTGTGGCATAGGTATCGTTGATGAGAAACCTTACCTTATCTTCTTACCTGAAAATAGAATACCCTCCGAACGACGATTCCAGCTGAAAACAATACACTAAAATACATACTTACCCCCAAGGCCAGTGAAACAGGCCGGAACGGGCCATGACATGAGTATGAAAAGGAGACAAGATGAAAAGCGGAATCGAGAAGTGGAGGAAAACATGGTGTCGGTGAGGGCCAGAATCAAACCATAGGTCCCTTAGACAAGAGAGGACCTCCGTGAAGCACAGTGAAGTGGTTTCCGTGCGTATAAAGATATATTTTGCAGTCATATGAAGGGCGTCGCGAAGCGGTTTGTTCCGGCTGTTGTAAGTATCCTATTCGGAATAGCCGTTGGCGCTGCCTTACCCGGTGATATTGGGATTGACGATGAGAGCAAAGAGAGACTAGCAACCAGAGATACCCACCAACAAACCATCTTCGTGTGAAGGGTCAAGAAGCCCCTTGGTCAAGCATGAGCTTCTTAGTATCGTCGTTTGGCACGGGGGTCATCGTATGAGTCGTCTTCATGGTACCTCTTTCGTCCTTGGTCCTCTCTACTGCCGTATCTGTCGCGCTCGCGGTAACGATCGCGGTCGCGATAGCTGTCTCTGTCACGGTCTCGGCGATCGCCATCACGGTCTCGATCACGCCTGTCACGATCGCCATAGCTGTCCCGAGGTCGGATAGGCTCACGGTTGCTCCCTGTACCACCGCGATCACGGCCGCCAAACCCACCACTGCGTCCACCACCGGGCCCCGATGGAGCATTTGGTGGCGCTTGCCCACCAAAGCCGCTTCTGCCACCCTGATATCCAACACCTCCACGAGGCCCAAACCCACCACGGTCATTACGGAATCCTCCCCTGCCTCCTCCTCGGAAGCCACCTCGGAATCCGCCGCCAAACCCACCAGGACCAGAGGGAGGACCAAAGCCTCCTGGCCCAATAGGACGTGAAGGCAATGCCTTTGTGTAACCTCGGCCGCCTAGGCCACCACCAAATCGCCGGGGTTTCCAGCCTTTGACAGTCCGACCACGTTCAACATCCACCAAGACGCGTCGGTCTCTGATTCTGATACCATCTGTTTCTTTGTAGGCCGCTGGATTCGACGAACGAGATCTAGATTAGTACAAATGGGTCAAGCGATGGCATTGTATGTTGTTACCTTTCATGTCCTTTTCGCGCTCATAGACAATAAATGCGTAGCCCCGGTGTGGCTTCTTCGCGCCTTTGGGGGTAACGGTATCTTTAACGATGCGAATCTAGATCTTGTTAGCTTCTGTTACCCCGGGTGGGGGACGGTGTTCGTACTCTTTCAATAGGACCGAAACGTCCAAACTCCCGCTCGAGATCTTGTTCGGTCACTTCATAGCTTAAGCGAGAAACGAAGAGCGTCTTAAACGGGTCGCCGCGTGCTTGCGCATCAGAATTAGGGTCGTCTAGCTAGTTTGTTAGCAAGAATCAATTGGCACCGCTACGAGCATTCAAATCATACAATCTTCAAGACCCTCGGTCAGATGCTTCTTCAACTGCTCTTTCTGCTCGAGCTTTTGGCGCCATTTGCGCTGCAGCCACGTCTCTGCCGGGTGGTATTCGGTCTCCTCTGCCGTCTTCTTCGCTTCCTCTAGAAACTGGGCGATGCCGCCAATTTTGCTCTTTCTGACGTCTTCGGGCGCGCGATCGATGGGCGTGACATACCGCAGGGGCGGACGGGGCTGGAAAAGGGCCAGCAGCGGAGGGGGGAGCTTGTCGGTCATTTTGCCCTAAGAGTATCTCAGTCGGAATTAAAGATGATGACTGTAACGACTGAGATAATAAGGCATATGGGGTGATAGCTAAGTTGATACCCCGTCTGAATGGCTGGAGTGTTTCCGAATTTCGCGTTCCATCGCTCCTGCTTTGGCTTCGGCTGCCGCTCTCGTAAGCGCGATAGCCGTAGTTGCCGCTAGCCAATTACATCGGACGATCATCGGTGAAAAAGTCCCGCAGCTCCTTCAACTCAATATCTGGAGAAACAAGGTACCTGGACAGACAACGCAACAATGCCGGTACAAGGAATTCGCACAGTGGCTACCGCCCAAGTATGTTCAATTCGCGACGTCGAGAAACTTGTCCCGTGCATTGGCAGCTGACCCTCGGCAGAACGGCGTGGGTGCCTTCATCTTGCAATGCAAGCGCCTGGATTTCCACTACTGTGACTGGGCGGGCAGCTCTCGGGGCATGAAGTATGTTGTCCTTGCAGCTTATTGTTACTTATGGATTATCTCTAACGTTGTCCATGATAGTGCGTTCCTGAAGCACGCCCTCCCTGCTTTCGCGAAAGAGAACCCCCAGATTGAAATCCGAATCTCACCACGACCTCACAAGCACCCTATCATCAAAGGACACTATATCAACGGACGAGAGAAGGCGGTTTGCGTACGAAACCTCGAGCCGGAGCAGATCACCCAGAAGGCCAATTTGCTGAAGCAGGCTAGCGGTGAGAAGCTGAAGCGCACCAAGAAGCCCGTCACGAGTATCAACGACAGTGTCCGTGGTATCTGGTCTCCGTACCACGGCGGCCTCAAAACTATTTGAGCTGGGTTTTAGCCTTGATTTATTGCATCGGTGTTTCTTTGGCATTTTAGGGGTTCTCTCTTGTATTCTGAACTTTCTCCATGGTTGACGACCAATCTGTATCATACTTGCACATATACTGTCCGGAACTTATCTTCGGGTTCTTGCGCATCTCTAAGCATGCGTTATAAACATATTCCCTCCGGGTTTAGTTTATGCTCCTTGGGTAAATAGTGGCATGAAAGAATAAGGAATAAGAACTGCAATAACCAAAAGCTCCGACTCCCTCCGCTAAAAGAGAATGATTTCACCGTGTCCAGACCAATGCAGTAAGGGTATCGAAAGATGAAAGAACGAAGAAAAGAAGACTATCCTAACACCGAAGCATGCAACCGTATAATGAACCTGTCAAAGATACACCTGGAACATCGCCCTAGGTGAGCTGGTCTTCTCGCCACAACCAGGAACTTGACATCTGGCAAAAGGCTTCGTCTTTGGTGCTTTTTTCTTCGCCTTCGTTACTGAACGATTCGTTGTGCATTCCCCACAGTATACCTACAGCAACGGTTAGATAAGGAGAAGCAGACAAGTATAATTTGATACGCACATGGCCGCATGGTTTCGATATCCAGATCTGCTGCTTCAGCTCGTCTCCCTTTCCGAGTTCTTCATCGCAGTTGGGGCAAATAGCGACATCATCCTCTTCCGCACTTCGTGTGAAACCCTCAGGCGCCGGGCTCGGTGGCTTGTAGGTGTCCCTTCGCCGATCTCGCTCCGGTGAGGGTTCGAGTTGAACAGACGGAAACGGTATTCTGAAGGCCCAGTTCTCCTGAGCTCCGGTGTTACGTCCCACTAACAGCGTGTCTATCTCAGCGGACTGCCATGGAGTTCTTCGCCGGCGGGGTACATCGTTCGTGGATCCAAGCAATGCATGTGGTAACGGCAGCATACGCCAGAAGTTGGAGGCTAGGATGCGTTCTTGACTATGATTCTGGGGTGCCGGCGTCGGGCGTGTGGTTTCTGAGACAAATTCTACCTCGGGACTGCTCGGAGCATCGAAATCCTCATCTTCTTCTTCAGCCAAGTCGATGAAATCTGCCATGATGTTTCGTCCAAATCGTGGTGGTCGGGGTCGATGCCGTCTTGAGCTGCTTTCAGGTAGTACCTGGCCTCTAGGAAGTTCTGGCGAGTCGGGTTCATTTGTAAGATCTATAACTTCCGAGTCCTCGTCGGGGGGCACTGAAAATGTGGATGTGACCGGCCGGCGGAAGTCTAAGCCATCTCCAGGGAACCGGGCTGGTGGCATGTTCGGAGGATGTGCTGTAGGAGTCGTTGAATTCGAGGACTGAGCATGGGGAGTGTTTGAATGTTCTCGGCGGGGTCGCTATAACACAAAGAAAGCGTCAGTAAAGTTTGCTTGCAATGGCACCAAATAGATAAACCCCGCATCAAGAGGGGAAGGAATGAGGCGATACTAACCTTTCTTCGCCGAGCGATAAACTGGACCCCAGAGTCACTGCTCATCTTATACGGCGGATATCGTTTGAAGAGAGTTTGAGATGATAGAACAAGAGACTAAGAATAAGTAGAAGGTGAGACAAAGGAGAAGGCAAATAAAGGGAGATGAGGTTTGGAGAGTTGTAATGAAGCCTCAGAGGCGGGTGTGGTGGACCGCGGCATTCTCTTGCTTAGTTATGATGTCTCTCGCAGAGCTTTGGATCCGAGTCTCACTCATATCGCCCTTAGCTGTCAAATGCTCTCAACAGTGAATTTCAAATCCGCCACTCATTCAAAATGCCCATGAAGCCAATAAAGTGTGGATCAGCCCATAGCCGGAAGACCATAAGCCATACAAACGTAAAAGAAGGGACTGGTATATCCGAACTTCAACCAGGAGTGCATCACGCTACTGTCCTTTTGTCCTTTATTCTTCTCCCTGCTATTTCCCTTGCAGAACTCCTATAAGTACAAAAATGGAATCAAGAGAAAATAAATGACAAAGGATTTCTCAACCGCTTCAAGGCATCAAACATAATTACTGCGCCGCCAACACCGTAAGCCCGCCATCGGTATTCAGCGCCACAATACTCTGAGCAGCAGAGCCCCAGGCCGCAGCAACCGCGGGCACGGCACTCCGGAGGGGCTCTGACCAGGCCTTTGCGGACTTAGAATATTGCTGAACAGTCAGCCCGCTAGGGCCGCCGGTAAGCAGGAACTGTCCTGTGTAGTCCCAATGGATCGATTCAACCTGGCTGCCGGTTTCGAGTACCTTGATTTCCTTCGAAGTGCGCAGGTCCCAGATAGAGACCATCGTCGAGTTCTCCGTAACAGCAGCCAAGAAGGTTCCGTTCTCAGAGAAAAAGACACGCTTAACAGGCCCGGCTAAATCGTAATTTGCGGCCGAAGCCCCTGTCTTGATGTCATAAATCTTGATCTGACCGTCCGCACCACCAGCGGCGATGAGGTGACCGTCTGGGTGGAATTGCACCGAGAGCAAAGCTAAAAGAAGGGAGATATTAGCGGAATCCAATCGGCTTGAGGCCTTAGAAGACACTTACACGCATCACTGAAATTTTGCATGATGACCGCATTTGTTGTCAAATCATACAGTACGTAGCTCTTGTCCTCTCCAACAGAGGCAACGATGTCTCCAGTTGCATGCAAGGCGAGGCCAGTAGCCGCGCCGGCATGAGAGTTGAAGCTTGCGATCTCATTGTCGCCCTCAAAGACCTTCACAGAGCCCGTGGAGGAAGCGACAACCGCTTTCTCTCCAGCCCAGATGGCATCGGTAACCGGACCGTTTGTCAGCAGAGTGTGAAGAACCTGTTTCTGAGAAAGCGAAAAGACACCAACAACCCCTTCGGCAGTCTCAACGAGCACTGAGTCTCCGGATGCATTGACTGATAGCGCTTTCCCACCGGGGTACAGAGCGTCCGTGTTTTCGGTAGGCTTGTACGCAGAGATAGCCTCGCTTGTCGCCCAGCCCTCGGGAACGGGACGCTTGCGTCGGGATTTGGAGAGCCTAGCAAAGTCAATTATCAAGCATAAAAGACGGTATGAGGGTCAATGTGTCGGGTGACGTACGAAGCCTGCGTGTTCTCTACTCTCGCCAAAACCTCATCCGTCAAACCGGTGGAGTCCACCTGCATGRCATCACCAGAAGGACCGGAAGACCGTGCGCCAACAGTGACCTTAGACAGCGCGTCGCGAGCCTCGTCTCTCTCTTTCGTCAACCGCGCGATCACTCTCACGGCCGCATCGTGCTGATATAGCGCCGCACTTAGCTCCTGTCGCGTCTGAGCCAGGGTCTGGCGCAGTGTGTATGTCTCCAAAGCCAGGGCATCCCATTCCTCCTGGAAGACGCTGAGCAACGAGGGAATCGAGGTGAGTGTCGGGGGTCGGGGCCGGACGACGCGTTGGGACTTGACCTCAATAAGGTCCTCTGTGGAAAGTTCCTCTCCGTTCACCGGATCTTTTCCATTCTCGGCGATGTAAGCCTCAATGAGACGCTTCTCAAAAACGCTGCCTAGACAGAGTTAGCCCCGAAGCCGATAGGTGGTAGTAGGCGAACCTACCGCTCTTAGGCGAGACGACAGGCTCTTGAGGTGCCTCTCCTGAAACTGTAGAATTGTCAGTACTTAATCAAGCTAGCGCACAATCGATATCTACTCACTTGCGCACAGCATGATGTGTAGACAGGTTGATTGATGAACGATGTCGGAGAACGTGAAGCTGCGGCTCCTTGACTTTTCGATTGTGCTAGATTCGGACTAGTGCGACCGCTGGCTGTTCGGTGCTTCAAGCTTGGCGGCCATCCAGCAACAACCCATGACGCTGCGGACTCTGACGAAGGGCCGCTTGTTTTAAGTTCAATGGCTTATTGCGCCTGATACTATTCATGCGCTTATTGCTCATACAGCATCCACTGATATGTGTATTCCTAGTCTGCTTGACACATCAAGGGCTACAACCTTCCGCTGAGCTTGACGCGCCAGGAACCGATTCTACTGAATCCATTGCGCCGCAGTAACCGACACATCTGAGATGTCGTTCAACGCGAAAAATCTTGCCTACGGTTAGTTCTGGGTCGTTTCTTAAATGCTCGTTTCGCTAACAGCTGTTTTAGACGCTAAGGAGCCTGCGTTTCTGCAGCGTCTAAGAGGTCATTATGGTGACACCTCTGGTGGCCTAGAGCGCCCGTCGCAACGACCTCGCCGAGCACGAGAAGATAATGAGGATGACGGACCTACATATGTCGACGCCGAGAGCAATGAAGTTATCTCCAAGGAAGACTACGAGGCGATGGTGAATGGCGGCGATCCGCAAACCGCACAACCTGAGAATGGTGTGAAGGAGAAGGATGCCGTTGCAGACCAGGATCGTGACTCAAACGCGGCAGACGGAGCAGCGTCCAAACAGAATCTGGCAGAGATCGGGGGGCCTCGAAAGCGAAAGCAAGCAAAGGTCGTCGGAGATGAGGTCGATGAGGCCGCGGAAGCTGAGAAAGAGAAGAAGGAAGTGCGGCCAAAAGACTCCAAGCCTCGAAAACCGATGCAGAAGAAGAAGAAAATAAAGCTCTCGTTCGAGGAGTGATAAGCACCTCAGCCTTTGCTGTAGATTCTTTTGTAGATGTGACTGTCCAGGCTAGTTGGCTATCCAAGTCGTAGAAACCCCGCTCGCCACTGAGAAGCTGGAAGTTGTAAAGCGAATGACTCATTTTGAGTCTTTTGAATGGATTGATTGTTAAGGAGTTGTGGCTGTGAGAAGAATGAAGTCATCCTTCAAAGCGCATGGTCCCAGATGTTCTTGAGGTGAAATATTTTTCCCAGCGCAGTTCCGCAATTTGCATCAGAAGTGTCTCGCGCGACAAGCCTTCTTGGACTGGACATTCTTTAAATCTTGGTCGCTGGGTAGACGCGTCATCTTCTATTGAAAATGCCCGTTGTCAGCGTCGAAGACCTCGTCCGTCTGCAGCGGAAGCCGGACGACATTCGAAATGTTCGTTGCCCCTCCATTATCAGTTCATCCCACTTCGGTGCCAGCCCGAGTGACGTTCTAGCTAGACAGGCTAACCACGTTCTTAGATATGTATCCTAGCGCATGTTGTACGTGGATCTGAGATAGAGGTTTTTTTTTTTCCTGGCTTGCTCTAACTCTGCATGATACCAGGATCATGGAAAAACATCGTTGACAGACAGCCTCATCGCCACGAATGGCATCATCTCGCCCAAGCTGGCGGGCAAGATCCGCTATCTGGACTCTCGTCCAGATGAGCAGCTGCGTGGGATTACCATGGAGTCATCTGCAATCTCTCTATTCTTCTCCATGATGCGCCGCTCTGCTCCAGATGCCCAGCCCGAGGCAAAGGAGTACCTCATCAACCTGATTGATTCTCCTGGACATATTGACTTCAGCAGTGAAGTATCAACAGCTTCGCGGCTCTGTGACGGAGCAGTTGTACTGGTTGATGCTGTAGAAGGTGTCTGCAGTCAGACAGTCACTGTTTTGCGCCAATCCTGGGTTGAGCAGCTGAAGCCGATCCTGGTCATCAATAAAATGGACCGACTGGTTACTGAGTTACAAATGACCCCTGCAGAAGCCTACTCTCACTTGAGCAGGCTCTTGGAACAGGTGAATGCTGTTATTGGTAGCTTCTATCAAGGAGAACGAATGGAGGAGGATCTCCAGTGGCGAGAGCGTATGGAGGAGCGTGTCAATGCCGCAGCTCAGCAGAAACAAGCACAGGACGGTGAATCTGCTGAGGGAAGTGTTGACGGGGCTCAATATGAAGAGCGTGATGATGAAGACCTCTACTTTGCTCCTGAGAAGAATAACGTTATCTTTTGCAGTGCTGTTGATGGCTGGGCCTTCACCGTTCGGCAATTTGCGGCCATCTATGAGAAGAAGCTAGGAATCAAGAGGGCTATCCTCGAGAAAGTCCTCTGGGGAGACTACTACCTCGACCCTAAGACGAAAAGAGTTCTAGGCCAGAAGCATCTCAAAGGACGAGCTCTGAAGCCCATGTTCGTGCAGCTGGTTCTGGATAGCGTTTGGGCTGCTTATGAGGCCACCACTGGAGGTGGTAAAGGGAAAGGGTATGATTGACCACTATCCGCCTATTTGTATGTGCTGACAATTCTTGAGTGATCCTGTGTTGCTGGAAAAGATCACCAAGTCCCTGGGAATCAACATTCCTCCGTATATTCTCCGGTCGCGTGATCCCAGAAACATCATGACCACTTTATTCTCACAGTGGTTACCACTCTCTACAGCTCTTTTGGTGTCAGTCATCGAATATCTTCCTAGTCCCCGCGCAGCTCAGGCATCTCGGTTACCGCCAATGATCGAGGAGTCACCAGGGTCGAAGTACATCGATACTGCGGTAAAGGATGCTATGGTTCAGTTCAAGACTGGCTCAGACGAGCCGGTCGTGGCGTACGTTAGCAAGATGGTCTCCGTCCCTGAGAGCGAGCTATCCTCAAGCAAAAAGAAAACCGGGACTATGTCCGCGGATGAAGCCAGAGAAATAGCTCGGAGAAAGAGAGAAGAGATTGCCAAGATGCAAGCTGAAGCAGGCACGAACCAAGAAGATGACTTTTCGCGAGTGACATCTGCGTTTGAGCGGGTCCAGCTAGACAATGCCGAAGAAGCAGGCGAGCCAGAACAAAAGGAAGACCCCGAGCACCTCGTTGGATTTGCACGTCTCTATTCCGGTACGCTCTCTGTTGGAGACTCCATCTACGTCCTACCGCCCAAGTTTTCGCCAGAGAACGCTCACGCGAGCCCCGAGCCGCAAAAGGTCACTGTCACAGACCTCTATCTGCTCATGGGACGAAGCCTGGAGCCCCTCCAGTCTGTTCCTGCAGGAGTCGTTTTCGGGATTGGAGGTCTTGCCGGTCACATTTTGAAGACTGGCACCCTCTGTTCGCAGCTTGAGGGAAGTATCAACTTGGCTGGTGTCTCTTTGGACACGCCGCCAATCGTGCGTGTGGCCCTGGAGCCCGTTAACCCATCCGATCTTAGCAAGATGGTCACCGGGTTACGTTTACTTGAGCAGAGTGATCCTTGCGCGCTATACGAAGTACTTCCCAACGGTGAACATGTGATTCTGACCGCGGGTGAACTGCATCTTGAGCGCTGCCTGAAGGATCTCCGTGAACGTTTCGCCAAGTGCGAGATTCAAACCGGCCAGACCATCGTCCCATACCGGGAGACCATTGTTAACGCTCACGATATGGCTGCTCCAAAGAACCCAGACCTAGGAAGAGGAGGAGTCCTGACCGTCTCTGCCTCGAAGCAGTTGACGATTCGACTACGGGTCGTACCTCTACCAGAAGTCATCACGGAGTTCTTCACCAAGCACGTTGGAACTATTAAACGCCTACAATCCGAGAAGCGAACCAGCAAGGGTGAGGGTGAAAACAGTACCCTCCCATCTGACAGTACGCAGCAGGATGAAGCCACCGATGCCGTGGGTGACGCAAGAGACGTCTCTCTGCTCTCTCTCGACGACTTCAGGAAGGAGCTCGACAAGGCGTTTGGAGAAGTCAAGGAAGACAAGGAATTGTGGCAGGACGTCGTCGATAAGATCATCGCCTTCGGCCCACGACGGATAGGCCCCAACGTCCTCGTTGACGCAACGGCAGTCAACACCTGCGAGAAATTGTAACCTTCCCGCATTTCCAGCATTGAAATCTCTAGACTAACGAATTCTTAGCCTCCTCGACGACCCCAAACAGCAACCCAGCGTCCTCCCGGAAAACGCCAGCCGCGACGCCCTCATCGTCCGCGACTTCTGCGACAAAATCACCTACGCCTTCCAGCTCGCCACAGCGCAGGGCCCGCTCTGCCAGGAGCCAATCCAGGGAACAGCCGTCTTCCTCGAGGAGATCCAGATCAACGCCGGCGAAGACGAAATCGATCTCGGCCGTCTGACAGGTGAAACAATCCGCCTCGTCCGCGAGAGTATCTCCCAGGGCTTCCTGGACTGGAGTCCCCGAATCATGCTTGCCATGTACAGTTGTGAGATCCAGGCGTCTAGTAAGCGAATCCTTCCTCTCCCTCTCAGCCTTAGACCCCCAAATATACTGACCCAACCGCCACAGCCGAAGTCCTCGGCCGCGTCTACGGCGTCATAACCCGCCGCCGAGGCCGCATCCTCTCGGAAACAATGAAAGAGGGAACCCCCTTCTTCACGATCGTCTCCCTCCTCCCCGTCGCCGAGTCCTTCGGGTTCGCCGAGGAAATCCGCAAACGGACGTCTGGCGCCGCCCAGCCGCAGCTTATCTTCGCGGGCTTTGAAGCACTCGACCAGGACCCATTCTGGGTTCCGGCTACGGAAGAAGAACTCGAGGATCTTGGGGAGTTGGCGGATCGCGAGAATGTCGCCAAGATGTATGTTGATGCTGTTAGGGCACGCAAGGGGTTGTTTATTGCGGGGAAGAAGTTGATTGATGCGGAGAAGCAGAAGACGTTGAAGAAGTAGATGTGGTTATCCGATATATATACGTTTATGCATGTGTACCTAGGGGTCTTTTTTTTGTAGACAAAATGTTTTGGAGTAAACAGTATCACTGCTGACATTATGGCTTGGAAGCTTGTGGTATATTTCTGCTCTACGAAGGCATGGATATACATTGACATGTGCCCTAGCTATAGAATTTCCCAAACCACAAGTAATCGGAAAGAAACTTAGAACCAGGGTCGTGAAGATGAGAGTCTCCACGCGAAGAGCCATTTCTCTTCCTCCAATGACAAACACAGACCAGCATTGAAAGGCCAGGACCATGTATACTGAGGAGGGTGTCGTATCTGATAGATAGACGGGGCCAGAAGGCGCGATGGAACGAATAACGTCCTTGGGTGAGAAGATAAGTTCATTGGGTATCTAATAGGTTCGGCTCCGATGAGCTAGATAAGAGATCAAATGATCGTGGTTCTGGCCAAATGAGTATCGCCGCTTCGATGCAGTACAGCGGTGTCAAGGACGTTATTCGGCTTGTTTCTGGGTTACTAGACCTCAGATATGCGGATGAAGACGTTGCTTCGAAGAGCATGCCGCGAAAAAGCTGGCCGCAAATGAGAGCATTCGGCGACTCGAAGGCCGGATATTGCCTCAAATAAATAGGACCGGGCCAGCGGCTGGGGTTGTGATGATAGATGCGTATCTCACATGAAGTTTTGCATTCAGAAAGGCCGTGCCACCTTCCTCTGTTCTGCAGCTCCGGTAACAGGGTCTCTCATCTCCTTCCAGCTAACAGGGAACATCATATTACCCGATTCGCTGCGCGCCATGACAACACCAAGGTCATTCCTTGCCGTCGTGATATAATAGAAGCTCTGATCGCCGAGGGAGATGACCGTTCCTCGAACAATATCTCCAACTCGGAACATCTCATCCAGGACAACGCGGTCTTTCTCCACAGCTCGTACGTCCTCCTTCCGGATAAGCGCTTGAAACCGAAGCTCGTCGGAGCTGCTGTGGTTCTCCGGGTTTGCGGCTGAAGACAGAATCGACTCGATGTTATCATTATCCGACGCTGACTGTGAAGGGTTCAGTGATTGTGAGCTCGCGGACTCGTCTAGAACCACAAGAATTGAGACTGTTGCTTGTCGCTTCTGGACGCGAGTCACGCGCGCCAGCACGACTGAGTCGACTGCTGGCAGTGTGTTGTACTTGGGCTTTGGCTTTGACGACGTGGTTGAGGCGGGTACTGTAGACTGTGTAGGTGTACTTGTAGCTGCTGTCGCTTTTCTCATCGTCCTTGAGACGCTAACTACTGACTTCGCCGTAGAGCTCGACTGCGCTTGGTCGACAAAAACCGGACCAGCGATTGATGCGTAGATGTGTGAATGGTGGACATGAGTCCCAGGGCCGGCGGAGTAGGTCCCAGCGGGGCCTAGGCGCTGGCCCGGGATCGCTAGAGACGGTAGAGAGCTTGCCATCTCTAGCAAGCCACACTCGTGGGGGACAGTGAGAGAATGAAACTCGGGAAGAGAGAGCAGAAGCAAGTGAGCTGGAGCTTAGAAGTTCTTTTACAAGTGGGTCGACACGGAGGCAGGTTTATCCGAGTCCGCATCGGCGGAGTATACTGAGATGCGCATTGCTTTGGGCTCTCATCAGGGGAGAGGACAAGTTTATCAATGAATATACAATATATCTAAGTACCGCCGCAGCTAGACGCAGTCTGACCGAGCCCGACTACACAATTATTCGTGGATATAACCACGCAATCACAGCAACAACCCGAACAGGAAGACAAGCCCATGAAGAAAGATATAGATCATATCACCCGAATGCTCGCTGGAAAGATGAAGTGACACCAGATCAAATGCCTCTTAACGCCCATAACGTATAAGAACAATGTATATCAAAGTAAGAAAACACAGAGAATTGGGCGGATAGAAGAGGGCATAGAGAAAAGAAAAGCGGCCCGTAGGATGAAACTTAGACGCTCAGAAAACACTAAAGAAAAGAAATCACGGGCTGGGGACATTAACCTTCTACCAGAGTCTGCTTAGGTCCGCCACCGAGAAGTTCGAGACATCGCCGCGCCAACGCAATGACTTCGGCTTCGCCGCCGTCCTCCGTATCTTCCTCGTCGGATTCGATATTCTTATCCGATATTGACCTCACCATCTGAATCATGTCGTCCGACTTTCCGATGTAGCCCACTAGGCGCTTATCTTCCGACTCGAGGAGCTGAAGAAGCGTCCAGATGGCGATATGTTGGAAGGTCGGGTCTCCGCTAGCAAGGAATCGTTTCAAATAGCCATGGATTCCTCCATTGGGATCCGCCCATTCACGAACAAAGATGGAGTAATCTCCAACTACGAGTATGTTAGTCTGCGCGCACAGGATTGTGGAAGACCTGAGAACATACCTTTGGAGGAGAGGTTGCCTAGAGCAGCAGCACTGTTACCTTGGACTTCAATACTCTCAGATTCCGTCAGAGGGATTAATACGTCGAAAACACCGAGGTTGAGGAGATGGGGCTTCAGTTCATCGCTAAGCGCCAAGACTGCTATAGCAGCCGTCATTTCGGACTGAACGGTGACGGGCACGCGTAGAACAAGGTCTTTGCACTTCTGGACGGCACCAGCTTGAAGGACAAGCTCCTTGTTGCGGTCAGAGCTGGCAGCAAGGTTTCGCAGAGTGGAGATCGCGTGGCATTGGATCTCTTCATTATCTGTCGATCCTAGAAGGTCGACCAGTGGTTTGAGGAATCCAGCATCGATGATGGGGGATTCGTTGAGAGGGTGGATTGAGATATTGCGAATGCAGGCAACCGCGGAGAGAATAAGAGGGAGATAGGATGACTGTAAAAGGCGAAGGAGCGGCGGCAACCCTTTTGCGCGAACAATCTCGAGCTGGTACTTCTCGTCGGAGGCAAGGTTTCGAAGCGCCAAGGCCGCCTGGCATTGTACTTTTGGGGTAGAAGAGTCCATCAAGTGCACGAGAGACTGGACTAATCGCGATTCGGTTTGGGCAAGGCGTTTCCGGTTTGAAGAGTCAACGGCGATGTTGCTAAGGGCAGTTGTGCAATAATACTGGACATCGACATCGGATGAGGAAAGTAGCTGAACCAGGACGGGGATCGCCCCGGCGTTAACAAGCTGCTGCCTATTGTCGTCTGGGGTAACAAGTCATTAGAGAATGAAAGCCAGACATAGCGTCAGTTACGGTCTTACCTGAGTGTGTCATATTGAGGAGAGCACCCGTCGCATTGCGCTGTACGCGCATGTCCTTTGACTTAGCAAGGCGAATTAGCGGCCCCAGGGCGCCAGACCGGGCAATCTTAGCCTTGTTATCCTCATGCGTAGCAAGGTTCGTAATGCAGCCAACCGCGTTGCATTGAACTTCGACATTCGGCGACATCATTTGCTTTATTAACGGGGCGAGCCCTCCCAGGGCGACGATCAACACCTTGTTATCCGCTAATGAATGTCAGCATCCATCCACAGGAAAGGCGGAGCAAACCCACCATTCACCGCGAGGTTTCCAAGAGCTGCACTCGCAGCTCGTTGGACCTCGATATCAGAGCTTTGTAGCAAGAAAAGAATTGGTTCAAGGGTGTCCCGATCGACCTCGCGCACATCTAGTGTAGACTCCAAATTAATCGATGCACCAGTTGTTCTGCGACCCATCACACGTACCTCGTTCGGTAATCTCAGCGAATGTAAGACTAGCGCTTCTTTGGAGGTCGACATTGTCGGAATAGACCAAGGTGCTCAAAGCTCGTAGAGGTTCGCCGGAGAAGAAGTCGGTCTCGGCTCGCTATACATCATCGATTGTTAGCCGCGGCAAGCAGTGCAATCCGAAGTGGGCCACTTCATCTCATGAAAGGCGCCAACTCACATTCTCAAGGAAGCCGAGCAGGTCCGACACAGCTTCTCTTTCATTATCGGCCAACGTTGTGTCATAAATTCCTTCTCTGGAGCGACCGCTGAAAGGGCCGAGACAGGCTGTGATATGGCACCAACGGTCGGCCGTTGATAGGCAAGAGAGACAGGCATTCACGATTGCGGCCATGGCTCGGAGTTGAAGTCTTTGAGGACCAAAATACGGCCACTCGGGCGTTGAGGGTCAAAGATCGAAAGGAGGCTTGACGGCCGTCACTGCGAGCAAGGAAAGCATACACCGGCGGAGCTGTTCCTTCCCTTCAATTGTATTCCCGATCGCGCCCTTGAATAAACAGTTTCGCAGAAACTGGACGATCGATAACAAGTCCGAAGCGGAAAACCGGAGGAAGGGATGAGATGAAAAGAGAAGTTGGAGGAACCAGGCAGGACGGAACCTAGCTCTGCATATAGGAGGAGCAAGGTAAAGCGAGGGGAAAAACAAAACAACGACGGGCGGTGGAAAGAAGGAAGATGTAGCAATCACGACCGGCTCCCGATTCCTGTTCGGGTGTCGCCGACTATATCCCCAAGACACCCTGCCAAAGACAGAAGGCGATGATGAGGAGGGGGGAGTGTGGAAGGGCAAAGGTCAAGATGCGGGAGTTAGTGAGTGACCAAGCGGGCTTAGTTCAGGATGGATGTCTCCAGCTTTGGCGGCTGGTGACTTGTCTTGGGCGAATGACGGCACGCATTTCTTAAGCTGGTCACGAAGCTCACCCACCCACCACTACATCATATATCTACTTGGCTTCTGAAAGAGCTCTTTGCACGGCTCTCAAGATCGTACACAAAGGTCCAGCAATTCGAGTTCTTCGACGACAGACAGCATACTAACAAAGCGATGAGTTCTGTGTTTATCATTGATATCGATCGGCCCTTATCATACCTATCACATCATATCGATCTTCGTTACACTGTTATCGAGTCATCTGTGCGGGAGATACCTCGTGCGTACGGGATGCTAATAGCACCCGATAAAGCGAAAATTTGAGGTTCGAACCTCAATTTTCTTCTAGCATCGGCGCCTCTGCGATCTCCGTTCATGAAGAGGTCGAATTCCGACAGTCGTCAACTCGTCATCCCAATAGGAAGATCTCCGTTGCATATTGGACGCCTTGACTGGCGAATCCTTCTCGTTGTACTTAAGCCCTGGGACTCGCTTCTGTCAGGTACCTAAGAGTACCGCTACCGGCAGATCAGCCTCCACCTTGTCTTGCTCAATATCGAATTACATTTGCAGCTGCCAATAGAAGGCGAATGACCGGTCGGTCTGTTTGCAGCTCCCGCAGTACTCCGTAGGGAGGGTTATATATTTACTCCGCAGACGCTCGGACAATTCTGAACAGCCGGCTGCAGGCCTGGCATCCCTGGTATCGATACAGAGTATAGCTGGCCTTGTTCCCTGCTGAGCACCAGAAATATCGCATCTGGATGGCTGAAACAACGCAGTATCACCTAAAACCGTATTCCATTGGTGCTTTGTATTGCTGACAAGGAATCTACAGAGACGACCGGTCAAGGGCCCTGGTCGCAGGAGGATTTAAGAATGGTCGTGCAAGAGACGTTCCATTCTCCTTTGGTGATCTGTCTGGAGGACGGTTGTTACTGAAACCACGTGAAGAGCACAACGTCATGCGGAGATGGGCTCATGACCTTGAAGCCTTAAGGTCCCATCGTGGATCTCTGCAGCGCCCCGTTAAAGCGAAACTGAACGCTGAGAGGCTCACGGTTTTTAGCTCCGAGCCTTAAGCCGTTCGCCCCGCACGCTAAAACTAACGGAGGATTAGCAGTTAGCCCATGATGGCATTCGACGCCATCTTGCCATGGGCCGATGTGGCAAGGACGGTCACCGAACTCTTTGTTCAGTGTCTCATGTAGAAGATGCCTCTTGTAGTAGTGGATACAGGACACGAAGAATATCGGTTCGACGGCAGAGAAACTTGGTTGACATACTCCGTAGACATGCCGGGCGGGACGTTTGCAAATCTGGCTGCAGTCCTGAGCCGGTGGACAAGATGCGTACGTTGGTTGACTCTGGTCCCTGACCTCAACCCTCGATACGCAACATCGGTGTCGGGCTTATCAGACAGAAAGTAATAATGTGTTACAACTTGCTGACTGCTGACTGCATCCCCGGGCTCAACAACGGTTCGAGGCTGGCATGCAGGTGGTGCCATCAGACCACTCAGGATCAAGCGTTTCGTGCTTCTCGAAAGACTCGGGTCTTCTAATAATACAAGAAAGCCAACACGACCACGGAAGGGAAGGCATTCGCCCCCACTGCTCAGGTCCTGCAGCTGCTGAACGATGAAGATCGCTTGCCATCTGACTCGCAGATGGACTTGACGGACGGCAAAATGCAGAATAAGAACAAGGCCTCATCCTCATGCCCCCCTGTGCCTTCCCTTTGTTTCTTCCTGTACAATCTTCCATCCGCATTCCAGAACTCACCAGCCCCTTGGATTGGTTCGGTTCGCTGGTCTCTGATTGAATCACCACTGGCGGCAGCTAGTCCGGCATCTCGCCCACCGAACGTGCGATAGACGCATCAGACGACATCATCTCCAGCTATTCGCCGATCCCACGAGGTACATATACCTAGAGCTTAGAACATCAATTCTACGATAACCCTGGATTTGCTCTGGTCGGCTTTGTTTTGCGACATTTTCCTTTTTTGCCTTGACTCTTCTTTGCGAGCAGCCCTGTGATTGCCCGCCAGGGACTAAGCCAATGATGGCAGCCTCAGTGTCCGCCTCCACCTCGATTTCCCACCCCCTTCAGGCCGATTCCCGTCCGGGGCCCTTTCGCCGCCTGAGCCAACTGCGTGCCTATACCCAAACTCATTTTTCCACTCCCCACTCCTCGACCTCTTCCTCGAATTCTTCAGTACCCAACCCCCAACCGCGCCCTCGCCGCCACACTCACAGTATCAGCGGCCGTCGACTGTCTTGGTTTTCTTCTCACACCACCACGCGCATCGACTCCGCTCAACCGACAACCACGGATCCGAGCCCGTGCCCTGAACCTCGTGCTGCACGATCCAGACCAAATCGGTACAGCGCAATTCTATTTCCAACTTCTCGCGGGCTCGAGATTGACCTGCGATCGGATACTCAACCGTCTGATTCTTCGGCCTCGAACTCTTCGTCAGAGTCTTCGCGGCGACCGACACCCCCGACACCTGGGACACCTCCGACACCTGGGACACCTCCGACACCTGAAGTCATGGGCAGGCTGAGAACGTTATCGCAACCCCATCAAGACTCGCAACGCGAGCAATCATCCAGTGCGCCGGTGCCGACTACCATACCTAACGCAGCGCTTGACTCTCCGGACCCAGTCATCGCTACTAGCAGCACACCGTCCGGTTCAAAGTCGAAAAGCGGAGCGACTATTCGTTTTTACCCTCATCAAGACCCGAGTCAAAGCACCCGCCCATCCTTGCCATTTATTCCTGTGTCGCGAACGCTTCCGTCTGATACCTGCAACATTCGCGTTGGCCGCTACTCTGAGCGAGATGGGCTTCCTCTGCCCAACCCCAGCGAACCGTCGGACGCCCCTGTCGGATTCAAGTCGAAAGTTGTGAGCCGAAAACATTGTGAATTTATATACATGAATGGCCAGTGGCACATCAAGGATGTGGGAAGTTCGTCTGGGACGTTTCTAAACCACATGAGACTAAGTCAGCCCGGCATGCCGTCTCGATTGTACACCATCAAGGACGGGGATATTGTGCAGCTTGGAATCGACTTCCGCGGTGGGGAGGAGATGATTTTTCGCTGTGTTCGCATTAGGGTCGAGTGCAACAGATCTTGGCAGCAGCAGCCGAACGAATTCAAGTATGTTCTCATCTCAAGTCTTCTGCGAGTATAAACTAACACAAGGTGCAGCAAAAACACCGAGAGCCTCATCAAGAACTTGGGCAAGGGTGACACCGCTGATTATTCTGGATGCCGGGAATGTTCTATCTGTCTAGGCTCAGTCTTGGTAGGTTCATCGTTTCATAGAATTGTGAAGACGGAGCTAACCGCAGACTTAGAGGCCTTACCAGTGTCTCTTCATGGCGGCCTGCGCTCACGTATGGCATTACAAATGCGTTAGTCGCTTGATCCATACCCCGGACTACCCAATGTTCCAGTGTCCGAACTGTCGCGCTTATACAGACCTCACTGCTGAGGTCGACGATTCGAACGACTATGAGGCTGAAAGCGCGAATCAGCAGAATTCGAACAGCAAGAAAGAGCCCGCGGAGGATGTACACTCAACGACATGCTCTCCACAACTGGGAACAAGTTGTACGTCCAATGCTTCGCGCAGTAGCGAAGACCGCCGGACCCCCGAAATACCCGCCGACAACCTGGTTGCCCACGTTGAAAGCATGCATCTCGCCGACGGTAATCCGCCAATGCAGACCCCAGAAAGCGTAACATCAGCGCCGAATTCCAATATTGATGTTCTCGGGTTAGAGTCACTGACTCAGTCGTCTACCACGGTTCCGTCAAGACAGGAAGAATTGCGGGTGGATACCCCTATGCGCTCAGAATCTTCAGACGAGAACCCCTTAACACCTCGAAATGATTCTGGTCCTCTAGCATTTGATGGCCGGGCCTCGATGTCAGAGGACCGTCCGCTTTAAGGAACCCATGTCGGCTGGTCACTATGTCGACCAGATCTCTACCCTTATAACTTGCATCACAGCATCGAAAGACCTTGCATCTATAATTACCCATATGTGCTGTGCGGCGTTTTTACACCCTTCATACCATCTGGTTGCATTTCATAGCATTTAGCATTGTGACATCCTATTTTTACCTCTAATTTGATTATACCCCTTTGCGGCTTTGCTTCGACCATATCCTCTTTTGTTGCCATAGGCGGTACTCGGAGTCTTCTGATCTTGTTCGATTGACATGTCCCGGGTTTGGATTCTACATAGCCATTCCTAATACGCATTCGTTTGCCATTGATCTCTTTACTTTGAACTCACTGTACTGGGTTCCGTTTCATCCAGTCGATGAACCTTTCGTTACATATAGTTACTCGGCCGCGTAGCGGCGTCGTCGTCCTGACACCGAGGACATGATAGATAACTTTATTTTAAGAGTACACAGATTCAGGCTATTTATTACCAGTTATACAACAATCTTTCTTGCCATACATGATCGTAACCCCTCTGCGAACAGGGGCTTCATGGTGGCGAGAGCTACTGTAGACTATACACCAACCCCGCTCGAATATAGGCACTAAACACCATCATAGGAAGATCCTAGCAGACAGCGCTCTCCAATCTCGATCCAGGGATTGACGATCGACACGACGTGGAGTACTTTAGGCTCTTAGCACCCCGCGCCTCGAAGCTCGAGTGTGGCTCGTGATTCTCCTGATGCATGCGCTCAGTGCATTGTGGCTAGCCAGGCTGCTTCTCTGATTTGTCGCTAATTTGCGTCAAAGCGACCACTGACAGGTCCAATTATCGATTCCATCGTCCTAACTTTTATCTCAGACTCAAGTGGTATCATTCGAGTACGGACTTCTCCATACAGTAGAGCGGCATACCTATTTGTCCGTTGACCGCTACTCCATCTGTCTCCTTCCACTCCATTATTTTCCCCCTTCATAAACATTGAAATATGAGATGAATTGACGCCATGAGGTTGAACTTCAGCGAGTTGCCCACCCCGACACTAAGTCGCCAAAACACGTCCCACGGCCTGGGCCACCATGAGCGCCATCACTCCCGCGCAAGTACCCATCCGCATCTCCTATCGACCCGGCGCAAGCCCAGAAGGTAAGTTCCCATCACAGTGAGCATAGCAAATCCTTACACCTCTACAGATGGCCGCTAGTCTTCCGCTTCATCAAGGGCGCGATTCACGGCGCGATTCTGGTCCAGGTCGTTCTCCACGCGATCTTCTCAGCGTTCGTCATCTGGCTCGATCGCTATGTCTTTAATACAGTTGGCTTGCCGAATAGCATCGTACGCAGCCTATCATCAACACAGACTTAGAAAAGGGGGGCTAAGTAGCTAACAAGACGTGAAGATCCCCTCTCTCTCCATCGTCGTCGGCCTAATGCTCGTCTTCCGCAACCAAACATCCTACAACCGCTTCTGGGACGGCCGCAACGGCATGACGACCATCCACACGACTATCCGCAACCTTGTCCGCACCATCCTCTCAAACGCCTACAGCACCGCGCACCCCCCAACACCCGCCGAAAGACACGACATCGAGCGCACAGTGCGCATTCTCACCGCCATCCCATTCGCCGTGAAGAACCACCTCCGCGCCGAATGGGGCGCTGCATTCGAGACCGGGCTCGAGTCGAACTTTGGCGGGCTCGGCGGCGGGATCCCGGGTTTACTTGGTAGTGAGCTGAGGGAGAACGGCACGGCCGTTTATAACCCCGTCTATGCAGGCCTCCTGCCCCCCGATCTCCAGGGTTACGAGGGAGAAGGTTTAGGGCTGCCCTTTCAGCTGACGTTCTTTGTGGACGGGTTCATTAAGAGGGGTGTTGAGCGCGGGTGGTTCAATGCGCCTGGCGCAAGCCAGATGCAGGCGCAGCTGAACACGCTCATGGACGCGTTTGGCAAGATGGAGACGATCAAGTTGACGCCTATCCCCGTCGCACATTTGATTCACCAGAAACAGGTCCTTGCGCTGTATGGGTGTGTGCTGCCGTTTGCGATGGTCGATGATATGGGGTGGTGGACGATTCCGATTGTTAGTCTTGTTATCTTCACGCTGTATGGGATTGAGGGGATTGGGTCGCAGTTGGAGGACCCGTTTGGGTATGATCGCAATGATATTAAGATGGATGCGCTGGTGGGAGATGCGAGGATGGAGATTGAGGCTGTGCTTGGGGAGTGGAGGAGGGTTATGGAGGTGGTGGAAAGGGAGAGTACTGGTGCTGGTGCTGGGGAGGCTGAAGGTGGTGGTGACGGGGTGAAGAAGGAAGAAGGTTTTGTGATGCCGGATATGTTTTTGAGGCCGAGGATTAGAGGGAACGGGCACGGATAGAGTCAATAGTAATGGATAGATGTGGTCGGTCATAGTGGATGGATATAGGCTGATGCTGGTATATATTCTATAGCTCATTAATAGAGAGGCTCTGTCTGCCTAGAAAGAGGCCAGAAACGCGAGCTATAGAGGCGCCTCCAGCGTAAGCACACTTTCTAATATCGTATCCGGGGTTGCATATTCCAACACCCTCGCCACAGCCGCTAGGTCACTCCCATACTGCAAGCTACGATCATCCTCGGGCTTCGCCACGACAATCTTATGGCGAAAGACTTTGTTAGCGGCCAGCGCTACGATTGATGGAGTAAGGTAGTCGATGCCGTGGATGACGGCGAGAAGTCTACAATGTTAGCTATTGCGACATCCTGTGAGAGAGATAGTTATCGTACTTGGCTAGTTTCGAGAACTGGATGCTGGACCGCGCGGATATACCGCCTGCGACTGCGCGACTAAGACGGAGAAAGACAACGATGTCCTGCTGGTAGCGGACGAGCTCTGCAGTTGCTTTAACCGTCTTGCTGAGGCTATGAAGGGCGTCTAGGAGCTTTGCCGTGTGAGTAATAATCACCATAAGAGGAGGCGGGGATCTACCTCGTGGTCAATGCTTGAATGAGCTGTATCTTGGGTCCGTGGTCTACGGACGACAGAAGATAGAGATTCCTGTCCTTCAGACATCCAATCGTCTTCTTCTAGATAGACATACCCGTCCTCGGAGTCGTGGAAGTGCGATATGAATAGGTTATCGTTCTATGCTCGTTAGGCAATGTAACCTATCTCCGACGGAGAACTTACTAGATGCGCGTTGAGCTTTGGCCGAACTTGCGCGGAGTCACGGACTACAATAGGGATAAACAAGAAATGCGTTGAAGCTTCGAGGACGTTGCCTCCTGTCGTAAGCTTCCTCGACCGCATCAACTAGGACACGTTAACATGAGTTGGGAGAGAGTAAAGGCGGCTATATACCTCGAGGGCTTCGACCTGTATACTTTCAGGCGCATGGTCAAAGTTTTTGGCGATAACAACATCGACGATGCTCGCTGGCTTATTGCGCGAGTGTGAACAAACTTGGTCACGGAAATCCTCGAGAGATGTCGTATCTGAGAATTCCACGATTGTGCATGTGAGGCCATAGGTGTGAGAGCAGATCTGCGGCCAAATGTTAGTTGCATGTATAGATGGAAGAGCAACTTACCAAGGCAAGCTCCGCCGCGACGTCATGGATGTTGCCCTCAGTAGCCTCGATCAAACAGTGCTCCTGACCACCCAAGCAGATAAGCAGAGCCAGTTCAAGATCGGACAGTTCATGCGCCAGCCCGCTTATAACTTGCAGGTCATCCATTGTTATATTTTGATGTGAGGCTCATGATGGAACATCGCTTGGCCCGAATGATTTGTAGAAGTAGAAGTTGTAGTAGAAGTTGGGGCATCCTCAAGAGTGGAGCCTGATGGATATGATCAAATCGGGTTAGCGCGGTCCCAGCCATGTGAGCTTGCCCGAGCTCCCAACGACAACAGCCAGAGCTCCAGGCCAGGAACATCCACTCTCCGACTCCATACCTCGGTCGCCTTTCCATGAACGCATCGTTCAATGGCGCCGTCTAATCCTTTGGCGAACTGGGAAAGACTGGGAACCAGCTTCTACAGGAAAATCCCTGTATACTACTCGCTCTTTGACGAGGATGTCGAGCTAGAGAACTACATTGTTGCCGGCGCTCCGTATGGCGGGGCTATTGGTATGCATGCGCTATGACATTTACATTGGTCATGTATTGATGAGTGTAGCTCTGTACCGAGACGAGAGCAAACCTCTTCGGTTTCGAGACGCCCAGCCCGGCAAGTCGAACATTGATATCTACTCCCGGTCTGGGAAGCTGATTAACCGACTCAATGTGAGTCTATATCTCTGGTTGCAAACTTGTACCTGACTAGGAATAGTGGGAGCATGGGACTATTAGAGGACTCGGATGGTCCGACCAGGAGGAACTGCTGGTGATTACCGAGGATGGCACTGTCCGACGCTACTTTGGCTTGTACGGTGACTTTACCTCGTTTTCTCTCGGAAATGTAAGCGCCGTGGTCAGCAAATCAGCGCGTTGGCTAAACTCTGCAGGGATCTGAGGAGTACGGAGTGAGGGCATGCCGGTTCTGGAACTCCGGCTTTGTCGCTTTGCTCGCTAATAACCAGCTGATTACTGTGTCTAACTATAATGAGCCACGACCTAGGCTCCTAGCACAATGTCCGGAAGGGGAGGTCGCTTCATGGTCGCTCATTCCGCCAGCTTACACGCTATCCCGTTCTGTTGAGGTCCTACTTGCTGTCGATAAGACGGTCTACCTTGTCGATCCTACTGAGGCGGAGGATAAAGTGCTCCAGAATGGGCCTTTTAAGCACGCAAGTGTATCGCCCACGGGCCAGTTTGTTGCCCTTCTGACGGCTGAAGGGAAAGTTTGGGTAGTGAGCAGCGACTTCCAAACCAAGTACAGCGAATATGATCCAGACTCGCGAGTCACTCCTCGCGCCGTCGAGTGGTGCGGTGACGATGCGGTTGTTATTGCGTGGGAAGATGAAGTACATCTTATCGGACCGAATGGCGCAGCTGCACGGTAAACATAGCATTCCCTTTTCCAAGTGACGCTCCTAATCTGAGCAGATATTACTACGACGGGACTGTTCATGTGTTGCCAGAATTTGATGGCGTTGGTTTACTCACCAATGACGCGTATGAATTTTTACACAAAGTATCAGGTAAGTCCTCTGTCTCATCTCTTGGCGGATACTTCTAACTCGGAGTAGACGTCACTGAAGCTATCTTCCGACTCGGATCAACGTCTCCAGCGTCTGTACTGCTAGACTCAATTGACCTGCTGGAGAAGAAGTCACCCAAAGCAGACGACAATATTCAGCGGATCAAATCAAGCTTACCAGAGGCCGTTGATGCATGTGTCAAGGCATCGGGGTTGGAATTCGACGCTCACTGGCAGAAGCGACTGCTCAAAGCGGCATCGTTTGGAAAATCAGTACTGGATTTGTACAACAGCGATGAGTTTGTTGAGATGACAGAGAAACTACGAGTCTTGCAGGCTGTTAGGGACTTCAAGATAGGGCTCGCCGTATCATACGACCAGTACATGCGCTTAACGCCGGAGAAGCTGATCGAGCGCCTGGTTAACCGAAGGGAGTATCTGCTTGCAATTCGGATCTCAGAATACCTCCAACTTCCCGCGGACAAGATATACGTCCACTGGGCGAGCTCGAAAGTCAAAGTTTCCACAGTCGATGATGAAGCTGTCTGCAAACTGATCGTGCAACGGCTGGACGGAAAGCCAGGAATATCTTTTGAAGTCATTGCTCAGGCAGCTTACGATGAAGGCCGCTCACACCTCGCAACACAGCTATTGAACCACGAACCGCGGGCCGGGAAGCAGGTTCCACTGCTGCTCAACATGGAGGAAGATGAAATCGCACTGGACAAGGCCATTCAAAGTGGAGATGATGACCTTGTCAACTACGTACTTCTTCATGTGAAAAGCAAGCTTCCTATCGCGAGCTTCTTTAGAATGATTAACACCCGCCCAATGGCATCTGCGCTGGTGGAGACGACTGCTCGGGATGAAGACACCGAGCTGCTGAAAGACCTGTTCTACCAGGACGATCGACCATTGGACGGCTCGAATGTGCTTCTCTCGGACGCTCTGAAAGAGCCGGACCTGCCACGCAAACAGGAGAAGCTCCACCTCGCATCCCGGTTACTCTCTGACTCCAAGGACCCAACATTGGTGTTGCATCAGAAGCTAATAAACGAGTCGTCGCAACTGCTCAAGGTTCAAGAGGCGTTGGACAAGGACCTGGCGGAACGTTCCGAATTCTTTGGTTTGAGCTTGAACGAAACTGTTTACAGACTGATCAGGTCCGGCTATGGCAAACGGGCACAAAAGATCCAAAGCGAATTTAGGATGCCGGAGAGGACGTACTGGTGGCTAAGACTACGAGCGCTAGTAGCCAAGCGTGACTGGGGAGAGCTGGAAGAAATTGGCAAGATCAAGAAATCTCCAATAGGGTGGGAGGTAAGTAATGAGTTTATCATTGGTATCATTGCATGCTGACATAAACTGAAGCCTTTCTATAACGAAATTTTGGGTGCTGGGAACACAAAGCTGGCTTCGGCCTTCGTCCCAAAATGCACCAATTTGCCCGCGGAGGAAAGGATAGAGATGTGGGTGAAATGCGGGATGGTTGTAAAGGCCGGAGAGGAGGCTTTCAAGGCAAAAGATGTCAACACCCTCGAGCTTCTCCAAGGGAAAGCCTCCGGCCCGGCTGCCGTGGAGATTGGCCGGATGATCAACCAGCTACGGCCAAAGAAATGATCGCCTTTCTTCCTATTTGTAGCTCAGGTGATCTCCTCATCCTCATCGACCGGGGCGTGCTCGTCCACCACGGGGCTCTGAGTGACTTGTGCGGAGCGTGCTTTGGGTTTGCTGCTGGCCGCGGGAACATCAACCATGGCATCATCGTCACCGTTATCCGCTTCGGCGAGGGCGGCAAACTTGGCGGCTTTGCCGTTCAGGTCACTCCAATCTGCCTAGACACGCACGTTAGATTCGGAACAGACTATGCGGTATATTCCAGCTCTTACCCTGCGATTTTTAACAGCTTTCGCGCGGTTGTTGCTCTTGGTGAGCTTTATCTCGTGCTGGTCCATGACAGCCTCCGCTCTCTCTAGACCCTTTTGCTGGCGTAAGCGTTGCGCCCGTGATTTGGGTTTCGCTTTCGACTGCTTCTTTGTCACACCGGCATTGGCACGATCGGCTAGGATTGACTCGCGTGGCTTGGGAGTGTCTTCAGGCCGGGGGAGATTCGCCAGGGACTTGTCGAGGTCGAGGCTCGGTGAGGCCGCCCGCCGGGCAGCCCGCGAGTGTTTTGACTGAGCTGGACAGTGTTGTTAGAGTATTATTAGCGGCAATGAAATTATATAGGGCGACTCACTCCTTGCTTTCGCCATATCTGAATTTGTTGTATGGATTGTTTTTGAGTAGAATATTTTTGTGGAGATAACCGCTATCGATAAAAGCCGTTGCGGGAAGCCAACCCGACCAAGTGCGCAACTGGGGCGCTTACATGCAGCCGATCTGCAGGTGCTTCCTCTGCCATACAACGCTTTCACCCTTCCTCCGGATGTCGCCCGTGCTTCTAGCAACGCTGTCTCTATGCGGTGTCCTATAGCTCTTGATCAGCCATGAATGCTCGCAGAGAGGGGATTGACTTCCTCGCTCAGAGTCGCTATACTCACAGAAACAACAATAATGACAGCTTCTGGCACCATTTGCAGGACAACGCCAACTTGACCTACGTTCTTGTGACTGCGGTATCTGTTTTTTTCCTCTTGCATCATTTCAGGTCACTCCCGTCTTCATTTGTCGCAGCAGTCTGGGACATTGCCGTCTACCTAACTCCCTCTCGCATAATCGCCGCTCTCGATTCGAAATCTACCAACGCTTCGGACGAACCTTCCGGCGAAATGACGCTCCAAGCGAAAAGCGAGGCAATGCAGCGCATCCTCGGACTTGACCACGCTTCGTTCCCGTCGTTCTTCCCTCGATCGAGAGCCCTCTCCGGGCTTGGCTCCGCCCTCCTTGGAAGCAAGGATACCGTACCGCCGGGGTTAGGAAACTGGGATAATTCGTGCTACCAGAATAGTATCATTCAGGGTCTGGCGTCGCTGCCGTCGTTTGCGGGGTTTTTGGAACGGAATATCGATCAACTCAGTGGGAAGGTCTCTTTTTCGACACATGAAGCGCTCAAGGGGATTATTGAACGGTTGAATAGTGCGGATTATCATGGACAGCGGTTATGGACGCCACCGGACCTGAAGTCGATGAGCAGTTGGCAGCAGCAGGATGCGCAGGAGTACTTTTCGAAGGTGGTGGATCAGATTGATCATGAAGTACAGCAAGCTACACGACGACAAACCCGAAACTTGGGATTGAAGATGGCAGGACCGTCGGAACATGTTATCGGGGCTTCGGCGGCTCAAGTGGATGGTGCGTCACAACAGGGAGGTCAAGTGAACCAGACATTCCGCAACCCATTGGAAGGTCTTCTTGCGCAAAGAGTTGGGTGTATGCGGTGCGGGTGGACAGAAGGACTGTCCCTGATTCCGTTCAACTGCTTGACCGTGCCTCTAGGCGCGAGCTACGAGTACGATGTTCGTGACTGCTTGGACCATTACATGAATCTCGAACCGATTGAAGGAGTGGAATGTGCCATGTGCACTCTGCTCCGCGCTCGAGATCAACTTCGCAGCTTATTGCAGCAAATCGCCGACGATGAGAAGCTTTCGCAAACCGGAGAGCCGTCGAAAGTCTCAGATGCACTCAAAGCATCGGCCGAGCAACGGCTGCAGGCTGTTGAAGAGGCCCTGGAGGAAACTGACTTTACGGAGAAGACTTTGTCGAAGAAATGCCACATTCCATCGAAGAATAGGGTTACGACGACGAAGTCAAGACAAGCCGTCATCGCAAGGCCACCTGGCTGCCTCGCCATCCACATCAACCGGAGCGTGTTTGACGAGCACACGGGTATGTTGAGAAAGAACTACGCAGCGGTCAAATTTCCCAGGGTCCTTGACCTAAGCGAATGGTGCTTGGGCGGGAGCTCCGCTGAAGCCATCGAGCAGAAGGTAGAGAACTGGGGCACCGATCCTCGTGTTTCGATGCTCCCTCCGCCAGGCGCAGCCAGGGATACTGTCGAACGCCGCTACGAGTTGCGTGCAGTGGTCACGCATTATGGCCGCCACGAAAACGGCCACTATATCTGCTACAGAAAGCACCCGGTCGATACATTCCCAGCTCATATACCGGAAGCAGTTTTAGAAGCGGACGGCGAGAAGGAAAAGTCTGAGCGTTGGTACAGACTGAGCGACGAGGACGTCCAAATGGTTAGCGAGGAGAACGTGATGACTCAAGGAGGAGCATTCATGCTGTTTTACGAAGCAATCGAGACGCCGACTTCTAGCACAGATTCAAATGCCAGTGCCGAAAATCCAATCTCGAGCTTCTCCCCAGAAGATATGTCCTCAAATATGTCTACGACTACCGATCGGTCAACAGCGTCCGACACATCTCGCGCTACCAGCGTGTCGGCCGAAGGAGAGCAAGCCGGCGAGAAAAATCCGATGATGGAAGTTGACTGATCTCCGTCAGGTTCACCTCTCCAGGCTTTGTCGCATTCTTCAACCCATGCAATTGCATGTACTATGATACCCAAACGCAAGCATACCAGGCATTATTGGCTTGGTTTTTTTCTTCGGTTTGTAATTCTAGCAGGACTGCATTGGCTGTATCAATACCTACTAGATGTAGGATTTGGCATTGTTTAGCAATATTTCGTAAGGTAGAACAACCATTGAACCATATCCCAATCCAAAAACACCACGCAAATAATGTAAGCCCAAAACCAACGCCACAATACCATACCAACCTCTTAAAAAACGCCAGCCCGCCGCATAATCTCATGAAACTGCTCCAACGTCACTCCAACATCAACCCCAGCACCCCCATTCGCCTCCAAAATCATATCCCGCAGCAACGCATCGCCCAAGTCCTCCTTCAGCTCGCGCGCAATCCTCTTCAAATGCCCCAGCTTAATCGGCCCATCCGTCCCGCGCGTAAACAGCTGAAACGCAGAATCCACCTCCGCGGACATCGCATCGTCAGACCGCGACCGCAGCTTCGCCGCCGCAACGGACAGGAATGGCGCGTAGGGGACGTACCCGGTCGCCGTGGGGTCTATCGCCGAGAGAATCGACTGCAGTTCTTTGGGGGAGGACGGGGCGAGGCCTAGAGCTCTGCGCGTGCTTCATCAGTACTGCTCATTTTCCAGGGTGGAGTGGAAGTGGAAGCGGGAGCGTACACAAGAGCCTTCCGGACATCCTCGCGCGCTATCACGCCCTCTTTCTCATCGGGGAAGTCCTCATTACTCTCCGAGAATATGTGGAACACCTCCTTGATTTCGGCCTCCTCTTCGCCGCTGATGTCGTTCTCCTTTGCGAGCTTGGACTGTCGCGCTTTGGGCTTCTTCGGGGTCGATGAGGCTGCGCTGGGCGCGGAGCGCTTCTTTGGTGGCTGGGGTGGCATGGTGTTAGTCGCGGGCTTTGGCTTTTTTGAGAGGTGAGGTGAGACGGTGTGTAATGCTTACCATGTGGCGGGCTGTTGAGGTTCAGTGAGCTGGGCTGGGCTAGGTCGTTTGCGATGCGGTTGACGTCAAAGAAGGCCGTGAAAGAGAAGGAGGGCGGGGCGAGCCTGTGGCCATTGGTGGGGTGGGAGGTCAAAGTGTATTGTTATTCACGGTTTGCTTGGGCCATCACATTTCAGAAATGTATACTGGATAGCCGGATAGTTGAGATTGATGATGGTCTCGTCGCATCTCATCGAAGAGGACGGAAGCCCGGGGTGCTGACGTAACGACGCGTGCCTGGCGCCTTGGGCTCTTTCCAACTGAAACTCTGTAGACGATTATAAGAAGTTGACGAATTACTGTTGTTGCCTTATGCTAGACCTTAGATATATATTGCGCTGGGTCTGCTTTGATTTTTCTCAGAAACACCGACATCTTCAACATGGACGTGGAGTTGTATGTCTATGACCTGTCCCAGGTAAGTAGCGCTGCTTATACACCTAGTCAAAGAACACCGCTAACAGGAACAGGGACTTGCGCGGATGGTATGCATGCCCATAAGCTGCTAAAGGTGTATCTCTGACTAGAGCAGTACTCGATGGCCTTGACAGGCGTACAGATCGACGCCGTCTACCACACGTCTCTGGTCTTCAACAACGTCGAATACTACTTTGGCCAGGGCATCCAGACAGCCCGGCCTGGTAGCACGCATCACGGCCAGCCCATGGAGAAGATCCACATGGGGAAGTGCGAGCTGCCGTTTGAGGTTGTTGAGGAGTATCTGCAGTCGTTGAGCTCGATATATACACCTGAGGTATGGAATCCCCGTTACCAACGGGCCAAGTGCTAATGAACAGTCCTACGATCTCTTCCTGCACAACTGCAACAACTTCACGCAAGATCTGGCCATGTTTCTTCTTGGGAAGAGTATCCCTGAGCATATTCGCAACCTGCCGGAGACTTTCCTGAGCACGCCGTTTGGGCAGATGCTCAAGCCGCAGATCGAGGGTGCACTGCGTGGTGTAACGCAGGCTCCAGGGCAGGGTCTACCAGCGCCACGGCAGGGGGCTGCTGCTGGGCCTTCTGTTCAGCCTCAACCGCAGCCTCAGCCCCAGGGTAGGGTTCGTGTGGTGAGCAGCCTGAATGAGCTTGAAAAGGAGTTGTCTGCTGCTTCGCAATCATGCGCTGTTATCTTCTTTACCTCGACCACTTGTCCTCCATGCAAGATGATGTATCCGGTATATGACGAGCTCGCTGCCGAGGCTGGCTCCAAAGCTGTTCTTATCAAGGTTGATACCAGTATAGCCCGCGACGTCGGGATGCGATACAGTGTGCGCGCAACGCCGACATTCATGACCTTCCTACGAGGCGAAAAACTCGATCAATGGGCCGGCGCCGATGCAGGCAAGCTACGCGGGAATGTCCGTCTTCTCCTAGAGATGGCCCATCCAACACACCCGCACCGCGAGCTGCGCCTTCCCAGCTTCCAACGTACCATCACCAACTACGTCACATACACCAAGAGCCCTCCGCTCGAGAAACTCACGCAGAAGCTCAAACCGCACGACCAAGACCCTACCCTCCTCTCCATCATCAACTTCATCAAGCACCGCACCACCTCCACCTCCGCAGACACCCCATTGCCATCTGACCTCCCCACCTTCGCACCCTACCTATCCCAAACGCTCCAGTCCATCCCACTAGAGAACCGCTTCGCCCTCGTTGACCTCACCCGCCTCCTCTTCGCCGACCCCCGCATCGCCGCATATTTCGCCGAAGACCCCCGCCACACCCTCCTCACAACCATCTTCTCCATCTCCGAAGACCCAGACTCCGCCCCCTACAACCTCCGCATCGTCACGCTCCAACTCGCCTGCAACCTCTTCACATCCCCACTCTACACAAACCACCTGCCCGCACCAGCGAACCCCCTCCGCCCAGCCCTCTTATCTCTCCTGACCTCCTCCCTCCTCGACAATCAAAGCAACCTGCGCGTCGTCGCCGCAAGCCTAGCATACAATCTCTCCGCACTTAATCACAATGCGCGCTTCGCAGCAAGCACAAACACTCCCGAGCACGCGGAACCCCTATCAGATGAAGAACAAGTCGCGCTAACAGCCTCGGTCGCCGAAGCCCTCGTCCAGGAGACCTCCAGCGCTGACGCCCTACACGGCCTCCTCTTCTCCCTCGGTCTGCTGATCTACGAGGCGCCGGTTGATGGCGCGGTGCTGGATCTTTGTCGGGCGCTTGGGGTCAAGGAGGCGGTTGAGGGCAAGAAAGACCTGCTTGCCAAGGGCGATAAGGATAAGGGGGTTTTGTTCCGTGAGGTTGCGGGGGTGTTGCTTGCTAGGGGGATCTAAATCTGGCTAATTAGGTAGACGATAGGTCAAATACAGTGTCCGGAGTCCGCTGTGCCGCGCTCTTTTCTTTCAGCCTCACGCCCGTTCTTTCAGGTTGATAAATGATAAGGGGAAGCTAGATATCGATAGTCCCCGCACCGTATGGGGTAGAGCGGAGAAAGTACTTTGTGCGACTGCGGCTTGCTGTGGCAGCCTCAAGCCAAGGATCAACGAGTATGGATACCAATCCATATCTCCTGATCCAGAAGCCCGAAGGAACGACGATCAATCCAGAAGGAATGGAAGGAATGGAAGGAAGAAAGAAGGCCAACGTGACTGCCGCGCGATGCGATGTGGACGCCCGTTCTTGAGTTCAGTGTCTAGTTCCCCGGCTTTCTTTGTTCTCGCATCCTTGGGGTACCTACCTAGGCGACGCCATCGGTCCATCGGTGCATCGGACCTCGGTCAATGATCAATCTACTACTGACTAGTATGTGGCAATGTGCCGGGCCAGTACGCCTCGGTACTATTGTGATTGATCATTGTGGCTTTTTGTTTTGTTTTGTTTTTCCTCGTGGCTTTCAGGTGGATGGTGGAATGGATGTTGATTAACGATGCCCATCCTGCCGTGGCACTGTTACAGTTAGGTATTGGTGGGTAGATACTAGACGGTATACTTACTCAGTACTGAATGGAAGGATGAAAGCACGGATGGGGTATGCGCAGGGCTCTGCCTTCAGCTTGCCTTGCTTTGCTTTGCTTTGCTACCTTTGCTTTTGCGTGCCTTGCGTACTTCAATCCAGCCCAGATCCAGATTCATCCTGGTCCCTGCACTGCCTTGCCTTGGATTAGGTAGGAACCAGATCCAGGATTGAGCCCCTTGGCTGGAGGTAGACTTAGACTCTGGCCCTTGCCAGCCCTGCCCTTTGGTCCTTGGTCCTTCCAGCTTTTGGCCCTGCCCCTACCCAATCACCCGCCTATGGTAGGTAGTGCATCCAGCCGGGGCGGCTAATGAGAATGCAAGGAAGAACCACGCCGGATCCGGAGACAGACAAACAAAAAACAAACAAACGAAGATTGGGCTCCCAGCTCTGAAGTCAGACTCGACTTTAGCCTTAGATGCCAGCCTATGGATACGGATCTACGTACCAGTATCTACTACAGGACAGGGACAGGGACAGGGATGCGGCCTTCGCGATGCGAGGGAACCGATGCGATACGATGTGATGGTTCCTAACTTGCGCTGTATGCTATGATTAGATAGATAGATAGCTGGGGACCCTGGAGTTGTATCTAGTTGGACTGAACCCACCCGGACCCTGACCCTGACCCTGACCCTGCCACGGCCACGATACGATACGCTCCCATTCAATGCGATGCGATGCTTTGCCATGATTAGCCATGGCTTGACCCCGGACCCTGGACCCGGGGCCGGAGCCTGACCCTGCCACGGCACGACCACGAACGATACGCCCAAGGCGACAATAAGCAAGCAAAAGCAAACAAAAGTCGATGTCGGATCCAATTTCCAGGGTCGAGTGCTCCGTATCCAATTCCAAGGTTCGGACTCGGACGTGTGACGTGACGCAGACTACGACGGATAGCGACGTATACGAGGCGTACTACTATGGACGTATTAGATGTTCGAAAGAACGGGTTCGGCTCAGGCTTCAGCTCGGGTAAGTAGAGTCGATCAGATCGCGATGCGATTGCGCGACGATGCGTTGCGCAGGTTCGATCTGGCGGATCTGCACTTCGTATACGCCGTGGATATAGATATAGAGACGGGGCGGCCAGTCGCGTTGAAAAGACGGGACGGAGTAGATACGTTGACGAGAACGAAGCTGATAGTGACAGGGCTGAGACTGAGACTGAGAATGAGACTGAGACTCGCCAGGCAAGGCGAGCAAGAAGTCATACTTATTTTAGCATACCAAGTAGAGTATAGGATTCGGTGTTGAGGCGAAAACGAGAGACTACGATACAAGGACGGTACGAGATAAGAGAAGAGTAAGCAGGAAGTGAGAGGGTGGTCTCGACACGAGCCAAATTCGTTCATCAATAAGACGGATGCTACCTATGCTATGCTACCTGAGAAAGAGAAACAACCAGAAAACCAGAAAACCGGATCCGGATCGAGGGTATGACGCTGGGCTATGCTAAGAATAAAACGATAAAACATGACAAGGAAATGCTGGTGACTAACGTGAGCTGCTGTGGCACGCTCGGGTATGATAGGAAGGAAGAAAAGACGAGTACACGATGGGGTATCAACAGGCATGACAAGGCAAGAGTAAGGTAAGTAAGGTAAGGTAAAGCAGATGATCGCTCGATCGCTAGCGCTAAAGCAAAGCAAAGCAAAGCATAAGCAGAATTAAGAACGTGGTAAGGTAAATTCCCGAAATGTGAGGCAGAAGCGAAGAAGAGAATAGGGCGTCATCGAGTGAGTCATAGGCATACTCTGAGTTGACAGCACACACAGAAGAGAGGAAAAGTGATAGAAGTGAAGTGATGTGATAAGATCGGGTGAGTTGGAGATGATGGAGAAGCGGTGAGGAAGTGTTCGATGATAGGCTGAAGCCCGTCACCTGGCCCTGGTCGCAGTTTGGGGTCGACGGGGACAAGGGTCGCTGAATTTCTGCAGAGGCGCCGACTGCGACGGGGAAATTAGGTAAGCCCCTGCGGTCGGGCACCAAATGCCGGATGCAGATTGGGGGATTTTCCCGGCCCCTCGACGCGCTGAGGCGCACGTGTTGGCGTCTTTTGCTGGCGTCTCATGTCATGCTGAAGGCTCGGCTGAGGCTGCTGGCTCTGGCTGCTGACTGTGATGTCGATGGCTGATCGATCGGGTGGATGTGGAGGTGGAGGTGTGAAGGGAGAAGCCCACGCCTGCGCAGGCGACTGAAGACGAAGAAAGAGCCGAGGCTTACGACCGGTAGACGACCTTGGACGACGAGGTGGTGCGGCGCTTCTTCTCCGCCACGAGCGGCTTGCGCTTCTTGCTGCGCTTGGTGCCCTCCTTCTCTGTCGCTGCGAGCTGGGCGACGCGGAGCGCCTGCTGTGCCTTTGCGTGGGCCTGGACCTGGGCGAGGAAGCGAGCGCGCTCGGCCTCTTCTTGCGCCACGGCGCGGAGCATCTGGATCTGCTGCTCGGTGGTGATGCTGCCGCCCATGCGCGGGTCCATGGCGGCGGATTCCTCGTCGATGCTGCTGGCGGGCTCGGGGGTCATCGGTCCATCGGGGAAGAGATCCTCGTCGGAGAGGTACGCGGAGGCAGTAGATTCGCCGGAGTCGCAGCTGATCAGGGACGGGCGGTTGGGCCATGAGGGGAAGGCGCAGGCGTTGTTGGTGGAGTTGGACGAGAAGCTGCACTTTTGGGGAGTGATGTCAAGCAGGTCGTCGTTGGGGGAGGGAGGCGGTGGTGGAGGGATGCTGTTGCCGATGCTGCCGACCGGAGAGTAGGAGCTGGGGAAGCTGAGGTCGAAGTAGGCGTGGGCGTTGCTGGAGCTGGCTTCGCTGAGCGAGGAGCGGATGCTGGACGCGTCCCTGCTCCAGGGCTGGAATGGGTAGACCATGGTGGAGTGGAGAGTCGAGTGGTGTTGTTGTGTTGTGTTGTGTTGCTGTATTGATTGAAGTGGGCGAACGGTTTATAAGCCCGAGCAGACAAAGACTCAACGTGAGAGGTGAAGGTGGACGGTGGAAGTGGTGGACGAGAAGGGAAGAAGGCCAGGCCCGAGGGAGAGAAAGAAGATATAAGGGCCAGCCAGGATGTGAAAGAAGGGCCAGATCGATCGGGGTTCTGGACTCCCTTGCAGCTCCCACCAGATAAGGCGCTTTATTCTTGATTTATTTTAATTTGTTTCCGGTTTCTGTTTTGGAAAAATAAATAAATAACGGGGTCCACCTGGATGAGGCGTCCACTGGCGAGTCTCACAGGCTGCGAGTCAAGGCGATCAGGCGCGGATGGCGTTCCGGCAGCTGGACGAGAGCTGCAGTCAAGGCATTTGTCAGTGTTTGACTGATCTATCGAGATGATACAGAATGGGAGATGGATGCCTGACGCAGTAAAAGTACGAGAGTTGAATGTCTGTTACTGTTAGAGTCTTAGAGACAGTGTGGCGGTCTATTTACATTGCTCAGTTCCTTTCACCCTTTCCCTTTCCCTTTCCCTTTCCCTTTCGGTCCGCGGGCCGGGGAAGATCGGATGGAATTTGGGGTCGTGGGGGTTTGCTGCTTTCGATTTATTTAATTCGCTTTTTGTGAAGATTTAGCCGCGATGGGCTTTGTTTCGGAATAATCCTTCCCCAGACTGTTGATGCTCCAGTCTCCAGGTCTTACTCTCTCCAATCTACAGTACGGAGTATCGCGATGCAATTTCCGACACTCACACAGTCTTACACTCTCTTACTTTCCTATGGCATCTGTAACCTTCGTCCAGCTCGTATGAGTCAAGAGCGGTCTGTTTGTACAGAGTACCTTTGCTGGCCTCGTCATGCATCCTCACCGCCGTTCTTCCCTTCCCCGGGCCCCGACCAATATGGCCATGGCCATGGCCATCTGAAGCACGCCTGTTACGTACCCGGCGGATGTGCGACCGGGGGCCAGGGTGCTGCAGTCGGCGTTGCAGTCGCGGCGACAGCTGCATGGATTATCAGTTTGATAAGGGTTCAGGCCTTGCTGGCGGTTGTAGCGGTCAGCATTGCCAGCGCTGCAAACACTCGGTCGCAAACATTATTGCGCCGGGTGTTTGAGCGAGCGAGCCAGACTCGAATTCGATCTATCACGATCGCTCTCTTTGCTGGCCTGGAATTTGGGTGTTGGATCACATCACAAAGAACAAGCCACTGCTCAAACCGTAGGCGTAGGAAATCGTACTTTGGACAAAGGGACGTCTCAAAAGCAATTATCCGATCGGCGGTTTGTGATCGCGGTCTTCAAGCAGTCTTGATCTCCGGAGGCTCGAGACGAGTCAAGTCCGCGGTATGCGCGAGAGCGGCGATTATTCAGAGAAATTCTTCCGTACTCTAGGCTCTCGGATAGTTGTAACTTGTAGGATACTCCATAGTTGACAGCAGTATATGTGGATGAGCCCGCAGTGAACCATGGGTCTTTCACAGTATTGTAAGTTGTAACTGCCCAAATCCGACGGTGGCCGACTCAGGTAATTTCCCCGCTAGAACAAAGAACACCTTCTAGCTCCTGCCTCGTCGTCGCACTATCCCTCTAGCAGACAATAGAGCAAGATTCTCCGTGATGGCCCAACGATCCTTCATAAATTCGCAATCACCAACAGAGTCTCTGCTAATTAGCCATTAGCAATTAGCTAATTAGCTTTGCAAGCTCCAACGGCCGCGTCGTCGTCTTTGTTCCGGGATTCTCCCCGTTGTCCCGGTGGATCAGGCCGTTCGAGTTCGAGGCCCCGATTATGGGGAAGTGATGAAATTGTGATTTCAACTCATTCAGGATTCACGGGAAAACTCCGCCCGTCTCTTTTTCGGCCTGCCCCTCGCTCCTCGGCGGATTGCACCGCGACGAAGACGCGTCCTACCGTTCTTCCGGCTGGATAACTAAGGCTGGTATATAGCCGAGGTGGGAGGACTTGGCTGTTGCTGTTGGACGGTTATTGCTACGACTCTACGGCCGTAAATTTAAGGTTGCATTGAAGCAGATGCGATCCGATGATGCGACTCTGGTGACCTGGTCGCTTCATTCAAATTACAGTGTTGAAGACTAAAGTACATTCGGATACTTTACCCCTGCTTCTCCCTGCTGGCTGCATGTACGGCTATCTCGATCAATGCACCAGGCCCGATTTGTCGCGTCTGTTCCAGGTGCCTGGGACCTATCCACTTGAGCGTTATTCTACGGAACACTTAACAATTAACAAGAGACATGTCTGCCCAAGGTGGACTTTGTCTGGATTTCGGAGTTACGGATGCCTCAGGCAGAAATTGGTCATGTGAGATTGGGATGAGAATCAAGGGGTAAACAAAATATAAGATTTCTTAGGATTTAAGATAAATAAGAATGTGAGAGTTTAATGGCTAGATATAAAAAAATTTAAGCTATATTTATTTTTTTTTTTTTATATTTTATTTTTTAATTAGGCTATAAGATCTAGTTAAAGTTAAAGGTTAATTTTTTTTTT